TTTGCCACGTCTTGTAAAAAGCCAATGATGGTTGTCTTATCGTGAGTATTTGAGGTGATTTTGAAGATTGGGTGCTCCTCTTGGGGTGGGTGATGGAAAGCTAGTACTGAAGTAAGGGCAAAAAATAAGAAGATGGATACCTTTGATATCAAACACATTGCTTTTGTCGAAAAGAAATGGTTATATATCATTACTAATTTATTTGTGATGCAAAAATTATGTAAATATATATAGCTTACACAATTACACACTAAAAGTAAACTCATTACTAATGGCATAGGGCATAGGGCAACAGTTTTATATAATCAATACCATGGCTTTAAGTTATAAATAGAATACACCTGCTAGAGCAACTATTCATGGTGTTAATACCGGCCTTTACCAACTAACCAAAGCAATTCAAAAATGATGAAAAAGCAATGCATGATGTTTAACCAAGCCAAGCTACTTTTAACTAAAAGCAATTTTTCCCCACCTCAGAAGCTAGCTCAAACTGTAACACTTCTTATCCATTGAGCTTGCATGGCTATTATACTAGGCCCTATATATAATTTGCAACGTTCTAAGTTGCAAAATAGTATTCCACATTATTATGTACACAAAACCAAGTGCGACACGTGAATGTTAATTGAACAAAAAAAATAAAAACAGACGCGAATTCTTTTTTTTTATTTTAACAAAAGAAAAAAGGGATTTTAAATAAATGGTTATTGTATATGTAACCACCAAAAATCCACTACCCAAAATATAGCTATGTTTATTCTTTTTAACTTGAATTTCATTACCTTGATTTAGTTACTACTACTACTATTACTACTACTACATCATCATCATGGGTACAACCACAGCGACTACAACACCAAAGAGGACGGGATTATCTCAAAGCAATGCTAGCTCATCAAGTAGCAAGAAGAAGCAAGCATCATTAATGTCCTTCTTTAAGCCCATGACAGCCAAAAACAATGTCAAAGAAGAACCCAATCTGTCGCCCAAAAAACCAATGCAGCAAAACTGTGTATCATCGTCGTCCCCCTTGAAATCAAAAACGACGATCAAGCAGGAATTATCAAGCGATAAGGAAAATGACAATACATTGATGCATGATGAAGACGAGTTTAGAGATTTATCATTTTCATCTAGCTTGACGTCACCTCCAGATGTAAACCAAGATAAGACTGAACATAAGCAGTCCAATAACAATGCAAAGACTGGTCAGGGAGGTAGTACACCCTTGAAGGGGCATAGAACAGCACTCAACTCCAGTCCCATTAATTCAACTCGCCATAAAAAGAAGCAAATCAATTACGCAGAATCAGACTCCGACGATGAGGACACTGTCATTCAGTCTTCTCGTAAGAAGAGAAAGGTTGTGCAAGAGGCAAGTGATGATGAAGATGAATTTCAACCGATTATGTCTGATGGGGACGATGATGATGACATGAGTGATTTTGTGGTTGATGACGACGACGAAGGTGATGATGATGAACCAGCTGTCCTGGAAGATGATGAGGATGTCCCCAAGCCAAAGTCGAGTGTGTCCCGTAAACCAAAATCTGCATCCGTTGCGGCGTCCATTCCGGAGGTTAATACATCAAACGATACAACCACTTTATCCAACAACGGTTTAACTGACAAGTTTGACGCGTCCTCATCTTATGATGCTTCAGGATACAAGACGAAACAATTCCTGTCAAAGCCATTGCCAACCACCAAAAAGAATTTTGCCAAGGAAAATGAGGAGAGATATCAGTGGCTTGTCAATATTAAAGATGCTGAAAAGAGAACTCCTGATGATCCAAACTATGACCCAAGAACACTATACATTCCACAGTCGGCATGGTCCAAGTTTACTGCATTTGAGAAACAATACTGGGAAATCAAGTCCAGAATGTGGAACACTGTTGTTTTTTTCAAGAAGGGAAAATTCTACGAATTATATGAAAATGATGCTATGATTGCAAACACTCAGTTCGATCTTAAAATAGCTGGTGGTGGAAGAGCAAACATGAAGTTAGCTGGTATACCGGAAATGTCATTTGAGCACTGGGCAAAAGAGTTTATCAGTCATGGTTATAAAGTCGCCAAAGTAGATCAAAAGGAGTCCATGTTGGCTAAAGAAATGAGGGGCGGGGGATCTAAAGAAGAAAAGATAATCAAGAGGGAGTTGACTGGGGTGTTGACTGGTGGTACCTTGACTAATTTGGACATGATCACCGATGACATGTCAACGTATTGTCTTAGTATTAAGGAAGAAACGGGTGAGGATGGATCCAAGATCTTTGGAGTTGCCTTTGTTGATACTGCTACTGCCGAATTGAATTTGATCGAATTGCAAGATGACGCCGAATGCACCAAGCTCGATACATTAATCACACAAGTCAAGCCAAAGGAAGTCATTTGTGAAAAGGGAAACCTCTGTAACATTGCCACCCAGATTTTGAAATTTTGCGCCCATTCAAATAACCAAATTTGGAACAACTTGAATCCTATTACTGAGTTTTGGGACTACGATATTTCTGTCGACCACTTGGTCAAGTCAAGATATTATGATGCAGAGGATTTGGACGATTATTCAAAATACCCTCAAACGCTAGTTGATTTCAAACAGAATCACGTTGTAGCATTCAATGCATTTGGTGGATTGTTATCCTACTTGAAAACTCTCAAGTTAGATGAAAGTATCATGAGTTTGGGCAATATCAAGCAGTACAAGATCTCTGAGAACGAAACGTCGCACATGATTCTTGATGGGATCACTTTGAGTAATTTGGAAATTCTCAACAACAATTACGATGGAGGTGATCAAGGCACTTTATTGAAATTGGTGAATCGTGCAACAACATCGTTTGGTAAAAGACACTTGAAAAAATGGGTCTTGCATCCTTTGATGAGAATTGATGAGATTAACCTGAGGTACGATTCGATTGACTACTTGATGGGCGACGGCTCTGAGTTGAGATCAATCTTACAAAACTGCTTAACCATTTTGCCTGATTTAGAACGTTTGATTGCTCGTGTGCACGGAGGAACTCTTCGATTTAGGGATTTCCTTAAAGTTGTTGAAAGTTTTGAAAGCATTGCTAGGTTTTCCAAACAGTTGCTGGAATTAGCCCATGTTGGTGAATGTGGAGTATTGTTTAAATACTTGCACAGTTTCCCCCAGGACATGGTTGAGCATATCGTTGAATGGGAGGATGCTTTTGATAGACAACAAGCCTTGAATGATATCATTATTCCAGCAAAGGGGGTTGATGCTGAATTTGACCAATCACAAGCCATCATTGATGATTTAGAAAATCAACTTAATGAACTTTTGAAGGGATACAAGAAGGAATTTAAATCGCACGAAATTTTCTATCGTGATTCAGGAAAAGAAATCTACCTTGTTGAACTTCCAGTAAAGTTGGTTAAACATGTACCTTCAAGTTGGCAAACTATGGGTGCAACGTCCAAAGTTAAGCGGTTTTGGTCACCCGAAGTTAAGCAATTGGCAAGGAAATTGATGGAGCAAAGAGAGTTGCACAAGATGGTGTGTGACACTTTAAAGAATAGGATGTATGCAAAATTTGATACCCACTATACTACCTGGATGAAAGTGATCAATTGTATGGCCAACATTGATTGCATTCTTGCATTGACGAAAGTTTCCGAGTCAATTGGTTATCCATCATGTCGTCCCGAGTTTGTATCAAGTGACCATGGTGTTCTTGATTTTAAAGAGTTGAGGCACCCTTGCTTTATCAGTACTAGGGATTTCATTCCCAATGATATTCAGTTAGGTGGCGATCAACCTAACTTCGGATTATTGACTGGTGCCAATGCTGCAGGTAAGTCTACTATAATGAGGACTACTGCATTGGCAGTGATTTTGAGTCAAATTGGGTGCTACATACCTGCTCAGCAGGCAAGTTTAACTCCCGTCGATAGGATTATGACGCGGTTGGGTGCAAACGATAACATCATGCAAGGCAAATCGACATTCTTTGTTGAACTTTCGGAAACGAAAAAGATTTTGAGCAACGCTACGCCTAAATCTTTGGTGATTTTAGATGAATTGGGTAGAGGCGGTTCAAGTAGTGATGGATTTGCCATTGCTGAAGCCGTTTTGCACCATTTGGCAACTCATTTACAACCAGTAGGATTCTTTGCCACCCATTACAATACTCTTGGTGTGTCATTCAAGTCACATCCACAGATAAAACCCATGAGGATGGCAATTATTGTCGATCAAGAGTCACGAGACATCACATTTTTGTATAAATTAGAGGATGGAACGGCGCCAGGGTCGTTTGGAATGAATGTGGCGTTAATGTGTGGGATTTCGAGGGAGATTGTTGATAATGCTGAGATTGCCGCCAAGAATTACGAACAAGTATCGAGCTTAAAACGGACTTATGAAGAGGCAGATAATATCAATAGTGATGAAATGAGTTTGGGTTTGCAAAGTGATTGCGTGTGGTATGGTACTGATAGAATTGGGTTGTTGAAACAAGATATACTAAATTATGAAACATCAGTTCAAGAGAAGGCCCTTGGTAATGTTTATGAAATGATAGATTCTTTATAGTTGGTAGAATAGTTTATAAATTTGTGATAAAGTTGTATGTAGCTATTGTCTATAATTCTGTTGTACAAAAAGAAAAAAATTAAAAAAGAAAGTCCATTGCAAGACCGCTACTATGAACTAAAGTTTACACCAGTAGATAGAAAGGTGCTAACAAGTGATATTGATAAACTCATCCTTGTGAAAGATTGGTTTGATGTCTTTTGGGGTTGAGTGCACTCTTCATCTTCAAATGAAACGCGAAGATGTCTTTGCACACTAGCAGTTCGGACTTTTGTGAAGGCAATAGCAAGCTTTGCAAGGGTGTGTGTGACATTTTACCAAAACAAAACCCCAGAATTCACTTCTGGAAAAAAAAAAATTTGGAAAAAGGAGAAACGCCATTGAAACACACCTCTTTCTTCTTTGTCCCAGGTACAAATCAATTACACCAAAGATGTCTTCAATTATCAATCAATTAGGTCTCAACACTAGAGTTCCATACCACTTCTTGTTCTACTCATTGTCGTTTGGAGGTACCGCCTTCTACTCCTACATTGTTTCTCCAGTATTATTTAAGGAGTTATCAAGAGACGACTTTAGCAAAGTTCAAAGCAAAGTCTTCCCTCGTTATTTCAAATACCAAATCCTTTCTCCATTGCTTTTAGCTGCCATCACTCCATTCAAGTTGTGTCCATTCTCAGTTGGCACGTTGGCAATTGCTTCACTTTCAGGAATTGTCAATTTGTTTTACTTGGAGCCCAAATGTCATGCCATTAAGGAGGAGAGAATTAAGTTGACTGCTATTGGTAAGGAAAAGAAGGATAATGGTGAGCCAAGTGATGAGATGCAAGCTTTGACTACTAGCTTTCGCAGATGGCACGGATTGAGCATGTTGGTTAACAACTTGTCGGTTTTGTCTTTGGCTGTTTACGGATTAACTGTAGCTAAAGGATTAACATTGATTAAATACTAAATAGTAAGAGCTTTAAATAGTTAGTTGAATATAACATGTCCTTGTTTATATTTACCGCTGTTTTCTTTTAGCTTCGTCCTCTTTTCTCAATCTCTCGTCTTGTTCATATTGAGCTAATTCCTCCTCGTATATAACAGTTGTAAGTTTGAACAAGTAGAGGTACCAAATGAAAAGTTCAACTATTGCAAAAACAACAAAATGACTCGACAATTCAAATGTTGATATTGTTGGGTTCATCATCCATTTTTTGATGATCCATAAATAATGGAATATGGTCACTGTCATAACGACAACACCAGCGAGAAAGAACTTGACATCTTTGATTAGTTTTGGTGTAATGTATTGTTGGATCAATGTTGGTTGTATTGTAGAGCTGGCCTGGCTGCCAGCGTTACTACTCATAATGAAAGTTAATGAGTTAGGGGTTGGAATTGAGAGCGGCTCAAATATTTTTTATTTTGCAAAGGTCTATCGCTACCACATTTAGATACTAAACTTAAAAAATCGAACCTGGCTTCAACTCGTACAATCATTGACTAGTTTTAGAAATCTAGAGTTACTGAGTCTGTACCATTAGTAGAGATTCATTGTTTCAGTGTTATTTTTGATCCAATGTATATGATACTATTTATTCCCTAATACAAGGCATTATGGGTATGCAATTTTTGGAAATTTCTCAGCTAAATTATTTAAAATTTGGAAAACAAGAAAAAAATTCGTAGAAAGTTATAGTGTAACCTACAAGAATCTTCCAGAGCAATTGAGTCTTTTCCGAGTGGTTTCTATTCCTGAATAAATCTCTGTCAGTAAAGATATCTTTTTCTATAAAAATACGATCACGTGACCACATTAAACTTCGCTACCAGATCTTCGAGAATGTTATTATTGTTAGAGCAGCGAAGCAAAGTGAATTTACCTACAAGCATTTCCCGTTATTGTTTCTTGCTGTGACATCACTGCAATATCGAGTCAGCTACGTAAGTATTAGTATATCTTGGTCTATTTTGTCCTACTAAGGATAGTTGGTTTAGACTACACAAAATAGTGAAAACTCTGCTTTTTGTTTTTTTTTCCTAATAAGCGAAAAAGTGGCCAATGAGTGAAACCATTGTCCTTGTTTTACTGTATGTGATTTTTTAGTTTTTTGAGTTTAATATTATCACAGGGATGTCTCCACTTAATTGGTATTTGTCGGTAACACAATTGATTCCAGCGCTTATTCTTTTTTCCATTTCTTGTTTGTTTGTTCTGGGTCACAATCACAGAACCCCCTCTCTCTTTCTCTCTCTCCCTTACAAAAATGGAAAAGAAAATTTCATCCTGACGCTGATCTAGACACAGACACACTATTATTCTAGATAGCTATAAACTATTATTGACACATCTCAAATCTATACGTGTTAACTACAACTGAGTGATTCTAAATGATATTAGTTGTATCTCTACAACGGGTATTAATAAAAAAAAAAGAAAAGAAGGAAAATCATTCAAATTTCTCGGAAAAATTTTGCATGCGGATTTAAAATATTTTTCATCTTTCTTTGTCTTCGTTTCAATCGATTTTCCTTTTTGATGTTTGATGTTTGTTGTTTGATTTTGTACAACTCTTATTCCTCGCCAAGAGAACAACTGAAATTTCACAAATTTGTAATTAAGTGTGCTGACTGAAACAGCAAATGAAAGTACAATAAAGCGAAAGGGAGGAGAAGGACCAATGCATACATGATTGTTGTTCACTTGCATTAAAAAGACGAGGAAAGAAAATAATAACGCCTCTCTCTCTTTCTCTTTCTCTTCCTCTTTCTCATAACCGTGCCCTGTACGGAATAGGAAATTGGAAAAGAAAAATAAAAGATGTATTGTTTCAAGTGATAATTTTTTTGGTTAAATATGTGACCGACCAACACCGGAAATTGTGAAAACGTGGGTTCGAATATCAAAAATGTCAGATTGCGGACTGGTTTGGTTCCAATAAGGTTCCAATAAAGAAGTTAGGGATAGAGTTAGTTTTGAAAGGTGGGTTAACCCCCCAACTCTTCAGTGGACATTTAATTTTTGAGGCGGCTAATTTGCAGGAAATTTTAAATTTCACGTCGTAATACCACAAAAGAGAAAATTAACGTATCCCAACCGATCAAACTCAAACCAACCTTAACAATAGATGATCCCTTTACTTAAGTCTAAGCGATTAATTTAAAATTGTATTTTTACTTACAGGATTGATACAAAAACAAATAAAAAATGAAGGGTAAACTAAAAGGATAACCGATTTTAGCCTAACTATTAAAACTGTACAAATTAGAGCCACTCCTTTTTCAAATAGCTTATATTTGCTATTGCGCTTAAAATAGAAATATCAATGTATTATATATATATATATATATATATATATAAACACTTGCAATTTCCTTCCCTTGCTTCCCTTTCCTTTCCTTTCCTTTCCTTTCCTTTACTCTCTTCTTTTTCAACTATCAAACACACCATACCATATCTACTGCTATTCACAAATGTTGTACGCTTTAGCCACTCCCAATTCATCATTCAAACCCCTGATTAGAAAAATCAAAAACTCATGGAGATTAAAAAAGTTTAAACAGTTGTATATTGAAAAAGGTGGATTATCAAACCCACCTAGTACTGATGCCTCCTTCGTTAGTGAACTGGCTGCTGCTTCCAGTGATGCATCTACTGCTTCTGCTCCATCAGTGAGAATCCGCATTTAAAGAGAGGGACAACATAGAATTAGGTTGGAACTTCAGAAAGTACACAGTTGAAATAGATTGCAGAGTGCAGAATGCAGAATAAAGGCTGCATCAGAACCACACCTTCCCCCTTAGATTGGACCCAAGGCAGGCCTTAGGTCAACAAATGCTTTTGAATCGATGAGAACCCGTCGTCCAAACACGTGAAGACTTTAAACTTTAACTGAACAGAAAAACAGAAAACAGACGGCAGTGTGGAATGCAAAAGAAATTGACTAATAATTACACAAACCTCAAAGGTTTTACGTGAAATTTAGACACAAAAAAAGGCATGCGATAAATTTAGAAATAGAACGCAAATTTCGCAGATTAAGAAGATATTAATACATTATTATAGTTCGTAAATAATCTAATACAACAAACACTTTTATAATTTCCACTTAGAATAAAACTGCGGTGTATAATAATAAACACTCCATCCTAACTACAAATGCCCTACGTATAGTTTAAATATGCGTACTTTTTATTTTTTAATGCACAAACTCCTAAATAATCCCCTCCTATATTAACTAGATCCCGAGGAAGATCCCTCTTGATCGAACCCATCAATAAGCTTCTCATTATTGGAAGAAGGGTCCCACACAGCAGAAGGCATAGACAAGTTTTGTCTATTGCCACCTCTGTATGGACTGGTTCCAACGTCTTCTCCAACACCAACACCTACATCCACACCAGCTGCACCATAATCATTGCTCCTCCGCTCTCTCTCCCACTCTCTCCATCTTCTCATTTTAATCTTTGACGCATCAAACACACCTTCGGTTGCACCATGATCCAGTCCCTTATCGCCACCAGCAACAGTTCTGGTTTCACCCCAACTGAAATCATCAAATTTCCAATATGCATAAGATGGAAGAACAAAATTCCAAATGGGTAATGCAATCAAATAAATGAAAAAATAGACAACATAAGACACCGATGAAATGGTAATGATAATTAAACAACCCGGCAAACCGAAAATAACTGCCAACAACACCAAAGACATAATTGGAGTTGGTTTCGAAATAATAGCCACAATAATCACATAAATAGTGAATGCAATAGCCGCTGGTAAAACCAACGTACCCACTAATTCAATGAAAATAACAAACTGCATCGAGAAACAAAAAGTTCCACATAAATCATTAACCAAAACCAACTCCATCAAATTGTGAACAGTTGAGTTAATCCATCTACGACGCTGTGACAACAAAACAAGAAACTTGTCAGGAACAATTGTTTTACAGGCAGCCTTGGGTACAAACACTTGTTTCCGTTTGGGAAATGTTCTCAACATCAATGAAGAAAGAAATCGATCTTCACCCAACAACAACAAATTCTTCTTGTGCAAAGTGTCAACAACATTATCAGAATACCTCTCAACAATATCAGGATTGGCTAAAATGGGCACCCAATATCCATCTGACCCCTTTGGTGCCTTGATTCTGTACATTGAAAAACATCCAGGTAAACACGTAACACCACCAAAAATCGACTCAAACGCTTTAGCTTGATGATGCGAAATATAATACTCAAACACCTGGATGGCCGTTACCCACGACTGAGCTTTGTTGGCAATCTTTGTTTCTCCACACAATCCCATAATCATGGGATCTTTAACCATTTCAGCAGCCATGTGCGTTAATGAATCAGGATAAACCTTGGTATCGGCATCAACCATTAGCACTATTTCATAAAACTCCGCCATTAAACCAGTAATTCGCCAGATATTGGAAAACATTTCAAACTCCAAACTCGTCATTCTCTCATCAAAAACAACCTTTTGTAAAAACGACATCAAAATGATTTGAGAATCACGTTTACCTCTATTACCTGGTTTAGGCATATTAGCTTCTTCTGGGGTACCACATTTCACAATAGTAATCATTGGCACACGTTGTTGCTTCTCGGGAGGAACAGTTTCATCATTATAGTTGTAAAATCCAGCATACACTTTAGCCATATTATGACGCTTACTACCTTGAGCAACAGCAACATACGAGTAAGCTTGAACTTCATCTCTAGGGACCGTCAAATCAGACATCATATCCAATACAATATCAGGTGTTGTCTTGTCGTTTCCAGAACCTTTAATAATACCATCACAAATAACTAGGATAAGCTTGTGTGAGTTAGGATAATCGGTTGTGGCTATGGAATCCAATGTTATACGAATACCATCTTCATCTTCAGAATAACAAGTAACCAAATTGATCGAGTGTGCCAATGGGTATCCAAATGGTTGGTACTCAACTGGTGGCTGAGGTACAACATCAGGATGAATAATGTCAGGAGATAAACCATTCACTACCGAGTCCTCAAACCCATCAAATGGATTATAAGTCGATACAGGGCGATTCAATAAATCAGTTGATGAACCTTGGTCATTCAAGTACAAGGTTGATTGTCTAGTACTGTTTTTGCCTGTACCACCCAAAGTGTTCTTCTTACCGTACCCATTTTTGCCCAACAACGCAGCTTGAGTAGACATTGTTGTATACTTGAACGTCTTTGAGAGCGCATCAGGGTTATCATAATACTGTGACAAATCCGCATTTGGTCCCAATGAAAGTTTCTGTGCTCTTTGAAAGACACTCTGTCTGTTGGTTTTGGCAGCTTTGTAATTGGCTCTTGCTTTAACAGGGACAGTCTTGATTTCTGGTCCTGCACCTGAAGCGCCATTGTCTACCCAATTCTCAACTGCTCTATTCCTTGCTGCCATTGTTTTGTTATCATACTCGGTGGCACCTTGCTTTCTCGAAGTCACCCATCTAAACCAACATGCCATAACAAACTTGACAATGACCACCGACAAGATAAACACCAACGACACAATCAAAACAATTTGTGACGCAATACACCCAATCGTATCCGAGTCAATAACCCCAACTTTGATAATTTCAGTAAGACACCTGGCCGCTTGACGCTCACTAGGGTCAGTTAACACCAACGAAATATCTATTCCCTGATATGTGGGGTCATCACGTAACTTGTCGAAAAGGTCAGGGTATGTCACATCATCATACAGGATCCAATTGATCAAATTGAGATCTAAAACGTTTCCTGAATACACAACCAAGTTTCGTGAAGAATTTCTAATATCATCCCAAGTGAAATAAACATCACCAGACACTTTCAAACTATAGTATGCTCTACGAGCAGTTTCACTGGTGTGACAAGCCCAACCATTGTAATAGACCGAGGTATCATTGACAGAGTCTGATCCATCTTGACTGAAGACTCTACATGGCATATACCACGCAAGTTCATTGTCGTCATTATAAGGGATCGAACAATTGTCTCTTGGTTTGATCAAATTTTTACAATTACCATTGACGTTTTGAAACAAAAACGAAGCATCTTTACCACCGGCATTAACTGGTGGATACAATATGTTGGTCCCAGCGCTAATTCCTGCTGCAGCTGGGTGTTCCGATGAAGTCAAATCAAACGATCTACCGTTGATGATCAAATACCCACTATTGACTTCATTGATCCTCGTTCTAATACGTTCTGTTGAACAAACTGTCTTGGTAAAACCAAAAGTCAAATACGCCACAAATGCACCAATATATAAAATACATGAAATCAACCCAATCTTTTCTCTCCATGCAAATTGACGATCTTTAGTCTTAAGTCCAAACAATTTCAATAACGGTGCTGGTGCCCAAAAAGTGATTGCATAACAATACACTTTCCAGAAATAAATATCGCTCTTGTCGCCAGCACTTTTTTTTCTATTCTTTGTTCCTTGCACTTGAGGTCTTGGTATACCATTTGAAATGACTTTACTCTTCAGAGGTGATTGTGTATAGTCCTTGATTTCATCATTCAATCCATAAACCTCTCTACCTCCTTTCAAATCCTGGGAATTGGGACTTCCCTGTGGTGACGAATCATGGATATCCATCAACGGAATCCCCTCAGTATCATCCTCAAGATGATTTGTACTGCCTAACCTGTCTGAAGGGTCATCATTAGTTCTGTTTGAAGTGTAGGCACTAAGATGTGATCTCGAGCGACCTAATTCATTTGATCTTTGAGGATCTAGCCCAGTAGACGAAGGCTGCACTTTAATATGATCCGCCTCTTGATTGGCAACTTGCGTATAATGAAATCTTCGGTGGCTCTCATCCAAACGGGTTCTTTCAGGCCTCACAAGCGACTTTTTCCTCCCGATAGCATCACCGGTTTCGGGATCAAATTCAGTGTAACCACGTGTAGGACTTGCACTGGATCTAGGATACGACATGTATAACTAAAGGGTATAACGGATATGCTCTAACGTGTAATGTAGAAACTTTTTGTCAACAAACGATGGACAAGGAAGGGGAGGTGTGTGTGTGTGTGTGTGAATTCAGGCTATGTGATGAACTGTTTTATAAGCGAGTGCAGGATTTTAGTAAAAAAAAGAAAAGAAGCAAAGCTAAATAACTTTCTTTCTTTTAAGGTATATCTAAATGGAGCTCCAAAGGTCGTTGCTGTATCCACCTCTTCTCGATGTAGATCTGGAGAGCACTTCAAAGTAATAAATAAATAAATGAATAGATAAATAAGTGTGGGTGGTTAAATATGTGAGAGTGTATGTATTTAAGTATATTTTTAGTAAAACAAATGAAATTGGTTGTAAATTGTTTTGGAATATTCTGAAAGGAGTTAAAATCAAAAAAACCAAAAAAAAAAAAAAAAAAACAAAATATAAAAATTTTTTATTCTTTTCTTTTGCCTTTTCTTCCTGCCTTCTTCCTGCCTTCCTCCCCCCCGATCCCCCAAAAGAAAAAAGAAAATTTAAAACAATAAATTTAATCACTTCTTTTGATTTAGTGTAATACAAATACATATAATAACCTTTGTATATATGTATGTATGTATATTTTTATTTTTAACTTTATTGTCGCGTCGTAAATTCGTGTCACACTGTTCACGTGACACATACAATTGATTCAGACAGAAGAGAAATGTCCATCTAAGAGAGTTACATAGAATTTCATCAGGACTGATTTTAAACTCATAATCTATAAACGCTTTATCAACACTGAGGGTAATAATAGGCTACCTTCACCAAACTTGTGGGCAAAAGGAGTAAGCAAAATTAGTAATCGATTCAACTTTTTAAACTCTTGTTCATTGTCAGCAGAAACTTGCTGCAACTGATGCATCTGCTCAAGGATTAACAACACTTCATCCTGTTGAACCTGTGGTAAAGGCTTGTCTCCATATAATCTCAAATCGGCAACTGCTCTTCTCAATGTAAAACTAATTCTTCTTAAAAGATATATTTCACACGATGATCGGTATTTGGTGTCAAGTTTCAGTAAGCGAAATAATTCATTTAAACAATTGAATCTGATTTTTTTATTGAAGAATACATGCAACGGTTCTGTAGTGCCGAAATATTCATCAAAGTTAAACAATGTCAAATTGTCAATTGCTTGCTTATCGTCTGTCACGTTGTTCAATACCAATTCTTTTTCATCACTGTTGAGATTGTAAAGATACGAATTATCATACACACTCTTGACCAAATCCAAAATCAACTGGTTATCGTTTTCAACCAATTGGGGAATAATAATAGCACTCAACTCTTGATACTGGGATATTTTGATATCTGCATCAGAAGCTATATCAGAATCAAAGGCAATGGTAAGCATAAGCGATTTGGTGAGTAAAGACCAAAGTTCATCACTTATATCTTCTTTCCTCTTGTTAATCAACTTGTCAATCAATTCTTTCAATATATTGTGAGCGTCAATCCAAAGTGGAGTCTTGACGGTTGATACACCACGTAATTTGCGCTCAACAACTTCAATGAGGGCTTTAATTGTTTTAATAATACTCTGGTCATCAGAAAACACTCGTGTATAACCAAATTCTTTAAATCTTTTATCCATCAATTGCAATCCCAAGTGGCTGATACCAACAAACGTAGGGATTCGATAATTCTTTTGCACAAACATGTTATTTTGCAACTTTTGTTCAATCCGCATCCTCACTCCATACGGATATACTATTATATTTGTAAGCAATTGTACCACTGCTGCTTGTATTTCAAAGTTTTTCTTGGTCAAAAGGGAAATATTTGTCAATATAGAAGACTGTAACTTGCTAGGCTTGTTCTCATCCGATTGGTGCAATGGCAACACAGGATATCTGGCTCCCTTGTTGAATATGTCCACAATCGTATTTACTTCATCCAATGTCAAATCAGATTCAATAACACGGTACAATGATGGAAAACAATGCATATATTGAACAAGCGAATCTTGATAACTAGAATTGACCAAGTCATATTCAATTGAGTAACCCTGCCACAAATCAAATAACGAGTTCCGAATCGGTTCAGTGTTTATTTCAGCCGATGGATCAATGAGATCTTGGAATGACTTGAATACAATTACATTTACCTCAATATTTTTTCTTGTTAACAACTTTTCCATATAGTCAAAAAGCATTTGCCACTTGCCATTAAAATCACTGGTATTGGAGTTGCCAAAGAATTTACGATACATATTAGTAAATCCTTCCAATAATAACCGAATAGTTTCCAACGACTCTTTTGGATTTTCAAATGCCTCGATATCAAATAAACAGGGCAATACTAACAAGTGCACCACATTCCAACTACTTTCCAAAGCGGGGCCATGGACATCAACAATTTGGAAAAACGTTTGAATAGCACCATCCCTGACTTGAGCACGACTAATTTCTTGTTTGGACAATTTAGCTAAACAGAAAAGTAAATACACTTCGAGACAAATATAAGATTCATACGACTCATCATTGATGTTGATATAGTCAATAAGTTCATCTTCCAGTTTTATCTCCAAAGTTGGATTTTTATTACCCACAAATTGTGAAAGCCGTGATTTCAAGGAGTCACTAATGAGCCAAAAATAACTGACTGAACTAAATGAAATGTTCAAGTCATAGGATTGGTAGGCAAAGTTCACCAAAGTGTCAACAAGTATCTTGAATTGCTTAAATGGCAAAGACGATAAAAACTCATCAAGTATCAATTTCAACGTATCAAATGATTTCTCCACCAATAGTTGTAACTTTTCTTTCAAATTCTGATCATTATTTGAATCTATTGTCTTGAATGGTGTATTAAGGATTTCAAAAACTTTTGCCCATGAACCTTGGTAATGCGTATCATAATTGTCAATCAAGGAATGCAATTCTGTCAACACCGATAAATGTATTTCTGTTTCACAGTTAAGGGTCAATAATTCCTTGGGCGGACCTTGCTTAAATAATGGCCTAATGTACTTGTTCAATCCATCTAAAGTCCTTGCAGCAGTGTCCTTAGCCATAGAGTCATCATGGAATCCTTCACTTGCCAATGCTTCTATAGTTGTGGAAAAGGACTCAGTAACATATAAACGCAAATTGGGATGTAAGGTTCTTCTTGACCCAAATTTGGTAATGTAGGAAGTGGCAAACTCCCAAATGGATGCATCCTCGACCAAAAACTTGCCAGGAGCAAGTTCACAGACTTGGAAAAACTTGCGCAAAAAATATGTCTTGTTATGTGGGGATTCTGTCAAATCAAAATTGACCACTTTTTCACCATCTTCTGAAAATGCAGTTTCATTCAATTCAGCAAGGCAAGATAACAACTGCTTAAATGACTCCGACTCATATCCACTGATATTGTCAAAAAGTGACTTCAATAAAGCATAAATACTACCCGCATCCTCCTCGCTGATCTTGAGTTGCGGAGCATTTGCCAATTCATGGTTTTGTTTAGATCGTGAAGAATTACTGTACTCGTCTGGTCCCTCGAAATAATAAGCGCACCATTGTAGTGTTATCCAAATAATAGACCACGACTCGGCAAGCGTTGACCCTAACGATATAGCCAAATACATCAATGTTTTTAAACAAAGCATATTCCGTGAACTGAAATATCTTGCTTTGACCAGACTATGCAGTACGGGCCCATTTCCATTGCTATCCTCTTTAAATGACATCTTGCTGGAAGTGAGCGACTCAGCTAATGAACCCCCTATTGCTAGCAAATGCTTTTTTTGATCTTCATATATCGAGAAAGCATCACCATCTTCCTTATTTGGGGCTACAGTCAAACTTATGGCTGCCTTGGATAGTCTCAAAAGTAAATTGTTTCTGATTGAATTTAACCCTAATAGTCCTACAGAGTGAGCAAAATTTTGGAACGAAATCAACAAAGTACGGAATAACTCATCATCCAAAGCTGAGTACATAAACCTTTTAAACAATAGGCTCACTTCTGTCGCAGTTGACGCTAAAATTGCATTGATAAAATCAACATTTTTCTCCAATTCTTGCTCGTCTGAGGTATTGTCCAGCATGGTTGTGACAAAGTGAGAAACACCATTGCAATAGCAAACAAGTATTTCAAAAATAAGGTAGACGGGGTAAGACGAAGAAATGTTTGTCTGCGGCTCAATCTTATCTAAATGATCGAGTAACAGCGTCTTAAAATTTTCCTTCGACAATGTTGACCGATGTGATGGAGTTGATCCGGATGAAGCAGTGTAATCTTCCAGCTCGGGCCGGCCAAATGTATCATTCAGGAACTGGTTGTCATCTTGCAAGTAAGAATCGAAAACAGTAAACAACTCCTTCAATGCATCCTTTTTCAGTTCATCGTGGTCATACTTTTCATAAATTGCTTTGATGATATCAAACTTGGAAAATATATTTTTGAGCATCTCAAGTATCAATATTTTTTCCCACTGCGGGACGGAACCATCTTGATGGCTGTCATTTTCGAGTAATGAGTGGTTCAAGTAAGACAAGATTAGCTCAACTTCAATCTCTAAACTTTCAAGTTGCGTTGTTAACAACACTTGAATCACTCGAATAGCTCTCTGGGTTAATTGATAGCTCCTTGAGGGTGAGTTCAAAATTTTCAATAATGACGGAACAGTTTGAGCACGTAACAAGTAAGCCAACTCTTTGTGTTGCTGAAACAATTCATCATGATGAAGAATTACATTCTCTATTATATCGAGAGCCGATTGGCTTCGAATAGTACCTTTTAAAAATTGGGGTTTTTTGTTTGTCGTTAAGCAATTCAAATCCTCAAATACACAAAAGCCTTCATAGGAGGTGCTATCCACCTTTATTACTTCATCATTCTCGACCTTTATCTCCTTATATCCACTGGATGGGGTTACACTGATGTTGTCAAAAACGTTGGAAACTACTTGCTCCAATGTAGCTGAAGCAACCCCCAGCACATTTGAAGTTTTGTTTGTCGTTGTTAACCCAGAACAAAGGCTAACCATGTCTAGAAGAATATCGCCCGTAATCTCTGTTTTATACTCCTGTGTAAATTGCTGAAGACATTGAAGGATCCGTACTTGAACTCCCTCTGCCAAGTGTGATGCTTCGGAGAAGGCCCTCATCACGTCTTTGAGTTTCTCGCTGGGAATAAAATGGGCCTGAATTAGCTTTTGTATAATTGCAATTGATGAATTGTTAAGCTTGAGATTCCCGGAGTCACATGCTAGGATCAATGCATTAATTGTTTGCAACCTTAAGCTGTCATCGGTGATATCCTTTAGCGGAGTTTTTGGATTCAACGCCTTCAATGTCTTGATGACGGAATCTACAAGCTGTCGTACATCTGGATACCTCTTCTTAGAGTCAGAACTCAAATGAGCGAGATCTGTTTGAAGCAGTTGGACATTGTTCATTTGTTGAATTGATTTGGCAAGAGTATTTGGTTGACAAACAACGAAAATAAAAGCCGGTGTTGTGTTTTAATTTTTCTCGAGATCGTTAGTCACATGACACCATTCATAAAGTTCTAAATTCAATCATGTCGTCATTACTTTAACTATAATCTATAAAAATACACCTAACACCATACATCTACAGCTTTATACCACCACGGATTTTGCTTCCACCTTTGCTTTTCGTCATGAAGTTCTTCAAGTGCTACTTCAACATCAACTTGATTTCTCCCCGTTAAGAGATCCATATCTTTAGCTTTGATATACATTCTCCAATTCCTGGTCCAAAGCTTGTGACCCACGTACAACACCAACACTATAGGAGTTGCCAAATATGCTTGGAAAAAAGTGCTTGCTTGCAAAGATTGTCCACCAATTGGGTACAATGCAACATAAAATTGTGCAATTAAAATCAAAACGTTGATAATCATTGAAAGGTATGCACCATAATCCCCGCCAATGGCCCTAAATGGTCGGTACAAATCCAATCCTTGGACTTTGCATGCATAGTTGACACGAATTTGTGCCAATGATATCGAAAACCAAATGAAAATACACGACAATCCACTCAAGGCTAATAACCAAGCAAATACAGTCTCTTGATTTTTTGACGCACCGACAAACCCAATCAACCCAAAGGCCAATGCAATCACTATGGAGAAAATTGGCCTTCCTTTTCGGTCGAGGTACGCCAAAAACTTTGGTCCATGTCCAGCCTCAGCCAATGCGACCAATGGTTTGTAAGTTGCAAAAACACTGGCGTTGGCTACTGACAAAAGGGCAATTAATATAACAGCATTGAAAATAGACGGCAAGACATTGATTCCACCATTGGAAATGGCAATGACAAATGGTGATGCTGACGAGTTTGAGTTTCCCAACAACTTAGGATCATTATATGGAACCAAAAAACACAACAATATCACGGATAACATGTAGAACACGGCTATTCTCCAGAAAATTTGCTTTGTTGCTTTAAGTAGTGCCTTATGGGGATTTGAGGTCTCAGCAGCAGCAATTGCTGCCAACTCCGTACCGGCGAAACTGAACGAAGCATTAACAAGAGTATTACAAGTGCCTCTGAACCCATTGGCAAACGGCGGGTGCCAGTTTTTACCGCCAATATAGCCTTGCTTACCGCCCCCAGCGATCAAAATAATGGCCAAAATAGCAAACCCTATAATCGCTACAACTTTAATCACGGAAAACACGCTTTCACCATACCCGTACCCCTTGACTCCGAAAATGTTAATGGCACAAATACACACCCAGAAAATGGCAACCCAAGCGCCGGGGTTGATATCGTCGTTCCAATACTGAATGGTCATTGATGCACCGACTAGGGACAAAGGAATACTAACGATCCATTGCATACAGTAGTTCCAATTCATGGCAAATGCCCAGGATTCATCGATAAAACGTGAATTATAGATGAGGAAATTTCCCCGAACAGGATATGAGCTAGTCAATTCCCCCAATGCTTGAACCACGAAAAATATTAAGACTGCCACAATTGAATATCCAATAACCGTACCAGCTGGACCTGCCGAGGATAATATAGATGCACTACTGATAAATAAACCAGACCCAACACATGATGAAAGTGCAATCAACTTGATTTGGTAACTCCGTAGACTATCCTCTGGTGTGAGTACTTCCACTCCATTTTCAATTTCTGTTTTATCTACCTTGAACGATTTGAAAAATGAGATAAATGATGAGTCTTTATCCCTGGTGTCATTACTGGCTTGTTTTGTGGTTACTTGAAACTGAGATGAAGATACCGAGTACCCATCTTCCAAGTTGGATTCTTTAAAAGACATGAATACTGATTTTTGCAGCTATTTGTTTTCCAATTTGGGCAAGATTGGCCGTGCTAGTGATTCTTTTAAGAAAATGGCTGTAATATTGTGCATATTCCAGTTTGCTCCTGCCATTAGGGGAATTCGTGAACTTTATATTCAGGTTTCATTTTCAACTCAATAAGGCATTTTGGGTACAAAATTTGAGAAAATTTTCTTACTCGTAAGGCATTTTCAAAGAAGATGAGGAAATAACAGGGCAATTTATCTTTGTGTAATGAATGTGGTCTAGGGAAGTGGCAAGTTCGCAACAGAACTTCTATGCCTTCCAAAAAGCTTGTGAACAAGTATATCATTAGGTTTTTTATGAAGAAGCTATATGCCAAGACTTTCAAGTTGTAGGGAGAAGCCCCAGTACCTTTTAATTGCCGTCGCAAGAGAGGCGATTCTTTGTTGCAAAAATATCTTCATGCGCAGGAAAGAAAAAGAAATTTTTTAACTAAAATCGCCGCGTCTATCAAAGTTCTTTTGTTATTTTTATCTAGCTGGAGATACAACTCCGAATAAACAATGTTAATAATCGTGACACAAACTAGGAGAGACTACCCTGAAATGCCACAAGAAATGCGCTTTATGAAGAGAAACGGTACCAAAGAATTCGAAATTTCAGATACATCAGACGTTTTATGGCTATGTGCAACTCAAAGGTTACCCTCAAAGACTAGGCTGAATCAAAGAGGACGAAGCGAAAAGAAAACAATAAATATGACATGTATTACCAACTCACAATTCAGTATTTAATCGAGGTTAATCTTTTAGCTACAGTTAATCCGTAAACAGCCAAAGACAAAACCGACAAGTTGTTAACCAACATGCTCAATCCGTGCCATCTGCGAAAGCTGGTAGTCAAAGCTTGCATCTCATCACTTGGCTCACCATTATCCTTCTTTTCCTTACCAGCAGAAGCCAATTTAATTCTCTCCTCCTTAATGGCATGACATTTGGGCTCCAAGTAAAACAAATTGACAATTCCTGAAAGTGAAGCAATTGCCAACGTGCCAATGGCAATTGGACAGTACTTAAATGGAGTAACGGCAGCTAAAAGAAGTGGAGCAAGGATTTGGTACTTGAAATAACAAGGGAAGACTTTGCTTTGAACTTTGCTAAAGTCGCCTCTTGGTAACTCCTTAAATAATACTGGAGAAACAATGTAGGAGTAGAAGGCGGTACCTCCAAACGACAATGAGTAGAACAAGAAGTGGTATGGAACTCTAGTGTTGAGACCTAATTGATTGATAATTGAAGACATCTTTGGTGTAATTGATTTGTACCTGGGACAAAGAAGAAAGAGGTGTGTTTTTTAAAAACGAAATCCCCTTGCTTTTAAGTCCTTTTCAAACCCGAGTGAATCTGGGGGAAAGGTTGGTTGCATTTGTCTCGCTAAAATCACGAGTGTATAAAAATCACACCACGTTTAAAATCCCTCGCTAATATCCGGAAAAAATTGGAATAGTCTAGTTTATGTGGAGCATAGCTTAGTGAGGCAACACTCGATCCACATTCCGGACCTATCTTTTTCACAAGAGAGTCCATTGTTTGTTACAGCTTCAATAGGAAATGTTTGCTTATAAGTGGTGCTTCTCAATCAGCGGAGTCCATTTTTGTGTAATAGAGAGTTGCAATCAATGCTGTCAACACCAGTCACCCACTTCTCCTTCTCTCTTACTCTCACTATTTACTCAACAGTCGATGCCATACTACACTACGTTGTATATTTTTGTAGCTAAGAATTGAATATAAAATTAATATAACGTATAAAAGAAAAAACCAAATTGGTATGATAAAAAAACCTTCAAAACTCCTTAGAAAACTGAAAAGTAAAGCATACTAAGCAAAGTCGAAACCAAACTAAAAGTAAAATGTCAAACTCATCTTCTTTTTTTTTTACTCCGGGATTAGTCAACATGACTTTCTCTTTGACAACAGTGGGAAAGATTAATCAAGATCTATTATTTGTTGAACTGCAGTCAGAAAATATTATATTTGATCATCAGGTGGTATATTTATAAGCATCCCTTCTCCGTGTCCCCGTGATTTGACTTAACCTAGTAGTTTCTTCTCTTCAAGGAGGAAGCAGCTTGAGCGGCAGCACTAACCAATTCGCCTACGCTTCCTGACAATCCTGAGGTATCTACGCTGGTAGCTGCAGCAGTGGCAGATGATCCACCGTATTTGGCAATCAAAGAGTTCAATTCAGCATTACTACCTGAAGAAGCAGTGGCAGCGGCAGTAGTAGTAGCAGCGGCAGCAGCAGCAGTACCGGTAGCGGCAGTAGTACCAGCAGCAGCGGCAACAGCAGCGGCAGAGGTACTAGTAGTAGTAGTTGATCTAGCTGATACACTAGTGTTTGCATTGTCAATTTCTGATGAACTAACAGTACCTGATTTCAAAGCGTTACCCAAGAATGAGGCAATGGCACTGGCCCAAGTTCCAGCATTATTTTCAATATAAGACAAGGCAGTGTCCCACAATCCTGATTGTTTAGCCCAGCTATAGACATCTTCAGCAATGACCAAACCATTCTTGAAAGCTGAGGTCAAGAAGTTGATGGAAGCCGTTGGGTCAGCCAAGACTTTGTTGACCAAAGAAGAAACAATTCCTGAGTCTGAAATTTCTTGAACAATGAATGAAATAATCGAAGACAAGTCTCTCTTGTCAATGTATTCAGCGTTAAGATCCAAAAGCTCTCTCTTGGCAGCAGCACCAGTTGAAGTTGAAGCAGCAGATGTGGTGGTGGTTGATGATGATGAGGATCCACTCAACCATGAGGTAATCAAGTTGACGGCAGTGCCGAAAATGGATTGAGCAACACCCAAGAAGGCACTTCTCAAATCAGAATCATTCAAGAAAGTGTTGAAAATATCACCCAACAAACCAGAGTTCCAGATAGCTGAAATCAAAGCTGGACCTTGGACAACAGCGGTTTGGATAGCTGATTGAATAATGTTTGAAAGTGAAGATTTAATAGATGAGTCAGTGGTAAGGGTGTTCCAAACTTGACCAATAATACCGGAGTTAGTCAAAGCGGTAATCAAGTTACCCAAAGCAGAGTCAGCTCTTTTGTCGTGTTCAATCAATGCATCACCTTCCAAGAACTCTCTCTTAGCGTTGTGTTCTTTGATTTCTTTCAAGATAGCCAAGACATCGTTGACATCTTCTCTTTTAACCATAGATTGTTCAGAAACAATAGCTGGAGCAGCTGAAACGAAAGCGGATGAAGCCAAGACGGCGAGCAAAGTAGTTTGTGAGAATTTCATTGTAGTAGTGTTGTGTGATTTTTTGTGGGTTGAGGTTCTTTTTTGCAGTTGAAATCTATATTGGTAGCGAGTAATGAATAAAGTTTCTCGGGGTGGGATTGATTGATGATGAGAAAAAGAAAAGAAATGAAAGGCTGAATTTGAAAACTCGAGGATGTCGATGATATTTATAATTATTCGAAATTTACGAGAGTCCTTTTGTTGACTAGACAGAAAGAACCATATTTGGTATATACAATGGTAAATCGTGTAAGTTTAAGCATACACTTTGTGCATAATACTCAAACTCGCCTTTGACTAAAGATGGAAGTAACAGTAAAAAAAGGTTGTGACACAAAAATGAACATGATAAAAAAAATAAAATTAATTATTCATTACCTGATTAGGAAGTTATTCTGTTCCTTTATGAACCACATGCCATACAGTAATAACGTGGATCCCCGAGTGTGACATGCCACAAAAGGAGATAATACTGAGAATGGAGGTGACCATATTTTACCCAAAAGTTTGTACATCTACAAAAAATTTCTTGGTCATAACCTACAAAATAACTCAATACAGTAATGAGACATTTATTGTGTCGGTTGATAACTTTTTCGACCTAAAGTTGAACCATAAAATGGAACGATTCGGTTGAAATGGTTATAGGAGTCAGTTTTACAATGCGCTGGAATCAGTGGAACAGGTTCTTTTAACAGTTCCGGACCATAGTTTTGACGGGCAATGAATGTTACAAATTGATAAGCGAGTTTCATTCGTGTTCGAGCTAGTTAAGTATAGACGAACGTAATGGGGGATAGAGGGGAGACAGTTCGAAAATAACAACTCAATTCGGGGAATGAAAACATTTTTCCTCAAAGCCACGAAAGGAGTGGCTAAGAAAAACTACCTCTTGCGGTATTAAAGGTGGGCGCTGTGATGAGCCATGCTCCTTGCAGTAATTATAAACCGACTTTAATTTTAAGCCTACCGACTGTAAGGTTCAACTTGCTAACTCTCCATCTTTAGTGAGAAAACAAGTTTATGCAGAGTTTTCCTCTTTAGTTAGGCCCGGTTAACTGCCCTCGATGAGAGTAGCTCATTCAGTTCTGCTACATCCCTTTCAGTTCTTACACCCTTCGATTGTTCTCAGAAGTGCTATTGTTACACATATTTTCAAGATTTCAAATCCAAAATGTTCCCTTTTGTTTTGTGTGATAGAACTAATTGCTTATAGGAGAAAAGCTCCCCACCCCCTATAAGGCCATAGCTATACACAGTTATTGCCCTTTCCGAATGTAGATAACTGATAAGTTGCATAACCAGTGGAGAAGTAGCTTCACTTTGGGGTATCTTTACCCTCAAGGTAATGCTTCCACACTTGTAACAGCTTTCGTGACCTGGAATTCGTATTTCGCATAATTAAGCTTTACACAAATTCATAACCCCTCCACTTTAACTGTATGAGTTTAGAAAAGTTCACCTAGTTTATAGTGATTTGGTTTTACCATTTTCAGAAACAATTACTCTACGTTGTACTTATGCGTAAGTAGGTGGTTTCACCCTCATACCGAATCTTGCAGCAGCTCGATCTCTGTCTCGTAAAAAGTGCAGCACTTCGACCTAACTTTTTTTCTTTTTTGTTTTTCCAGTCCATCTGATGTTCCAAATTTAGAACCTCGTAATGAAAGTAAACATGGCTAATTGAATAAAACGTTTGGTTGAAGTTTTCGTAAACAAAACAAAACAAAACAAAACACAACGCAACCTTACCTATACCCTCACACAGCTCTATGTGAAGAAAGAACCTAAACTTGTCAATACTGAATTAACAATAGGCAGCGGGGCGACTGTTGTGGGTTAATAACAAACTTGTCCAATACATTAGGAACCTCCTCTCAAAATCTTAAAACACTAAAGGGTTGCTTAACGTTGCCTGGTTTTGAGCCCTGTACTATGAACTTTATTGCAATGCCTTACTTTCCCAATATAAGCAAAAGGGTGCAAAAAGCAACTATTCAAAATTACACCACTTTCAAGATTTATTTATTTTTTAATATTTTTTTATTTTGGTAAAGGGACACACCTTACACAAAAGAATAAAAATAATTTCCGCATTCGGTAAACAGATTGAGATACCCCCAAGAAAAAAAAACAAACTTAAATACTGTCTATTTCTCTCTTTTGCACCCAATGCATATGGGCCTTTCAAATCTGGAATTACTTTCATAAAGGAAATACAATAATCTACACTTCATACATTAAGTCCTAAACTTGTTCAGAACTTTGCCTAATTAGTCTCAGTGTAACCTCTTTGCAATGACTTCCCAACGGTTTTAAGGTAGCTATTCCATTTCAGCAATGCATTGGGACTGTATAAACTGAAACTTAGTAACAATAATTAAAACCAAGAATACATTGCATGGGAGGGGGTTTCTTTTGAGTAGTTGTAGTGCCCATGGATCTGAATTTCCCCACTTCTTGTGATAAGTACCATTGTGTTTGATCGCATTACTACGCTCTTTTTTACCTGCCAAAAGTTGTTTTATTGTTCATTTACGAGATATAATGAGCCATGGATGGGGCGGGGGTGTTTGACTATAATTTAAAGTGACATGAAAGTTAAGTAGAGAGCCACAACTATGAGGTGTAAGCTTACAAGCCCTACTACTCATGACAAGCTAGCTGGATAGCAAAACGTTCAGCCAACAAAATTTACGAGCAATTTTCTTATTTAGATTATTCTTTAATGGCCACAAGTGCTTTAAATCTGACACATCGTTATAAAAAATTTAGCGAACTAAAATCATACGAGGATGAACAGGAAAGGTTTTGAAAATTTAAGGTATATGGTCGTTGGAATGAGGAGAGAGTCTAACCAAAATCATTTTAACTACAAATGGAATTAAAACTACTAAAGCTCCCCATTTGAAGGTAATAGATTTAAAGTATACAACAAAACTGGATTCCTGTCTGAATTGTATTGGCTCGATTCTTGAAGGCTACTTCAGTTGACGCCTCAGTTGACCCCAAAGTTTTACTTTTCTAAGGTAGGATCATTTGGCAATTTCAAAAGACTTGTAAACTGACAAATGTGTACATTGAATGTTTTCTTTTTTGACCAAGGTTAAACAAAGGTTCGTCTTCACAGTACTTCATACCGCTCCCTTTTGCTCCTATTAAATAACTTCTCAAATATCAAGAAGAAATTTTCAGTGCTACAGACTTTCAATCACGTGACTTAAAGCAAAATTTATTTTGTGTAATGTTTTCCATTGACACGCTGTCTCTTTGTGGGTGAAATGGATAGTGTCATATAGGGGTATGTAGAGTCAAACTAGGGACTGCTTCACAAATGCGAGCATTGTCATGATATGAGGCTAGTTCTTGAGCCTTATCCGATCTAAGTCTTATTTATGACGGTTACTAAAATGCTTTCCAAAAATTTGCATTAAATACCATACAAAATCTATTTACAAGGACGACAAATTTAATCTAGCCAAGTTTCAATAAGAATCCCTCAACAATGTTGACATTTACTACAATTGATCTCACCACCTAGAACATCTTCCTGTGTTGCCTATGAGATCACCTTGTCTATGGTCCTCCCTCTGCCTCCCAATTTATCTAAATGCAACGGTTTTTTACATTTTTTCAATTGTTTCACACCTGCATGTAATAATCGTGTGGCTGAAACAATGTTTTGGTTTCTTTTTATTTTTTCTTTTGTTCGTGTCTATAAAGTTGTCCCAAAGGCTATGTTGTTGTTCACTAGAAAAAGAAGGGGGTGGGGTTTGACGGGTGTAAAATGCGGAAAGAGTACTACTTCCGATTATTTCAAAAGTTACTCTACATTCACACCTAGACGATTGGTATTTCCTCATAGACGACAGTAAAATAATACCCGCCTGAGCTACTTACTCAACCACTTCTCGGCCCATCTCTCCAGACCCAAATAAGATGCCACAAAGCACGGAAAATTTTTTCCCAATTGTTGCCCGGTTTTGTACGGTAAGCCAATAGAAGTTAAGGCGATGATAAGAGGATGGTGTTGTAGATGTATCTATTTATAAACCCCTTATTACTTTTTCTTTTCTTTTCTTTCTTCTTTCCTTCTTTATCTGACCTAGTCGTTGGTAACTTCTATCTTTTTTGATTTCGTATAATGAATACTGTACATGCAGCTACCACCACTGGATTGGACACCAACTCTGGTTCACTGATCAACAGGTCCGGCAATGTTGCCACTTTGAGCAGCAACGCACCAACCTCCAACTTGACAACTATTGATACCAATGGTAATGTGTTTAAAGTTCCCGACTACACAATAAAGGAGATTTTACAAGCTATTCCCAAACATTGCTTTGACAGATCATTGATTAGATCATTGGGTTACGTTGTTAGAGATATTACTATGATGGTTTTGATTGGATATGTCGGACACCAGTTTATTCCTCAAATTGAAATCACTGGACACGAAACTGTATCGTCTGCCCTTAGAGGCGTTGCTTGGATGGTTCAATCCTATGCAATTGGTTTATTTGGATTCGGATTGTGGATTTTAGCCCATGAATGTGGTCATGGTGCATTTTCTGACTACCCAAAAGTCAACGACTTTATCGGATGGGTTCTACACTCATACTTGATCGTTCCATACTTTTCATGGAAATATAGCCATTCAAAACACCACAAAGCTACTGGTCATTTGACCAAGGATATGGTTTTCGTACCATATACCAAGGAGGAGTACTTGAAGAAGAGCAACGCTGAAAAAGTTGAAGATTTAATGGAAGAAAGTCCTATTTGGACTTTTGCCGTATTGGTTTTCCAACAGTTGGGTGGCTTACAATTGTACTTGGCTTCCAATGCAACTGGCCAGGAGTACAAGGGAACTACTTGGTACGGTAGATCGCATTACGCTCCTTCTTCTCCTGTTTTTGAAAAGCATCAATACTGGAATATCATCTTGTCCGATATTGGTATCATTACCACCTTTACCGTCGTTTACCAATGGTACAAAACTTTTGGATTGTTCAACATGATGATCAACTGGTTCGTCCCTTGGTTATGGGTTAACCACTGGTTAGTCTTTGTTACTTTTTTGCAACATACCGACCCTAGTATGCCTCACTACACTGCCAAAGAATGGACTTTTGCTCGTGGCGCAGCAGCTACAATTGACCGTAACTTTGGATTCATTGGTCAACACATTTTCCATGACATTATTGAAACTCACGTTTTGCACCATTACGTATCAAGAATTCCCTTTTACAATGCTAGAGAAGCCACTGAAGCTATTAAGAAAGTCATGGGCGAACACTACAGATATGAAGGTGAGTCAATGTGGGTAAGTTTATGGAAATGTATTAGAACTTGTCAATTTGTTGATGATGATAAAGAGGACGCCAAGGGTGTTATGATGTTTAGAAATGTCAATGGTATCGGTGTCAAGCCAAAGAATTAGTGTGTAAATAGCTTGTGTAGGTCTGAAATGTGAAACAGTTGTATTTATTGACGCGAGTGAGTGAGTGAATGAGTGAGCGTGTGGCAGTTGCTTATGTTTGCAACATTTTGATTTTTCTCAAAAAATTTTTCAGCCAATGATCCGATAGTAAACTGTAACACGAAAAAACAACCAACATCCCCAACATGACTAGTGTGCTACGTAATGTTTTAAGGAGTAGCCAGTTGCATAAGCTTCCCCTTTCGAGCTTGGCCAAATCACATCAATCGCTTGTCGTATCCAGAGGATTTCAAACATCGCTACGTGTTCTCGATGACTTGAAACAAAAACAACCGGAGACTTACGAAGAGGAAAAAGTGGTGATTGATGAGATAATGAAAAATCTACCAGAGGAGGACATTAAAGCATCTAAGAGAATCAGAAACATTGGTATCTCGGCACATATAGATTCGGGTAAGACCACATTTACCGAACGTGTTTTGTTCTACACCGGAAGGATCAAGGCTATCCACGAAGTTAGAGGTCGTGATTCAGTTGGAGCCAAGATGGATCATATGGACTTGGAAAGAGAGAAAGGTATCACCATCCAGTCGGCCGCTACATACTGTTCATGGGATAAGGACGACAAATCGTACCATTTCAATTTGATTGACACGCCAGGACATATTGATTTCACAATTGAGGTTGAAAGAGCATTGCGTGTTTTGGATGGTGCCGTGTTGGTTGTTTGTGCAGTTGCCGGGGTCCAATCACAAACAGTCACTGTTGATAGACAAATGCGTCGTTACAATATTCCTAGAGCCACATTCATTAACAAGATGGACCGTATGGGCGCAAACCCTTGGAGGGCCATTGTGCAAATCAATTTGAAATTGAAAATGCCAGCTGCAGCTATCCAAGTTCCTATCGGGGCCGAAGACCAATTGAAAGGTGTTGTCAATATTATTGATCGTGTTGCTTTGTACAATGAAGGTTCACAAGGTGAAATAATCAGATCTGCTGAAGTTCCTGAAGATTTGAAGGAGTTGGTTGAGGAAAAGAGAGCTTTATTGATTGAAACATTGGCTGATGTTGACGAAGAAATGGCTGACATTTACTTGGAAGGTGAAGAACCAACTCCAGAACAAATCAAGGCAGCCATTAGACGCGCCACCATTGGAAGAAAATTCACTCCTGTACTTATGGGTTCTGCTTTGGCAAATAGAAGTATCCAACCAGTATTGGATGCTGTTGTCGATTACTTACCACAACCTAATGAAATTTTAAACACTGGTTTGGAACTCCACAAAGATGGAAGTGAAACACCAATCAATTTGATTCCATCTAGTGCTGCTCCATTTGTTGGTTTGGCATTCAAGTTAGAAGAGGGACCATACGGACAATTGACCTATATCAGGGTATATCAAGGTAAATTGAAGAAGGGTTCTTACATGACTCACATCAAGACAGGCAAGAAAGTCAAGGTTTCAAGATTGGTGAGAATGCATTCCAATGATATGGAGGATGTAGCTGAAGTTGGAAGTGGTGAGATTTGTGCCACCTTTGGTATCGATTGTGCTTCTGGTGACACATTTATAGGTCAAGGCTCAACGCAGCAAATTGCCATGAGCTCAATGTTTGTTCCAGAAGCAGTTATTTCCTTAAGTATTGCTCCTAAAACAAAAGACAATGGTGCATTCTCGAAAGCCATGAACAGGTTTCAGAAAGAAGATCCAACATTCCGAGTTCACTACGATTCTGAGTCAAAGGAGACTATTATTTCCGGAATGGGAGAGTTGCACTTGGAAATTTACGTCGAAAGAATCAAAAGAGAGTATGGGGTTGACTGTGTTACTGGTAAGCCTCAAGTTGCCTACAGAGAAGCCATTACTGCACCAGCTGCATTTGATTTCACCCACAAGAAACAATCTGGTGGTGCAGGTCAGTATGGTAGAGTTGTTGGTGAGATGAAACCGATTGAAGGTGAAAACAAGTTTCAAACCCAAATTGTTGGAGGAAAGATTCCAGAAAAGTTCTTGTTGGCTTGTAACAAAGGGTTTGATGATTGCTTGGAAAAGGGTCCATTGATTGGACACCAGGTTTTGGGTGTTGATATGCTTATCAACGATGGTCAAACCCACGTTGTTGATTCTTCGGAATTGGCATTTAGGACCGCAACTCAAGGTGCGTTTAGACAAGCCTTCCTCAATGCAGCCCCAGTTATTTTGGAGCCAATAATGAATGTCGAAATCACGGCACCAAACGAATTCCAAGGTTCTGTCGTTGGCTTGGTTAACAAGTTGGGCGGTATGATTAACGAGACTGTAAATGGACAGGATGAGTTTACCGTTACGGCTGAGTGTTCATTAAATTCCATGTTTGGATTTTCTACAAACTTGAGAGCATGTACTCAGGGTAAAGGTGAATTTTCATTGGAGTTCCTCAAGTATTCTCAAGCTAGTCCACAATTGCAAAAACAATTGATCAGCGATTACGAAAAAGCACAGGGCAGCAAAAAGTAAAAAGAACATTGCTATTTAGAGTCAAATATATTCTTGTAAATAAACGATTAATTAGAGGTTTTACTGCCTCTTCTACTCAAGTGATATTTATACAAATTCGTGATTTTTAATATTATATTTTATAGACTTATAAAATTGGAATGGTTAACAACTAAGTGAAATGATGATGTAAGTGACATGATAATGGTGCTTTGCTTTTTCAACCCGCAACTATTCTTGGAGCTCTAAACAAATCGTCTTCCCCGATGAAATATACTATTAAAAAAAAGCATTGCCTATAACACAAGTTCATTCTTTTGAGATTAGAAAAGGTTCATTTAAGCTTTAGCCAAAGCTTTCTTGGTGGCATATCTTCTTTGTTTCTTCAAAACCATAACTTGGAATCTTTCGAAATCACTTAATTGGCTTCTTCTTTCTTTGTTAGCCAATTTCTTAGCCCAAGCTGACGAAGCCCATTTGTTGTCAACTTCAGAAGCAGCCCATTTCTTTTGAACAGTGGCGGTTCTGGCTCCTCTTGGCAAGTTTGGCAAGACAATTGGGGTCAAGGTGACTTTAGCCAAGGATACAGCTTGTCTTGGTACTTTTGGTCCATCGATTAAAGCCTAAAAGATATTGTTAGTACATATAGTTTGTAAAATGAACATGGAATCGCAGGTTTGAGATCGGAGACACTCAAACAATCAACCCATAGTGGCATGACAGGCGCTAAAAGCAAACTAGATGTGTTAGGATCAAATTATCAACAGACACAATACAATAGTTTGTAGTGTTTATCAATAGTCTGTTTGCTAGTGCCAGGTCCCCTTTCCTGCGTTCCCCCTCTCTTTTTATTTGTGAAAACATACTCTTTTTTGATCAATAATTTCAACAATGGTGGCTAAGTCCTTGTTGTCAACTAAGACGATACGTCCGACTTCAACAAATCTCCAGTTGGCAGCTTTAACGGTTGATGACATCTTTGGTGGTATATGTTGTTACTATTAAAATGGGTTGATGGAGTGAAAACTTTCTCTGTATATTACAAGTTGAAAATTAAATTTTTGTCTAAGCGTTGGTAGTTACGGCCATACAGGTAGCTTAGTAAAACAGTCACACAAAAGAGTTAAAGAGAGAAAAAAAAATTGTGTGTGTTATTATGTAACAGTGCGAAGATTATATGCACTCTCATAGTTTAGTCACATGATATAATCTAGGGCTGAGCCCTAATAAATTAATGGTGAAAAGAAAACATCGAAAAGTATTACGACTCCAAAGCTTTACTTGTTAATACCTTCTTTACACCCAAGAGAGCCACCAAGCTATAGGTTCAATAAGGTATTTTAGCCTGTTGTTTATTATGTAAAGAACAGATTGACGTATCATATTGGACATTGGTTGATCTTGTTCAATTTCAATTCTATGATGACTCATAATTTGCGTTCTAGAGTATTTACATCCGAAACACGCCTAGTTTCACTATGGAGTGAATACAACATGCGACAAGTTTACGAACTGAGAGTTGAATATGCTTGCGACTGATGTCTGTGGCTCTATTGTTAGTTATAGTAGTTTACAGTATCTCAAACGGCCAACAGTTTGAAAATAGAAACACGCCATGATCTCTACATTTCTTCCCATTCGAGGATAAAGATCTCCTAATAACACCGTGCTTGCTTTCTAGAACGCAATCACCCCATCATTTTCTCGAGTAATGTGAACACAGTAAGTAACTGAAAGGTTGTTTTGCAACTCTAATAAACAAAGAAAAAAAAAATCATGTTAAGCGAAATCAGTCATTGGTACAAGAAACACATCACCAAAAGCTCCAATTGGCTGTATGATCTATAGCCGAAGATTACGAAACCTTGCCCGAATTATGTCATCATCATCATCTTCAACCAGTGTTACAGCATCATCAACCGCAGCAGCAACAAAGAAGCCTTCAGTTCAACAACCAACATGGTACGAGCCAAAAGACTTGTCATCAACTAAACCGAAGTTGAAAATTTACAACTCCTTGACCCGTACAAAGAACGAATTTTATCCAATTAAGCCTGGACATATAACTTGGTACAGTTGTGGACCGACTGTTTATGATCATTCTCACATGGGACATGCCAGAAACTATGTGTCAACCGATATCTGTAGGAGGATTTTGCAAGACTACTTTGGATACAATGTCTTATTCATCCAGAATGTCACTGATATCGACGACAAAATTATCATAGCAGCTCGTCAACAACATTTATTTGAGGAGAAGGTCGTTAGTCAATACAAGAACGTTAAGGAATTGTTAGACTTGTCCAAAACATATTTGCAGTATTACGTTGAAAAGAACTTACCAGAATTCAAAGGTGATATGCAAAAGGAATTTATCGCATGGTCTCAATCAGTACCAAATCTTGAAGAGATAAAGAAGGAGAAGCCAAAATTTCCAATGTACGTGAAAGCTGTAGTAAGAGCACTTAATGCTATAAACAACAAGAACATTTCCTACAACCACTTCTTAGACGAGATCAAGGATGTTGCTGTTGTATACTTGGACAAAGAGCATGGAGCAACAGTCACCGAACCCAACATTTTCAAAAAGCTTCCATTGTACTGGGAAACCAAGTTTAATGAGGATATGTCAAAGCTCAATGTTTTGCCACCATCAGTAACTACAAGAGTGTCCGAATATGTCCCTGATATCATTGAATATGTTGATAAGATCATTGCTAATGGATATGCCTATAAAACCGAAGATGGATCAGTTTATTTTGATACTGTTAAGTATGAGCATTCAAAGCATGATTATGCCAAATTGCAGCCTTGGAACAAGGGTGATATGAGCTTGATCAATGATGGTGAAGGGTCATTGAGTTTGGGAAACACTAAACGCAGCCCTAGTGATTTTGCATTGTGGAAAGCATCAAAGCCAGGTGAACCTGCTTGGGACTCCAAGTGGGGCAAAGGGAGACCTGGTTGGCATATTGAGTGCTCAGTTATGGCATCCGATATCACTGGCTCTCAAATGGACATACACAGTGGTGGTGTTGACTTGTGCTTCCCTCACCATGATAATGAGTTAGCCCAGTCTGAAGCGTACTTTGACAACAATCAGTGGGTCAATTATTTCATGCATAATGGCCATTTGCATATACAGGGCCAAAAAATGTCGAAATCATTGAAAAACTTTATTACTATAAACGATGCATTAAAAGATTTCAGTTCCAGACAATTGAGGTTTGTCTTCGCATTATGTCCGTGGAACAAACCTTTGGACTTCAAGGATAGCTTAATCAGCGAGGTAATGTCAATCGAGTCCACGTTTAGCAAGTTCTTCACAAATGTTCGTGCCTTAAACAATGAGTACAAGCATAAAGTGGGAAATGGGGAGTACGTTTCTAAACGTATTGGGGACAATGAGAAAGAATTGTACGCAAGTTTGAGACAAGCTCAGGACGACGTTGACGTTGCCTTCAACGATAACTTGGCTAGTGGAGATGCCATTAAATACTTGGTGGAGCTAGTATCCAAGAGCAATAACTACATACAGTTAACGACTACAGGTAAGAGCGAGCTTCGAATAGAAGTTTTATTGCTGGTTGCATCATGGATTCTGAAAATTCTCAACATCTTGGGTTTCCCATCTAGAACAGACAAACTAGGTTGGGTAGATGAATCTGCTTCAGAGAGTGTAGGATCTGCAGAAGACGTAGCAATGCCTTATGTAAAAGCATTGGCGCAATTTAGAGACCAAGTGAGAAACTTGGCTATCGAAAAGGCCGAATTAAAAGAGTTTTTGGCCGCATCTGACACCATTCGTTCAGATTTAATCAACCTCAATGTCTCGCTTGATGATAGACCAGACGGCAATGCTTTGGTCAAGTTTCTCAATGAATCAGAAAAGCAGCAATTGCTAAGCCAACAGGAAGCTAAGGCTAAGCAGCTGGCGGAAAAGGAAGCCAAAAGGAAAGAGCAGGAAGCTTTGAAGGCGCAAAAAGAGGCGGAAAAGTTGGCCCAACTGAAGATTCCTCCAAATGACTTATTTAAAAATGACCCATTATACAAGGAGTTTGACGAAATGGGAATTCCAACCATTGATAAAAATGGCGAGGAAGTCAGTAAGAGCATGAGAAAGAAGTTAACAAAGCAGTACCAACAACAGGAGAGACTCCATAACGAATATTTGAAGTCAGTAGCCGAGTCTTCTTGAAAATAGAGTTGAATAATAATAATGAAATAAAAAAGTAAATGTATCTGAAGCTACACAAAAGTATCGCACGCGTCTTGTAGACTTTGTAATTATTTCCTTTCTCTCTTGCAAATCGCGTAAACAAAACAAGAGAGAGACAAACAAAAAACATACACTGCTATATCGTAATCACAAATATACAAAGTTCATCAACATGGGAAGATTATTAGGTTTGGAGCTTAACAATTTCAAGTCATATCGTGGCAATACCAAGATAGGCTTTGGGTCGTCGTCGAATTTTGTATCGATTATAGGACCCAATGGTTCAGGAAAATCAAATATGATGGATGCTATATCTTTCGTGTTAGGTTTGAACTCAGCACAATTAAGATCAAGGCAAATAAAAGACTTGATATATAGAGGAAGAAGAGACACATTAGGCGATTTGGATGACACTGCTGTTGATATTGAACAAGACCCAAGATCAGCATATGTCCTAGCTGTTTATGAAAAAGACAATGGAGAAATCTTGCGATTGAAAAGATCTATTTCAGCGACCGGAAGCACTGATTATCAGATTGACGATCAGTCTGTGACAAAGCTCAACTATACAGCTACATTGAAGCAAGAAAATATCCTCGTCAAGGCAAGGAACTTTCTCGTATTTCAAGGAGACGTTGAACAAATCGCGTCGCAAAATCCAAAGGACTTGTCTGCTATGATTGAACATATCAGCGGATCCAACGAATACGTCGATGAATATGCACGTTTAAAAGACGAAATGGACAAAGCCCACGAAGTCACCAACGAAGTATTTTCGAGAAAGAGAACTTTGAATTCAGAATCGAAACAGTACAAGGAGCAAGCTTCTGAACAGCGTCAATTTGAAAAGAGTCTTGTATTGAGAAATGATCTCGTAAAGAAGCTCAACTTGTATCAATTATATCATAATGAAAACAAACACCATAAATTGAATGATGAGATCAGGTCAAAGCAAGACCAATTGAAGGATATGAAGAATGCTCTTGCAAAGAAAGAACAAACTTTCAAGTCCTTGACGTCGGAGTACTCGAAAACAGCTCTTGAATTAAAAAACTACACCAAACAAATTGAGCAGTCAAACCAGAAAGTAGAATCCACCAAACGAGGTTTGATACCGGTTGAATCAAGCAAGGCATCATTGTCGTCGAAGATTAAATCTCTGGAAAACAAGGTGTCTGATTTGGAGGTCGATATTGCTTCACAAAAGGCACAAATCAAGAGTCTCGAAAAACAACTTCGTGACAGCAAAAAGTTGTTTAAAGATTTTGAGGAACAGGTCAGAGTTTCCATTTCTGCCTCATCTAAACTAAATATTCCTGAGGATGGCCAAGAGGAATATGAGAAGCTTAGAGCTGAGTATCTAGCAGCAAGTGGATCTGAACTAGAGGAGCAAATTTCGTTATTAGTTAACGAAAAGGACTCTTTGACAATCAAAGAGAAAAGTTTAACGAGTCAAAAGTCTAATACCGAGTCGAGGATGCAAGATCTCCAGTCGAGTCTCAATTTGGAGTTAAAATCAAAGTTGAATGACTTGGACAACGAAATCAGTCAAGTCTTGAACAAGAAGAGAGAAAAGAATGACGTCAGAAGCAAGCTCATCGAGCAAAAGGATGTATTTAATCAAAAAGAACTTGAGATTAATACAGAGCTCAAGGAAGTTTTGTTGAAGTTGGAAGATTTGTCGTCGCAACAACGCGCATCTAACAAACAGAAGAAATTACGAGAAAACATATCCACACTCAAAAGATTACTTCCAGCTGGGTCTATCAAAGGATTAGTACATGAATTAGTCAGACCTGCTGAACAGAAATACGAATACGCTTTGCTGACAATTTTGGGACGAAACTCTGATGCAATAATAGTGGAAACTGCTGCGATTGCCTACAGATGTATTGATATTTTAAAGGAAAGAAGAGCAGGTGTGGCTACATTTATCCCCTTGGATTCGGTCGAGTTTGACCCAGTTAACTTGAGCTACTTGCGGTCAATTAGCGACTCTGCTGTACCAGGAATGGATATTGTGGAATACGAGGATAAGTTACTTGGGCCAGCAGTGGAGTATATTGTTGGTAACTCCTTGGTTGCGGATGATATTAATGTGGCTCGATCATTAAGATGGAACTCATCCAAGAAGTTTGAAAACAAAATTGTGACATTGCAAGGGTCTGTTATTCACAAATCGGGTCAAATGACAGGGGGACAACAGACGCGTAAATCTTCTGCGAATATCAGTTGGGATAAACAAGAATGGACCAAGTTGAACGATAGAAAGGAGAGCTTGTTGTCCGAGGTTTTGAAGTTGCAAGAGACTAGACCAAAGGAATTGGAAATCAATTTGTTGGCAGATGAAATTAGCCAGTTGGATGATAAGCTACCAATTTTGAAGAATCAGAAAGCTTCATTGGATAGGGCAATTAACGATAAAATCAGCGAGATAAATTTTCAAAAGGAACAGTGCAAGACATATGCGGAGTCTTTGGAGAAAATGAGAACAGAGTTCAAAGAAATTGGTGCCAAGATTGCAAAGTTTGAAAAAGAAATTAAAAAGCAAAAGTCCGTGATCTACAAAGACTTTTGCAAAAAGTGGGGGATCAAAGATGGCATAGAAAAGTATGAGGAATTGCACGGAACCGCATTGAGAACGAGAGCGAAGGAAAGAGCCTTGTTTTTGAAATCTATTTCTGTCTTGCAAAATAGATTAGACTTTGAGACAAGCCGTTGCGAGGAAACAGAATCACGAAAGAGTTCCATCACGAACCAAATTGTAGATTTGAGAGAAGAGTTGGAAAACGTGGTTGAAGAGAAACAAAGATTGGAAGAAAACCTTGACAATGTTCAAGCCGAGAGTGAAATCTTACGAAAAGAGCGAAAGAAGGTTGCGCTGCTATTGGAGACAAAAATGCGTTCATCCAAATTGGTTGAGAATGACGTTGCTGAAGCCTCTCTGGAAGTGACAAATCTTACAAAAGAGATTATTCAAAAGGAAGAGACGTTGTTAAAGGTAGATTCGATCAGGGCCAATATCTTGAAACACTGTAAAATACAGAATATAATTTTACCGTTGGATGCAGGTGACCTAGATTGTATTTCCATGGGCGAAGACTCGGATGAGATCTTAGGGGAGATTTACAAAATAGAAATTGATTACGAAATGCTTGACCAAAAATATAAGGATACATTTAGTCCCAAATTGGAAGCTGAACTCGAGGTGATGCTTCAGAATACCATTGAGAGTTTGGAGAAATTGACGCCAAATGCCAAGGCAATGGAAAGGTTCAAAGAAGTGGAAAACAAATTGAGAGGTTATGACAAGGATTATACAGTTGCTCGCCAAAAAGAAAGAAAAGCGGCAGATAGGTTTAGGGAAATTAGCGAAAAGAGATACGACAAATTTATGGAAGCCTTCAACCACATATCTGGCTGTATTGATGCCACATACAAGGAATTGACCAAATCCAACTTGTCTCCGATGGGTGGGTCAGCATTCTTGATCTTAGAAGATGAAGATACACCATATTTGTCAGGCGTAAAGTACCATGCTATGCCTCCTATGAAAAGGTTTCAGGATATGGAATTATTGTCTGGTGGTGAAAAGACAATGGCGGCGTTAGCGTTACTATTTGCTCTCCATTCCTTCCAGCCTGCGCCATTCTTTGTGTTGGATGAAATAGATGCAGCTTTGGATAACAGCAATGTTGGCAAGATTGGCAATTATATTAAAAACCATGCTGGACCAAACTTTCAATTTATTGTTATATCATTGAAAAACAATTTGTATGAAAAGTCTGATGCATTAGTGGGCATATACCGCGAGCAAAGACAAAATAGCTCCAAGACGGTAACGCTTGATTTGAGTGAGTATCCTGACGAGGATATGCCATTGCAGGGTAATCCAGTTGCCGCGGCTTAGGTAGTTACGTAATAGTAGTAGTAGCAGCAGTAGTAGTGGTGGTAGTAGCTTTGTGATGAATGAATAATGCGATAAATGTGATTGGTAAGTGGCACAAAATGCTGCAAATCATCTCTTCAGAAAATAAAAGATCCATATTACTAGGTATGTTTGCAAGAATACGAGCAGCACAGTCCGTGCTACGTTGGACTGTTCAGAGATCATATGCTAGTATTCCCACCAAAAAGAAGCAAGAAAAAGTGACATCACTATTGAAGTATTTCAAGAAAACTAAGCGAAGAAAAGACTTGACCGATCCAACTCATCCCAGCAACGTGTCATTTCTCGAGATTTGTCAGTTTCTCAAAGATTATTCCCGTCAGACACATGCTAATGTTACAGATGCTGATATCCATAATCCGTATGAAATTGTAAAGGCGTTTTTACCATTCCAAAGGCGACATCAGGTCATACCGAGTGTGAAAGTATGGGGCACAACTCACACTGGAGATGGGTTGGCGATTATACCCAAGTCTATGTACGCATCCGAGTATGCCGACTCCGAGAGTTTATTTGGCAAATATACAGTGTTGATGATTCCAAAGACCACAGTGGGCGATAAGGTCAAGGTTTTGCTCAAAATGCATCATGAATTTTACGCAGAAGGGGAATTGATTGAAGTTCTAAACAAGGGGAAACGAGAGAGTAAGAGAAATAACCGAATGATACTATGCGAGCATTTTCAGGAATGCAATGGGTGCCAACTACAAATGCTATCATACCCTGAACAGTTGTTGTTTAAGCAGAACATTATCCAGACAGCCTATAAGCTATTCTACCCCAATTTGAGGACTGACCACGAGTTGGGAGCTGTGAACCCATCGCCACTTCAGTACTCTTATAGGACAAAGCTCACGCCCCATTTTGAAGTGCGCGATGGGAAATGCACCAAGTTAGGGTTTCAACATGTAAATAATCGGGGCAAGATAGATGTTGAATATTGCCCTATTGCTACTGTCGAGATCAATGACAAGCTAGGTCAAGCAAGAAATAATTATTTAAAAGGACCACCAATGAAGCAATTGACTTTGAGACAAAGTATACGGGTTGACAACGATACTGGAGAATTTTATGAGACTGCATTGGAAGGTCAATCTAAAGTCATTACAGAAAAGATTGAGGATTTTATATACCAATTTGATTCAAACTGCTTTTTCCAGAATAACAACTCAATATTGCCATCACTCTTGGATTACATACGTTATCATATGAAACAGTTGCCCGATTCAGTTGAGAATGTGGTTGATACATACTGTGGGGTAGGGTTTTTCGGTATTGCCTTGTCCAATTTCCACGACAATTTAAAAGTGTTTGGTATTGAAATTAGCGAATCAAGCATCAAATATGCAAACCACAATATGAAGTTAAATGGACTTTATCCAGAAAGGACCAAGTTCATCCTAGGAGATGCGTCAAACATATTTGGTAATGAGGAGTTTAAGAAAAGTGGCATCGAAGGAAAGGGAAGCGTTGTGATTGTTGATCCATCTAGAAAGGGTTCTGATGAACTATTCTTGAAACAACTTTTGCAATTTGAGCCCGATATGATTGTTTATGTAAGTTGTAACGTATTTACACAAGCTAGAGATTTGGCTAACTTTGAGCAATTACAGGGTACGAATTTAAAGTACAAAGTTGATGAAGTTGTGGGCTTTGATTTCTTTCCACAGACAAAGCACGTCGAGTCTGTTGCTATATTAAAGAAGATAGATTTATGTACATAGTTATTTATTTTAATATTCATCAGCGTCTTTTAATAACTCATCAATAACATCAAACATTGCGTCAACTCCCCAGTTTACTCTCACCCTCTGTTTCTCCTTTGTGATGAGATCACTTGCTTTTATCTTTTCTTGCAAAAAGTACTGTAATCCTCTAAGTAAAGTAATTTGATCTTTCGCTTTGATCACACACTCGACTAATAACCTGTCATCAAATAAATGGTCAGTTTTGCTAGCTTTATCAATGAACATTCCGGCACCAAGTTGATTCTTTCTCGATTTCTTTCCAATTTGGTCCAAGAACGTAACAAGTACTACTTCTAAGAATAAAATGGTGTCAGAAGACGAAGTCAAGAAGTTTACTGTTCTTAAGGAATGCAACGGTAACGAGTCCTCGGCCAAGAGGTACCCGTAAAACCTCCCTAGATTCAAAATTGTTTTCAACTTTGTTTCTTCATCACCATCATTGATTCCCAAAACATTAACTTCCTCATCGTCATCGATATCATTACCATCTAATTCTTTTAACAAATCCCACAACATGAACTGGAATGTTTTCCGAAACGAATGCGAGTCACAAAGACTGTTTGCCAAAACAGCATAATAAGGATTCCACGAAGGTTCAATGGTGGTGCAATGTATCAATACTTTTGGTATTTCCCTTTCCTGTGCCCTCTTTAACGACAACTTGTCCAACTTAGTCTTTGCATCAACAAAGTCAGTAGCCGACATGATCGAAATAAACACAGCTCTACGAATATCTGTGTTCATCCTTTGCGCCTTTGCTAATTCTAACCAGTTAGGCTCGGCTGCATCAAGAACATCGTTGATTTCAACTTCATTGGCATTAACACTTTGCTCGTCAACTACATCATGTCCTTTCCATGCAGATCCAACCAACCACCATTTACCTCTGCTTTCAACATTGTGTATATCATCCAACGACACCTGAATTGGATCACCACCTTTGTTGTTGTTTATGCTGCCCAAAAATTTCTTGAGCCTAATGGACAACTGATGGTTTCCCTCATTTAACACCTTCATTTTGTTATTCTTTAATGTCGAAATTGTATCAATCAAGAATTGTATTCTTGAAGTCTTGAGGTCTTGAGGCAATTCGGCATACTTTTCATTCAACAACACTATGATGTCCTTTAGGGATGAAGGATCATCAGTACGCATTTGGTTTCCAGAACTTCTAATCAAACGTAACAACAAGTCGGCATTATTTTCGTTGAGGTTGATAATGAGTTCTCTAACTATATCGTAAAGAACCTTGGAAGATAACAAATGAAATAGATATACTGAAGATAGCAAAGTAATCAAGTTGGACGCCTCTGTTTTCTTATTTTCCACCTTGTTAAAATGTTCAAACTTTTCAACCAACGTTTGTATAAAATGGGCCCCAAACTCAACACCTTGTAGTCTATAGATGGCAGCAACGAGACACGCATGGAGGTAGACAAAAGTGTCCAACAACCGTCCTTGTTGAATGACACTATCAAGCACAACATTCGATAACTGTTCGTTCACAATCTGCCTTGGATGAGACATGTATAGATTTTGAATTTCATTGACAATTGAAGACACATTCGCCTCGGAAAGTTTATTCATGGGACCTTTAATTGCTTTGCGCAAATTTAGTATTTCTTCTGACTCACCGCTTTGTGCCTCCAATGCCATTTTACGACGTAACGCAGGAGGAATGTACTTTTGTTCCGAGGTAGAGACATCGCTCGTGTCTTCCTTGTCCACACCTGGAGCAACATACGGATTCTCTCTGACTCGCTCCTCCTCTGACGATAATTCCTCGGAGTCTTCCTCATCTTCCTCATCTTCCTCATCTTCTTGTTCTTCTTGCTCTTCGCTCGACACCCCATTATCATTTTCGTTTATAAATTCCAACCCATCTAGCAAGTGGCTCAAATCATCGTCGTCTCCTGCTGGTAAATCATCTGTTTTTTTAATGCCCAACTTTTTTGCATAATACTCGAGGTCGTCTTCATCTTGTTGGGTGGCTCTAGAATTTGGAGGTTTTATGTAGTCGCTTTCTTTGGTCTTGCTTTTTCTATTATTGGAGGGTTCATCATAAGACAAAGATGCCTCTTCGTCTGAATCACTGTGACTGTCAGAAAAGTCTAAATCCAACCCATCCAAAAGATCACCTATTACGTCACCGTCGTCTGATTTGTTCAATTTTGATTTCTTTCCGTCTTTCAACCCAAGCTTTTTTGCATAATACTCAATCTCCTCATCGTCTTTTCGAGTGATAGGGCCTACATGTCTGACATATTTGCTCATTTTCTTTGGACGCCTAGCACTTTCCACTGTATTATCAACCAAACCAATATTATCAGATATATCATCTTCAAAACCCTCAAATTCAGAGCTATCTGAGTCACCCAGTTCATTTTCACTAAAAGAATCATCATCCAAATCATCTTCTTTTACAATCCTGACATCTCCATTACTATTCGTCGATCCTTTTAATTTCTTCTCTTTCAATTTTCTCAAAGCCTCCATGGGGTCAGCGTCATCACTTTGGTCATCAAACAGAAGATCATCATCCTCGAGGTTGTCTTCCTTCACTATTCGTATCTCTTCATTTGTTTTCGAACTCTTATTTTTATTTTCCTTCAAAAGACGTAAAGCTTCCAATGGGTCAGTGCTCTGGTCCTCCTCTTCACTCAATTCAGAGTCTTCAAAAGCAGAGTCGTTTTCAATGCCTTCCAGATCAGAGATGTCCGATACTGAATCATCCTTCAAGTCATCTTCTCCGACAACTCTTAAGCCAGTAAATCCGTTCTTTTTCTTCTCTTCCTTCATTTTTCTCAACTTTTCCATAACATCTTGCAGTTTGTCACCTTTGTTTCCATTAGACGTTGGAGCTTTGTTCTTGTGCTCGTTAGCGTGTGTGTTTTTGGCAGGCGAGGAGTTTGTTTTCGAATTAGTTTTCTGTTTCTGCTTCTTCAAGGCTCGCTCTTGTTTCCTCTTTTCTTTCCTAGATAGCACCTTGCCGGCTTTTCTCTTCTTGGAACCCTTTGAGTCTTGAGTGCCATATCTAGCATCGCCCGAGTCATACTCCCCTTTAGCTTGTTTGTCGTTAATTTGTTCTAATATCTGGTTCGGTAGCTTGATAGCATTCGATGCATCGTCCTTTCTATTATTGATCATCTCCTTTCCAAGTTGATAGTGTTTAAAGTGTGACAGGGAAAGCTTCTTTAGATGATCATCGCCTGCAAAAAGAAAAATCAATTATACTGTTACTTGAACTTGGTAGCACTCAGTTTTGTTCTGTGATTTTTTCTTTTCTTTTTCCCACACACACACACACAATTTTCTTTATCAAAAAAAGCTGCACAACTACCTCGGATCAAGGCAACACACACAAGGCGTGTACAATGTTTAATCTAAAATTCGATTTAAGCAAGCTCAAAGTCAATGTCAAGCTTATAAGCGACTTACTATTACTCACAGGTGCTAGTTTATCAGTATACTATTTGCTAAACGCAATAATCAATGAGTATTTAGACAAGGGTATCAAGAATAAAGAGTCAGACAAGAGGGGCAAAGGGATATTAAAGAAGATACAGAATACCAATCCGCATCTAAAAAACATTTCACTTAACCAGTATGAAAAGACATTGTTGAGCTCACTTGTAACGCCGGAAGAGATTTCCGTGTCGTTTGAAGATATCGGGGGATTGCAAGATATCATTGACGAATTAAGAGAGGCAGTGATGTTGCCCTTAACTGATCCGGAATTGTTTGCAGCTCATCTGAATTTAATTAAGTCACCAAAGGGTGTTCTTTTCTATGGTCCACCAGGTTGTGGAAAAACCATGCTTGCCAAAGCAATCGCAAAAGAGAGCGGCGCTTTCTTTTTATCAATAAGAATGTCCACAGTAATGGACAAGTGGTATGGAGAATCAAACAAGATAGTTGATGCAATTTTTTCATTGGCAAACAAGTTACAACCCTGTATCATTTTCATTGATGAAATAGACTCATTTTTGAGAGATAGATCGTCGAGTGATCACGAAGTTAGTGCGATGTTGAAAGCTGAATTCATGACGTTATGGGACGGCTTGAAATCAAATGGTCAAATAATGGTTTTGGGAGCAACCAATAGGAAAAACGATATTGATGAAGCCTTTTTGAGAAGGATGCCAAAGACATTTGCAATCGGCAAACCGGATGTTTCGCAAAGAAGAGCCATCTTGACGAAAATATTGAAGGAGGCAAAAGTTGATGAGGAAGAGTTTGACTTGGGGTTGATAGTGGAACTGACTAGAGGCTATAGTGGGTCCGATTTGAGGGAATTGTGCAGAGAGGCGGCCTTGTTACCAGTAAGAGAATACATTAAGGAAAATTACAATTACAAGAGTGGGAAATTGAGTCGAGATGAAAATGATGATTTACCAGTCAGGGCGTTGAGATCAACTGATTTTACTAGAATTATATCCACTCCAGCCACCGGTACCATACCAAGTTTGGCACTTGATTAGAGCGTGTTTATAGCCTGTGAAATGTAAAAGATATTCCAGCTTTTTCGTGTCCCAACCAAAATGATCAGTGCGTTATGAGAGAAAGTGTCTGTGGGAAGTATTTGAAAAATTTTTTTTACCACATTTTTCCACACCTCACTGTCTTTTCTTTCCTGATTCTTCAACAACATCATTTTAAAGCAAAAGTGTTTCCATAGATAAGTAGAATTAATACATATTTTACTTTGGGAAAGTCCTTTGTTATCTACAATAACTCTATTTTCTTTTACGACGGCCTCTTCGAAGACCCTTGTATCATAGTGGTGCACGGGTTCAAAGCGAGGCCCAAATCAGAAGTCAAGCTAATAACTACTCCTAATAGAGTATTACATTATAGGAGTGGAGATTGATAGTTCTATATCTGAAACAGTTTGAGACATTTGACTATACTCTAGCAATGCGTTTGGTTTAGGTATAAAATCTGCTCTGTTTTTTTACATCTTGTGTGTTCTATTGACGGTCTGTCTAGCTTATGAAGGGGTTGACCATTCAATTGAGTTGGCAGATTCACAGGCCATCTAACTTTGTTTATATTTATCGTGGCCACTGATTTCGAAAATGCTATCGACATTTGCAGCTGCCAATTCTGGTAGCGTCTGCCTTTTTAAGGTCATGTGGATTTTTGATTGTATTTTCCGCTTTAGCAAACACCAGTAAAGAAATTCAACAACTAACCATCAAGACTCAATTGACTTTTATTGGATCAATGCAATGTCAGCTATTACTAGGCTTAGACCATTACGTGCTTTAAACATTAGGCAGGCATCACCGGTGTTGCGGTTCCGTAGACATTACGCCACCGATATAGAGGATTTAAAAAAGCAATCGGATTCTACTGAAACCGACAATTCTGTTTCGGCAACCGGTGTCATTGACAAAAAGAATAATGAAGTGTTGCTCTACTATTCATTTGCCACTTCTAGAAACTTTATCAAGTCATATCTATCACGACTTACATTGTTTGCTCCACGATACTCCGACGACGAAGTGAAAAAGAAGGTGGATCAACTTTCGTCGCCTTTGCCACAAGGATCAAGATTGACAGAAGTAGTGGCCTTGGCAAGGGATTCTGGTGCATTTGTAAAGTATCAATTTCCACAAGACGAAACAGCAAGGGAGTTTATCGATCAAGTGAGGAACAACGTTACAAAGAATGAGAAAGAACTGGAAAATGTTGTCAGTCGAGCAATTGATTACTTGACTGATAGAGCCCCTAAAGTTTACAGCGTCAAGGGTGTTCCTTGGATTGAAGATTTAAAAAGATTTCCAAGTCCCAAGTTGGCAATCAAGTTTGAAGGAGACCCCTTGACAGAGGAAGAGTTATACGTTTTGTTTCGGAGGTATGGGTTAATTGATGATATCAAAGCAGACCCTTCTGAGTCAATAGTTTTATTTCACAACATTCGATCGGCCACTTGTGCCAAACATTGTATTACCGGTATGCTGTTGAACAATGGCAAGACAACGATACATATCCAGTTTAGGTCCATAAAGAGAAAGAACTACGTAGTTGATTTTATATCAAACCACACCAAAATTGCAATACCGATTATATTGGCACTTGTAGCGGCGCTTGCCGTTATAGTGTTTGACCCAATAAGAGAATGGTTTATTGAGTACAAGATTACCCATAGCAAGCATTCATTGGATCATTTTAAACAAAACAAATTGTTCCAATTGCTCTACATACCATATAAGACGCTTGCGAACTTGGTGTCGAGCAGTTATGATTACATCGATACCCAGATACATGAAGTTGTTGGATCAAAAGACGATGATACGCTGGATAGTCAGTCGATGGATGAAATCAAACGAGAAAGTAATATGTTTTGGAAAGAGCGGTACGAAAAGTCGAAGCAATTGAAATTGTGGATTTTGGAGAACTTAAACAGTTTTATCATTGTCAAGGGACCACAAGGTTCAGGAAAAGAGGAGTTTGTTTTGGAGCATACATTGGCTTCTGATGATCGATTGAGTGACAAAGTCTTAGTGATTGAATGTGATAAATTGAGTAAAGCAAGATCTGAGAATAGTTTGATTGGAAGTACGGCTTCACAGTTGGGATATTTCCCTGTTTTCACCTGGACAAATTCAATTTCACAGTTTGTTGATTTGGCAGTTCAAGGTTTAACAGGGCAAAAATCAGGATTGAGTGAAAGTAAAGAAACACAAATCAAGAATATGTTTTCACTAGCTACTCAGTCAATTAGACATATATGTGAGACTGATTATCTAAGATATGTTAAGAGCGTGGAAAGAAAGAACAAGAAATTAAAGGACGAGGACAAGATTGAGTTGCTAAGACAAGAGGACTTTTTGTCACAGCACCCAGAGTCGAAGCCAATTATTGTTGTCAACAAATTTGCTAGGAGAGCCGATGTCCATCTGAACGATTTTATATATCCATTAATTGCCGAGTGGGCATCAGGGTTGATTCAAAATAATATTGCTCATGTTATCTTTTTAACGGCTGATGTTGGATCAGTACAGCACTTGAATGAAGCTTTGCCTAATCAAGTATTTAAGGATGTTTCATTGAGTGACGCCTCAATGGCGAGCTCGAAACAGTATGTGTGTGATGTACTCAATGTAAAGGACAATACCACTTTAAATGATTGTCTAGAGCCATTGGGTGGAAGAATGTTGGATTTGCAAGCATTTATCCGTCGTGTAAAGTCAGGCGAAGATCCCGAAAAGGCAGTAACAGAAATGATCACCCAAGCTGCTGAATTGATAACGACATTCTTTTTGAGCAGCCAAAAGATCGACAATGGTGACAATAATTGGAACTCGGCTCAAGTTTGGCTTATAATGAAGTTGCTACTGAAGAAGGAAAGTATCACCTTCAATGACTTGATTAAGCTGCCATTATTTAAATCGTCAAAAGAGACAATGGATACATTGTCAACGTTGGAGAAGTTTGACTTGATTTCGTTAAAGAGAGACAAGGGTGTGTTGAATAAAATAACCACAGGGAGACCATTGTTTAAAGCAGCATTTGAAAACATAATTGGCGATTTAAGAATATGGAAGTTATACGAAACCGACTATTTAACCAACTTGGTCACATTGGAAGTTGCAAAGATTCAAAAATTGGAATCGGAATTGACGGGAATTTACAAGATTAGCAATAAGTTAGATGGTCGTATTGACTATTTGTCGAAAAAGATTGAAGCTTCTAATAAGAAAATCGTTGATTATGAAAAGGAAATTGCTGACATTGCTACTTATCAAGGTGATTCCAAATCTGGATCATTTCTAGGAATATTCTAAACAACAAGGTTGAGAAAATAATGGGTTGTTTATACCGTGTATGTTTGTATATATATATATATTAATAGGGGCTGAAAATTTCTAATTCAGAATCATTTGAATAGTTGATCACTCATTATTTCAAAAGTCATACGCCGTCTAATCATTTTCATATCATTTTGGGAGTATTTCAATTCCAGGTTTTGGGCCAAGTATCGAGCAGCAATACATGTAAACACCCCACAATCAGATCCATTCTTTTGCTGTGGTGCTTCAATGTAGGGAACTGGTTTATACTTGATGGCATCATGACCTAATCGTTTCGCCTCATTGTCCATATACATTTGTAAGTTTTTCACTGCTTCGGGATTACCCGATTGTCCAAATCGCAACGAGTCGTAATACGTGATTGCTTTCTGTAGATTATCAACCACAGCCAATGCCCAGTGCGTGTTGCTGATATTTACTGGGACAATGACTTTATCCATGGCCAATAAATCAACTTTCTTCCGCTTGGCCCATCGCGCCACGCCACTATACCCTCTTGATGCTAAAGTGGAATAAAAATGAGTTGTCCAAATAAACACTTTGGGGCTTTGCTTCATGACTAGATTCAAGTAGAAATCGATAATATTATCATTAAGCCAACGTCCATCTTTTAAAGTTTGTAAATCAGCATAGGATATGTCTATACTATATTGATTTATGCATATGGATCTTGGGTTGGCAATCCATGCTTGATTCACCTTTGCCAACTGTGAATCATTTAGTGGTTCAATCTTGGCTTTAGAAGCCAATCTTTTTGCCGTGATAATATCTTGAGTTTTGGATTGTGCTTGTTTGTAAGTTTCGGAAATGCGGTCAATTTTAAAGTTGGCAATCAAATCATCAATTAATGAGTATGAAGTGATGGAGATTGGTCTAGGTGGGACATAAAAATTTAAAATCGATTGTTGATACTCGGTCTTGGGCTCAACATCAAAGAATTGAGGATGGTCATTGGATGAAGTGGCCAAAGGTGTTTGAGGGATCGGTTGGTGATCTATTTTCTGTTGAGACGGAGCCGAATACATTGGCGATGCAATTGACAAGTCAGTTCCATATTGTGGCATCTGCATTTGTTTCAGTCTACTAGATCTCAATCTCTTTAATGCAAGGTCCCGTAGTAGCAGGCTAGTACTATCGTGCGGTGTTGTCTTCGTCGTCGCCATGGTGCTGTTTCCTACCTGATCTCGAAAGCTATCTTCTAAAATGCTGTTTTGGGGTTCATAATGATTATTGTTGATGAGATGGTAATCATTAGTGATGTGGTAATTACGAGAGATGACTCTTTCTCCTAGAATCTCAATGTCTGAATCTTTGGTAGATGTTAGTTCTTCTTTCACTTCATTGGTATTACAATTTGGTGATTCTATGACATGAGGCTGCTGTGAAAAGTACGATAGGATAAGTGTGGTGATCTTGTAAAGTACCTTGTTGAATATCGACCAAAATATGTTTCCTCCTAAACCGTCATCTCTAGTTATCTGCATGGTATCCTTATGATTAGCAAAATTGTATGATAAATCATCTTGTATATATATTCGTTCCTGATCAAGTATAGGATTATTAAACATTGAGGGTGTATAAAGATTAAAAGCAGTTGATAGTGATAAACTAAATTTCTCTCTGTTTTTTTATTTTTTTGTTTTAAATTTTTCTTTGAGTACATTTTGTATTGCGCTTTGGGCGAGTCTAAACAAAACCAGTACTACATGTATGCTGCTTCTAAATTACTGTAAAAGACTGTGGAAAAATAAAAGACAACTTAATATGTTTTACAAGAGCATAACTATCATTAGCAAAGGGAAGTAGAAAGGTAGTGCTTTTTAAAATACAGAAAAGCGCAAAAAAAATGAAGCCAAACTCTTTTAAGAACAAGGTGGTCGCTACCAGTCTTGTTCAAATTCGCAATAATGGTCTTAAAAAAAAGTGCTACTCGAAACCTTTCATTTCTGTAATTCCACCACAGTCACAGAGTCATAAATTATGTCCCAACATGTAGACACAACAGAATCAGAAGAACACTCTTTTCATTTACACTATCCCATCTTAACTACCTATCTCAACAACTTCAATAGTGAATCCCTTTGCCATTGATAAAGTTCTCTACAAAAATTAATAAAACATTGGCCCACTTGTTTTTGTTTGGCAATAGTTTCATTGATCTTTCCATAGACAAAAATAAACACTCTTAGTGTTTCATGGCGAAGCTTTACAAGCCCCTGTGTTCTTTCCTAGAAGTTCAATTGGAAGTTGCAGCTGTGCCTTTTTTTTCTACCACTAGTTGCTACCATTATATGTCAAATTTTTACCTGTGCGAACTTCATTATTCAAGTCGCTTGCTAGATTAAATTTTGCGTGTTGGCGCGAGTTATGTAACTAAATAATGACCCACAGAACTTGATAAACAGACGAGACTGGGAATTGCGAACACAGTGCCAGCTACGATATTACTAGGTATGGTACGAACAACAAAGAGACTGCAAATTTAATTCAATACGGGGGATGCGAATTTAATTAAAGTTGGAAGAAAAAGTGTGATGATATATATTCATCCTGAAATCAGTGAATGTTTGTTGACAATGTAAGGTGCTTTAACGGGTTTTGATAAAAGGGTTTTGGGCGGATTCATGTATTTGCAGCTTTCTCACATATAAAATATTTTTTACTATCTGGTCTTTTTCTTCTCTATTTCTATCGTAACTGAGGTTTGAGTTTATAAGCATTTCAGCTTTATATACATTTAAACAGATGATGAGTTTATGTTTAACCACGTGGGTTCTCTGAATTGAATTTTTTAAAGTTATAATTACACAAACACCATACACACATATTAAAGAGTTTACAGAACACAACTACTGCTAATTAATTTTGACACTTCTTACACGACTTCTGTTGTTTTTGACAATCAACTTTATTATTGTTACAGCTATAGAGTAAGAAGTTTTAGTTAGTAAAGCAAAGTAAGGAAAAGTGTTGCAAAGTTGTTTTTTTAACCAAATGGCAGCCACTTTCTCTTCTTTAGATATATACACCTTTTGAGTTAGTACCCATATTGGCATTGGATATGGAACACGCAACTCCAATCAGCAATAGAAAGAGTCCCACTACTAAAAGTGCCACCCGAGGAGATTCCCAAATAGCATTGTTCACAAAGTAACATACACAACACAAAAGTAGATGCAGACCTAAAATATTTTGTTACTTACACTAAAGTTCACCAGCGATTGACACACACATACACACAGAAACATACAGAGAGAGAGGAGGACAAACACAGTCACGAAGCGACAATACTGACACAATTCTATTGAAGATGTGCAATTGAACTACCGGCTTACTTTTAAACTAAGGGGTTCATAAATATAAGATGACCTTTGCTGTTTGATATATGTGTGTGCTAGTTTGTTTATTCTATGAAGTAGTTTACACCAAAGCTACTCGTTTATGTTTATTCATAATAAACATAATAGTGCCAATAATGATATTGTTTGTGCAATGTTCGGGAATGCAAAAAAGAAAGAAAGCCTCGTTCCAAAAGAATATTCAATTTTTGTTTTGAATCTTTTGTAACCTTTAAAACTAAAACCATTGAGATTAAACAATAATAAAAAAGTGCTACTACTACAACAACTACTACTACTGCCAATAATAATAATAATAATAAACCACTATCAATTATTCCAAAGCAGAACGTTACATTTTTGAAAAATTAATTTTAATTTTACAATCTAATAATAATTACCCATCCCACGTTTCTCACCATAAAATAAAAGAAAATATAATTTCAATTTCAATCCCAACATAATTCTTTCTCCTTTTCCTTCTTCTTTTCCAATTGAAAAAAATCATCACCAGCTAGTATCCACTTCTTTTTCCATCCATCCATCCATCTATCCATCCAGTAGTAGAAGAAGAAGGAGTCTCACTTTTACATTGACCTTCGAGCATAGGGAGAGAGAGAGAAAAAAATAATAATAAATTTAATTTAAGTAGAACAGGTTAAAATTGAAAAACCAAAAGATTTCACAAAAGGCTTTTATACACAGCAAAAAAAGCAGAAACAGAGACAGACAAGGAGAGAATTTCATACATCAAAAAGAAGTCAGCAACACCAACAACACCAAAAACATCATCAAGTTCATTCTACTTTTCTGTCTTATCTTGATCACAGCAATTTCTATCAATACCACTAATACTACCACCACCACTGCCTCTAGGTTTTTGCAAAGCTCACAGTTTCTCCCTTTTGTTTTCTTTTGATTAACTACACTACTATCTTTCCCCCTTTTTTGAAAACTATTATGGCATCTAGCGAAGACCCTAAATCCAAAGCAGCTACTACCACGAGTAAACAACAGTCGTCTACCGCCCCAGCTTCTGAACTCCCTTCTAACAACAGCAAAAAGCAACAGCAAAGAGGAGAACACGAATCCAAAATGTTATTTGGCACCAAATTGGAAACTGAAATATATGGTCCATGGAAAGATTTCTATATTAATTATAACCAGTTGAAGAAGTTGCTTAAAGAAGGGGTTATTTTGAAAAATAACTGGACTGATAAAGACGAACAAAACTTTGTTAGTGCTTTGGATGAAAACTTGGAAAAAGTATTCACTTTTCAGCACAACAAGTTTGACGAATTGAATGATGAGTTGGACATCTTGCAACAGCAAACTGAAGTTGCCGATACTTTTGATGTTGACGCGTTTTCCAAGAAATTGGACCATTTGTTGAATGAAGCGCAAAATTTGGAACATTTTCAACGTTTGAATTATACTGGATTTATTAAAATTGTCAAGAAGCATGATAGGTTACATTCTAACTACTCAGTTAAACCATTGTTGAATGTTCGTTTGAAGAAATTGCCTTTCCATTCAGAAGATTATTCTCCTTTGTTGTACAAGATTGGTACCTTGTTTCAATTTTTGAGAGAAAACTATGAAGTTGACCAATCCTTGTCGAAATTATCATCGTTTAATGATGGTGCATTGAGTGGCGAGTTCCAATCGTTTAAATTTTGGGTCCATCCTGATAATTTAATGGAAGTAAAGACCACCATTTTGAGACATTTACCGGTGTTGGTTTACAATTCGAAAAAAGACGGCGATAACGATGACGATGATGACGATGATGATGAAGACGAAGAAAATGGTAAAGATAACCGACTCACGCAAACTGACCAAACTATCAATTGTTTATACTTTGACAATGAGCATTTTGATCTTTACAATCATAAATTGACCAAACTCAACAATTCATCAACTTTAAGAATCAGATGGATTGGGAAATTATCTGACAAGCCTAAAATCACTATGGAAAGAAAGGAGTTTGATGTTAATTCTAATTTTCACGTTGATGATAAAATCGAATTGAGACAAAAGTATATTAACCAATTTGTCATCAACCATGATGTTCCCAAGAAGTTTGTTAAGATCAATGACGAAGCCACAGTTCAGAGATTGTTGAAATTCATTGAAGAAAACAATTTACAGCCAATTTTGAGAACCACTTACAAGAGGACGGCATTCCAAATCCCCGGTGATGACAAGATTAGAATTATCATTGACTCTAATTTAACATTTATTAGGGAAGATTCATTTGATCCAATTTTACCCATCAGAGATCCTCATCAATGGCATCGTTTCGATTTAGACAATTCAAAACGCAATCAACAATTTTTAAGAAAAGGTGAATATAATAAATTCCCCTTCTCAACAATGGAGATTAAAATCAAGAAATCTTCAGTGAAAAACTTTAAGAAGTTGCAATGGATTAATGAATTGATCAACAGTAGCTACCTAGTTAAAGAAATCCCCAATTTTTCCAAATTTATTCATGGTGTTGCTTCATTATATTTAGAAGATGATAAATTGGATAATATTCCCATGTGGTTTAATGAATTGGAGGGAGATATTAATGATGATTTGCCCAAGTTGCCCACAAAAGTCAACAACGATGGTATAACTCAATTGAGCAATGATGACAATTTATCTAAATTCAAATCAATGATTTTGAAAAACAATGCCTCTGATTTCCAACCTCGATCGGCATCATTTTCTGGAAGTTTGTTATACAAAGGAGGTAGCAATAATGGTGATGAGATTACCTCTGTTTTGGAAACAGGAGGAACAGCAGCATCAGACAATTCTAAAATTGTTCCTGTTAATGAGGATGAGGATGAAGATGAAGATGAAGGTAATATTTCGCCCACTGGTAAGCCACTGGTGGGACAGAAACAGCAGCAAACTAGCAATTTCACCACTGATGACCAATCATCTGATTTTGATGAAGATGAGGATGAAGACAATGGCTCTGGTCTTGCCAAAGCCAATAGTTTCAAGAAATTGATCAAGTTTCCACAACAATTTTCCAAATTGATTGATGTTGATTCTGAAGATGAAGAAGTTGTATTGCCTACTGGAGTTGTTAAACCCGACCAATGGATTAAAAACATGGGACCAATTAAGATTGAACCAAAAGTTTGGTTGGCTAACGAACGTACCTTTAATAGATGGTTACATGTGACTACATTGTTGATGTCAGTTACATTTATTATTTATTCATCAACCATTCGATCAAATTTCCATGACTTGAGCACATATTTGGCATACTTTTATTTTGGATTAACGTTGTTTAGCTGTATTTGGGGTTACTATATCTTCATTGTGAGAAGAAACATTATATTGGAAAGAAGTGATAAACATTTGGACAATTCAATTGGTCCTTTGATTATTGCCTTTGGATTAATTGTTGCGTTGATTATTAATTTCGTGTTTGGTTGGAAGAGTTTACAATTGAATTACGAAGATAATCAGTTTTATGAGAATAATCCAATGCATAAAAAGATTCATCAATTTATGGTGGAAATGGTTAGCTGATTGGATGAGTAAAGTGGTTGTATTGTATTGATGCTGAATGTAAAACATTTTTTTTAGTATAGTTTTAGTATAAGTTGGAAAATATTGATAAAACAGTTTAATTTGAATGGTATTGTGTAGGGATGGAATGTAGTTGGACTGACTTTTGTTGATGATTGAAGCTTATAGGAGGCAAATAGTGTTGTGTTGTGTTGTGTTGTGATCGAATGGGGAAAGGCTGGGTGGGATACAAGTGTTTTGCAATCTGATGTCCTGTATATAAACTATTTAAACACCGTGTGTGTGTTTTGAAAGTGTTGAATTTTTTCTTTTTTCAACAAAACAAAACCAAATTCGACAAACTAGACCTATAAAGCTGTACACATATATCATCTACAATGTCATTAAATGTATCTTTATACACAGTTTCAGCTTTTCTAATACTAGACAATGAAGGTAACAGATTATATGCCAAGTATTACACACCACCAACAGACAATGACCATACCAACAACAACAACAACAACAACACCAAGACGGCTAAATCCGCCACCTCATCCAAATCAACCAGTCAGTTGAAATTTGAAAAATCATTATTCTCCAAGATCAATAAAGTTCATCAAGACATTCTCTTGTATGACAACAATTTAATTGTATATAAACAAATCAACGACACATCGTTAGTACTCGTGTCACCCATAAATGAGAATGAGTGTCTCATGTATTCGACATTGACCAATCTAGTTGAATCGTTAACCATATTGTTAAACAATACTATTGATAAAACCACCGTTATTGAGAACTATGACTTGGTGGTGTTGGCCATTGATGAGACTATCGATGATGGAGGCATCATTATTGAGTATGATCCAGCCACTATTGTGTCACGAGTGACTAATGCGCCAGTGAGCTCGGGGGCTGCTGGTGTTGTTGATTTGAAGAATATTGATTTGAGCGAAAAGGGATTATTTAATGCTTTGAGTTTTGCTGGTAAGAAGTTGGGTGAGAGATTACAACAAGGGTTGTAAAGAGGTGGCCATGTGGTGGATGCGTATATATGTGTATGTATACTAGTTAAGTAGTGAAATAAGACGGAATTTTTTTTTACATACGTTCAAACTATGTTTTGTATAATGTAGTCTCTTGAATTGTTGAAATCAAGAGAGAGAGAAGGTCAAAAAATATCAACACTGAGGAAAAACACATCGACAATTTACATCCATATCACTAACACACTGACAAATGGAGGATTCGTTCTACTTCTCTCTACTACGAATATCAATTGCCCAAATTCTAAAAACACAAGGATTTGACAAATGCAAACCATCAACCTTAGATACCCTCACATCGTTGTACATCAACTACTTGACCAAACTCACATCCGAATCCATCAACTTAAGTGTAACAAGAACAAGAACCAACTCGCCTGAAATACAAGATGTAATGCAAGCGATGATTGATATTGGACTGGTTAATGCTACGCAAGCTAATCGAATACACGACGAATATTTTGACGAGCTGGAGTATAATACTCAATCGATAAACCTGTTTAAAGGCTGGGTGATGAGTTACTATGGCGACCAAATTAGGGGTATTGCTAAAAGGAAGCAGAGGAAGGAGGACAATGAAGGAGAAAGAAATAAGATGATTGAGAATAATGAGGAACAACATACAAAGCAACAACAACAACAACAACCACCACCAACCCCTCATGACTTTTATACTCAATTCACACTAGCCAATGACATTAATTCCAAAAAGACCAATAACGGCAACAATGCACAAGAAGATGGTGACGACCTATCCTCAACTCACCATAGTAATTTAAATAAATTGAAATGGTTAAATCATTTACTAGATAAAGATTTAAAACTAGGTCATAGGTTGAAGTATCTATACGCTAGTGAATTCATAGCTGATGCATTTGAAGATGATTTGCTTACCCGTAAAACAAACCAACAAGAAGAACAAGAAGGTAGTAATAACAAGTTTAGTGACGCTGATATGGGGAATAGAGAAACCATGGATGATTTGTATTTAAAAGTGGCGAATATTCGAAATAGTGAGTGGAATGATTACATTGTAAAACCAATAACTAGTGATGTTGAAACGAAGGTCAAAAAAGACGGTAGTAATTCTGCTGCTGTTGCTGATGGTGGCAGAGGAGGTGAGGATGGTGTTGATGGTGATGATTTGGCTAAAAAGGAAGCTGTTTTGGAAAAATATCTACCTTATAACATCAAGTATTCAGAACAGTTATTAACTGATAACTTTGATGGTGTTGATAATGATGATGGTAGTCAAGATGCTGAGATGGAAGAAAGTGAAACCATGTCACAACCAGCTGCTGAAGTATAGAAGTTGAAGTAGAAAACAAATACATTATCCATATTGAAAGTTACAAGTTTATAATTTAGGTATATTGTGATATATCCAGCTATCTTTAGACCTACGTCTCATTCCCGTTCTATAAACCAACACCAACACCACTGTTACTACCCCGTTTTTTAATGCATACCTCTCTTCAATTTCAACGAATCACGTTTCTTTTCACTCAATGAAACGTAATTGGTATTGAAATTACTATTAAATCTTGCTTCATCCATTGGTGCATCATCTTGCATCAGCATCAGTATCAGCAGCAGTTGCAGCAGTTGCAGCAGTAACAGCAGGGCCCGTTGTTGTGAATACTGTTGTGAATATTGTTGTGCATATTGTTGGCCACATGGCTGGCTGGACCACAGTTGCTGTTGATGTGGCTGAGGGTGTTGATGTGGTGGTTGTGGTTCAAATGGTGAATCTAAAGCGAATCCTGTGTTTGGATTAAAACTTGATCTTCCATTTAAACTATTCAAAGCTTGTGCATTAGCTGATTCGGTATTTAAATGATATGGCACTGATGGTCCTGCACCAGCACCGCCTCCTGATCTACTTCTTTGTAAAAATGGTGGAGGTGCCAGTGGAAGAACAAAAGGAGATGATGTCATAGCTGGATACTCTTGGTTCACATGGGGCTGTTCAGAAGGTGGTGGTGGTGGGAAATATGCAGTTTGTGTTTGAATAGTACCACCGATTGATAATGGTTGTTGGGGAAAGTAATTCGATTGAGATTGAGATTGAATACCAGCTGATTGTGGTGGTGTACTATTTGCACTTGAACCTCCTCCGCCACCATTGAAAAGATTAGTTTGGATTGGAACACAATCCAATGAATCTGTGCTAGCATTGCTATTTCTAGGACGAAGACTATGGATGTTGCCCACGTGTAGCCAATTATTTGAATTGTTTCTTGTTAATGATTGTTTACGAAGATTCAACAGCGATGAACGGGATCTGATTGAGGCGTTACTTGGTTGAACCTGGCCCTGTGCTTGTGCTTGTTGTTGCTGAGCATTGTAGTTCATCAAGTTCATCTCATTGAGTGATAAATTCGATATAGACGTATTCTTCATCCCATTTGCCATGGGATATGGTGGTCTCTTGAGTGACGTGTTGTTCGTACCAGCAGAGCTATTGTTACCGTCGTTACTAGCTTCAGGGTCATCGATATCAGTTAATATATCATCCGAATCAGAGTACTGTGGATTTTGATAGAATGACGAGTTTTGGTTAAACTGGCCCTGTTGTTGAGACTGTTGTTGTTGTATTGTATTTTGATTATTGTATGAGTTTTGGTGGTGTAAAGGTGGGGGGTTGAATGGATATTGGCCCGGTGCCTCCAATGGTGTTTTCAAAGTTTGGTCTATTGGGGTGTATGGCTGTGAATTTAATCCTGACGGGGTTGATATCGATGGTTGATTAAATTCCATCTTGTTTAATTTCAAATGTAAGTTTAAGTTCTTGTTAATCATGGTGAGCAGCTGTCTTTTATAGAATAAAATGAAATGCAAGTAAAATATGTGAATTGATACAAGTCTATGACTGAAATGCAAAATGATAAACTATGTCTAATAATGCAAATAAATGATACAAGTGTTCTATTCTATTAAAACGTGAATATGAAACTTTTTTTTTGGAGTGAATAACAAACGAAGAAGTAGTAGGGAGTCTTTAGCCTATCTTTGTTCTGTGTATATGTGAGTGTGTGTGTATAATTAAGGGAGAAGATGTGTTGCTCTAAGTAAAGCAATAGTCGTACTAATCAGTAGTTGCTTTGAGTGGCTGTGATGTAAAATAACAGACGCGTGTGTTGAAAGTTTGTTCCTGAAAATATTTTTGAGCCTTGTAACTCTCTTTCTCTCTTTGCCTCTTTTCTTGACTCCTTTTTAACTGTTTTCTTTTGCTATAACAGAATGACAGTACTGATGTACAAGTTAGCTTTGATGAAAGCAGGCAAATACGGAAACAAGAAGAAGAAGAAGTATCTTGAGTCTAATTATTTTTTTTCTAATTTTTTGGGACACTAGAGACAAAGGGTTTTAATTTTTGTTGGAAATTTTTATTTTTATTTTTTTTTTTTTATTTTTTTATTGTTGAATAATAATCAAAAAACATTGACATAATAATTACGTAATTTATTATATAATTATAGTAACAATTATCAGAAACAACTAAAGACAGCAACTACTTTCTACTACTACTCTTTCTACTACTACTACTACTACTTTGTATCTTATGATACTTCAAGTCTTACCTCTCTTTAGTCTATCACATTAGTTCTGCACTCTAAGGAGAAAAGGAGAGAATTGTGTCAGGAGATATTGTTGTTAAAGGTTGTAGTTTCCAATAACTCACGAAGGTCTAATCACTATATTTTACGCAACCCCCAATCGCACTTCAAATATACTCCTGTGTGTATGCATCACGTCTATCCAAAACTGCTATTAATGCATGCTTGTGTGTTATGTCGAGTAGTATATAGTTTATAGTTAAATGGATATTACGGATGATAACTCATTCTTTGTGTAATATTTCCAAATTCATAAGAAGTATCTCTTTACCTTGTCCTTCTTTTGTGCAAAGTTTTTTCAGGCCCAAACAGTATGTATAAACCCTAAACGATTGTGAAAGGGGTAACAAACAAATAAAGAGATATTTATCACAAACACTGGCTACAAACCATACTTCGATACGCGTTTGTGGAAAGTCTTGTAAAACAGGCACATACAAGAAGTAATTGTGTATACGTGGAGTTTGATCAGTGTAAGAGGCTGGATAGAGGTACACTATTATTAAATGAAGGAGAAGAATTTGAACGAATAATAATGGAGTCAACATAATAAAAAAATACATCAAAATTTCTGCCTAAAGAATCAACCTAATTACAATAAAAACTAGCACTCTATTCATTCCACCTGAGATGACGCACAATAATGTGTGCGTGTGTGTGTGTGTTTGAACGTATTTTGCAATCCAAGAGTAAGTTTGCCTAGGGATTGTCTGTATACGTTATTGTATACTATTAATAAAATCTTCGTAAATATTTTATTTCCTTCATCATGTCAATATTTGAATCTAAAGATGAGAACTGCTTTATTGGAAAAGAGGAGCTATAACTCAAAATAGTTTATTTTTAGCTTTTATAAACAGTGCTTTTTTTTAACTACTTAGCACTCCTAATTGGGTTAAATTATGACTTTTTGTAGTCCTCACTCCTGCATTCTTACATCATACGACTTAGAAGAATATTACGGGAAGATTAATTGTACATATATGCAAGATCCAGCCAGTGCCTTGAATAGGTACAGCTATTAGCGCTATGTCTCCCTTTGTTTCAAAGTGTCCACGAAAAGTTAGTTGCCCATTTCCTCTTCTCTATAGTGAAAACATTATAAAGTAAGATACGCTGCTGATCATTTGATGATCTTTTCTTGCATGGTTTGTTGCACAGATGCAGAACGCCTACTATAGCAATCTGTATACTTAAAATAGCAACTATTAAAGTTGCGAGAGTGTTCGAGATAACTAATTCCCATTTAGGTTAAATTACTGAAAATTTTATGTAAGTTCCAACGCGTATTTATTTGGGCCTATTTTTTTTTTCGCAACAATACTGTTCATACCCAATTAGGTTAAATTATTGATTAATCAAAAATTATTGTGCTATTAAAGGAAACCACCATTAAAGGATTACACTGAACTCCATTTGAAGTCCGAATACAACTATATTGTATACTAAAAACAGACTGTTCTAGACCTTCAGTCATATGTGGCAATAGTGTTTCCAATAGAAAACAAAAGAGTCAGAAGGACCTTGAAGAAGTAAAGTTGAAGAGTGAGTAAAAAAAGTCACTTCCCACCTCTGCTGTTATTTTACACAATGTTTATAGGATTGAAATCCATTTTTTTTAGTCTAAAAGGTGGACAAAATCAACCAGTAAGCTTAGATAAGTTCTCCACGAAAGTTTGGCAAGTGAAAAGCACCATCAATGTGCAAGTTATCAACACGCAGGGTATTGAATGCTTCCAGTACTTTATATGCAAACCTTGCCCAACGTCTATTGTAGACAACAACTAACTAAATTGTTTATTTAGGAAAAGACAAAAGTATTAGAAGTTTTGATTATTCAACTACGATTCCTACGACCTAGTGATTGTGTATGTGTACTTTAAGTCGTGCGATTTTCTAATCCGTTTCACCAAAAGCTGGTTGGTAAAACGCATAGGACCCGATTTTCATTGTATATAATATATCTTCTTGTCTTAAGAAAGAGCCACAATGGGAAAAATCTCTGATTGGTACCTAGTCAGCTCATCCGGTGTGTTAAACAAGTTTCGGTAATTTTGTGTTGTTGGGGTTATCATTGCCTGATTCCAACTATGCTTCACAGCTATGTTTTGGTAGAGTCTCAGTTTTGTTTAGCTTATAAATGTTTCATACAGTGCTTGACACTCTGACACTGGGTAATAAATGCTGGAACAGTGTGTCAATTCATTGTTGCACGATAGCTTCAAGACATATCTATTGTCGCATCCAAATCGGGCAACTCTTCATATATAAGCCGCGCAGAAGAAAAAAAAAATTATTAACACGATATGGCACCAGCTATGGACCCTCACACTACTCCACAAGCATATGACCAACCTACGAAACATATCTGATTCACGTTTGATCATAACAGTACTGAAGATCAACGCGGATATTGTACAAAGACTTTATACTTCGTAGTCACTGGTGTATATATAACGACGCCATCGTGTCCACTTATCATCTCCCAAAAGTGTCAAAGGTTAAGCTCAAGGAGGTCCATCAGACAGACTATCACTGAAAGAAGCAAAGGGACCTAAATTAACGCGATTCTATGACAAACAGACAAATTAACAAACAACTACTCCACAACAATTTTAACAGGTTGCGCATAACATCATATCGGAGGCAACTAGTTCCGCACCGATTCATCCTGCAGTCAAAAGCACGCGTAAGTCGTCAAGTACAACCAGTCCCTTTCGATCAAGACAAAACCATGAGTGCTGCTATGTTAAAAGTGGAAGTTGAAGGTGCTTGTGATTCATTGGGAAATCTTGCATTGGAAGATACTTTTGGTTCATCGTTGACAGGAGGAGAAAGAGGTAAGAAAAAGAAAGCAAAGGCGATCTCGCAGGGAGATGATACTCGCGTTTTGCATAAACCAGGCTATGATGATGATTTGTTCAAGATTGAAAAACAGAGGCCCAAGTTCACCCAGGCACAAATACGTGACTTCGAAGCACATCTCAATGAGAAAGAAAAAGAGGCGTATGCTCAGGCTATAATTAGGCAAGTGCAACAACTGTCAGAGACAGCTGCAAAAAACGCTGAAAAGAAAGCAACAAAGACACGAAAAACCAAACTGGTGACGAAATCAAAGAAAGGTGGAGCTAAAGCAACCTCACCATCACCACTTCAAACAGAAGACGAACTTCTTTTTGCAAACAATGAAAGCTTAAGCAACATTTATGATAATTGGAACTTGTCCCATTCAGCAAACTTACCCATTGTCAGTCCGCTTCCGGGAGATAATATTCCATTTACATTCTTTAGCAAGCATAATGCCGATCCAACCATTATCCAATCGCCACGCTTATCAGTAACGAGAATTTTAGTCAATAACTGGTGTCAAGCACGCGAGTACTACAAGATATATTCTGGATCGTTGCGATCGCCACCTTCAGAAGCCATGGAGCAAGGAAGTCGCTACCACGCCGCTTTGGAAGAAGAAACGCATCCTCTGATTGACTTGCTGGATTTGTTGACTTTTGTTTCTCAAAAGGCTGATGCTTTGAAGAAGGCGTTGCTGGGTAAAACGGGGAAGTTGAAGAGGAGACAAAAGGTGCCAGCAGATGCTCTTTCCAAAGGACAAAATGGTAAGGAAGTTGTTGAGTTGTTGGATGAAATGAAGTCTGTCTCCCAGGAAGACTTGTTGGCCAATGAATGGTCGCATAAAGTTATTTCTCGGTTATTTGCATTATTAACAAATGCAAAAGCTAGAGAAATCCCCATTCATGGCTATATCAATTTGAATCAAGCTAAATTTATTGAGCCCCGCGATGGTGCTCTGGCATTGGACAATTCAGTTCTTGTTTCTGCCATTGTTGATTTATTCCAGTTTAAAAATCATAAAGACCCCACTGATTTGACGTTTTTTACCGAGATGCAAAATATGATGGAGTTTGAATTTGATAAAGATAGAGCTGGAAGTAAACTCATGATTGATTTGACGAGGTTTATGCCTGAGGCAGCAAAAGTGCTTGCTGAGTATAATCGAAATGATAATTTATCCCTTGTTATATCCGACGTCAAGACCCGCAGTGACAATAGTGTACCTTATCAACAATCAGTTGTAGCCGGTGCCAAGGTGCAAACGTTTCTTTATCGCAGATTCTTTGATACGTTGTCTAAAGATGCCCCCTTCACGTATCGCGGGTTTATCGAGAACGCAATGAAACGCAACTTGGATATTGATAAACCGTTGAGCCCCTTTATAGTGTTGCAAATGTTGCGATTGAATCATAATTTGTTTTATAATGATTTTGTTAAATTGAGTAATGGTGAACCGCTTGGGTTTGATCCGTTTGATGAGGACCTTAAGTTGAACAAGTTGAGTCAATCTCTAGCTGGTTTGAAAATCGAGGGACTGGGACTAGACAGTATACCCCTTGGCTCAGCACTGACAAAACATGATGCTTTCCGATTCGATTTGTTATTTCAAAATGTCAACGACTTCTCCTTCACCACTCCGTCAAACCAATCGTACCTCAACGAGCTAGACCAATTAGAGCCGCAACAGTCCAAACAACAATTTCCTTATTCGCATTACATGAAGCCCCTTTTGAAAACATGGCAGACCCCACCAACACTACGATACTTGGCAGCAAGATCAGCCCAATTATTGCATCTCTTTAACAACTTTACTGATAATTTAACCACTGTTGAGTACCACAATGCGTTGAAACATGAAGTGTTTGAAATCAGGCAGTATCAGTATCAAGAACAAGACTTGCAAGCAGAAGTTGACGAGGCTAGTAAGTTTTGGTTAGGTAAACTTGTGCCTCAATTTGCTGATTCTAAATCCAAATGCAATTATTGTGAGTTTAAACTAAAGTGTATTGTTGGTCGAGGTGAAGCTGATGATGATATGTATAAGCGGAAAATGGTCGGTCCTAAAGTGAGACAATTTATTGGCCAATCGGTATAAAAGAGCAGCATGTAACGAAGCTTATATATGTATAGCTTTTCAAATTATTTATAACTTATTTATGAACATATATCTACAGTGTACATCAAAGTACAAGTAAAGATGTAAGGCACCTTCAAAAAGATCAATCCATTACTCCCTTTTTTGCAAAAAAAGAGTTGGCGTTAAACCTCGATTGATCTCTCTGTTATAATGCCTCTTTTGATTTATGGGATTCGTTTACCGAGTACACCTAGATTAGAAATGGCATGCAACCGGAGATATAGTCCCAAAAAAGAAAAGAAGGAAAGAAAGAGATAAATAGGAAGAAGGGATGAGGGTAGTTAATCAATGGTGGGATGTGAATGTCTTTGATCTGATGGAAAGACACAAATAAAAATAAAAAAAGAATTCAATAAGTAGAAATGAGTTCTTTGGTTTTCAAGATATCGTATATTGACAAGTGAACTTGTTGATGAGTATATACGCTATTTGGTGGATGGTGTTGATCGTTGGTTTCGTTGTGGTTTTATTTTAATACAATTTTTCAAAGACAGGGAAAAAATTTTCTTTTTGAATTGCAGAAAAATGGTATTAATGGTAGCGCAGTACATAGAAAACAAATAAAGTCTGTATGTAGTCAATAAAAGTAATAAGTAAGCCATTTCGTAGTCTCCCATCTCTAAAATATTATTAAAAGGGTATTTAATAGCAGTTGGAGGGCAAGGAACTATTTAGCTGCTTCTTGCTCCAATTTAAGAGGTATGTCTAATTGCTTTTTTTTGTATTATTTTGGTTCCAAACTTGGACCAAACTACGATTTTATAAAGAGCAAAACCAAATATTAAAAGACCCTTTAAACTATTGTTATAAAATAATCTTCCCTCTGGGAGGAAACTTTAGCCTAGGACTCCAAACGGTTTTGTTTTAGAGATTGGTGAGCTTAAATTACATAGTTTAGATATCTTTCCCAATTATGCAATATATGTGTGTTATCAATTTTATTTTCTCTTTTCTTCCTATAACTCTCTGTCTCGATTATTATTAGTTTTGTTTGACATAGAAGTAATAAGGTGGTAAAGGTAAAATGTTTTATTATAGAATGGCATTTTTCAAATCTGGTGATTTTAAAAAATTTTTTTTGTCTAGTACAATGTAAATAAAGTAAAAGTAAAGTATATGCCCCACCCCCACAAAAAGATAATTTTTCAAAAAACTCCGAGATTTTCAGCCACGTTTGTGTAATTTTGTTTTTAGAATTTTTTTCTTAGCCTTTTCAATGCAAAGTGAAGTCCTCCATGAGAAGACAGAAAAGTATTCAAAAGTTATCATATTGGGCAAGAAGAAAAAGACAAGATCAATTAAGCAACATTACACTAAAGAAACTAACAACTGACAGTAGTTGAAGAGAAGAGGCCTCTTTTTCGTCTGGTCTTATATAAATATGGATTTGGCTTTCGTTTTTATGTGATGTGGAACTCCAGAGGCGGAATAGAAATCAGTTGATATTTTGATCTTGTTAACTTTTGACTAAACCAATACTTTTAGTTTAACCTTTAACCTCATGTAAGTGTGAGAAAGGGGTGTAGGGCGGCAAAAGTCCAACAACTAAAGAAAGAAAGAAGACTCCTATTTTGTTGTAGGACTTACACAACAAAACCCCATGGAAAATTTATAAAATAAGGGGAGTATAACTATAATTGAACTCCGAGGTTATCCCTATTTGTGTGACAGTAAGTGTTTAGAAGTGGTTTTGTCATTCACGCGTAAAAGTTCGGATATTGAAGAGTAGTGTCGGACCCAAATTTGTTCAAGAAGAAAAAGAAAGAAATGACGTAAAATAATAAAAAGAGAGAAGAAAAAAAAAAACAAAATAAAAAATGTCGAAAATCTGGGGAAATAAAAGAATAAAAATAGTCTGAGCGACATTTTTATAGTAGACTGTTTTTTTTTTCATGCACTCCGATTGGTCAGGAATTATAAGGTAAAGTTAATTCAGCTCTTCACCAGCAGATTAACAAAAACCAAAAACTGAAGATAAATTGAGATGGACATACCACCACCCCCACACTTCTGATCATAGTAGAAGCAGTAGTTTCATACTGTTCCTTTTTTACCCGGGGGAACAAGAGCCAATCCATTAGTTAATCTAAGTTTTAATCTAAGTTTTAATCTAAGTTTTAAGTGCAATTTATTTTTATTTAAAAAACGTTTTCTTTAAAGTTTTTAATAAAGAAATGCACGACTTTTTGAAAGTGTGGCAGATGATTCATAACAAACACCTTTAGTAGGAGTTGTCCCAACGAGGAAGAGACTATAAACCATCTATCCAAGTCAATCGGCGGTCTCTCAGTTGTAGGTGTGTTTTCAGAGTAAATATTTCCTAACTTCCTACCTTTGCTGTTCGCGAAGTAGAAGTTTATTTTCAGTTTTTCTTTTTTGCAATTTGCCATACCAAATAACTAAGAACAATACAGTTTCAGAGTAGACCAATGATATAGCTACTTACTGCTCTCTCATAACCACTAAGGGTTTTTCGTATTTCGCAATTGACAACCACAATAAAGATTTTGATAGAGCAGTCGAATTTATAAAAATAAACCAGTTTCACATACTTTTTCACAACGGTTTTATTCATTGTGCTTCTTGCTCGGTCAATTTTTGCTTGTGAGAAAAGTTATTTAACCGAGTATATATTAAAGAAAAGGTCGTGGTGGGTTGCTGAAAAAAAAAGAACATAAATTGAGAGAGAGTGTGTGTCGTGTGTGTACCAAAAATCCAGATACTTTGTGTAATATTCCACCAATCCCACGATAGTGTAATTTCATTGGTTGAGGCAATTTTATCTCAAGCGACATTTCAATTTCATATTAACGTCCTTTTACAATAGAGGTGGGTTTTATTCTCCGAAAGCAACCCATGTGACTCTTTGGAAGTGGGAATTGCACTCATCTGGTGCTTATCTTAACATATGAAAGAAGTGGGATTTGCTATTGACACTCATGCAACAGTGTAAATGTATATTATTTACAGTCATGTAATTCTTTCCTCGGTCTTTGCGGGTAGCAGCATTTCTCTCTCAAAGTGTGTGTCTGTATGTGTGTCGGCATCGGCATAAAAAAAAAATAACACATTGTCTAATGATGTAACACAAGACAATGCGACATTTAATTAAGGCTTTGTACACAAAAAACGAACCAAAATGCAGACATTTTTTTTTTTTTCTTTTTTCTTTCTTCAAAACACACACAACCCACACACACAAACAAGCAAAACATTTTCATTTAAACAATTGATTAAATAAAATTCAATTTAAATATCCCTTCAAATTTCCTTCTTTTGATTTTAAAACTAGAAAATTTTTCTTCTTCTTTTAAAATTGAATTGAACTTTTGTCTTTTACATTTTAGTTAAATTCAAAACTTATTTATATATATCTATCATTACTATTACTACAATGTCTTCATTGAGAACTTTTCAACGTTCATCAACCTTGGCTAGAAACGCTGTTAAGTCAGTTAGAACTTATGCCACTGCTGAACCAGTATGTTTATTAATCACCCCCACACTGACAGACTATTCACATGCCAATTGGAAAAAGACTATGTCTAGTCTCCAATTTGGCTTATAAAACGTATCTCTTTATACTAACTTTATTCATTTGTATTTAGACTTTAAAGCAAAGATTGGATGAATTGATTCCAGAAAAAGCTGAAGAAATCAAACAATTAAAAAAAGAATACGGTAAAACCGTTATTGGTGAAGTATTGTTGGAACAAGCTTATGGTGGTATGAGAGGTATCAAGGGTTTGGTTTGGGAAGGTTCAGTTTTGGACCCAATTGAAGGTATCCGTTTCAGAGGTAGAACCATTCCAGACATTCAAAAGGAATTGCCAAAAGCCCCAGGTGGAAGTGAACCATTGCCAGAAGCTTTATTTTGGTTGTTGTTGACCGGTGAAGTCCCATCTGAAGCACAAACCAAGGCCTTTTCTGAGGAATTGGCTGCCAGATCAGAATTGCCAAAACACGTTGAAGACTTGATTGACAGGTCTCCAGCTCATTTGCACCCAATGGCTCAATTCTCCATTGCTGTTACTGCTTTGGAATCTGAATCCGAGTTTGCTAAGGCTTATGCTAAGGGTGTCAACAAGAAGGACTACTGGAAATATACCTATGAAGACTCCATCTCATTATTGGCCAAGTTGCCAGTTATTGCTGCCAAGATCTACAGAAATGTTTTCAAGGACGGTAAATTACCAACTCAAGTTGATGGTAAATTAGATTACGGTGCCAATTTGGCTCATTTGTTGGGTTACGAAAATCCCGAATTTTTGGAATTGATGAGATTATACTTGACCATCCATTCTGATCACGAAGGTGGTAACGTTTCTGCTCACACTACCCACTTGGTTGGTTCAGCATTATCCTCACCAATGTTGTCATTGGCTGCTGGTTTGAATGGTTTGGCTGGTCCATTGCACGGAAGAGCCAATCAAGAAGTTTTGGAATGGTTGTTCAAGTTGAAGGAAGAATTGCACGGTGACTACTCCAAGGAAAACATCGAAAAATACTTGTGGGAAACCTTGAATGCTGGTAGAGTTGTTCCAGGTTACGGACACGCCGTCTTGAGAAAGACTGATCCAAGATACACAGCTCAAAGAGAATTTGCTTTGAAACATATGCCAGACTATGAATTGTTCAAGTTGGTTTCAAACATTTACGAAGTTGCTCCAGGTGTATTGACCAAGCAAGGTAAGACCAAGAACCCATGGCCAAATGTCGACTCACACTCTGGTGTCTTGTTGCAATACTATGGCTTGAAGGAAGAATCTTTCTACACTGTTTTGTTTGGTGTTGCTAGAGCCTTCGGTGTATTGCCACAATTGATTTTGGACAGAGGTGTTGGTATGCCAATTGAACGTCCTAAATCATTCTCCACTGAAAAATACATTGAGTTGGTTAAGAACATCAAAGCTAACAACTAAGTCAGAGGAGAGAAGAAGATGAAGAAGCAGATGAAGGGCGGAGAGGGTATTTAGAGTATATACATATTCCTTCCACACAAACACACACTCACATATACGTCTTTTTCATTTAAAGGAATGAAAATGAGATGATGATTTAAATAGAAAAAATATAAGTCTATTTTGAAACGATTTACTTTTGTTCATTATTGTATGTAATTAGTTCTTTGACTTGTCAATGGTGTGTTTATTATCCTATAAACATAGGTTCAGTCTAGTGAGGTGACTGGCTGGTCCGTCCAAAACCACTCTGACTAGTGCGAAACAGGATTTTTTTTGCAACAGAAAATTTTCAGTTTACTCAAGAGTCTGTCAACCAATCAACAAATGCTACGGTCTTTGCATCACCAGACAAGATGCTTTGCCTCCTGCCCGGCACAGCTCAACAAAATAAAATATTCCAAAACTCTACAACTACCACAGACCAACTTCAGTCCCAAGATCCCGCGCGGAAGTGCTCGTGATGAACTAATCAAAAGAACCGGAGTCGACATTTACCACTGGCAACAACAACATAAATCTACCCACACACCTTTTGTACTTCATGATGGACCACCTTATGCCAACGGGAAGCTACACGTGGGCCATGCGTTGAACAAAATATGTAAAGATATCATTATACGATACCAGTTGATTCATCAAGATAAATTGATCAAATACCAACCGGGGTGGGATTGTCATGGGTTACCCATTGAATTGAAAGTGGAACACAAATTGGGAAACTCCGAATTTAAAGATCCAGTCGGGACAAGAAAGGCATGTAGAGAGTATGCTATGACCATGATTAATGAACAACGTCAAGAGTTTTTGGAATTCGGTATAATGACTGATTTCAACAAGCCGTATGTTACGATGGACCACAAGTTTGAGAGTAATCAGTTGCAAGTGTTTAGCAAGTTGGTTGAAAATGGCCTATTGAGCCAACAGTTGAAGCCAGTATGGTATGGATGTGATACGCAAACGGCATTGGCCGAAGCTGAGTTGGAATATAATGACAAACACAAGTCAGTAGCGATTTATGTTAAATTCCCCGTTGTAAATGAAGATAAATTTGCAAGTATCGTGAGGCAGAATAGCCATCATCTGCTTTCGCCAAATGATCATGTCAAGTTGTTGATTTGGACGAGTACGCCATGGACCATACCGGCAAATAGAGCGATTTGCGTGAGTGAAAACTTGACATATACACTCATCAAGAAAAACGACGAGGTGCTAGTAGTTGCCAAGACTTTGGTTGATGATGTACTCAGATTAGATCTGGAGTACATCCATATTGATGTCGATATTCCTGGTGCCGCATTGATTGGTGTACAATATGTTAACCCAGCAGCCGAGGATGATGTGCCAAGACCGGTGATACATGGTGACCATGTTGTCGGTACAGCTGGTACTGGTTTAGTCCACAATGCGCCAGCCCATGGACGTGAAGACTACATCGTTGCCAAACAAAATGGCATCAAGATTGATTCTTCTTGTGTTGATAACAGGGGGAAATACATTGTTGATGAACTTCCACCGGGTTTCCAAAAATTGGGTCCGTTGAAAGTGAATGAAATTAGATCGAATATGTTGTGTGTTGATGTGTTGAAACAACATGATATGATTTACAATCTCAACAAGAATTTTATTCATTCGTATCCTTATGATTGGAGATCACAAACGCCAGTCATCCAACGCGCTACTCCCCAGTGGTTTGTTAACGTTGATAAGATCAAGCCATTTGCTTTGGAAGCATTGAGCAAGGTGGAGTTCCATCCGACAAGTGGATACAACAGGTTAATGTCATTTATTGAGAATAGAGACGAATGGTGTATTTCAAGACAAAGATCGTGGGGAGTTCCGTTACCAATTGTATACGATGCCGATACACATAAGCCAGTAATGGACTTGGATGTGATTAATCACATAATCAACAAGGTTGACGAGTTTGGTTCTGATGAATGGTTTGTCAAAGAATCAGATATAAGTCGTTGGTTGCCGTCAAATATGTCGGGAACTAAATACTACAAGGGCCAAGATACGATGGATGTCTGGTTTGACTCCGGTACCTCTTGGACCACGTTGCGTGATAAGATTGAACAATGTAACGAGACTACAGAACCATTGGCTGATGTGTATCTTGAAGGAAGTGATCAACATCGTGGCTGGTTCCAGTCATCTTTATTAAACAAGGTGATTTACTCTGGTGAAAAAGGCACCACATTCCAGCCAGTTGCACCTTACAAGGCGGTAATTACTCATGGATTTATCACTGATGCACATGGACAGAAAATGTCCAAGACTAAGGGGAATATTTTTGCCCCACATGAAGCAATTGAAGGTTGCAAGAAACCTTGGACGCCACTTTTGGGTACCGATGGGTTGAGATTATGGGCAGCATCGTCAAATTACCAGCAGGATGTCGGGTTCCACCCAGAGGTGTTGACTAGGGTCAGTGAGGTGGGTAAGAAATATCGCGTTACATTTAAATACCTTTTGGGAAATTTGTACGATTTTGCAACTCCTGTTGAATATAGCCAGTTGAGTGATTTGGACAAGTACATCCTACACACATTGCATCAATTACAATTGACTTGTGCTGGTTATTACCAGTCATACAATTTTTCTCGCGTTGTTAGTTCGGTTAATTCCCATGTCAATTCGATATTGAGTGCTATTTATTTTGACGTTTCTAAAGACTGCTTGTATACTGACAAGTCCGACTCAATTAAACGCCGAGCCATACAAACAGTATTGAATGAGATCTTGAAAACGTATGTTGGGATCTTGGCTCCTATTCAACCATTGACAGTACAAGAAGTTTGGGATGAGTATGTTAAAATCAACAAGAATGTAACTGACTCTCCATTTAAGGAACCTTGGAGTACTTATGGATTACCCCAATCGTATGTCAACCACGACTTGGATTTGCAATTTAGTGCGTTTTTCAAATTGAGAGATGAGATTTACAAGGAGATTGAGACGTTGAAGCAGAATAGTTTCTTTAAGAATAAATTAGAGTTGGAAATCGTCTTGACGAATACACTGGGCAATAACAACTCATCATTGTTTGAGTTCCTCAAACGGAATGAATCATACCTCGATGACATGTTTTTGGTTTCCAAAACAACTCTTGTTGAAAATGGGAATGGCGGTGCAGTCGATGTGGATAATTTACAAACTGTAGACATCAACGGTGACAAAGTTGGTGTTTCTGTGAAACTTTCAGATGATCACAAGTGTGGCAGGTGTTGGAAATTCACTGCATCTGAACCAGAATCATTATGTGGTAAATGCAAAGATGTTGTAAATAGCATACAGTAAGTAGAGACAATATAGATTTGAGAGATGTAAAATACAAATCGCGCGTCAAGAAATTTCGTCAAGAGAAAGTCTCCGAAACTGAAAACTGAAAACTCGAACTCAAACAGATACACATACACGTATACATACACATACACATCTCACCAAACACCTACACCAAAATTACAGCCCAGCTCAAAACCACCCACATATCAAGACCATAGTTCTTTAAATCGTCCCCATCCTCTCTACACTTCTGTCATGTCCTCACAAAGAAAACTCAATGGATACTTGGAACGCAAAGATTCACTAATAAAGCAATACCGAGCCCTCAAGCCAGATTTCTCCCACCATCAACAACCCCTCTACTACATCTTGATCAAACTCGACGAATTAGTCTACGAATACAATGTATGCAAATCATACTTGGAAACGCAACAACAAACCAACAAACCACCCATCACCGATGTCACCCTCTCGCAAACCAAATTGAAATTTATCCACGACAAGATCCGTCAGATTGAAGATTCAATATACTATAATGAGTTGGTGGCTGTGGCGCCAAGATTGGCGATCATTCGTAAAGAAATCACCGAGAATGCGCGTGAGGCGGGCAAAATTATTCTTAGTTATGAAGTACAGAATCCGAAACAACAGTGGCGGTTGTTGGATGAACGGATATATGAATTGAGACCAACCTTGCTTGAAGATAATGATCAGGGGAAGTCGAAAAAAAGAGGGGGCCGGAAACAGAAAATTAACAAAGCAAGAGTGGGGGGAGATTAAGAGATGATGATAATCGAGGGGCTTTTCGTTTTAGTTCTGCTAATGTTGTATAGATTCAATACATATTCTTACTACGGTTTGTCTCTACTCTAACTGTCAAATAATTCTAAGAAAAGGCGGACCCTTTGTTTTATTGGCGTGTATAATAATAATAATTACATCGTTATATGTATAATATAAATCATTTCTTGCTCATTAATTGTGTTAACAATTGTGATGAAGTACGTTGTGGAGCACCAGAAGCATTCAATGGAATCTCGTTTTGAGCAGTTGGTGTTCTGCCGGTGAATAACCCTGGTGGTGGTGGGGTCGATGTATTGACGCGGTCACCACTTTTGATCATATTTAATTGATTCAACTGTTGCTGTTGCTGTTGCTGTTGCTGCTGTAATTGTTGCAATTGTTGTTGTTGTTGTAATTGACGTAACAACAAGAGTTGTTCATCTGTCTTTTCTTGCAATTGAGCAACCGGTGCTACGGGAGTACCTTGCTGCTGCTGTTGTTGTTGTTGACGTTGTAACAATGTCTGTTGTTGCATAATCGGATGGTTTGGATATGCCAAATGGTAGTTCTTAATCGGTCTCAACAAGTACTTTTCAATCACTTGGCGTGCTAGTAATTTCTCATCGTCTGGTTTGATAACAACATCGGCAAAATCTCCACCAAATGCAAACAAGGGCAATGGTTTGTCATCGCTAAAATTTTTAAACTTGACATTCTTGATCTCATCTAACGACTTTATTTCTGCCACAATCAGTTCAATGAATGGCATGACGGTGTTATCATCCAAGTCAACTTCATCAGCTGGAGTGGCACTGGCAACTTTTGATATTTTAGTACTTGAAACTCTAGATTTAGGCTCCTTACGTTGTTGCTGTTGTCTCTCGCGAGCAATTTCACCCAAGGTTGGGAATGCAGCAGAATTGGCTAAAGGGACGTTGTTGTTGACGGTTGGTGAATTGCCACCAGAAACTTGTCCGTTGATATTTGCCCAATGAGCTGTGGCTGGTAAATGTTCCTTATTCAAGTCGTTGTGAGGGTGTTGGTGGGATGCGTGGTGGTTATTATTGTAATGGCCGTGTTGTTGCTGATATTGTTGCAAGTCTTCATCAGTCATTTGACTAAGTTGATGATTAGGAATATATGTTTCTTCACCAAACGATGTAGTATGTGCTCTAGAAGTCATACCCATCTTGATACCCTGTTGAGTTGACAAGTCCTTTCTAGTGAATGAATCTGCTTCCTCACCAGGTTCATGCAAAAACATACAATTTGGATTTGGACATGGATGGCCACGCAAATACGAAGAACAGTACTTGGTAGTACCATGTGCCGCCCTCAATACTCTTCCGTCACACAATGATCCATCAAGCTCGGTTATACAATTCAAAGCATCCTCCTTTCTAGCAAAAGTGACGTATACCACCAATCCAGGATTCTGGTGGTGGTGGCTACCTGAGTTTTGAGGATTGGGGTTCTTCTTATTGATGACGATTTTGTTAATCTTACCATACTGGCCAAAATATTTGTCTGACCTCAATACAGAGTGCAACTCATCCGGGTTACAAGGTGGATTCAATCCAGTAACGTAAACCAAATTCTTTTGCACAACTCTCAATCCGGCCAAGTGCTTCTTGTTGGCCATATCCAGTTCCTTCTTTTCCTTTTCACGCTGCTTCTTCTCACGCTCTCTTTTCTCTTTTCTTGCCTGCTGGATCTTGTACTCTTCTGGGCTAATAGTCTTGTATTCAACACTTTCATCATCATACAATCTCCTACACCCAGGACATCTACCATTCAACTCGGGATTCAGTCTGATATTGTTGTAGCAGAACTGGCATATTTGGTACCCACATGGACATGGTTTGAAGTTCTTATCGGATATATCCATCTCTTCAACACATAATGGACTAGTGAGTAAGGTTAGTACGGAATCATTTTTTGTTGTCTTTTGGACGATGTAGTACATACCAATATTCCTCTTCGTCATCGCTGATAAATGAATCGTCTGGTAATATCATAGTTGTCATTGGTTATTAATTAGTAGTTTGTATATTCTTGTCTAAGTTTTATATGTACATCTAAATTTTTGCCAACAGTATTGCTAATGAGAGTGATTCCTTTTTGCAAAAAAATTGTAATCGGCCATTTCTCAATGTTTTGAAGAATCGCTACCATTTTATGATTAGGATGCACGACTCTGACAAGTGGTCATTTACTGACAGGTTAGCTAGGGTTTGTGACTCTACGGTGCGTCTGTTGAAACCAGGTTACAGATTGAGCTTTTGATATGAGAAGGTAGAACACATGTTAGGAAAGTATGCGGGGTTCCTCTTCTGTGTGTGTGTGTGTGTGAAAATTGGCTCGCTGTTCCAGTCGCGACAGAAAGCGTAAATATCATCAACAGAAACAATTTCCAAGCTTCAACAAGTGTTTAACATCGAGAATAATCTACAGGGAGCATACATCATGGCTTTTATTGTTGAGTTGTGGGAATCGATATTCACTCCTGGAACTACACCTGCGTTAATCAAGGCCACCCATGCCTCGTTTATTTTATTACTCACATCGCTAGCCACTTTTGTTTATTTGACAAGATCAATACATTTTGTTAATTTGCTAGTCATTGCCACTTTGTTGTATGGAACTGTTATTTGGTTCATCAATGAGCTTCAGCAAGTCAAACTAAAAGATAACGAAGAGTTGAATGCCAAAAGGGAAGAAGGAGAGAAAGCTGGAGAAAAAGAGACAACCACCCTGAACACAACAGCGACAATCGACAAGCCCAAAACTACCAATGGTGATGAAACTGTTACTACGAGAAAAAGGAAAGCATAAGGGCGTTATTTATTTGATCTGCATGTACCTGTATATTTTATAGACAAAATTAATTCGTCGCATAGTAATAAAAATTTATCAATTTTTGATATCCTTTTCAACCAAATCAATGAGCTTTGCCCACGCCTTCCAAAAGATTATAGATCAGCCAGAGAAGCATGACTCAGTACTATTCCATGACGAGAATGTAGTCATTATCAAAGATATGTTTCCCAAATCAATTCGTCATGTATTGGTCTTGCCTCGTGACCCCCAAGTGACTCATAAACATCCCTTGGAGGCGTTTAACTCGAAATATAAAGACTTTAGCGGGGAGGAATTATATGAGATGATTGAGGAGTACGTTGAAAAGGCAAAAGATTTGATAGTTGGGAGTTTGTGTAAGAAATTGGAGATCAAAGACGCAGTAGAAGTTCAAGAATTGAGAAATACCTTTATCAAAGCTGGTGTACATTCAATTCCGTCATTAAACAACTTGCATATCCACGTAATTACACAAGATTTCCACTCCCCCAAAATGAAGAACAAGAAGCACTACAATTCATTCACCACGAAATTCTTTGTCGATTTTGAACAATTAAATCCCTTGTATAATGAAGCATACAACCGTATGATAAATCGGAACGATAATTTCGACTCGGAATCAGACACTTCTTCAGCCGAACTACAAGATTCCGACAAACCCGACTTTATAAAGCACACAAGATCAACAACGGTATTGAATGACATGATTAAATCGACTCCTTTCAAATGCACTCAATGTAGTGAAACGTTTGGACATTCAATGGTGAAATTAAAAGAACACTTGAGTGAGGAGTTCAAGGCCAAATATGGGGCTTTAGGAAATTCGGAAAAATTAACAATTGAAGACCTTTAGCGTAGAGTCGTTTAAAGAAATAATGGGACTCGTCTTGTTGGCACGAAGTTTATGAAAGCCGTATTCTATGCATACCCCGCACACACGTACACACAGATGCTCTTTACTAACAAGGCTTTGAATTTAGCAAATGAGTTACCATTTAACACAGGACCTTTTGCTTACCCAACAAAACTACCTCATCTTCAGATTAAAACACTCAAAAGGCGTGCATGAACATTAATTGTTTTCTTTTGTTAGTTGAAGTCGTGTATTATTATTATTATTATTATTATTATTAACTATTAGTAGTATCACCATTATTGTGTATGTACGTTTGGTACAAAAGAACATTCCTTTTTTCGATTTTTATTTCTTTTGCATGAACTAATTAACCAACTATTTAATTACGGAGAATTACTCGCACAGTTGAAAAAATTAATCCGAACACAATAACTTCAGTAAAGTTATGTTAACTATTATTGGAAGAGAGCACACGATAAGTCAAAAAGAAAAAACAAATGTTAAACTTAAAACAGAGCAAAGCGGCTGTTGACTGTAGATTCATAACCATCACCCCAGGTTACGTAGTTTTGTAATTAGATAATGGAGAATGTATTAGTTTAGTGAAAAAAAATTTTTCAGCCTGCCTCCAAAGTGTTTCTTTTAGTAATCCCCCAAACTAAAACCTAAAAGATTTCTCTTCTATTGTTTCAAAATTAAATCACAAACCCTAAAATTACCCCCACCACTAGTATAAAGAACAATAATACCTCTAATTAATTAATGCGAAACAAAAGCAATACAATATACCAAAAAAAACAAACGTATGATACATGTCGGAGATCGGTCGAGAAATAGTTAATCCGATTGCTTTCCACACTATAGAATGTGAATAAAAGATTCAACAAAAACAATAGATTCTACTTATGGGGAAAATTGGGGTTTTGTACGCGTTATTGGGGGAGGGTAGTTTCTCCGCTGCAGCTTTTATTGTAGTTTGAAAACAACTATATATAAGTAAGACAATTTCCCATCTTTTTGATTCAATTCTCAATCCACTTCATCAATCAAGCCATCATACAATGTCTAGTTTAGAAATCGAAAAAGCTAGCGAGATTCATCAAGAAAAAGTTCAATTTGAATACGATGAAGGGTCCTTAGAACAAGGTGCTAATTTCAATGTTGACGAGGAATTTGAAAAATATAGAGGACTTGGTGCAGCTGAGGAAAAAAAGAGTGGCTTTTGGACAAACTTGAAACGATTTGAAATTCCTATCGATTTCAAAAACAAGAGTCATATGGTACATCTTTTGGGTGGATTTGCTTCTTTTGCTGGTGTTTTGAGTGGTGTTGACCAATCAATTATTAGTGGTGCCCAATTGGGATTGAACTCGCAATTGCACCTCACTGATAGTCAGAACTCATTAGTTTCGGCATTGATGCCGCTTGGAGCTGTTGGTGGTTCGTTGTTGTTACCCCCATTGCAAAAGTTTAGTAGAAAGAATGCCATCACCGTCTCGTGTATTCTTTACACTATTGGTGCTATTATGTGTGCTGCTACTCCAATTCCAAATCAAATTGGGTCGTCATTTTTCAATAAAAACTCGACTAATGTGTTGTATGCGGGAAGGTTTATCTTAGGGTTGGGTGTTGGTATTGAAGGTGGTGGTGTTAATGTTTACATTGCCGAATCAGTTCCTAGTGATAAAAGAGGTGTTTTGGTTAGTGCTTATCAGTTTTTCATTGCGTTTGGAGAAGTTTTGGGTTATGCGATTGCAGCAATTTTCATTTCGACTCATGCTGGATGGCGTTACATGTTGGGTTCTTCGTTGGTGTTTTCAACAATCTTGTTAATCGGTTTGATCTTTTTGCCCGAATCGCCTCGTTTCCTTGCCAAAAAGGGTAAATACGGAGAGGCGTTTAATGTCTTTGCAAGATTAAGAGATATCGAAGACAGAAGGAGTAAAGTTGAATTTCTTCAAATGATTCAAGCCGCTGAACACGAAAGAGAAGTGCGTTTGACAACAAAGAAATATAAAGCCTGGGTAGAACTATTCACAGTACCAAGAAACAGACGCGCTTTGATTTATGGATTGATCATGATCACTTTGGGACAGTTGACCGGTATCAATGCCGTTATGTATTACCTTTCTGACTTGATGGCTCAAATTGGGTTTTCGGATAAGAATGCTGTATTTATGTCCTTAGTTGGTGGTGGTTCATTACTTATAGGTACCATCCCAGCTATCTTGTACATGGACAAATTTGGTAGAAGGATATGGGGTTACAACTTGATTGGATTTTTCATTGGTTTAGTTTTGGTTGGTGTTGGATACTTGATTCCTATTGATTCCAATTTGGCTGCAGCAGAAGGTGTTTACTTGACTGGTCTTATCTTGTACATGGGCTTCTTTGGATCGTACGCTTGTTTAACATGGGTTGTCCCATCGGAGTCATTCAGCCTTGGTACCAGATCGCAAGGTGTCACGTTATGTTCAGCTTTGTTGTATGTATGGTCTTTCACAGTAACCTACAACTTCAACAGGATGAAAGAGGCGCTCACATACACCGGTTTGACTATTGGATTCTATGGTGGTATTGCATTCTTGGGTTTCTTTTACCAAGTTTTGTTCATGCCTGAAACCAAGGGAAAGACTTTGGAGGAAATCGATGAGATTTTTGAGAAATCGTCATTCGAATTGGCCAAGGAAAACTTGCAGGGTCTTAAGAGATTTTGGAACTTCAAATAAGGTAAGTATTCCTGTTATTAGCATTATTTCAATTCGTATAGTTATGTGTATTATAAACGGGGAGAGCATTTATCAATACTTTATTCGGGCTATCATCATCTCTAAGTTGTAGAATCTCGCCGCACCAAGATCTAAGATTTTTTTCTTCTTTTTTGTTTTTGGGACCCGATGCTTTTCCGACTCATTACCAACTCCCCCATACAATGCTAGTAGAACGAATTTTAGGTGGAATCTACCTTTCCTCAATAGAGCCGATCAACAATGGCGTGAATCTCAATAAGGAATACGGTATAACACATATCTTGTCGGTTCTACCGGGCCGCATCGAGGAAACTTATACCCAACATTACCAACATAAGCAGATTGAGGTGACGGATGAAGAAACAACCAACTTGATTCCCTACTTCGATGTATGTGATATGTTCATTGATGAAGCCACCAAAGACAACGGTAAAGTGTTGGTTCATTGTGCCCAAGGTGTTTCTCGATCAGTGACTATTATTATCGTATACTTGATGAAGCACTACAAATTGAATTTCGATCAAGCCTTGCATGCAGTAAAGAGAAAATGTCCGGAAGCCGAACCCAACCCATCATTCATACAGCAGATCAAACTCTATGCCCTTATGAGCTTCACGGTTGACGAACAAAATCCGGAATACAGGGCCTACATTAATGACTTATCTTTGAAGCAAGACCCATCGGGGAACACCTTGCGAGAGATTACAATGAATAAAGAAAAAACAGACTCCAATGGAGAAGAATTATCATACAACTTACGTTGCAAAAAGTGCCGAAAGGTGCTTGCCAACAACACTGACATAGAGGACCATCAACCCCCCACTTCAGATTCACGACAATCTCAATTCATCAAAACAGCTCCCAATTCTCGAAGAATTGTGTCGGTGCAACCAGCGAGCAAGCAATGCTCTCATTACTTCTTTACAGAACCAGTGGACTGGATGAGGGAAGAGCTAGAAAAGTCTGAAATTGAAGGGAAATTCCAGTGCCCTAAATGTAGTTCGAAAGTTGGTGGCTACAGTTGGAAAGGCTCTCGTTGTTCTTGCGGAAAATGGATGGTTCCAGCCATACATTTACAAGATGCAAAGGTAGATAATATAAAGACTAAATAAAGGGGAATAAGATCAATCAACGAGCATATCTTGCTCAGAATACTCGTTTTCATTATCAAATTGCTGTTCCTCCAATGTTTGTAGCGAAGGAGCAGATGTAGGATTTGTAGTTGCGGTGCGATTCCCGGTTGTACGAGTTGGGAGAATGCTTGCAGTTACGGCGCTACTCATCAAAATGTGGGTATTTGTCTCCGAATTCAAACTATGATCATCCTGGTACTCAACCTCAGCTGCCATAAACCCTTCATCGTCCATTATGTAGCCTTGGGTTCTTTGCATATGATGGGATAGATCCGGATCATCACTATCTACCAAATTTATATCATCATCTTCGTCCTCTGACTGCAGCTCATCTGCATTAAATATTTCTGCGTCCAAGTCAACCTCTTCTTGTTCAGCATTGATCAACGGTAACGTGCTCATCTCCTCCTCGTTTGTGTTCTCAGCTGCTACGTTGTTATTGACTGCACTATCCTCAGCCACACTATAGCCCCGTTGTGCATAATCCAATTCCTCCATTGTTTTCCCAATAGCAATTGGTCTAATAGTGGAATATCCGGTATTTCTAATCTTCATCAACCGTTGCTCCTTCATCCGCATCAATAAGGCCAAATCATCAACAGACGGCTGTGGTTTATCTGGATGTGATATTTGCAAATACTCTAGCTGCAAAGCATCTGGGCCTGGGGATTCTGCTGTGTATGATGACAAGGGTGGTGCAAATAGTTTGTGGTGGTATTTAGTTTCTGAATTGTTGGTTGAATGTTGGTGCGATGAATTGAGTAAGGAGCTGTTATTGTTAGTAGACCATAAGTGATGTATACCCCGTGGAGATAAATCTGATGAGAACATTACTGTATGGTTGTTGTGTAAAAATCTTGCTCTTCTGCTCTTGAGTGGTTTGTTAAAACCACAGATGAAAATAAAATACAATTATCGCGAATTACAGTGGTACAAAATCATATACATACTGACACACTACTTTCAACGTAAGACAACTACTCTTCGGTATCTGTCAATACAAATTCGTCTAGCACTTGCTGCTTTTCAACCTCAGTTGACTCTCTGCTATAACTGAGATTTAAATCTGGCTCAATTGGCCAAACAAAACCTTCATTTGCTCGAATCCCATTCAAAGTGGTGATGCAACCATAGCAAAGATCAATCTTATCACCATTTATAGCCTGATTTGGACTTTGGTGAGTGGCTGATAAATACATTTCCAAATACTCCTTCTCCTCGTCTGTTTGAATTGGTGCTGGGTCATTTACTGTAATCGTCTTTAACCAGCCCTTTGGATCCTGGTATATGTTGACGCCACACAATTTACAACTTGTCTGTATCTTCAACTCTGGAGAACCCAATTTTTGACCAATCTTCATCACAGTGGACGCTGTTGACGAATAACCGGTGGCGTCCAAGTTGCTGAAATAATTGCCAACCAAATCTCGAATAGTTAAGTTTTTGGACACTCTAGATTTGACCACTTCCGACTCAACTACAAACCTCTTCAAGTCAGAAAGCTTGGCATACTCATCAATCTCTGCAAACAACAAATCGCGCAAAGGGTATATTATATCAATTTCCTTGTCTTTGAACATCTCTGTTCTATTTGATATCGACTTGTGTATAGAAGAGCCTCTTCCTTTAACAGTTAGAGCAATGACTTCATTGGCAGTCCTAGTCATGGTGTGACCATACACAATAGTTCCACATCCTTCTTCGTATGCAGCTTTCAAGAGTAACTTTTCACACACAATAGTTAGCAAATCCTCCGCCGAGGATTTGTTCTGACACTTATTCAACAAATCAATGAAAGTACATGACTGTACATCCACAGGATTTGCCAATGTGCTGAAGTCGTTCTCGATGCTAATCTCGTTCAAGCTCGACAAGTCCACATAAGAGTCCAAAGAAATAGTTTTAAACGAAATTTTCACTGGTTCGAATCGAGGTAGAATCATCTCTAGGGATGAGCTTACGTCTGCATTCAACGAATTCAACTCTCGCTCGTCCAAGTTGACCACAACAATTTCGAACCCTTGCAATCCTCGATGAGTCTGTTTTTGCTCCAATAGTAAATTTCCCAAAACATCTAGTAGAACAAGCGAGGACACACCACCTGATACTGCTACCAAAACCTTTTCTAGTTCTCCCAGACTTGATTTTCTATAGTTGATTTTATATTTCTCAGCAGACATCTGCTTCCTTTGCTTCCCCCGTACAAGTCGTAAATAACATTGCTTGCAATGAAACTCGCTTCTAGCTTTCAAAATAGCCTTTGCTTCCTTGCACCTCTGGCACATTACGTCCTGGTCAGATACATGTTCGATGGCACTCATCTTTTCTGAATCACGTAGTTGCCTTTATACTGGTCTAAATCAAGACGATTGTATATTTATTTATTTTTTTAATTTCTTTTCCGCATCTCATCTTACGCCGCACGGAAAATAAATACATACAGGAAGTTTTAGAAAATATGTGTGACACATTTATGCTATACAGAGAGAGCATGCACTAGTTTAATTTACAAAAGTCTCGATTCAGTTTCGATCAAATTGATCAAAAACTCAACTTCAAGTCTTTTACGAGCTTGTAAGACCCAATCATTTGCCAATCTCCTACTCCATCCTTTCAAATTGGCCGCTTCCTCAACTGCGACATCCAACTGTCCTCTAGCCAAGCTTGACTCAACTCTTCCAATGACCGATTCAATGTCTTTACCGTCTTCCTTGACTCCTTTAACTGGTAACAAGAGCTTTGAGAAGATCACTGATGATAAATGACCTAACAAACCAGCATTTGGTGGCAACAAGGAACTAGATCTCAAGTCTGGCTCTAATTGTTCCCAACGGGTTAACAACTGAGAGTTGGTCAACAAGGAGTGGGTAGACTCTTTAGCAAGTAACAAGTCCAAGTCTTTGAGAGCCAAGTTCAACACTTCATCATCAGTTGAAACCTCTTTCAAGGCCTTGATGTATGGGTCGATGCTCTTTGGCTTATCAGATGCTTCAGGTGGAGTCAACAACAACAATTTCAACTTATTGACTGATTGCTGTATCAAATTCTTTTTATGATTGTTGGAGATTTGACGTTCAAAACTCTCGGCAAACTTTTCCAATTCGTTAATCTTGTCATTCAATTTATCCAAGTTGGCCAACCTACCTTCTCTTTCCTCGTTGATTCTGTCAGTAACCAATGCTTCAAAGTTCTTGGTTTGCTCGATTCTGACCATGGAAACAGCATTTGTAGCTGCTTGACTAATTGCTTCTCTGGCTGCCTTAATCTCATGCTCCAATCTTTGATTCAACCTCTTCTCCAACTGAGTCTTTTCTTGGTTGAATTGGTAGATCAAATTCTCCGTCAACTCTAATTCCTTCTTGGTGAACGACGAGAGTAGCTCAGTTTGAGAAACCTTCAACTTGTTTTGCAATTCATTGTCAAATTCTCTGGTCAAGACATTCAACTTGTTGGCCAATTGGTTGATGCTTGAGTCAATTGATTTTACAAGGCCAGAGTTTGTCTTTGACAAAGAGCTAGCATCAATTGATTGTATCAAATCATTCAACGACGATATGGTCTGTTTGACGGATTTGTCTACTGAGCTGTCGATGTCGGATTTAAGTTCAATCAAGGGCAATCTAGCGACATCTCTTGTGATACTTTCGACCTCAACTGGTTTTTGTAATTGCTCCACGGGGGTCAAGTCAGTTCCTCTCCTTTCATCATCAGCACCTGTAATTTTCTTTTTTGTTTCCTTGATAAAGTCTTCCCCCTTATGTTCCAATTCAGTTGTAAAATGCTCAATATCGCCCTTTGATGGTAACTTTACCTCAGTAAATTTACCTTTAATGCTGTACCAGAGCTCTTCCAAATCGTCAAAAGAACCATTCTCAATGAAGTCAATTGTCTCTTCGTGGTATGGGATTTGATGGTCCACAACGAAATCCATCACATCATCATTCTTGGTAGCAAGGTACATTGTTCCTCCGTAAACAAATACTGCTAAAAGGGACGTCTTGAAAAGAAATCCAAACAAAGAAAATCTCTTTGCCTTCTTCATTGGTGGTGGAGGTGGTGGAGGAGGAACAACTTCGGTTTTAATCGGATTGATACTAGGAGGGGTAGGCACTAATGGCTCGGCCTTCACTTCAGGTAAACGAGGAGGTTTACCAATATCTTTTGCATTGAGTCTCACCGATACCGTTGAAAAGCATCGCAATCCCTTCAATGGTGTTCTGAGAGCTGCAATTCTGATCATTGTTGTTATGTGGAGTTGATGTATATATAGCCAGATTGCGTTCGTGACAATTGTGAGAACAATTTTTTTTTTTTTTTAGTTGTTATTTTCTTTTTTCTTTTCTTTGCTTGATTCCCCCGATTCCATTTTACTCGCCCAATCACAATCGGATAAACTTTCTTTTTGCTAGTCAAACAATCAAAGCTCAATGTCCATCAAACCAATTGCAATTGCTCCTCCGCAACCATCGACACAAAGGGGACAGGGAGCACACATCTCGTACGATGCAGTCAATGATAGGTTGGCCTATGTCAACGGTAAGTCCGTGATAATCCGGCCAGCCGATTTCAATTCAGCTTCGCCTGTGGTTGTTTTTACCAAACATATACATCCAACCACGGCAGTTAAATTCTCACCATCTGGATTTTACATTGCATCGGGTGACGAATCGGGGCAGATTAAGATATGGGATGCTTCGCCAAAAAAGGGGGAAGATGTGTTTGAACCACCGATTATAAAGAGCGAGTTTCAAGTAATGTCGGGGCCTATTAGATCTATAGCATGGGATGCCGACAACGCACGTATTATCGCAGTTGGCCAGGGGAAGGAGAAATTTGGACATGCATTCTCGTGGGATTCTGGTAATTCAATTGGTGATATACAAGGCCATAGCGCCACAATAAATGCCGTCGACATCAAGCCTCAGAGGCCATACAGGGCAGCCACTGTCGGTGATGATTTTGCAATGGTCTTCTTTCAGGGTCCACCCTTTAAGTTTGACAAGAGTTTGAGAGGAAATCACACCAACTCGGTACGTGATGTCAAATTCAGCCCTGATGGGGAATTTATAGCCTCAGTTGGCTCCGATAGAGCCATTTGTATTTACCAAGGTAAGACTGGTGAATTTATCAAAAAAATAGAGAATGCACACGATGGAGGGATTTTTGCCGTTGCATGGACTCCAGATTCGAAGAAGTTTGTTACTGCTTCAGCAGATGGGTCAGTCAAAACTTGGAGTGTCGATGAAGGTCTCTTACTGACTCATAAAGTTGCTGACAAGCCCACTGTACTTCAGCAATTGGTGGGTTTAGCCGTAACCAAAGAATATGTGATTGCTTTAAGTTATGGCGGGGACTTGACGTATTTCAAAGATGGTGAGGTTGTCAAAGTCGTTGAAGGACATCAAGCGCCAATAACTAAATTAGCTTTCACCAGGCCGTTTTTGTACAGTGGAAGTTCAGATGGAAAGCTAGTCAAGTCTGAAATCGAACCAACGGGATTGAAACCAAACCCAACAAAACAAGGTGTTAAGGGAGATGAACACAGCAACTACGTAGTTGACTTGTTGATGGCAGATGGTGAATTATACTCCATAGGTTGGGATGATAAAATAAAGCGTTGGAAAGATGGTAATGTAGCTGCCTCTGCAAAGTTGCCTTCCCAGCCGAAACAGTTGAGCAATGTTGGCGCTAATATCGTTGTTCTTCTTGAGTCAGAATTGCAATTGTACAATAAGGAGCTTGAATTAGTGTCCACGCTAAAATTTGACTTTTCGAGTACAAACGTGGCTCCATTATCAAACTCGCGTTTGTTGGTTACAAATGGCTCAAAGAATACTCTTGTGGGTATCGAAATAGACAACGGATCAAAACTAAGCCAAACATCTCAACAATTTCCTACATTGAGAACTCCTCCAACGTTAATCAAGGTATCTCCCAATGGAGAGCTCTTTGCTGTTGCTGACTCTTCCGGTAAGTATACTTTATTCAAAGAGGATGGGTCTGTGGTTTCAACGCGATGGGCATTCCACACCAGTAAAGCGTATGATGCGCAATGGACCCCAGATTCCAAGTTTTTATTAAGTGGTGGTCTCGACTGTGGGTTGATGTTATACTCGGTGGATAAACCTTCAAAGGTTGTCAAGTTTCCCCTTGCACACGCTTCTGGTGTTACAAGCTTAGCATGGGTAGATTACAATAGTGATAAGCAGACTGGACAATTTGTCAGTTCTGGTTTAGATGGTACCATCAGACAATGGGAGCTACTTAGATAGACAGTCTATAGATAAAATACTTCTATTTGGTAACAGCAACAGAACGTAATTGATCTATAAATTATTTTATAATTCCCAAAATTGTGCGCGGCGCGGGATTTATTTACAAACAGGTATAACCATTGAATCAGCATGTCAAACAAAGAATACACAACAATAGTCATAGATGCATCCAAGTCAATGGACACCAAGCTGATACCATCACTGGATGAAACTGATTTCCAATTGGCATTAAAATTTACAATGAACACATTCAACAAACAATTATTGAGAAACCGTAAGCTGGATAGATACGCGTTCGTGATATATACACCAGCAGAAATCAAATTCCTATATTCCAACGAGCCGATAACTCTTTCGAGAGTAAAAGAGTACTATGCAGCGCTGTTGAAAAGTCATGCAGAAGCTACTGATCTGAATGGAGATTATGGTCTTCTTGATGCATTTGCAGATGCACTAAAGAACCAGATTGCAAATAAATTCATTCGAAACATATACGTTGTGACTAATGGTGTGGCATACTTTGATGACCCCAACAAAGATTTCGATAAATTGAGAAACATTTCAGAAAGCTATCCGGTTACGACAAACTTGTTGTTGCTCAATAATGATCACAATGGAGAAATGAAACAATACTGGGACGGCTTAGCCAGTACCTTCGACGGCAGATTCAATATCTTTGATTTTGAGCAATTTGCTACAAAGGGACCACCGGTCAAGTTAATTGGACCCCGCTGTATGACGGATTGTTCTTTGTCATTTGTCCAGGGAGGATTACAAAGCGACGACATTAACCTCAAGGTTCAGGTGTATCCAAGTATCAGAAGCCAGAGTCAAGTTCATGGTCACGAGTATATCCAAGATCCAAAACTGAAAAATATAGAACGCGTGAAACGTGATACCAAGTACTATATTAATGGTGATACTGATATTGCTGACGAGATTTTTGAGTCTACAAAGTATAATGACAAGTCTGGAGATGCAGAAGATGACAGGGTGTATGTGAATAATTCCGAGTTTACTTATGGGTTCAAGTACTCCCAGAGAAATGTAGTTGCATTGTTACCAGAGTTGGAAGAGGCAGCAACTTTTGAAACGTCACCTGGAATCAATATTATGGGATTCATTGCAAGAACCAAATTACCAGTCGCATACTTAACAGGCGAGCCTTCTTATATTATTCCCACCGCAAAGTCTGAAACTGAGAATAAAGTGACATTTAATTCGTTCGTCCAAGCCTTGCTTGATTTAAAGTGCGCTGCGATAGTACGTTATGTCCAGAAAGAGACTGATGAAGTACAGATATGTTGTGCACTTGCTCAAAGGTTAAATGTGGGAGAAAAATGGGGGCATGGGCTTATACTCCATAGATTAGCAATGAAAGAGGATGAGAAAATTGGTAAATTTCCTGAATTTAAATCACCCCGACAAAGCACACTTGATTCGGTGATGGCGGACTTTGTCACAAGTAAGAAATTACGGAACGACACGGCTGAGCCAGATGTGTTGAATAATTTAAAGATTGGTCTTTTGGTGTCTAAACCGTTCACCCCACTAGAGGACTTGACAACCTCGTTGGAAAACACTCTCCTCTCGTCATGTCCTGCCACAAAAAGATTAAATTACTACACCGAAAAGATTCTCTACAAGTCGTTGAAGGAAGGTCTGTTGACTGAATTTGTGGATCAAGATCAATTTATTGAGAAATATCTTACAAGCGACGAAAAACATACGTTGCTTAATCTTGACAATATATTTGACGTGAAGGGAAATTTCCTATACAAAGAAAATCCAAAGAACATGAATGTCACTGAAGCCAAATTAAAGTCTGGGTTCGACATCAAATTCACGACGCAAGCAAAACCAAGCCGCAAGAAAAGGAAAACAGAGTCGGTGTTTGGTTTCGAAAACAACGATCATTTTGACGAATACTTTGATATAGACGATATAATAGCGGGGTAGTTTTGTTCATAGTTTGAATAGTCTGTTCCGCATGTCTGCTTCTCGATCCTTTGCTGATCTTTTCCTATGAGCAGTTGTTGAAGACCCATCATCGCCAAAACTGTTGACCATCCGTTCGTGTACTTTTGATAGTCCTACTCGCTCTCTCTCGGAGTTGAGAATACCTCTGATATTCAGCTCGCTTGCTTCTTTGATGGCCTCAAGATCAAACAATGCACGATACTTTTTCGTCTTTCCTTGTTTCCAAAGGTTGATCCAATGTGTTGCTGCGCCCAACTCGTCATAACTTCCATCTGGCTTCAATGTGTTTCTTTGCTTGCAAATATTATACATTAATTCATATATGTCGTTGGTAGAGTGCAGCATGTAATCGTCATATAAGCTACCCAGGGGATCTTGCAAGTTTAACAAGTATAATAAATAGTCAGCTACAACCACTGGGTCTATAAATGAATCGTGAATGCAACCTACTAAAGCCAATGTTAGCATAGTGTCAGAACTCTTCACGGTTGGCAAGAATATTCCAGGTGTGTCGTACACCATGATATCAGGATCTCGCGAGAGTCTTATTATTTCACTAGTTGACCTTGTGACACCCGGTTGACCACCAGTTTTGGCCACTTTTCTCACCTTTGAAGACACTGAATCCCTGTTTTCTCGTCCTAATCCAACTTGACGCATGGTATTGACCAAAGTCGATTTCCCAACATTTGGCATCCCAATAATCATTGACCGTAGGCCTAGTGGCGGTCTTGATTCAAAATTTTCATAAATTTGAGTCATCTTGTTAATGATTCGCTTGCAATCGCCTCGATGACGGCAGTCGATAAACATGAAGTCTTCGTTTTTCGAGCTATGCCATTTCTTGAGTAGCTCCGGCTTCAAAATGGATAGATCCTTCTTACTGTAAAGAACTAGCTTGCGTTTTGTTGATAGTAGTTTGTCGAACAACACATTTGTTGTGGTCAAAGGTGCCCGACAATCTCGTACCTCTAATATTAGATCCAACTGTGGCGCGAGATGACCTACTTTTGACAAGGCCTTTTGGTGGTGTCCTTTGAAGTTGGATAGTGGTATATTGTAGTTTGGAAACGTAGTCCTGGGTGTAAACTTTGGCATTTTGCTTATTATTGTAAAGATCAAGTTGCAACCATTTGCTTAATATCTTGATTTTTTTTACAAAAATTTTTGTTTGGTAAAACCTCATCACCGGATAATCAATGCCGTTGGTAATATTTGCGGGATTTCCTAGTTCAGGGAAAACGACATGGGCCACGGAACTCAGAAATGTGTTAGAAGAGAGGATTAATGCTGCGAAGCAAAGCTCTGAGCCGGGATATAACTATACAATTACATATCACTCAGATCAAACATTGGGAATCGGCCATGATACATACGAGGACTCAAATCAGGAGAAGTTAGCAAGAGGATCTCAGATTTCTGCAGTAAAGAGAGATATATCAAAGAACAACATTGTGATTCTTGATTCCATGGCGTACATTAAGGGCTTCCGCTATCAATTGTATTGTGAATCAAAGGGTATGGCAACACCTCATTGCGTAATCCAAGTAACGGCTCCCATTGAGCAATGTCTTGAGTGGAACGCGAAACTCTCGCAAGAGGACCAATGGAAACCTGAATTGATGAAACAGTTGCTGATGCGGTACGAAGAACCCAACAGGAATACCAGATGGGACTCTCCATTGTTTGAGGTTTTATCCGGCGAGCCAGACGAAAAGCTACCCATCGATGATATTTGGAATGCCTTGGTTTTGAAGAATGCACCAACACCTAATGCTGCTACCACAATACAATCAACATCGAACAACTCGTTTCTTCAGGAATTGGATAGGAAAACACACGAGGTTGTCTCACAAATTCTTCAACAACAACAGCTTACAAACGGTGCTGTTGCTGTGAATGAGTATGTGGTTGAAATACCCACAGGTACCGTCAGTACCGCTCAACTACAAAGAATAAGAAGATCATTCATCAGCCTCAATAGAATGAGAACGATCGAAGTCGATCGAATAGTCCCTTTGTTTGTCGAATATATAAATAGAAGTCTAAATAATGATGATTAAATTATCTTTTCCTTTGAGTCTTCCATTTGAAGTAGGTCTTGCCGTTGTTATCCACCATTTTCTTTTTATCTCCTTTTTTCATCTTTTCTATATTCCTGCTCATTATATCTTCCACCTGACGCAACTCTTTTTCTTTTGCAATCGTTCTCAGAAGTTGCTTATACAGTTTGAGCTTCCTCTCGTCCAATTTGTCCTTTTCGTCCATATCAAAGTTCAACGAGTTTATCAATCCAGAATTCGACTGCAACTGGTCCAATCGAAGTCTATTTTGTCTATTCTCGATCAAAGATTCATCAGTGTTGAAATACTCATCAGGCTTGAATGATTCCTGATCCTTACTCGAGTCAACAAATACCGTATGCTTGCCTGATCCTTCGAATAGTTTCCCATCCTGAAGTCTTTTGATTTTGTTTGACTCGTGCAATCGCATGGTTCGTATGTAATTGATATCTTGAGTTTTCAACAATTTGGCTTGGTCAACGCTCAATACCTCACTGTCTCTGTCAGATATGAGAATACCTCTATCATCGGTTCGCTTCTTTGTCATAGCATGGTAGTACTCGTCTGGATTATGAGACTTGGCCTTTTCTTTCAATGCCTTAAGTGCGGCTTGTTTCTTGTGGTAATCTGCCGCTCTTAGCCTATAGTCCTTCTTCTTTTCAAGCAAGCCATACTTGGATCTACTTGACTTCTGGGATCTCTCCCTATGTTGTTTCTTCTGTACGTTGTGTACTAGCTTCGCCATAGTTGTTGTAACTTCAAAGCTTTGCTCGATGAGTAGATGATGAGCTTAAAATAGTTGTGCGGTTTTATCAAATTTTCGTTTCTTATTTTCCTTTTGTTTTTTTTTTTACTTTTTTTTCGAATTCGTCTTAAATCAACCAACTGCCCCCGACTTCAAATCATGACTTTGAGATTGCCATTATCGACGCGATGCCTTAAGGATAGACTTTCGTTAAGGCCGGTTGCGTCTGTTTGCCAGGCGAGCCGCTTCTCTACCACATTCAAGGTTCAACAAGCAGACCCAGAACAAGAGAACTCTATGCCATGGTACTTGAGGAAAGAAAATTCATCAAAAGCGGAGGATATCACTCACGAACAGCTTCCTGAATTACCCAACACAATACCTAATAGCATCAAAGATCTTCTTAAATTGCTAACTGAGAAATACGGGCTCACGAGTTTAAACGTGTACGACTTAGCTTCACTCCCGCAAGATCACCCGAAGCATGCAGATCAGCATTCTTCCGAAAGATTTATCATCATTGCCTCCGGAAAGTCTGAAAAACATATATATAAAGCATCGTATGAGATAAAACAGCACATAAAGCACAATTTCGGTTATTTGCCCCTCATTGAAGGTATGACGTCTAATTCCATAAGCTCCAGAACTCGCAAAAGATTAGCGAAAAGAGCTAGACAGGGTCCCCCAGCAACTCACAATACTTTTGGTATTGGTGCTAATTCGTGGGTGAGATGCGACTTAGGAGTTGACGGTGCAGTGGTACATATCTTGAGTGACGACCGCAGATCGGAGTTGGATTTGGAACTGCTTTATCAAGAGAATGTTACAGGAGAAGCAGTCGCTCCTCAATTACCTAGAAGGGATTACGAGGATACAGGGAGTGTATTTTATGGTTTGCGAAGGAATTTTCATACCTTCTCGAAACTTCAAAACGCAGTAGAGTTACATCGGGTTGCTAAAGCTTGTATGGAAAATATTGCAAACAGTAAAACAGAATCTTACAAGACTGAATTTAACGGTACGTTTACTGGTTCTACGGTACAAGAATGGGCAGAGAGGTTTGCATTCTACAAGAATCTCTATTTAGCTAATCCAATGGCCGCGACATTCGCCGATGTCGAACAAACTCTACTAGATAAGCATTCCTCAGCAAAATTACTTGGAGAAGACATCAACTGGAATCAAGAAATAGTGAACGATGTGATCAAATACATGGAGCTTTTGTTGGATATGAGGGAGCCTCTTCCAGTGACTGAAAAACTTGCCAGGCTTTCCAGCTTCATTTCAAGTCTTACCACGTTTTCGAGAGACGAGATCCACTTTTTTGCTGTTGACAAATTCCAGGCTTTATTATGGTCCTTGACTTGTGATGGGTATATTTCAATTGATGCTGCGCGTTTGCATACTATAATTCAAACTGGTGACGGGTTGGAACCTGAAAGTCGTCAAGCTGTTCAAGACTTACGGGCCGCACAAAATGTGAGGGAACTATTGAGGACGATAAACTTTGATAAACGAGGGGCGGTGCCGCTTTGGCTCAGAGAGCAAATGTTGTACACCTACGCAAATGCAAGGAATTGGGACTATTTTTGGAAAGAATGGGATACAATACAGCAGTCTTTAAATACACCTGCTGAGTTTTTGGACATGCAAGCAAAAACTATAGTGCTTCTAGCAATGATCAACGATAGAATTGCATTGCGAGACTTTTTTGGCAAGTTCTGGGACAGTTCAAACAGCCAGTCATTCATGAATCAATGGAAGAGCAATGGATCTCATTTTAACACTGAACAGGAGAAGCTTGCGTTGAAAAGGGCGTTAACTTTAATCCATCAGAATCATGGCTCCACTCCATGGCTTGAAAATGCTCGGGTATTCGCTACCACTTTGTAAATAAACATATTCGTACAATTTTTTTTTCTAATTGTTCTTCTAACTATACGCGTCTAGCACTTATCTCTACAATGAGTGACGATATTCTCAAGATCAAGCAGCAAATTAAAGATTGGGAGCATGGGTTCAAGGGGCAGAATGGTAGACTACCGACGAAACTGGATATCCACGATAATCCCAGTATCAAAGCATTGTACTCAAGGTACAGATCCATCAAACTGAATAAACAACCTGTAACAACAAAAGCTGAAATGACTTCGAAAGATGATGAGAATGACAAGGAGAACTTGCTTCCGACGCCAAATGGAGAGTTGGGCCCCACACCACAGGCAAATGGGAGGGTGTTATCGATATTCGACTTTAAATTGACTCCACCTGAATCATCGCCTTTGAAAAACAAGTCAGTGGATCCGCCTGAAGTTGAAAATGACTTCGACTCGATTCCGCTAGACTCCACTCCTGTCAGAACAAAGAGAAGATTGTCCTTTTCGACGCCAACAAGGGCTTCAGCTGACAGCACGCCAACCACGATCACAAAGAAACTTCAGCTAGCGGCGGAAACACCACGATATCTCAAATCGACGACGACCCCTACTTTTAATAGGAATGTTGCTGCAAACTTTCTGATATCGCCTTCACCCTTGAAGCCAAATAGGTTAGGCAGAAAATTAATGGATGTGTACAATATGTCGATACAAGAAATAGATGAGCCAATGCCAGAAGAGTTGATAGATTTGCAGGAGGCAGGGGAGGCGGAGGAAGCAGAGGGAACCGAGTCGGCATCAACTGAGGGCGAACCTATTGTGAGAAGAAAAACGCAGAAGCGGCAAACAAGAAGATCCAAAATGGCACCTAGGCCTGTCATGGAGATGGACTCCTTGGATAAAGTGGACGTCCAGCAGAAGATGGTCAATTTGGAAGAAAAAGAAAGGCATGCCCTTGCTGCTTATATGAACTCTGACAGTGAGTCTGAGTCTGATGCATCAAAGGCAGACAACACACAAGGAAGTCCTGTTAAGAGGACCAGGAAACCAATTGCTCAAAACTACAAGAGACTCAAGATAAATGATCCAAGGTCACGACGCTTTAAGCAGAGGATGAGAAGATAAATATGTATTATACCTATATCATTGTAGCTATCAATTCAGAGGTATCCTTGCTTGACTCAAATTGTACTCTAGGTTTAGGCTCGCCTTTGAACTCTTGCTCTGGGTCTGTTTGATTAGAATTTGAAAAATACACTGGCTTTCCCCATTTGATTTTATCCTGATCGTAGTCCCACACTGAATTGTTCTTTTCTTGTGCTGTCTTTGACTTTTTAATCTCATTCATCAATTGCTGCTCATCCTCTGTGACTTCCTCCTTAACTGGTGTATACTTCTCAACCATTACCACTTTGCCATTTTTTATCACCATCTCAAGCTGTTTTTCCCCTCTTTTCTGGCGAACTTTCTCCCTTTTTTCATCTCTAGCTAACCGTTGCTTCATTTTCAAGTTGAGGGCCCTCTCTTCTGGTGATAGCCATATCGATTGTGTTGGCATTTCGAAATCCGACGCATTGTCTATAATTCTTGTTCTCTCGGCTCCCGTATCTTGGAAATTCAATAGCGTTTCAAGTCTTGCCCTTGCGCTATCCAAATCCTGATCCAGATTGGTACTGGTGTGTTGTTCTGCATTAACCTCGTGTGCTACTTCTGTTGGTTGATCTCGATTCTTCAACTCCTGTTCAGCTAATTTAAATGCTCTATCTTGAGCTTCCCAAAATTTCTCACCTGGGTTCATCTTGACAACTATCTTCTTTTTCTGCTTTGGCTGGCTAGGAGCCTCAACTCTTTGATCTTGTCTTAGTAGCTCGTTCTTCTCTTTGTTTAAAACCTGTATGATTGCATCTTTGTCATTTGCTGCTATAAGGTCGCTCCCACAAAACGAGCATGGCTGCAAACCTTCCTTTGTGCATATGATCTTTCCGCAGTTCAAGCAGTTAGGAGCAATTTCAAATAAAGGATGCTTTCGAGCCATGCAATTACAAACCCGTCGTGTCCTCTGCTGGCTATCTTCCTCGATCTCCAAATCATACAATGCCGATTCGATATCTTGCAAATTAGTGAGGTTTTTTTTGTTTAGCTTCTTGTCGGGTGTAGCTTTCTCTCTGAGAAGCTGTGATGTTGTAGTAGAACCTTTGAGTGACATTAAGTATATCTCTTATTGAATGGTGTTCCGATATATATAGTTTGACGAAAAAGAGGGCGTGGACTTGTGCAACTAATCTTTACAAAAGAAGAAGGAAAAAAAATTACAAAACTGGGTCAATAGTCGTGTAGTCAACTTCTCTTCTATTAGTTGAGCACGACAGTGCAACTCAAAATCAGTAGAGATCTTAAGAAACACCGAAACTACATTTTTAATATTCTGGACTGAACACTTCGTAAACTTATTTGACTTATATGTGATCAGAATTTTGTCAATGACTGTGAGTGAGTTAGTGCAAAAGCACTAGGCGTCGTCTTGGGTGTGGGTTTATTAACCAAAACCAAGTTATCTCTAAATGACTCAGTACATAGTGCATATTTTGAGATAGTGAAGAATAGTATATATATTCCTACAGTATCATAATTAACTTGTAGAAAAGGTAGAAAACTAGCCGACATTACTACTCTTGAGTTACACTTATCGTAAGTGTATAAATCCATAAATTAGGTTTGCAGCTAATTTTGGTCGTGTAATTTACCAATTTAACTTGCGACATAATATGTGGAAGAGACACTGACCTCTCTACTCATCACCATCACCACCAGACATGTCAGCAGTTACTGACGATTCCAACAAGATCAGGACTTTATACAAGGAAATAACATTATTAAAAACAAAGATTCATGACAAGCAAGCTGCACGTACTTTGAACAGAAAAAAGGGCAGAGTAAGTAAACATAAACGTACTAAGCGGTCATTCACTAATCCATCACATGTCAAGAGTAGTGCGCCACGCTCCCATACTTCTACTGAAGATGTTGAGAACGGCATATCTATTGTGCAACCGGCTCAGGAGTATTATGAGTCGGAGGATGGGAAATCTTTGATTAACGTTCGCATTTATAGGGATGATTTGAGCACATTGGATGAGGTATCCACCTTTACTCGGGAACAAGAAGAACAGAGGGAGAAATTCAGGATTATAAACAGAATTAAGAGAAGATTGTCGAAGTATAAGGCTCGTAATACGAAATGTGACCGGGTTCTAGTCAAAGGGGAGAAGTATTCGGTTGAGGAAAACGGGAACATACTCGTACCACTTACGTATTATAAGGACACTACAGAAAATATTACCTGGAATGGGTATACGTATAATAAGTCAGATAATGGATTCTATCAAAAAAGTGGCAATTCACGAAAGTATGTATTTAGGACTTCGTTGGCCATAACCCATTACTAACCTATTTAGAAATTTTACCGATGACTGTCGCTACTTTATAGAGACAGGTACGTATTTTCATTAGACAATGATGATATATGAATACTAACTTGAGCTTCTTTTTTTTGGACTTTTTTAAGCATATAGGATTCTGTCAAAAAGGTTCAAGATGTTCATACAGACATGATAAGGAAAAGATTCGAGTTTGTCCATTCTACTTGAACGGGGACTGTGGACACAGTAACTGTCTTTTGAATCATACTCCAAATCATCACAACACTCCATTGTGCCACTTTTATTTGCAAAACAAATGCACAAATTCGCAATGCAGATATAGCCACTTGGTTCCCGAGCATTATGGGGATCCCAATTTCGACATAAGTGTATGTAGACCATTTGCTATTGGTCATTGGTGTCCAAGAGGTAGGAACTGTCCTTTCTTGCATGTTTGGAACTGCCCTGACTATGAAGAGGAGCTAGACTGTCCTAGAGGTGATGCATGCTCGTTGGCTCATGTGTTCACGTTGAAGATGCAGAATGATATTAGCACGCGGCCAAAGAAGTATGTTCGGGATCAGACTTTGGTTGAGGAAGAGGAGGAAGAGGATTTATCGCATTCAAAAACCAGTATTAGCAGCTACACTGTTGATTCTCGTGTGTTGTTTGCCACTGATTCTAGGGGAAACTATCAACATTATATCGACCAGGCGCCGTTTATTAAACAGGAGTACGAACGAGCGCCGTCGACGCAGTTTTTGATTGAGATTTCGTCTGATGAAGAGCACTTTTCTGAATCAGAAGATGAAGGAGTAGAGGTGAAAAGAGAAAAGGACTATGCGGGTAATTTTTTAGAGTTGATCAATTAGAGGGTAATTTTTATTCAGTATGTATACAGTGTAGCTTCCGTGAATGTACGTTGTTCTTTCAATCGTCATTTACGACACTTGTGTCACAAATTTTTCTGGTGTGTGTTTGGCGGTTGTGCATAAATAACGAAATGTGTTGCAAATTTAGAAAGTAAACACTATCTCTGCCACATATTCATCTTGTTTTATTTATCCTTATCAACGTATACAAGCACAGAAGCAATCACCATCAACCCATCGTGCAATCCCTTTTTCCCCTTGCAGTGATGTCTAACATAGCTCTTTCGTACTATAATGACTCCCCGCCAAAACATGTCACAGTACATTCGTACCAACAAAGATACCAAATAATCAGCAATCTTGGAAACGGCAGCTTTGGTACTGTCGAGTTAGCCAGGATCAAGTTCCCCAAAGACGAATTGCTCAGCACACATATCCATAAATCGGGGACATTATTGTATCCATTAGATGATTCAAAACGTAACACATCCAACCTTGTCGCCATTAAGACCATGAAAAAGAAACTTCCATCGTTACATGACTATGCCAAAGTCAAAGAAATCAAGTTTATTTCAAGTGTCCCCTCTCATCCCAACTTGGTACAAATATTTGAAATCTTTATCGACGATTTAGATCACCAATTGCACATCACTATGGAAGCGCTTAATCAAAATTTGTACCAGCTAATCAAGTCTAGAAAAAGTGTTAGGTTTTCACCAATGACTTTAAAGAGCATCTTGACCCAACTATTACAAGCCATCAAACATATCCACCATCACCAGTACTTTCATCGTGATGTCAAGCCTGAAAACATCCTCGTTATTCCAACATCACACTACTATGGGTCCAAAGACTCTGTGCCCTCATACAGACGAAATGACAACTTCATCATCAAGTTGGGGGATTACGGTTTAGCTCGTCATGTCAATACCGCGAGACCGTACACAGGCTACGTTTCAACAAGGTGGTACAGATCCCCTGAGATATTACTAAGGCAAAATAGGTATGGATGTGAGATTGACATTTGGGCCTATGGATCCGTTGCTGCGGAAATTGTCAACTTTGCTCCCTTATTCCCAGGTGCCAACGAAGTCGACATGCTTTGTAAAATTGTTCAAACTCTAGGCAGTCCTTCACTCCCAGGAAGAATGGACCAAGAATACCGTGTTCCTATCGGCGGGTACTGGCCCCAAGCAGCAGTATTGTGTCGTGCTCTTGGACTCCTGTTACCCTTTGATCGAGGCTTTACCCAATCCCAAATTCTTCCCGATGTTGATCGTGGCTTGTGCGATGTGATAATGACCTGTTTGCAATGGGACCCTATCCTGCGGCCAACCGCTCAAGAGCTTGCATGCTTCGAGTATTTTTCAAAATAGTAGTCCTTTGTGTATATATATATATTTGCTTTATAGAGCTTGCCAATAATTTGAAAAGAAGACAGAGTTTTTTTTGGCTGTAGAAAGCCGGATATGATGGCGCTACCGAAAACGATGGAGTTTGGTTACATTGTAATTTCGTGAAAGTGCTACATTAGCCTATAAACAAACTTGCTTTCACAAGCCGCTTGATGTAATGAATTAATATCAGTTGTCATGTAGTTTTTAGCCAACTTAAAATGCATTGTGGTGGGACAAGTTTGTCCCAACTCTAAAGGTGGCTTCCCCACAAAAAAGTCAAAAGATCATTCCTCGGAGGGCGGGCCACGCAATTCCAAAAACAGGCAAAAAAAGAAAAATGTTTAAAAGTCTGCAAAACCTACAAAAGAAAAGGATTATTGCTCACTCTCTAAGCTTCAATGTGTATTACTATCGCTACTACCGATCACCCAGACTACTCGTTTATACTTCTTTCCAATAGAGATGAGTTTTTCAAAAGACCAACTATGCCAGCCCAATTCAAGCAAGTTAAGGACCACGACAAAGTATTAGCCCCACTTGACCTTGCCAGACCTGAACATGGAACGTGGATAGGAGTCACCACAAGTGGAAAGCTTGCAGTGTTGGTCAATTACCGTGATATGGATACACAGAGTATGTATTGCTACGCTAATACGGATAAAATTTCTGTAATACTAACACACGAATAGGTACTATGAAGCAAGTGTCGAGAGGTATACTACCCTTGAATTATTTGGAGTCAACAAAAACAGACGACGAGTGGAGAGATAGTTTTTCAATCAATATGCAAAATGGCAATAATCCTCTTGACTTGAAGAGTATCGGAGGGTTCACGTTGTTGTATGGCTCGCTAAAGATTAGTCCAGGTGATGGCATAGACCATTTGAACATCTTGAGTAACAAAGGACACCATGGAAGGGTATTTGAAAAGAACAAGCAGTCGCAAAGGTTGGAAAAACATGACCATATTTCGACAAAGTCTACATTCGGGTTATCCAATTCACTTTATAATGATCCATGGAAGAAGGTTGAACTTGGTGAGCAAATGCTAAAGGAACTTGTTTCTAGATCCATAGGAACCCATCTAACTCAGGAGGAACTAGTTGAGCAGTGTTTCTATTTACTAAGTCACGATACCTACAACAGATCCATTATGAAACAGCACGATTTTGATGTCAAGGTATTGGAGTTGAGAAATTCCATATTTATTCCACCGCTAGAAAGAGAAGGTCCAGAGAGTAATTCAGCGTCAATCGGCGATTACTATGGGACCAGAACGCAAACTATCATTTTGTTGGACAAAGCAGGCAATTTAAACTACTATGAACGCAATTTGCATTCTTCAGATGTACGTGAGGTTGATAAACCATTGATTACGTCTAGGTACTCATTTGATATATATGAAAGTTGATTTATATAGGAGTAATCTAGTTTTTCTGAACCAAAAAGCTTGATTTTGATGGAAAAGTGTATCAATTTGCCTCGGCTTTAAAAGGAATTTCTTTTTAAGTTATCTCCGAGATTGCGCAAAAAGTTTTTGCTTCGCAATCGATGTCAGCAGGTCCAGTTTAAACACTTGATGCCGATAACAAAAGCCTCAGAATAATGCCCTTTGAAGTCCTCAGCACTGAACCAGAGACCAGAGTCTACCATTCACCGCCAGTAAGCCCACTGGCCTCCAATAATGACATCCTTATCATGATACCGGGAAACCCTGGTCTCGTTGGCTACTACATCACTTATCTTGACTACATCCAGAAGGCGATCCCCCAATTTGAAGTCTTTGGCATTGACTACTTAGGTTTTAACAAGCTCCCAACCACAAAGCAACAACATATCTACACCGTCGAGGAGCAAATCAACCACAATTATCTTGTGATAAAACACAAAATTGAACAGCAGCAGCAGCAACCCACCAAACCCAGCTTTTATTTCTTGTCCCATTCATTGGGAGGTTTCATTACTCAAAGAACCATCAAGAAGCTTTTGGAAGATGACGACTTGAAAGGCAAGTTTCAAGTGAAATTCAACGGCATGATTACTCCAACCATAAGCAACATAGCTGGATCGGAATCGGGAACCAAGTTTACCAAGATGATCAATGCTAGAATTCCCGTGGTGGGAATTGCCATGACTTTTGGTACCGTGTTTTCCTACATCCCAGAGTCAGCCCAGAGATACCTTTTAAAGCGCCAGTGGACCGTTCCAAAACAAGTGATTGAAGAAGGAGCAAATCATGAAAACGTCGGGTTGGAGAATTCGCTCGAAACAACCGTTGAACTCATCAACTCTCCTAGCGCTATCAACCAAGCACTCAATATGGCTAAAGATGAAATGAATGTCATTACAACCCTGGATGAAATCAATGACTGGTTGTTCACCAGTGGTTCAGATACATTTCAAAACTGGTGCTTTTTTGCCCAGCAAGACCATTGGGTTTCCAACCAAACCAGAGACCACTTGATCACCAAGTATGGCAATGTAGACCCAGGGAGAAATAAATTTGAAATTTGTCAAAATGTGGAAAATCCAATCAAACATGCATTTGTTTTGAATCAGAGTAAGGAATTTGCTGAAATTACTATTAATAGAATTTGCAAAGCGATGAAGCGTTGGGATTAAAATTATGTAGCTTTAAATAGAAATAGAATAGATTCCTCTCATATACTCTGCTTTCGTGAATTTTTGTATCTGAAAATTTTGTACAAAAATAAAGCCTCACAAATAATCATCAAGCGAGATGTGACTCCCATCGCCTTGGAAAAATTGACTCAGAGTCATCCTTCTCTCAACTTAGGTGCTTTAACTATGTGTGTTTGGATGTTATTTGGCAATCCCCAACAGAAAAAAAAATAATTAAACCAAAATCCAATTTATTTTGCAACTGCTATTTTTACCAAAGTTAATTATTACTCAAAAGAGAGCAGTGTTTTATTTCACTTCTACAATTAATATATAAATACTAGTGGAACGTGCATGCTAGATTGAACTTTTCCAATAAAGAACTTTTTTCCAGTCTGCTCCATTAGCTAAAACAAAAGCACAGCAATGTCCAGTTCAGATCAAGAATCAAGAACCAAATCACTTGAAGTTGAAGAAAATCAAATTGACCATTACGATAGAGACTTGCACAATGAATTAGACAAGCATGAGTTGAACAAGATTTATCGCAAGTTGGATTGGCGTATTATTCCCGCATTGTGGTGTCTTTATTTCCTCACCTCATTTGGGTCAAATTGTTATGGGTTAACCTTGACCATGAATGCTGAAGCTGGCCATTCATTAACGCAATCGTTGAATTTGAGCTCAAAACATACTTCCACTGCATCAGCTTTATACTATGTTGGTTATATCATCTTTGATGTCCCCATGAATCTTGTCATGACAAAAGTTAGCCCCCAGTCATGGTTAGCCAGAATTGTCATTACTGTGGGGTTGGTATACGCATGCTATTCTGCCTTGCACAATGCCGGTAGCTTAATAGCATTGAGGTTCATTAGTGGTGTTGTTGGTGCTGGTACTTGGCCAGGGATGAGTTACTATGTCTCTCTTTGGTATCCTAATGACAGAGCAACTAGAAGAATCGGTTACTATTTCACAGCAGCACAAATTTCGGCAGCGGTTGCCGGGCTTGTCAGTGCTGGTTTCCAAAAGATTGATGGTAATCGAGGCTATTACGGTTGGCAATGGATGTATTTGACGTACGGTACAATCACTATCGCCGTGGGAATAGCTTTGCTTTGGTGGTTACCTGATAGACCATTCAATGTTGTCAAACAATCAGACAGCAAAGTCATGAAGTTTTACAATCGATTCTTTACTCCTACTCATCCATTAAATGCCACAGAAAAGGAGTTGCATAGAAAGGATATAGAGTATAGGTACAAGTTGATCAAGTGGACTTGGAGAGATGTTGTTGCCATCATTACCGATTTGCGTATTTGGCCCTTGATTATGATGTACTTTGGTGTTGTTGGAACTGGGTTTGGTTTGGCGGTGTTTGGATCAACAATCATTAAGGTGAATAACCCCAGCTTGACGTCGATTCAAGTCTCTTTGTTGTATGCCCCCATTTGGTTATTTGATTTAGGTGGAATATTAACAATTACTCCGTTTGCCGATAGATTCAAAAGATTTAGACCCTTGATATTTTGTGGTGCATGTGTGATAATCATTGTTGGAATGGTAGTCACCACTTTTGCCCACGGCCCTTGGAACAAATATGCTGGATTGCTAATTGCTGGTTATGGATTAGGACCTACTGTGCCCATTTGCATGTCGTGGTCAGCAGAAATCTTCTTCTCTAGATACGGAGATGTTGGGACTGCCGTTAGTGCAGCTTTGGTCAGTGGGTTGGGAAATTTGGGTTCAGTTACTGCAACTTATGCGTTGTATTCCGGGTGGCCAGAAGACAAGGTGAGATTGTATCGTGATTCTAATATGATGTTGGTGTTGATTACTGGTGTTAGTATTATTTCCTGTGGGGTTTGCTACTTGATTAAGGATAAAGTGAGGCAAGAGGGTCCAAGTGTTGATATGAAAGAGCAAGAGGCACTTGAATCTATGTAACGGAGGAGTGTAATGGTACGGAGTTTAGCTGTAATCTAGAGCTTTTAATTTATTAGACTTGTAGTGTCGTGTTTAAGTCGAGACATGAAAGTGCGACACGGAAATATGCGTCAGAGAGGAGAGCAAAGCTAAAATATTAAATAATAAAATAGACAATAATAACCGATTGCTGTTAGTCTTTTTTGTGTTGACGGTACATATCCGAAATGTATATATTCACCTGACTAAGTTTACGGTGCAACTTCATTGAAGTTTACAACAATTCTCGATAGCTTCGATTAGCAGCTCATGAACAACAAAAAAACAGTATCCCGAGACCACTTTCCACTGGAAAAATTATGGACATCTTTTGAAGGAAAGCGCACTAGGTTGTCTTCATTCGCACCATATTGATGATTATCATTAGTAATCTTTACATTTTTGTGTAATTCATTCTTTTGTTCGGCAGTTGCTTTTTTTGGGGGTTTGGTTTTTTTAGTTCAACAAAATGCACACATATGTAATAGAACCATATGGTAAGTTCTTTGCAGTTTCTATATAATGACTTTTTTCTTTAACAAATTGAAATTGTCCGAATATTTTCTCAGGTTTGTTTTTTCTTTTTCTTTTTCTAAAACTCAATTGAGCAATTCGTATAAATAGACGGACTTATTCCTCTTTGCCTGAACTAACATCCAACTTCATTTTATTAAAGCCACAGTTGCATACCAAACATAAAAAAGGGTACCAAAATGAAAGCAGCAGTCATTACAGGAAACAAAGTTTCCGATTTTGAAATTAAAGAAGTGCCAACTCCCGAAATTTCCGAAAACGAGATCCTCATCAAATCGAAAGCATTTGCCGTTAACCCAACTGATTGGAAGCATGTTGAATTTCAATTTAGTAAAGAAGGAGATATTTTAGGCAGTGATGTTAGTGGAATTGTGGAAAAGGTTGGTGCTAAAGTTGACAATTTCAAAGTTGGTGATTATGTCAGTTCATTTATTGTTGGAAACATATCACCCAAAAATGGAGCTTGGGCCGAATATGTTGCTGCTAATCCATTGGGAACAGTCAAGTACCCTCAGTTGACGGAAGATCCAAGCAAGACTGAAGCTGGCCCCATTACTACTTTTGAAGGGGCAGCCAGTGTCAGTTTAGGTTTAGTCACTGTCGGTTATTCATTCTCTTATTCGTTGAGAATTCCAGAAAATGTTGTTGAAGGCGATTTCATCTTGATTTGGGGTGGTGCTACTGCCACTGGTGCCTTGGCTATTCAATTGGCCAAGTTGATCTATGGTTTAAGAGTAGTTGCCACTGCTTCCCCAAAGAATCACGAGTATCTTAAATCTTTAGGAGCTGAATACGTGTTTGATTATCATGATGATCAAGTTGTTGACAGAATTAAGGAGGTTGTTGGTGGCACATTGAAATTTGGATTTGATACAATCGGCACACCTGAATCTTTCCAATCGGTTTATGATGCGACAGCCAACACCGAGGTAACCATATTCCTTGACTCTACATTGTTTCAAGATAAATCCAGCATCAAGTTGAATGAGTCAAGAGACAATTACAAGATTCATTGGGGTCACACTTTGGCCTATCTTGCAATCACGAAAACAAAATTTTTTGGTAAAGATTTATACCAGCCCGATGATTTATTAAAGGCTTTTGAACCTTGGTGGACTGAGGTTTTACCAAAGTACATTGACAAGGTAAAGCATACAAATTTGGAAGTTTTACCACGTGGTTTACAAAGCGCTGGTAAAGCTTTGGAATTATCGAAGAATGGTGTATCTAATGCTAAAGTTGTATTTGATGTGTAATTTTTGAAAGTGTTACATTATATAGGTTAGTCTAAAATAAATTATTCTTCTACACATTTTCCAGACAAAATCGTGCAAAAATCGTTGAATCAGAAAAGTTCATTAACTCGGAGGATCTTTTTGTACTTCACTTAACCTGAAACCCCCAATCCGTAAACTGCAACGTGAATGTTCTTACGTTTCTTTTGCATCAGGCAAATGCTGCACTCTTATTTTTGGGAGGAAGGCTCTTCATTATGGCTACACAAAACCCCTAACTAATAAGTGTTTGATTTGTAATACACACACACACAGTTTCAAAGCAAGTGAAAAATATATAAACACCTACATTCTCTCCCAAATGTCACTCACAATAGTTCATTCCCAATAGTTCATTCCCATTTCATTAAAAGAACTTCAACTTTTCACAATGAAAGCAGTAGTATTTTCAGGAGATAAGCAATCACCTACTGACGTTAAAGATTCATTACCCATCCCCACAATATCTGCCGATGAAATATTGATCAAAGCCAAAGCATTTGCTATTAATCCTACGGATTGGAAGTCAGTCGACAGTGGAAATTGTTCCGCTGGTGATATATTAGGATGTGATGTTAGTGGAGTGGTCGTTGAAGTTGGGGAAAATGTACCACACTTTCAAAAAGGTGATTTTGTGGGTGCATTTGTTGTTGGTAACGTATCACTGACCAATGGTGCCTTTGCCGAATTTGTCGTTGCTAATCCATTTGGATGTATCAAGTATGATCAATTGGAAGATAAGGTGGTGGAGAACTCGAGTCCAATTACAACTTTCCTTGGTGCTGCAAGTGCAACGTTGGGATTGGTGACTATTGGCGATTCATTTTCTTATCAATTGAGAATAGGTGAAAGATATAGTGAAGGAGATTATATCTTGATATGGGGAGGTGCTACTGCAACGGGAGTGTTGGCTATCCAATTGGCAAAGCTGATTTATGGTTTGAATGTGATAACTACTGCCTCAGCCAAGAACCACGAATATCTCAAAACAATAGGAGCCGATTACGTTTTCGATTACCATGATGATAAAGTTGTTGGTCAAATTAGAGAAATCGGAAGAGGGCTAATCAAATTTGCATTGGACACAATTGCCAAACCAGATACATTCCAAAAGGTTTATGATTCAACCAGTGAAGTTTCTGGTGATGTATACCTTGATTCATTGTTATTTCTTGATGGAAATTCAATCAAATTGAATGAAAACAGGGATAATTCTAAAATACATTTTGGTAAAACATTGGCCTATTTAGCAATTACTGAATCTAAGAAAATAGGTAGTTCTATATTGAAACGGCCTAAAGATATGTTGAAATATTATGAACCTTGGTGGTTTGATATTTTACCAAAGAATATTGGACTGATAAAGCATACTAATTTAAAAGTGTTATCAAACGGCTTGAACAGTGTCGATGAAGGGTTTAAATTGTCTAAAGAGGGGGTATCTAGTGAGAAGGTAGTATTTAGTATTTAGTATTTAGAGCTATAGTTGCAACCCAATAAGGTTTCCCTGTTGGTGATAACCTCTCTTTCCCCCACTTCCCACTTGTGACGTGTCGTATTTAACCTAACCAAGACATTGCACAAAATAGAAATAGGAGAACGAAGAGAAAAAAAAATAAATGACTCAAAATTATATGCAGTACAAACCGTTGTCGCATCAAAAGAGAAAGCCACAGTTGTAATACTAATAATCTAGAACCATTAAGATAGAACGTTCTATCTCTTATTGGGAGTTGTGAGGTGGGGCCACCTTCATCCATACGTAAAATTGCTGAGAAAGGAATTATTCCGTAAGAGAAGCGTGGGCTTACTGAATAAAGGCTATGTAAATTGAGTCGTTAGTGTGTCAAATTTACTTTTTGAAATATGTCAAAAAAAAGATATACATTATGAGAGGCGGGGGAAAATATAAGCGGCACTTAACTTTGATCATGTCTACTTGAATTGACAAGGGTGTAAGATTGACAATGGACTTATTTTTATAAAATTTAGCTAGTCTAATGTGGAAGCTATTCTGTTTTAAATTATAATATATCGTAGGATTTACCTAATAGGGGAGGAATAGATTACCTTGTTTTAGCTCTAGTTAAACCCTTATAACTCTTATAACAAACCCCTTTTTTGCTTGGTATAATAATATTAATATTAATATTTCACTTCATTTATAATATATATATTGATAGTAACACACAACAGGATTGTAACTGCTGATAACTTCATATACTTTGTCTTGCGATTAGTAAAAAGAGTATTTCTTCTTGAAGGTTGGTTGATCGGATATAAATATTGTTTGAAGCTGCATGGTACTACAAGATTGCATATTAGACATACTTTTCCCGTTCTCTCATAATATAGTTTAGTTATGCAACAACTTTAACTAAAGTGTACTACACATATAACTCTATTATGAAGAAGAGCATGTCATCTATGATCTCTAATAGAATCATCTCTTTTTGCATCATCAAAATATGTGTGTCTCCAAAAAAAACAATAACAGTACACAACACAACACATATGCAAGACAAAAGACAAAAGACAAAAGAAAAACGAAAAAAAGAAATGTAAAATGAAAAATGAAAAAAAAAAAGAGATCATTCACGCAGACAACGATACTCTCACAAAAGTTAATAGAAAAAAACAATCAGCCAACCTTTTATCAGTTACCACCCCACCCAACCCACACTCACACTCACAACAACTGACGACATCTGAAGCTGTCAAAGAACACAGTTGTATCAAATAACATCAACTCAAAACTGTGTCACTTCCACCTTTCTTCAACGTTTTGCATATATTACACCAAATAAAGTTGTCAATATTTTTTTTTTCAGCTAGATTTTGACAACCAAGTGGTCACAGTTTATTACATTTTTTGATCAGCATCACTTAAAGACAGTCCACTAACTATTCACATCAAATATTCTGATATACCCACATCATAGAAGTTTCATACTCTTTAACTATTCCGCAAACAAGAGATTAACGTGTTTAGTTATCCACCAACACTCTAAATTTCAAAAGTCACACGTCCTGTGAATAATAAAATACACCAAAATCGTATCGCCATTCAATTTTGCCCTTCGCTTTCCATATTTTAGCATACCACTATCGCTTACCAGCCATCATACCACCACCCCTTCTGCGTTTTTATACATTAGGGTGAAACTATGGAATCTGCATCAACCATATCATTAAATTTCAACTATGATCACCAGTCTGACCATTCCCTATTCAAGCTATGGAAGCTAACCAACGACTTACTGTATATAAAATGCAATAATATATCAACAACTGAAAGACTTAATAACCGATCTTGGAGGCTACTTAATCAACGGGTGTTACGACTCTGCGGACACGATGGGAATACTAGTACCGCTGACGAGGGCGTACATAAGCTCAAACAAAACACTCATGACGAGATAAATGACTTGTTTAAGGAAAACTTGAAAGATTTGAAACCGAAAACTACTCAATTTCTAACCGAAAGGCCAACCTTGTTCAGTCATTCGTCAAACTTTAGTCTACAAACTAGGAAACGCAGCACTCAAACGAGCTTGGAATCATTTGCATTTGAGAATAATCAGAAACAATCAATAAGTGATGAAATACATGACCATCAAGGTGACGATTTGGCCGAATCCGATATGTCAGATATTTCGGAAATATCTGACGAGGAGGAAGAAGAAGAAGAGGAGTCGGATAATGAAGTACAAGAAGAGAATGGTGGGAGACTGCATTTTACAACCAATGCGTCAAGTCCAAGATGCATTGCAGATACTTCATGCTCACTGCAACCACGCATGTCATCACTGAATCAGTCTGATAAAATATCACCGCAAAACGTGCACCATAGAACAAGAGACACATTTTATTTAGGAAGCTCTTCCTCTGGCTCCAACCATCATGACCAATCAATCAAAACTCATTCCATTGCATCAAATCCAAAGTCATCACCTTTACGTCAAGTCACTGAAAAAAATCAACATATGGAGCTGGCTATAAAAGCATTAACCACATCACTGGATAAATCTACTGGTGCTCAAGTCCCCATACAACAACCCCAAGTGCAGCGGCAGAACTCTTTGTTTAACAATTTTAACTTTAAGGATAACTCATCCGAGATTTTGAATGGGTCTCGAAAGCCATCAAACAATACCATTGATGAAATTGATCTACGCCACAACAATGGTGACTGCTCTTCTACTGATATCTCGGAAGACGAAGACCTGGATGTTGATGAGATAGAGGAGGAGGACCATGAAGAAAAGGGACACGAGCATACACTAAAACAAGACGCTTCTCACGCAAGCGAAGTGAGCCAGCTGAATATTGATGTCACTAGAAAGAGCTCGACTGCTACTTCGACGAGAGATGATAATGATAGTGAGTGGGTCTCTGTCTACTCTAGCTCGATTAATTCTACTGCTGCTTCATCAAAAAGTATTCCAAAGAATCAGTCCTTAAATTTTACCAAAGTCGAGCCACCTTCATCTGTCTTGTCTAACGAGACTATATCAACAATGGATAAGCAAAGGAGAAATTCCAACTCGACACCAGTACTAAACAAACCCAAGTCATTATTATCTGGGTTGTTTCTTAATGAAATGGCACATTCACAATCTTCTACACCAGCGCCAGTGGCTGACAAACCAAAATTGCTCAGAGCAACAACTACTGGTGTAATGACTATTGACGAAGAGAACAAACGTCCATCACTCATTTTCACACGCAAGTTTCCTTCCTTTACTGATATTCCCCGCATTGGTAAACGAATTCAATCTCCGGCATCCATGACTACAAATATGACAAACTCGTCGTCTTCTGCTTCAGAGAGTGTAGCGGCTGTTGATGTCAATAATAGCTTTGACAGTAGTAACACGCCCCTTAAAAAACAGGGTAGTAGTGTTGGTATTTCTGACATCAATGTGTCAAAAGTACCCAAGGGCAAATCCGCAGTTGACGAAGAGCACGAGCTATTGTCGAATAATTTGAACAAGTTATCAAGATCTATGTCGCACCACTCTTTGATGAATATCTTATCAAAGTCCTCCATCAATTTAAGTCGGATTTACATCAATTCCATTAGTAAATTGAAGCCGGAGAACAGTTCTTATCGCAATTTTAGTGGTAACTCCAGGGGGGGTGAATCGTCGCCACATTCCAGGGGAGCAACTGAGTCCGGCAAGAGTAATGGACGAATTTCACCCATAGACCAACAAAAGGCACCTGCTGCAGAGCCCACGCGCAAGCAATCGCCTAGCTCATTAACGTCAGCATCATCGATTCTTGTAAACTCTTCGAAGTCATTGGCTACACCCCCACCATCAACACCCCCGGTACCTAAGATTACCACAACTGATGCATCTATAAGCGATGACAAGAAAGACAATCACGCTACCAGCGAAGTTAGAGCAATAACTAATGAAGAAAGAGAGTTGTTGGAAAATGAAGAACTCAGTACTTCATTGCGCGAAGCACTATTAATCGATCATAAATTGGGTAGAGTTGCTATGCCTGATGGAGTAATGATAAAAAAATCCGTCGTTAGCGGTGAACTGAGTGATGATGCTGTCTTTGATGATTATCATGCAAAAGGATGGTAGAGTGTTGTGTTGTAAGTTTTCTTATCCGGTAGATTTAGATGTAGTAACTTAATGAATAATTTGTTAGAATGTTAGAGAGATCTGTAATAGCTTGTTGTGATATCTTTGATTTAAGTTCATCGACATAGATTTTCTCGTTGCAAAAGAATAATGTGAACCGATTTTGCAAAAATCTTTGCGAAAGTTCACCGTACTCATCCCTCTCCACATCCCTGTATATATACCACCACACTTGTTATAATACCACATAATTATGAAAACATGTTACTATGAACTACTAGAGGTTTCATCGATTGCTTCAGACTCCGAGTTAAAAAAAGCCTACAGAAGAAAAGCCCTACAACTTCATCCAGATAAGAATCCAGGCAATGTTGAAGAAGCCAATCACAAATTCTCACTTGTATCTGCTGCATACGAAGTACTCAGTGATCCACAAGAACGTGCGTGGTATGATTCTCACAAGCTGAGTATTTTGAATGATGATGATGTGGTTGATGATGGTGTATCTCATATCCCATCGATTTCAAGTGAGGAGGTTTTACGGTATTTCAATCCTAGCATGTATTCCACTATTGATGATTCGATTCTGGGATTTTACTCTATAGTCAGTCGAATATTTGAGAGGTTAGCCCGAGAAGAGATCCAGCATGGTAAGTATCAAAATATTGATGAGTTTTACAGGTACAAAGATGATGATAATAATGTGTACACTATTGACTCAAGTTACTTGAAATATCCATTATTTGGCAACAGCCATGCTGATTACCTATCGATAAAGCAGTTTTACCAAATTTGGTCAAATTTCACCACTTGCAAACTATTTAATTGGAGACATGAGTATCGTTATTCAACAGCACAAGATCGTCGAACTAGAAGGTTAATGGAACGAGAAAATAAGAAATTAAGCGATGAAGCTCGAAAAGAGTATAACGAAACAATACGAAAGTTTGTTGGATTCATAAAGAAACGTGATCCTCGAGTTAAAACAGCTCAAGAGGAATTTAATAAACAACAGCGTAAAAAACAAATGGAAGAAATGCAGCAGCAAATTCTTCGTCAAAAGTTGATGAAGCAAAAGACAAAGTTGAATGGAGATCAAGTATATCAAGAACAGAGTTGGCAGAAGTTGGATGATAATGAAGTAGCTGAATTAGAACAAATGTTAGCTGAAGAGTACGATCTTGATGAAGTAGTGGTTGCCGATGATGATGATGATTATGAACCAAGTACAGATTCAGAATTTGCTAGCGATGATAATGATAATTTGAATGACGGGGATGGAGGGGCTGAAGAAGTGCATGAGTTTGAATGCATTGTTTGTGATCGAATTTTGAAAAATGAACAGCAATTTAAAATCCATGAACAAAGTAAAAAGCATAAGAAAGCCGTAAGGCAGATGAAATGGGAAATGAAACAAGAAGGGATTGATTTAGGTATTGACGAGGAAGAGGACGATGATGCATTTGAGACTGCGGAAAGTGAGTTTGGTGAGGAAGATGAAGATGTGGAGGAAGAAGTAGCTGATGATACTCAGGATGAACCATATGTTCTTGATGACAACGAAGTAGCAAATGACAGTTTGGGAGGAGCTAAAGCTGAAACAAATCACAATCATAATGGCTCTGCCAATGACAAGCAAGAAGAGAACGACGGACACATCAATTATCTGAAGCTGAAAAAAGTCAAGGTTGATCACGATGTATCCAAAGACGCAAATTCCCCACCAGAAGCACCTAAACTCACCGATGAAGAAGTGGAAAAGAACAAACTAGAAACAGAATTAGCCAAACTACTCAACCAATCAAAATTGGATGATTCTGATGATGACTGGGATACTGGAAATAAAAAGGGCAAGAAAAAGAAAAAGAAAGCCACAACAAAATCAAAAACTAGTTCAATGTCATCACCGCAACCACAAACACTGCAGGATGCATCATCTAAAGAGACAACACCTATGGCTTCTGGTGGTCATGAGAAATGCGTTGTTTGTGGTCAGTCATTTGAATCACGTAATCAATTATTCCAGCATGTCAAGCAAGAAGATCATGCTGTAGCTCCATCCTTAGCATCAACAGCTTCATCGGGCTCTAAATCTAAAAAGAAGAAAGCCAAACGTAAATAGACATAAAATAGACTACTTGGCCCAATCACAAACGAATTTTTAATTTAATCTATAAAGTAAATCTATCTAATACCAGTTTTGGACATCTTCACCTTAGCAACAATAGGTTCATTAATACCACTATTGCCTTTACCTAATCCCTGGCCATGACTCCATCCTAATTTCTCCAACATTATTCTACCTAAGTTCAGTTCTCCAAGAGCTGGTGCTTCAGCTCCAACGACATCACCTTCTTTGAATTTAGCCCTTGGTTCATTACCACCACCATTACGTTTCGAGTTGGCATCTTTGTCCTTCTTTTCCCGTTTAACATCCATACGATGAAAGATTGGTCGTCCTCTCATGATAGCATTGATCCTGTTGAAATTGGGTAAATTCTTGTACGTTTTCCTTGTTTTGGTCACCTTAATGTAATGGCGTACATTATGACGACCACATTTGTCAGTTTGCATATTATATGCCGCCGCTATACTTTGCAACGTTTTATTTCCATGAGAATCTAAAGTTGGGAAACTTAATGTAGTTCGTGATTCATCTTGAAAAAACGAGGTGAATTCATGGCCTATTTGAGCAATTGTTAATGAATCCGGGTACTTGATTAATAAATCATGACTTAGGATTGCATCTTCAGTTTGTTGAGCTTGACGACGCTGTTTTTGCAGTTTTTTGTTTTTACGGAAATTTAGAATTTGTTCCGTTAATACATCTTGCAATTCTTCATCTATGCCAAGATTTTTGAAATCACGTCTGTTTTTTGCCGGTGTGTTATTGGAAAAATCTCGGTCTTGCATAGGTATTAGTCCCTGTGTGCTTGTTTTCGAGTACTGTATTAGATCATCTAGATTGTCATCTGAGTCATAGGGATAATCGTCCTGATCTTTGTCAAACTCATCTGAGTCGTCATCATCGTCCCCTTCTTCTTCGCTGTCACTACTAATATAAACCTGATCCTCTTCCGCTCCAAGTTCATCTTTATTTTGATCAATCATTCCTGATGTGATGTGAGATAGAAATTTAGATAATCGATGTTCCTTCACCCCATTCGATAGCGCATAATCAATAACCTCATCCTCATCTATCCAAACAAACTCATTGTCAAACCCAGTGAGCTCGTGACACTTTAAATAATACTGATTATGGATCCCAAAGCGAACATTAGTAACTGATATCTTAGACACATCGAATTCGAAATCCTCAGCCAAGAATCCATAATCTGCTTCTGTATCGGGATCGGATTGTGAGATTTCATTATCGGAAGCACTATTTTGCACAATTGTCTGTTGTGTATCTTTATATCTAGGATCATCTATGAAAACTTCCAACTCTTCAGCGCCCGTATCCTCTGGTTGCTCTTCAATAGATTGTGTCAGTGAACTAGAATTCAAATCAAACTCAGTACCCCTTGCTTCTTTATTACATGGATAAGTGAAATCATTCTGCTTACGAAGCAGTTCATCTTCATCTGCTGAAGTAGCGGGTATTGAAGCTTCTCTGGTGCTTACTTTTTCACTAGATTGTATGTGTAAAGAAACACCATCTTGGTGGAAGCCATGGAAAGGTTCGTTGTTGCTTTTCTTCCTAATGTTGCCATGATATAGTTCATCATCGTCAATGTAAGGATCTGGAACCTTTTGCAATACGTGGATGCTCAGACCAATACCAACTCGTTCGACATCATCCCAATCTTTGTTCACTGTGTCCCCTTCCTCCTCCTCCTCTTCCTCCTCCTCTTCCTCCTCCTCCTCTTCCTCCTCCTCTTCCTCCTCCTCTTCCTCCTCCTTTTCCTCTTCCTCCTCCTCTTCTTCCTCCTCCTCTTCTTCCTCCTCCTCTTCTTCCTCCTCCTCTTCTTCCTCGAAGCTCTGTTCTTCAACTTCGATGTTAGAATTAATTCCGTTCGTCGATGCATCTGCTTCATTAACCTCATCTACCTCGAGTGCCTTCAATACCTGATGCTCGTCTAATCCAGTAGCATTCTCCGCTTCAAAATCCTGCTGATTGTATCTCGGCTTTGTTACTGACTCTCCCTCTTCGTCTTCAGAATCCAACGATATACTCTTGAAATCTTGGTCAATTATAGTGCCAAAAGGATCCTCCTGCTTTTTCTGGGTTAGCTTATATAGGAGGGCATTTGGATCATATGTTGCTTTTGCTTTTACAAACTCGATGGGCCTGTCTCTGAATTTACCTGACATTATCCTACTTTGGTGTTGCGCCGTATACTCGATTTCTTCGGCAAATTTTCCGTAGGTACGTCTGCCAAATGTATGTGCAGATTGTGTCATTTCTCCACTAGGCATCCATAGCGAGTCAGGATCAAACAAAGACTGGTGTTGTGCTGAGGAACTGTACCCAGAATGCGATGATTTGCCTCTACCACCTCTAGCTTTGTTATAACTGCTTCTTCCTCCTCTTGCGCTTCCTCCCCGTCCACCACGGCCACCACGGCCACCACGGCCACCCCGTGATGCACCTCTAGTTCTTCTGTTTGCTCTACTGGGCATTTCTGTTGTGTTGAGTAAAAAGAAAGAGTTGTTGCCATCTATGGCCAATGTTTTGTGAGTCAGTTATACTCTGCGCGCGCTCCCTCTTTCCCACCCACCCTCGTGCGTGAATCGAACGCGAGAGAGTAGCAATTAGTTAGTTAACACGGGAAAACAAAGTTCAGTTTTGCGTAACAGTAAAACATACTGCTATCAATTGCTTTTGTTTATCAGGGAAAAAGCACCCCCACCATCACCTACTAACACAAGTTACACCTCCACCATGCTTGACTTGCACTCTGAATCAGGGCATCAAGACCCAGACAACAATAAGTCAGACCAGTCACAATCAGCTGGCTCAGTTACAGAGGGAGGTTTTGAAAGATTCACCTCTTTCTTCAAAGGTATATCAGGTGTCAACAGGGAGGATGAAGAGGCGAAGGAGAATAATGAATCACCAGAACACAGCAAAGCTAATGAAGTAAAAAACATAGTTATTCTAGGAAAGAACTTTAACACGCAAAACGGTGCCAGCGAGTACATGCGATCCTTATTATGGTTTTCCTACAGATGTGGTTTCATTCCAATTCCCAAGGCGTCCGACGGACCACAACCTGTCACGTTTTTTCCTTCTATATTGTTCAGCAAGCTGACACTAACCAATGTTGGCAACCTAAGAAGCTTGTTGGATAACGACAATTTCTCAAGTGATGCTGGTTGGGGTTGTATGATACGAACTTCACAGAATTTGCTAGCAAATGCATTACTCAAATTATCAGGCAAACTAGATGAGAGTACGCAGTTGGAGATTCTCCAATTATTTCAAGATGACCCTAGCTCCGCATTTTCCATCCATAATTTTATACGGGTTGCTAGCAGTCTGTCATTGCTGATAAAGCCAGGCCAGTGGTTTGGTCCAAATGCTGCTTCACTATCGATAAAGGAGCTTGCGTTAGAAGTAAAAGATCGGAACTTGTCACACCAAGTGCCTTGCGTTTACATTAGTGAAAATGCCGATCTATACGACGATGGGGTTGAGGAATTATTCAATAAGGCGCTCACTCCACTTTTATTATTGTTTCCAGTTCGGTTAGGTATTGATCAAGTAAACAAATATTATTACCATAGTATCCTACAACTACTAGCGTCAAAGTTCTCGGTAGGGATTGCTGGAGGAAAGCCGTCTTCGAGCTTTTATTTCATAGGTTACGAAAACGAACAAGATTTAATTTATTTTGATCCACACTTGCCACAAGTTGCTGAATCGCCAATTAACCTTTCTAGCTACCATACAGTAAACTACAGCAAACTCAATGTTGGCCAATTGGACCCATCTATGATGATTGGGATACTCCTTGGCACTATGAATGACTATATAGAATTCAAACTGGAATGTACTGAAAACAAAATCATTCATTTCCACCCATTGATTACCACCTCGCATCAGGACTCAACACTAAATCAATCGTGGCAAGAGGTTCAAGAAGATGACGATTTTGTCAACTTAACTGTTCCTAAAAGCGAAGAAGAATTTGTTGTTTTAGATGAATAGTTTTGGTAATATATAGCTATGTATTTACGGGTGAAAGTGTATGTTATTTCTCGGACTTTAAGTGACAGTTTTAAGAAATGTCAAAATGGTAGTCAAAATTGATTCCTTTTTGTTGCCTGCTGGTGAATTGGGACACTTTAAATCCCATATATTCTCACTTGAAGTGCTTGACAACGTACGAATGTCAGCATACCATTCTCCGGCATCAGCATTTGGTTCATTTCTGTAAAATTCACAGTGGCTGTCCTCATTAGTAAATGAATGAGCTTGTAAAAGTATAGTTTCGATGGACTTGGAGCTGATTGTCTCTTGGCAATTATCATTCAAGGTGAATGTTTCCCATCCAACCAAGTATATTCCATGGGCTTGTGTTTCAATCCAATCCAATCCATAAAAACATTTTTCTGGGGTATCAACGCTATCAAGGTATAATCCAGAGATTTTAATGGTGTACTTTGAAATTTGGTATACCCAAAAGTAGACGTACTTGATGTATTTAAAAATGAAGTTCTGGAATACAAATTGGAATGTTCTGCCAATGTATGGCCCAATTAGGTTGGCAACTCCAGTGAAAATACTCTCGATAATAGATGTTGAAGCCAAGCTTTCAGGTGGGATATACTTTTGTGCCAATTGGATCAAAGCATTGTCTCCTTGACTTGCACCATCAGTACCCAAGTTTTGATTTTGGATATACTCTACCGCATCTAGATTGATTATAAAGTTAAAATGGTCCTTCTTGACTACGTCATCAATTTTCAAATCCAAAGGCACATTCCCCTCGCGTACTTCTCTGACAACAATCCTGGAGTCAAGTCCAGCACGTACGTACAATATATCACCAACAATTTGATTTCCTAAAACATTCGTGACTAAAAGCTGAATAAGCAAGCAAATTTGAAGAAGAAAACAACTGGTTGAAAACATCATTATTCCTAAATTATGTTTGAGATTGTTGTCTGAATATCCATATGGAAAATTAGCATTGCTTTTATACTTTTGTGGAGTAAGAACGAATTATATTGCGGAATGTCACAAACAAGATGTAGTATTATGTTTGCAGCAATCGTAGCAACAAAATTCATTGTCGCATATTCATATAATTGGGCATGGTTTTCACGACACAGTTGTTATATAATTTTTTTCTTTTTTCCTTATGTTCGGACCAAACTGTGAAATTACTTTGATGACCTCCACCTTTGTCAAGCAGTAGGTAGTAGATTATGATTAAAGACAGCCTTAAAATATGTACTGTGTGTGCATCAAACAACAATAGATCGATGGAATCTCATAAGCAATTGGCAGATGCAGGTTACGATGTCCATTCCTTTGGTACAGGTTCAGCAGTAAGGTTACCAGGACCATCCATTGACAAGCCAAACGTTTACAATTTCGGTACGCCCTATGAAGATATATATCAAGATCTACTAAGTCAGAATGCAAGAAAATTGTACGAGCTGAATGGAGTTTTGCATATGTTGGAGAGAAACAAGAGTGTCAAGATGGCTCCGGAAAAATGGCAAGAAAATGCTTATGCGGGCAAATTCGACTTGGTAATAACTTGTGAGGAGAGATGTTTTGATAGTGTTCTTGAAGATCTAATGCTTAGAATGTACAATACCAATTCGCAGCTGGACTTGAAATCAGTTGTGCATGTCATTAATGTCGAAATCAAGGATGATAATGAAAATGCCATCATTGGTGGTAAAGGTATCTTAAAATTAGTCAACATGATACACGACTTTAGGAGGAAACAGGAAGAAAAAAAGGCTGATATTGAAGATGAGCTGGATGTAATATTAGAGGATCAAATGATGGGGATTTTAACGGAGTGGCAGAGAGATCATGCGCATTTGCAAACCTTGTATAGTGTGTCGTATTACTAACTATAGAGCATTTTATGAATAGATTTACTTGAAATTCTGAGATCTATGACAAAGTAACAAAGTGAGTTACACATTTGCTTACTGCGTATATAAATCGTGGTGATTTCATCTCTCTATAGCATGCTATAAGCACTGGTACAACCTTTGGATTCCGAAATAGTAAAACAATGTAGATAAATTTGAAGACGCGTTTGTTTGAGGAGAAGGGAAATAAAAAAATGAAAAGCAGAGAAAACTAAACAAGATTGTGCTTAAGAACAAACGTAACTTCATTGAATCAACAGTGACAGGAATACCATGAACGAGGAAGAAGATCAACAACCAGCAAAGAGGAGAAGGATCAGGGAAAAGGTGCCCTTCCAGCCGGGGTTTTTGAAAAAAATAAAGGTTTGGAACTTCACAACTTACTCATACTCAGAGTTTGTGTTGTCCCCCACCCTCAATATGATTATAGGTCCGAACGGGAGTGGTAAATCGACTTTGGTTGCAGCTATATGCATTGGGCTTGCAGGGAAGATTGACTTAATCAAGCGCAAAAATTTAAAATCGATGATTAAAACGGGTCATGATAGAGCTGTTGTAGAAATCACAGTAGAGAATGTTGCTGGCAAACCACCCATTGTGATTAAAAGAGACTTTTCCGCAAAAGATTCGGTGTGGACTGTCAATAATAAGAAAAGCACTGAAAATGCAGTGAAGGAGTTGAGACGCAAATTCAATATTCAACTAGACAACCTTTGTCATTTCTTGCCGCAAGAGAGGGTCGCGGAATTTGCCGCCATGTCCCCCGAGAAATTATTGATGGAGACAGAAAGAACTTTGAAGGATGGACAATTACTAGCGTTACACGAGGACTTGATAGACAAGGACACAACAAGTCAGCAATATCAGAAACAGATAGACGCTTTAAACCAAAGATTGGAACAATTAATCTCCCAGAGATCTCAATTAGAAGAGGAGGTTCAAAAATTGCAAGAGTACGACAATAAGGCTAAAGAAATTGAAAATCACCGTGCTTTGTTGCCTTACGCAAAGTACAATGACTTGAAGAAACAACGAGCAGAATTGAGGGAAAATCTAGAGCAAGCGAAAGCTAGGTATAGCTCCTTTGATAAGAACTTTGACCCATTGAGGGGTGATGTTTCTCTTCTTGAAGATGAAATAGAACTTGAGAAACGGGAACTCCAGGAAATTACAAAAGAACGAGAGGGTGTGTTGATTGAAATTGGCCGATACAAGCACGGTGTAACTAAAGTCCAAGATAGTATTTCCGACCTGTCGGCCGCTTTAAAAAGCTATAGAGCCAAATCAGAACTGAAGAAACGGGAATTGGAGGAAGTGAGAAAAGAGTTGGCAAACTTGACCAATCAACTTGAGAACTTTGAAAAGGTGGATAAAGAACAACTACAAATATTAAATAACAAATATGCTGAGGCAAGAGCCAAATTGCGTGAAACGGAAGAAAAACTTCGGGATGAAAACAACCAGACAGGAGATTTACGATCAGACTTGAATACTTTAGCACGCAATGTGCAACGTGAAGAATCAAAATTACAAGGCAATGATAAACTAGAGTTGTTATTATCGGCAGCTCAAGGAAAAAGCTACCGTCTTCGTGATGAGTCTTTTAAAGCGCATCGAAAACTTCGGGCTACTACTGACCTTAACTTGACATACTTTGAGGCCCCTATTATATCTTGTAATGTTTCTGACAAATCGATTGCACCAGCAATGGAAAAAATCATAGATAACAACACTTTATTCGCATTAACAACTACCACTCGGGAAGGGTATGATAAGCTAGGCAAGTTTTCTAAAGAAACAAGGTTAAATATTCCACTTAGAATGGTTGAAAATAATGAATTGCCGCGACCACGCTATTCAAAGGAAGAACTTAGGTCATTTGGATTTGATGGCTATTTGTCAGACTTCATAGTTGGTCCAAAAGAGGTACTAAGCATGCTTTACAGTACCTCTAAAATAAATACTATACCGGTAACGAAGAACCAATTGAGTCCGCAGCAGGTTGATAAGTTGACAAAGTCGTCGGATGTCCCTTTCAAAAAATTTGTTGCAGGTGACACGTTGTTCAACATCCGTACCTCGAAATATGGTTCTAAACAAGTATACTATGAGTCTGAAAAGTTTGGAAAATCACAGTTCTTTTCCGTATCTGGTATCTCAGAGCAAGATAAACAAAGAATAAACAGTAATATACAAAGATTCAACCAAGAAATTTCAGAAAAGAGGCAAGTATATCAGAACCACAAAGCTGAGATTGAGCAGTACACTTCTGACATTCGTTCTATTAGATATGAGATGTCTGAAATTAAGAATGAGCAGCAGAAAATTCAACTGATGACGACAGAGTTAACAAGCTTAGAGACAAAGATTAGCTCGAAGAAAGAAAAAGAGAAGAAGTTAGAAGAGGACTCCAACAAAGATTACTCGCGTAGAGTTAAACACTACGAACACAAAATTGCAGAATTGTACGGCGAGTTGGCTCAAAAGTCGATGGAATTAAGTCAGCTTCAAACCAAACTTTCTGATACCCAGATCAAATGTAAATTCCAGGAACTTGCTTTGACGACGTTGAGAAATAAATTGGCATCTGCCCATTCCTTGATGGAATCCCTTAAACTGATAAAGGACGAGCTAGCAAATGATGTCAGAAAATACAAGAGGGACTACGATCAAATCAAAGATTCCCCGGAGTATAAAGAGTATAAAGAGAAACAACTGTCGTTGACTGAAGAAGAAAGAGCCCATATTGCTGAATTTGCCAAAGTTTATCTAGAGAATGACACGTTTACGGAGCACACCATACGAAGCAAAATCAGTCACTTGGAAGAGGATTTGTCAGTTATGTCAGTTGGTGACAAGGGATCTATTACTTCGTTGCGGGCGAAGGTGCAGGACATTGAACGTGCAGAAACTGATTTACCCAGACTTGAAGCTGAAAAGCGCGCTTTGGACGAACGTATCAGAACTATATCAACTGAGTGGGACCGTGACTTGACAAGGTTTGTGGAACAGATTTCTGTGGCTTTTAGTAGACGGTTTTCTAAAGTTGCCAGTGAAGGGCGAGTAGAGTTGGCAAAAGCTGATAGATTTAAAGATTGGAAATTGCAGATTATGGTGAAATTTAGACATGAATCGGAGTTGAAAGTGTTGGATAATCAATCACAGTCTGGTGGGGAGCGAGCTGTCTCTACGATATTCTATATTATGTCCTTGCAAGGGCTTACTCATGCCCCCTTTAGGATTGTTGATGAGATCAATCAAGGTATGGATCCTAAAAATGAGCAAATGGCCCATAGATATCTCGTTCACACTGCGTGCCAGAATAACAAGTCTCAATACTTTCTAGTTACACCAAAATTATTGACCGGTTTGTATTACCACCCTGATATGGTTGTCCACTGTATCTTTACTGGTCCAATGATTGAGGAGAACGATGATCGACGTGATACTGGGTTTTTGGATTACGTCAATAGGATGGTTCCTGTTTAATTTAATATTTACAAGTTTATTTACAGTATAGATCTCTATAAGAAGCTATCCTCTTTAAACACTCTTTTTCACCTAGTAGAGACGTCAATGCTGGAATCGGCAAACCTGGTTTACCACCACTAAGAGCTGCCCTCAAGGTCATGAAAATCGTCTTTTTCTGCAACCCTTGTGCGGTTAGTCTTTCGACAGCATTGTCTATTCCATGCTCAAGGATATCATCTGCAATCTGCTTTGCTTGGCCAATGACCTTTGGTGGTTTGACATGCGCATAGTCGACGTCTTCGAAAAGGTACTTGTGCTCCGCCACGCCGTCAATGCTGTCCAAGTTCGGAGCTAGGTGACACAACAAGGTTGTGAGATATTCCTTGCTTTTATCTTTACTTAAAATGGCAAATTTTGGATAGAATTCATCCACCAACATCTTTAATGTAACCTCATCTTGACAAATTCTTTGGAAATGCTCCTTTTGAAAAAAATGCAATTTTGAATCACTCACCTTGGCATTGCCTTTAGTCAACTGGTCTAATGAAAACAGGTTGACCAATTGTTTCAAATCTAAGATTTCACTTGACTTTACATTCAACTCTCTTTGAGGTGACCAGCCAAATAATGCAACAAAGTTAACCAAAGCTTCAGGTAAAATACCTTGCTCGCGTAACAGCAAAATATTGAAATCGCCCTTCCTTTTGGATAACTTCTTATCTTGAAGAGACGTCAACAAGGGAATATGTATGTACTCAGGTGGGGTCCATCCAAATGCGTTGTATAGTGCAATGTGCTTGGGGGTTGAAGGTAGCCACTCTTCTCCCCGAATCACGTGTGATATCCTCATGAGATGATCATCTACGACATTTGCAAAGTGGTATGTTGGCATTCCATCGTTTTTGAGTATCACAAAGTCATCATATCGTTGATCTTTTGAGTTGTATTGAGGTTGTAAATTTAACTCTCCGTGTAACAAGTCATTAACTTTAGGATAATTGTATGGTGATTTAAATCTAATTATGAATGAGTCTCTGTGTGAGTCATGGTTACTAAGGCACTTTCTGTCGTAGGTGACGTTTGTTGGTGGTTTCAACAGCTTTGCACTTTCTCGCAATTCGAGTAATCTCTCTTTTGAGCAATAACATTTGTAAGCAAGTCCTTTATCTAGTAAAATCTGGGCATGTTTTTGGTATATCTCCTTCCGTTCGGATTGCCTATAAGGTCCATAGGATCCACCATGAATTGGACTTTCGTCAATATCCAAATTGCACCATTTCAAAGTATCAAATATATTTTGCTCTGCTCCATCGACAAGCCTATTCCGATCAGTATCTTCTATTCGAACTAAAAATTGACCCCCGGTGTTTTTAGCAAGCAAGTAGTTGTACAATGCCGTTCGCAAAGATCCAAGATGGAGAAACCCCGTTGGTGATGGTGCAAATCTTGTACGCGCTGGTCTTCCTGGATGAATTGATTTTCTTTTCGGTTCTTGTAGTTCGTCAAGGTTAAGCTGAGTATAATAACGTCCTTTGTTAATACATTGCTTGTAATGTCGTGTACTTAGTCGAGGAAGATACTTCCACATTTAGTAACTCGCTGAGAATGTGATTCAACTAGACTGTTTGTTTTATAATTTTTCATTTGGCTTCTTCTTCTCTTTTCCCACGAATCATGTGGTAGCGATCCAAGGGGGTATATTCAAAGTTTTGGGTGTCTTCTTTTTTATTTGTTTTTGAAAAAGTACACGTACTCACTTTCTGTTTAATGCGCTTCAAAAGAAAGAGAGGGAGAGCGCCACTGTAAATATATTTATAAAGAAGGAATTCAAGGGGGGAGAAAGATAAAGAAAATCAAATTATATCTCCATTGCTTTGACAACTTTAATCTTTCAAAGGTACAGAGCTCTGTTATTCAATTGAGTTTTCTTTGGATAGTCTTAAAATGTGCAATAGAAACAATAAAAACTCATCTTATTTTCAGGAGTCTTCAGACAAGCCTCACTTGGAATCAGGTAATTCCGTTGATGACTTCGACAAGTGTGTTGAGAGCTTTGACAAGATTGTTACAAATCTCGGATCTTTGACAAATGCTATAGTTGATGTGTCAATTGATGCTGGTAGGGAATTGAATGACAAGGCAAGGGAGTGGTCATTTAACTGGTTGTTCAATCCAAAGAAAACATGTGATGACGACTACTACAATTATGAGGATCGCAAGCCACATTTTTTCAACTTTCCTCCATTTTACCAAACTAGAGACGCAGACTTAAACTCAAGTCAAGCAGAGTCGAATGGTTGGTGGGGTAACAATGGCCGCTTTGGATACAATTTTCCCTTCAAATTTGGAAATACCCCCTTTGGTTATCGTGCTTATAAGGGCCCATCAACTAGACAATACCATGATTGTTTAGATAAGAGAGGACAATCTTTGTGGGACGAGCAAGGATACTGGAGGTGTTTATTCCCAGAAGCTGAAGTGCCAGTAGACGTGTTGGACTTCAAAAGAAAGTACTTTGCCGATTCAGTTGTGTCAAAGGAGGATTTTTTCAAGTACATGAATGAACTTGGAGCCAGTGAACAGAACAAAGTTATTGACTTGAAAGAGAAAGGCAAGTTCTTCAACACGTATGAGGATTACTTGGCATGGAGACAAGACAAGTATTCCGAGTTCAAAAAGCGAAAAGACGATGAAGCTAAGGCAAGAGCAACCGCAAGATCACAAGTGTTGGAGCTGGTGAAACAAAAGCACTCTGAGGCTGCTGCTGCTGCCGCAGTTGGTATTGATGATAACGACAAGTATGTCACTTCGACATCGGTCAAGTCCAACGTATTCACTGACTTAGATACAAACGAAGTAAAGTATGTTGAAACTAAACAGGAGTGTTTCAGTGATGGTAATTGTGTAGTCACAAAGATCACAAAGCTGAAGCCAATCGGGACTACCGACTGGGCCAACGTGGAAGAGCATACAGAAAGCTCTTCTGACTCTGGAAATAACGCCAATAAAGGCTGGTTTTGGAAATAGGATATTTAATTGGCTGGGTCTAGAGAGGAAATTTTTTTACTTCTGAATGAAGAGATGGGAAGAATCTTTTTACTGTGTATATAGTTTTAATGTGACAACGTATAATTTCTAATCTGATGTGTAGTATTTCTCTTTGCTTGACCCATTTTTGGTAGCATCGATTGGATTTTTGCCATACCTTTTTGAGAGAGACTAAATTTTGAGACAAAGTCACAGGGTCAACGACAACAACCATCAATCCCATCTAAACAACCCATTACATGAATCCATTGAATAAAATTATATTCCTATCTGCGTTTCTTGCTTCCGGATTCCTATTAATATTACTATCATGTGCCTTATATAGTAACTACAAGCCACTTTGGGTTATCGCCATATTCTTGTCCGCACCTTTGCCAAACATACTAGCAAATGCTATAGAAAATTCTAGAGATAACAACTTTCTCACATTCAACGACTACGGAACCTCAAATGAAGGTAATGCAAGTCCTTTGCAGGAGTTTGCCAGATTTACAACGGGTGTTTTAATCATCAGTGGTATTGCGTTGCCCTGGAGTTTGTACCATTGTTATTTAATTGGCTTAGAGTCATTCATACTAAGTGTCACAGGAGGTTTAATTGTATATTCAGACATAATCATATTCATCTGGTTCTTTAATAATGAAGAAGAGGAAAATGACGATTTCAACTTTTGAAAAATTAAAATCATATAGATCTGGAATTGGGAAATGCATTGTATTTTGTTCGAAATTGTCTCTAATTAAGTACAACTAATAAAAGAATCAAAATGATAGTTAGAATTATGATTGTTGTTAGACTGCCATTTTCTCTTGCCATTCGCCTAAAATCATTCAATCTCGTTGTGGCTCGTTGTATTCTTAAGCTGGAGTTGTCAACACCTTGCTCTAAATCGTTTAAAATTATCAACTGATCATCCAACTCTTGGTCAATATCCTTCCCCATCATATGTTGCCTGCTAATCAGCTGATGTAAGTAATCCAAATCCTGGTCTTGTCGCATCATTGTCTGTTGATGTGCAGCAAACATTTGATGATTAGTCCTTGAGTCTTCTTCCTCCTCTTCTTCTTGCACGGCTTCATCTGGGTCATCTCTATACGGTTGGAATGGTTGAGTCCCCATCATTTCAGAAGTATCTGCTTCATTAGGAACGTCTTTGAATCTAACTGCCTTTGCAGGAGCCGTTTTGGAAGATTTAGGAATTTCGTAGTGGAACTCTGATGCATCTATATTACTATCGTTTTGAATAGCCTGGTATATATCCGCATATCTATCAGCGAGATCTTTAAGTTGATCATACAAGTCGTTATCTTTGTAGTGGGTTTCTATTTCTGCCTGTACTAGCTCGAAGTTCTCAATAGTCTTGTGAACTAGATTATTCAACTCGGCATTATCATTCGCAGAAGGTTGTAGATCGAGTTCATGCAACTTAGATCTCTCCTCTACGGTTTCCTCGATTTCCTCAATAGAAACCTCTATCTTGTAAAATAAAGATTTGACTTCTTTCCTGCTTAGTGGCATACTCTTTGATGTGCTGGCGTGTTGACTGTAAGGTATGTTGGCTTTTGTTATGTGTGGCCCTCAGATTAAAGAGATAACACAAAAATTTTGAACGAAACTAAAGTTGTGAATTTTTGTCTAAGACTGTGTTTTTTTCAAACATATGTAACACTTTAGATTGACAAACCGAACCCCTAACCCCAACCGCCCTAGCATTTGTTGAAAACTTTGATATCTAATTCAACTCTAACACTGATTAGCTATGTTCTCGAAGATTCGAAACTTCTCCGAGGATGTGGCCAAAAGTTTGAACGACTTGAATTTAACAGATCAACAAAATCAAGCACAACAACTGAAACCGGACCCATTGGCTCAGCTACAACGAAATGCCCGAATATTACAAGCAGAAACTCCTGACTCCAATCAATTGACTCAACCAAAAGATGAACTGGAATCTGATGTCCCATCTCGAATATCAACACCCGCCAACAATGGTGATCAAACGCCTTCAAGCACAAAGCAAGGGACGCCACCCGTCGATTCGTCCACAGTCAGCTTAGATGAATTACCTCCTGCTATTAAATCAAAGATGAAAAAATTTGCCAAGTATGAAGAGAAGTATCCTGTGTTGTTGGAGGCTTACAAAGTTGAAAAGAGGAAAACAGAATTGATCAAGATTTTCGAGAATGTACTTAAAGAGAACACTCCGGTGTCATCAATATCTGATGCAAGGACTCTTGTTGAGTACCTCAATGGGCTCAATGAGAAAACTAAGATGCAGAATAATGAGATCAGGAAATTGACAAAGGAGAACTCTGTGCTTACTTTTAAAATAGCCAAGTATGAGGAAGAAGGGGAGGATACTTTGTTTAGGAAAATCGAAGACTTGAAGAAGGAAAATGATGGGTTGAAGAAACAAGTGTCTGATCATGAAAGCAAAATTAAGACATTGAATGAAGAAAAAGACAAACTTGAAAAAAGACTTGAGGAAAAGGACAAGTTGACTGATGAACAAGCTAAGGTTGAAAAAGAGGAATCTGTGGCTCAAAATGAGCTGGAAACACCTTCTGGTGATAATGACTACAAGGAAAACATAAAGGAGCTAAAATCCAAACTTTTGGACAAAGACAAGGAACTCGAAGACGTCAGAGTGAAACTCCAAAGGGCAAATAAATCCTTGGAAGAAAAGAAAGACGAAATTGAAGATTTGAGAGACCTGATGAAAGATATTGGAAATGACTTGGTTACCGCAAAAGACGAAATCAAGGACTTGAGACTGAAAGTCAAGAACGGTAACCTGGAAGGCGATAAAATAACCGATACTTCCCATGTGGATATGCAAGAGAAAAACCTTGAAAAACAAATCTCAACCTTGGCTGATGAAGTAAAGTCATGGAAGGACAAAGTGTCTCAAAAGACGAAAGAAGTGAAAGAATTGCAAACTAAAGTAACCACCTTGGAAGACGAATCTCATGAAGAACAATTGGCAAATAAACAATCTGAAAGCCAGCTTCGAAAGGAAATACAATCGTTGAAGAAGCAATTAAACGACCAAAACGAAAATTTAAGCAATACCGAGAAACAATTGAATGCGCAAAAGGCGGAAAGGGAAAAATTGGAGCAACGATTGCATGAATTGTCCAAGTTTAAAAGTAATGACACCTCATACAAGTTGGAAGTCTCGTCATTGCAGTCTAACTTGGATCACAAAGAGGAGACAATAAAAGAACTCAAGTCCAAAATAGAGTCTCTCAACGAAAACAGCAACACACTCCAAACAAAAATTGACAAGTTGGAAAAAACAAATAATGAGTTGCAAACCAACTACATGGGTTTACTTAAAAACAAAAATGAACTTTTGACAAAACAAGAGTCCTTTATTGAAAGTGAAAAATCTTTAAATGTTCAATTATCAAAGCTTCAAAAGGAGAAACAGGAGATCCGTAACGAATTGGACAAAACACGCAGTAGCTTGGATTCGTTGTTGTCAGAAAAGCTGTCTGCAAGTAATGATGTCCAACTGTACAAAAGGCAATATGACGAGTTGACGATGAAATCAAAGGAATACAATTTACGGATTGAAAGTTTGGAAGATGATTTGTCAGAGAGTCGAAACTTGTTGCAAGAAAGGACAAGAGAAGGAGGAAACTTGAGACGATTGTTGATTGAAACCGATGAAATGATGAAACAGAAGGAGTCAGACCACAAATTAGAGATTAGGAGACTAGAGGATGAGAAAACTGAATTTGAAAGAAGCAGTAACCAGTTGATCAAAAAGAAGCAAAAGGATATTGATGAATTGAACGTGGCATTAAAAGAGCATAAGCAACGCATTTCTAACCTCGAGGAAAGACTTAAAGTCATTGAAGCTGTTCCGCATAATGAGCTGGTTCCCGAGAATAACCAAATAGATTCAGAATTGCAAGTTCAAATAAATACTCTACGAGAAGCATTATCAGTTTCATCTAACAAACTAAAGGATTATGAAAAATTGAATTCCAATTTAAAGAAGTTGAATGACGATAATTTGTTAAAGTTTGAGAGACTTTCCAAGAATTATAAACTATTAACTCAACAGTACAGATTAATGAAGGACAATGAAAGTCGTCGTGGGTCAGCTGAAAGTGTGACTAATTCTTTAGTAAATGGATCCGAAAGGAGGGAGAGTTTGGATGAGAAAAAGGACAAAGATAAACAGACAGACACCAACATTGCATATTTGAAAAATGTTTTGCTTGGATATTTTGAGCATAAGGAACAGCGGGAGCAGTTGTTGCCGGTATTGAAAACAATATTTCAGTTTTCCAAGGATGATGAGAATAAATTTTTATTAGCGTTGAAGTAGTTCTTGTTGTGGGGAAAGTTATATATATATATATATATAAAAACATGAAAAGTGTATATATAAAACATTGTCAGTCAATTGTAAGCAGTATTTTTGCATCCACTCTTTAAAATTTTCTTAAAAAAAAAAGTATTCTTTTGCCATATAACCAACATCCAACATGCAAGACTCTTTTGCTCAGAAGAAGCAAAGTATACTTCGAGATATATCAACAAATGGACCCGAGAACTTGGACGCGTCTCCAAAGGGAACCATCGATGATCATTGTATACCGATAATAAATTTAATCAATTCGCATCGTGATATGGTGACAACATCTTCATGCTCTGGAAGAGTTTCAGTATACTTGGAGGGTACCCAGAATAAGTTAGTACTGAAGGGAAATGAAGGTAAATGGATATTTGTTACCCATGACACGTCGAATCTTGAGAACTGGTACAAATCAATTGATTTCCAGTACGTGCATGAATACCCAGCATCATCGTATGAAACAAGATCTATATTGTACAAATTTGAGGCTCTAATATTGCATGTCAAATGTCGAGATCAGTCTGCAGCTAACAAACTATACTCGGTTGCGATGAATTGTGGGTTTAGAGAGAGTGGCATAGGAAGCAATTACAATGTGGCCATTAGAACCTCAATTAAATTGGATGTGCCTATTGGATATTTAGAAGGTGGTGACATTTATCGATGTTTTGTGACAGAGGAGTATTTGAAATTCATCACCAGTGTGTCATTTGATAGATTTCAAGAAAACTTTAAGAAATTGGAGCAGTTAAACAACGCCATTGAAAAGAATATCATCAATGCACCTTTGCGTGCTGATGGTGATGATCATGATGATGATAACACACAACAAAAGGGTACAAAAAATAAAGACTGGGAAACTATTGAAGAAAGACGAGCACGAATGAAACAAGAAGGTTTACAAAGAAAAGAAGAATTGAAAAAAGCCAAAGAATATGCATCCAACTGATTAAGGAAATTGATGTTGTTTTGTAGGTGATTACTAAGTATAAGTGAAGTAGTTTTGTTTGAGTCATAGAAGAGACCAACAAATATAAAATATTTTGAATTAAAAAAGTGTCTCACCTTTTCTCTGAAGAACGAACAGAACAGACAGAAACGAACAGAAACGAAAAATAAAATAAAATTATTTCTTTTAAATTTTTCACTCATTTTCATTTTCTCCCTTGAAAAAAAAAAAAGAGAATAAGAAGAAGAAGAAGTACCATAACATCAAACTAACAATGTCTACCTCTGAGAAGTTGGAAAACTTATCAATCAATGAAAAGCCAGCTGAATCCCCAGCTGCCAAGCAAGAAAACTCAACCTCTGAACAACCAGAAGAGGTTATCTTGGGTGAAGATGGACAGCCATTGTCAAAGAAGGCATTGAAGAAATTGCAAAAAGAGAAGGAAAAACAAGCAAAGAAGGCCGAAAGAGAGGCCCAATTAGCCAAAGAGAAAGAAGCAAGGGAAAAAGAGGCGGCAAACGATCCAGCAAAGGCCAATTACGGAAAATTACCCATTATTAACTCGTCATCAAAGTCAAATGTAAAGAGATCCAAGATTGCCGACATATCAGCTTCCAACGATGGAGAAACTGTTACACTCAGAGCAAGAGTCCACAAGACAAGACAGCAAGGTGCCACAATGGTCTTTTTCGCCTTGAGACAACAAACAAACATTATCCAAGCTTTATTGAAAACCAACAAGGAAACCGACAACACGGCCATTTCGAAACAAATGGTGAAATGGGCAGGCGGTATTAGTTTAGAGAGTATTGTTTTGGTAGAAGGTAAAGTCGCCAAAGTCGATGAGTTGGTCAAGTCGGCTACTGTACAAGATGCAGAAATACACATCACCAAAATTTACACCATTCAAGAGACTCCAGAACAATTGCCACTTTTGTTGGAAGATGCCTCAAGAACTGAGCAAGAGGCTGAAGAGTTGGGCTTACCAGTTGTCAACTTGGACACTAGATTAGACTCTAGAGTTATTGACTTGAGAACTCCAACAAATCAAGCAATCTTTAAAATCCAATCCGGTGTCTCACAATTATTTAGAGAGTTTTTGTCCAAAAAGGGATTCACTGAAATACACACCCCAAAAATCATTGGAGCTGCTTCAGAAGGTGGTTCGAACGTGTTTGAAATTAACTATTTTAAGGGATCTGCTTTCTTGGCACAATCGCCGCAATTGTATAAGCAACAATTGATTGCTGGTGATTTCGAAAGAGTGTTTGAAGTTGCTCCAGTTTTCAGGGCCGAAAATTCAAACACCCATCGTCATATGACGGAATTCACTGGATTGGATTTGGAAATGGCATTCGAGGAACACTATGACGAAGTCTTGCAAGTTTTGGAAGACTTGTTTGTATTCATCTTTACTGAATTGAAAGAAAGGTATGGTAAGGAGATTGCCACTGTCAGAAAACAATTTCCAGTTGAAGAATTCAAGATTAACATGGTTAAATTGCACTTCAAAGAAGGTATTGCCATGTTGAGAGAAGCAGGTAAAGAGGTTGATGATTTTGAAGATTTGTCAACTGAGAATGAGAAATTGTTGGGTAAGTTGGTCCGTGAAAAGTACGACACTGATTTCTATATTTTGGACAAATTCCCATTAGCCATTAGACCATTCTATACCATGCCTGACGCAGAGGATCCAAGATACTCAAACTCGTATGACTTCTTCATGAGAGGTGAAGAGATCTTGTCTGGTGCCCAACGTATCCACGACCCAGAATTATTGAAGGAGAGAATGAAGGCACACGAAGTTGATCCAAATACCCCAGGTTTGAATGATTATGTTGATGCATTCACCTATGGATGTCCTCCACATGCTGGTGGTGGTATCGGATTGGAAAGAGTGGTTATGTTCTTTTTGGACTTGAAAAACATTCGTCGTGCTTCATTGTTCCCAAGAGATCCAAAGAGATTGAGACCATAATTTATGAATTGTATATTTTGTATATTGTATATCCTCTTGCCCTAATGTACGTTGTATAAATTTTGGAGTGTGCGGCTCTCTCTCTCTCTCAATCAAAAAATTGGTAAAAGCTAGTAGGATAGAAAAATCCGCTGATGAAATTGCCCGAATTGGACATTTTAACTAATATAGAAAGAAAGGTATTCATACACACACACACACATAGACTATGGAAGCCACAATAGTACCCCATCCGAAAGATACCAATGCAACCATATTACTTATGGGGTTGCGAAGAAGTGGTAAATCGTCAATATGCAAAGTCGTATTTCACAACATGCAACCACTAGATACACTTTACCTTGAGAGTACATCCAAGCCCACAAATGAACAGTTTTCTTCATTGATTGATTTATCAGTGATGGAGCTTCCGGGACAATTGAACTACTTCGAACCAAATTACGACTCGGAAAGACTCTTTTCCTCAGTTGGGGCTTTGGTATACGTTATCGACTCTCAAGATGAGTATTTGAATGCATTGACAAACTTGTCTATGATTATTGATTTTGCATATAGAGTGAATCCAAAGATAAACATAGAAGTATTGATACATAAAGTTGACGGGTTGAGTGAGGATTACAGAATGGATGCACAACAAGATATCATGCAAAGAACCGGGGATGAATTACTAGACTTGGGCTTGGAGGGAGTCCTGGTGAGTTTTTACTTGACATCAATTTTTGATCATTCGGTATATGAAGCATTTTCGAGAATTGTGCAACGTTTGATACCAGAATTGCCCTCGTTGGAGCACATGTTGGATAACCTTGTTCAACATTCAAGTATTGATAAAGTGTTCCTCTTTGACGTCAATTCGAAAATATATGTAGCTACTGACTCGCTGCCGGTTGATATACAAACTTACGAAGTTTGTGCTGAATTTATTGATATAACTATTGATTTGGATGATTTGTATATTGAAAACGATGAAAATGTCAACAAAAACGGTGGTGTCAAAGGACCTGATGGGAACAAAGAGTTGAGATCGGTAAGTCATTTGTCAAATGGGTCTACATTGTACTTGAAGCAAATGATTAGAGGTTTGGCTTTGGTGGCATTGATACGAAATGAGAGTTTTGCCGACACACCAGCTGACTCGGAGAAATCATTGACAATTATAGAGTACAATGTTGATTTGTTTAAACAAGCATTGATAAAAATGTGGACACCAAAACGATAAAAGTGGGCACACAAAGAGTAGCTTGTGGTAATTTATTACGTGTGTAGAAAGACCTATCAAAGCACTTTGAAAATCTTTATAGTCTAGTTAAAATAAGATGAAAATTGAAGCTCTACTCATGTTGCTACATTGTTGATTCAAGGACTGGAGACTGTATTAAAGCGTTACTATAAACTGCGCCTTTACCCCCTCCCAGCACATCTCTACACAATGATGATAAGAAACCTCTCTATTCACTGTGCACAGTCATCACACATCCAATTGCCAATCAAAAGTCCTTCCAAACAATAGTCAGTCTCGAGAACATTTGACACCCGCAAAAGTGGAAAGTGTCGACAACCAATCAAATTGGAAAATAAATTCAAAATGATGTTAATAAACCAAAAATTAAAAGACCCACACTTTCTGATCCAATTATCTCCACGGTAAGAACAACTTCTCAAAATCATCCTGCAAAAACAGGCGAAATATCAAAGCATTCATACACCGTGGAAAAGAGTAACTGAACCATTAATGAAAGTTGGCATTTTTCAACCCATGGCGATCTTTTCCACCCCCCATACATCAGCTTCAAAGAAACATTCAGTAGGAGGTGTAGGAAAATGTGCAATGCCTCTGGATCTAATAAATGATTGCAGGACTACTTGATCTCCTGTAATATCTCAAGGTAAGTATGAAGAAAAAAAAAAAAAGGGAAAAAAAATGAGAAAAAAAATTTGGTGGGAATTGAAAAGTATTTATAGTTGGCGTTTTTTTAGCGAAAAAAGTGCTACCAAAACAAATACCACTCAATTTATTGTTTTATACATTCGTATTCACAGGCATACATCAACTCTTTTCCTGGATTTCTAACAAAAATTGGATCCTTTGGTTTCTTCAGCATGTTATTTGTAAAGAAAACTGCTCCAACTCCTGTGCACTTGCCTTCGTTCAAATTAAACCCGCCTGTAGTCACAAATCCCACCACATGTTCATCCTTGCAGACTTTGTTTTCATATATTCGAGCATTGTTTTCAATCACACCTTCGCCTAATATTTTGAGTGCGATTGGGGTCACTGGCAAGTCTCTAACCCTATAATCCCCTAACATCGCTACATTCAGGTTATAGTTAGAAGGAGTCATAAGTCGGACAACACTTTTGTGTTTATCATCAGCTCTGTTCTCAAAGACAGTAGAAGCTAATTCGTTTGCAAATGCATCGGGGTGAATTCTATTGTCAGCATCCCAGTATTGATGCCATTCACTCTCTATCTTACTTAGAGTGTTCCTTGCATTTCTTAAATTATACCAATCACAAGTGTAAGCATCATAAAGGGTACTGAATCGTTCCTCGGCTTTCTGTAAAGACATTTGTTTCTTGGGCTTTTTAGCATCAGTGTCTCTACTCAAATCTCCAATCATGCAATTGTACTTTTGACCTTCGTCGCTCCATGGGTAATCGTATGGGTACGTAGGATTGTGGTTTTCAAAATTAAACTGATACATCTGTTTCAATCCGCCAGGTTTAATACCGGGAATCTTCACCAATTGAATCCAAATCGGTAAAGTCCAAAACCAAGGGCAAATTAAAGACCACGTCTGTGGCGCAGTCTTGGTCAACAAAAGTGGAATTTTGCTATGCAGCACTTTTTCAAATGGGGTTCCGTGACTTTGAATCCTTCCTAAATCTTTGATTGATAATTGGTTTTCATAAGATGCATATCTCCCTTCAGAAGACAACAACGAGGCAATGGTTACGTCACTAGTAACACGCTCGTTATTAAGTTGCACTACTGTATCGTAGATATCTTGAGTGCTCTTTATGGGGAATTTTGTCGGCTTACTCCAAAGACGTGGATCGTAGATTTCAAACGTTAGTGTGGTCCCTACTGGTATCAAAGAGTTATCTCTGTGGGAGGATATGGACGCCCAAATATTCATTACTTCCGCTGATGCATCCCGCAAATGTAAAACCTTGCTCAAATACTCCAAACTCGAGGGTCCTGATAAATCAATGCTGCCTAAACTGTAACGGCAATCGCAAAAGTCTAAACGTAGACCAGCTGCTAAAATGTATTCCCGTAACTTCCTTAAAAATTCCCCGTAGTTTTCAGTTTGTATTTGCAATAGCATGCAGCGAGTTTCTCGGGAAATAAAAATAGTTCCAAAAGCGCTAGGTTTGCCTTGGATATACATCACACCAGTGTACGACCTATTTCCATTCATCACTAATCCTGGAACATAGGTTTTGTTCAATAATGCTCGTAAAAATTGATACAAGCTGTCTTCCAGGACCCAGTTGAGACTCAATGACCCTCTATAGGACGTGTCAAAACATACTGCCCTATACTTATTTTGCCTATTCATAAACTTGAAACACTTTTGTGTAGGCGTATATGGAACTTGGAAGTCAAACTTTTTCGACATCTTGAACCGCTTTGCATGCCAAATATGGCTTGGTATCCAGGCAAACTTTTGCTGTCTTTTACCATACTTGATGCTCCTTCGTGGGGGTCGAGCTATACAAAAACTCGCTGAATGGTCAAAAGATCCAACAGAATTATTAAGCTTTTTCTCACGGGACTTCCACAACTGCTGCAACTCGTCTGCAATTTCTTTATGATGAGCACGTATATTGCACTTTGTCCAAATTTCACCAGGATTGCATCTTTCCTTCTTCAACTTTGATGCCACCTTCAAAGTTTTCTGTTTTTGCAACAATTTGTATAGCCTTCTTCCCTTGGGTACCTTTCCTGAAGGAGTTTTAGCTCCTTTCATCTCTCGTAGCGCCTTTGATCGCAATCGTTTTGGAATTCGACTTATGTGATGAGACGCAGCTCTTCGTCTCATCAGCCGAGGCAAATTCTGGAAGCACCGTGAGTTCAATGCTTGTTTGCTTTTCAATTGGGACAATTCAAATGCATTGATCTCGTACTTTCTTGACTCAATGAATTCAGGCACATTCAATTTCGTGTCTTGCTGGTCGTAGGAAGCATCCTGATTTTGTGCTTTAATGTTACGGCTGTTGTAAAGCTTTGTTTTCTTTTTATTCAACAGTGATTTCTTGTCATTACGCTGCTGATTGCTCATGTGAACGGTTCAATATTGAAAGGATAGGGTTTAGTTAAGATCACGATGATTATTGAGAGCTCCCACAAAATACAACAATAAAAAAAAATAATTTGGAATCATTTTACACGCACAAGTTATTTTGTTAATGAAAAAGTTTGCTTGGTTTTAAATTAAGCTATGGTCTGCTCTTACAATTTATGCACCAAAGCTACGATGTCGTTAAAAGTACAAAGCAGTAAGGTTGAAGAAGTCAAAAAAATAATGCTCTCAGCAGGATTCGAACCTACGATCTCCTCATTACTAGTGAGGTGCCTTACCAACTTGGCCATAAGAGCTAATATAAAAATTTTTACTTTTTTATGGAAATATTTCGTGTTTGTGCTACCTCAAATTTGGCGTAATTTTTACCACGTGTAAAATCATATAAAATAGAAGAAATACATAATTGGAGTAGCAGTGGTGACACTCGTAACACAACTTCACAACTTTGATTGGTTTGAAGAGCTTGGCATGTTATTCACTTTTGCTTTATTAAACTTGTCTCTAGCATTTTTTCAGAACAGGATATTTTTTGTCGTCATATGGCTGCAAAAAAATAGAAGTTCAAACTCCACTTGTATGCCGTATCAAGCACCTCAACACACAAAAAAATGCTCTACATTTTTGATTTCACATTCTATGTTGTTTTGAATAAATAATTAATCTAAAAGTTAACTTGTTACATCACCAACCATCTCCCCACTCGTCCTCTTCACCGTCATCAGCAGCATCAACAGCCAAGTTCAAATTTAATGTCGGTTTAGGTTTATTCGGATTGGCCTTGGAACTGTGCCCTAACCTCAATGATGTTGGCTTTTTCGAACCTAGTGGTTTTCTCGCCGACCTTGCCCCTGGTGTAGATGTATGTATATCAGTTGATTTGCCAAGATTCAATTTTCGTATTGGTTCAACTATTGGCTTTTGGATACTAGATTCATTGTCGTTGTCAAGCCAGTCTTCGTTGAAATCGTCATCCCATCCTTGACCTGATTCATCGCCACCAGTATCTTTGATTGCATTTACATTGACAGGAGTTTCCAAGATCGGCAATTGCTGTTGTGTAGGGGTACCGATTCGAGTGATATCAGGTGTAGACTGGTTGAAATCTTTGTTCAATTGACCACCAGTGGCAATATCAGCAGTTGCGCCACCACTACCACCACCAAACGAGGTCAATTTGTTAACCACTCCCCATCCAAAGTAGCCGCCATTTGCAGCAGCGTTCGAGTTTGAAGGTTCAGAAAAAGAGTTGCTACCTTCTTCATCAGGTTGTGGCTTTGGTGCAAACCGTTTATAAAATTCACGTTCTTCTTCATCTTCATCAGGCTCAACATTGGGCAATTCTTTTGCATGTGTTTCCACTGAACTCAAATACAAATCAAACACATCTTTAGCCTCATGGCGAACTTTAGCTGACGCTTTATCCATCAAAGATATAGCTAAATGGCCCAATATCTTGGAACATATTTCTTCTAACGAAAATTCATCAATTAATGATTTGAACCCATTTAATGCAGTAATTTTACAAGGAACAAATGAATCACGCAATGATTTCGACAAGGCAGTTATGAGCACATTGTTTTTGGAATTGGAATAAATCTTGGATGATATTTTGATAATTAAAATCAACGTGTTGACTCTAATTGAAGGTTTTGGGTCCATTTGAGATTTGGCTAGGATACGGAGCAACTCTTGATTAACTTGTTTGACAGAAATCTTATCAATAATAATAGTGATTGATTTCAAGGTTGTTTCTCTGATCATGAAATTTGTATCTTGAAATCCAGTGATTAATGGTGTGAATATTTTTGATTGAATTTCTGAATCCAGAAGAAACTCTTGGTATGCAGGTAAATGGGTCAACAACACCAATCGAATTGCTCGATCAGCAAGGTTGAAACTTTCAAAAATAATGGGCTTTATTTGTTTGTTGAACTCGTCGGATGTCAACTTTGTTCCAAATTTGACAATTAAATTAAGGATGGCTGTTAAAGTTTCCTGTCTCGTCATAGGATCAAGCACATTGGGATCAGTGGCTGCTCCAGGAGCAGCTGCAGCAGTGCTACTACTCTTCGTCAACTGTTTGTACTGACGGATTAATTCAGGAAGTAATTTGTAATTCAACATTCCGGGTGGATATATATCATCCTCGATATATTGCGGCAACTCATACTTGAAAAAGGTAATTTTCTCACCATCATTCATAAAGTGTAACTCATACAACTGATGGTCAAATTGGATGACTTTATTCAGTTGGTGGAAAGCTTCCAACTCTTTGACAAACGCAGCAATGGTTGATCGCTTAGCGTACAACCTCTTGACAGGACCAACTAACTTGACCGGCAATTTCACACTAGTATCAACTACCCCCTTTCCGTTGAATACTGCATACACAAAACATGCCAACTTGAACCCATCAAACTTCTTCGGATTTTGTCTAATAAAGTCATGATCAATATCCTGTTGTTGAAAATGAGGCAAAGACTGACTCAATCGATAAATGGGTTGATCAGGGTCCGATGTCAAATTGGTGACAATTTCAAATCCCATTAATTTCCAATCTCCCAGTCGATTGACAAACACCGAATTGTAAAAATTCAATCCCCCATACACTGAATTACAATCATCATTAATAAACTTCAATGAATTTTCAACAGAATAGAGCCCAGCCACCAATGCATCATTATCCAATTTATTGTTTCCCAAATACACCGATAAGGGAAGTACTCTTTCGGTAATTATGTACAAGTGGGAATCATTTTCAATAAAGTCAATAATGGATATAATTCCCGGAAATTTAATCAATTTCAACTTTTTAAACGCATTACGTGCTAGTAGCTCATAGCGTTGAGTTTTTGGCTCGCAAAGGCTAAATTCAAATATGGACACATCAGAGGAGTCCTTCGGGTTGACACCGTTGTATAAGGTCCAAATTGAATTTTGATCAGTTTCGAGCTGTGACGATGCAAGTGTGACGGGATCGACGATTTTCTCTTTAAAAGTGTACGGTATCGAAGTACCAGTGAAGGTGCTTAGTGTCTTGCTTAAAAAGTTCATTTCGTGAAAAGCAAAGTCCTGTAGCTGATTCTTTGTAGTTCGTGGTGTAAACTGTGGGTATATGTTTTTAATATGTGAGAAAATTTCGAAATTTTATCTTCCAAGTGATAGTTGCTTTTGTGTGAAGTGAAAACACGACACGCGATTCGGAAAAAACAAAACAAAACAATAAAACTTATCTGATTGATTTTACCTATACATTATTATACTGTTACAAAACATCAAAGATCGTAGAAAATAAAAATAAAACACTCAATTGCCACTAGCTTCCAATTAAGAAGTGAAATGAACACCTCTCTAATGGAACCGGAACAAAACAAATATCAACAAATTGAATATCTTCGAGCAATCGCTAAACCACAGTATTGCTAAAGTTTATCAACTCACTGTGGCTTCAGGACTAGCCAAGGAGCCTTCTGACCCTTCCTTTTGTTGCTTACCCCTTCCTCTAATACCCTTGTTTGAATTTTTATACAAGCTCTTAAAGTACAATAACAAATTCTTTTCATCAGGCGGTAATCGTTCCAAAGCCGGTCCACTCAACTCTGCTAGTTTATGCGTCAACGTGTTCAATGTATGCGAATGAAACCTATTCTGATGAGACTTTAAGTTTCCCAACTGGGTAAATGATTTGTCACAATTGTCCAACTTGCATTCAAACGGTTTCACATTCTCATGAGTTAACCTATGGGCTTCAAGGTTCCCCTTCCTGTTGAAGGACCTATTGCAAATATCACACGTGAATGGCTTCTCACCCGTGTGCAACCTCAAGTGAGTTCGTAAATTACCTCCTTGAGTAAACTTCTTGTGACAATAAGTACACTCGTATGGCTTATACCCAATATGAGAACGAATATGAACTTCAAGATGAGTCGACTGCGTAAAGTATTTTAAACAATACGGACATTGTTGCGTCCTGGCCTTGTGACGTTTACTATCATGCTCATCTTCTCCTTCCTCATGAGATGAGTCTGACTTGTGTTTTTGTGGCTTGTCAACGCCGCCAACAAGTGTGACCGGGCGTGGAACAATCTCGCTTTGAGCCGGTTGACTTCCCGGTCCATACCCCCCTCGTGCAGCCAAAACACTTCCATCTGGCCCTTGGTCAATTGATTTAGTCACCCCCTTGTCACGAGCTTGGATCACCAACATTAATTGATCAATTTTGGTAGCTCCTAGAAGTGGCCTACCATCCTCTGATCTGGCAATTTGCTGAGCCGGGATTAGATTTGGATTCACTGGAGAAACAGCTTGTGGGTTGACAGAATCAACAGCGTCTTTCGTTTGACGTGTACGCTTTGCCGGTTGTTTCCTTTTCTTCGATGATCCCAGCTCTTGTATTTGCTGTTGAAGTTGTTGCTGTTGCTGTTGATATTGAGGCTGTGGTGGATATTGCTGCAGTTGAGGCATGTAGTATTGCAGCTGCTGCTGTGGAGGTGGTTGTTGTTGCTGCTGTGGTTGTTGCTGCTGCAAATACGGCTGTTGATACGGTTGCACTTGCGGACGGCTGACTTGTGAATACATTTGTTGAGGGGGCATTTGTCCTTGAATTTGCTGTTGTTGATTTTGAAGAGGATACTGGTATCCACCCATAAAACTATTTTGGCGATTACCACCTGGCAGCATTGCTTGGAAGGAAAGCAGATTATTAAAGCTGGGGAACGTGGAGTACTGATACTGGTTTGAAGGGGACATTGGATTGGCGCTAGTTTGGAAAACGTTTTGCGACAGTGAATTTGCTGAAGGGCGTTGGTTGTATGCGGTAGGAGGGTAAGAAGACGCGTCTGAAATACGGTTAGTGTTGTATAAATTTGGCGACGTTTTCGGCGACTGAGGTTCATCGTTGCGTTTTGATGCTTTTGATGACACAGAAGAAGTCGGCGACAATTCTTTTTCAGACTTACTTTTTGAACGCTTACCTTGCCTACTTCTGCCTTTATTTCCTCCATCAATACTTTGCTTAGTGCTCAGCTTTTCTTTTCCCTTTTCGAAAATATCCAGTCTCAAATTTGCACTCGCATTTGAAGAGTTGGCTGAAGAAATTGATACTCGTGGATTCCTCAGTGACGTCTGGTTATTTATAATTTTCAAAATTGAATCACGACGTTGTTGATTATTCATGTTGCTGAAATCTATTGATCCATTGGAGATCATGTTTTGTATGATTTCCGTGATACTATTGTTGAACCCTATTGATCCCGCTTGGTTAGAATTATCCATCCAAGCCGACAAATCAAGCGAGCCACTTTTGCCCTTTGCGTTGGTTCCAGCATTTGGAGCAGGGGCAGAAACAGTCCCAGCCACTGCCGCACCAGCACCCGCAGTAGAGTTGTTCCCTGCAGGTCCTCCAGAAGCACCACTGAGTGAAAACTTTAAATCTCCTTGTTGCCAGGCAAAGAGGTTGGCCATGCTTTCCTTATTGTTGCCAAAAAGATTTTCCAAATCTTCAATGGTAAACTCCTGGTTTGGAACTAGCGAAATTTGACGTGAGCGAGATGTAGGCGGTAAATTTGGTGCTTGATTTCCAGTGCTAACGATTTTGTTGTTGCTTCCGCCCGCAGAAGCTGCAGCTGCCTGTGGTTGCTGAGAAGATACGCCTGACTGCTCACTGATCGAGTTACCATTGGAGCCTGGCAAATTAATGAGCGAGCTGAATATACTGTTTGAGCGTGACCCAAGTGGGTTGCCGCTGGATTGATTTAGGCGCGGGTTGGCAGTTGTTGTCTCATACGACTGCTCAGAAGTTGGTCGAATTTGAGATGAAGATATGGGTGGAGGCAAAAAAATCGAGTCCCCTCTACTTCGTGTGGTTAATTGTTGAGGAGGAATTGGTTGGGATTGTTGCTGAGGTTGCAACGCTGGAGGACTCGTTAAATTTGACAATGGTTGTTGTGATCTTTGAAAAGGCTGGTTGGAAAATATATTATTCATTTGTTGTGGGTACAGTGACTGTGATTGAGATGTTTGCTGCTGTTGTTGTTGTTGTTGTTGACTATGCTGTTTTTGATGTTGAGACAGCGGGTTTGGCTGTTGCGAATGCTCTAAATAGCTCATTGTTGGGCAAATCCTTTGTTTAGTATATGCTGATAATAAAAATAGTCTGTATTGATGTATAATGAAATGGGGGTCCCCTTTGTTGCTTTCTTGATATACAGAGTCCTTTTTGATGTGTAATAGTCAAAGTAAAGTTGTCAAAAGTTGTTATTAAATTTAGCTTTAATTTAGTATACTTATCAAAAACTGAGTAGTTTATAATAATGTTGTGTTTTCAAATTGGTGTACTATTTGCTGTTTAATTGATGATTGGTATGCAAAAATGATGATGCATTTTTGTTCTAACAAAGCTGGAGAATTTGAAAATATATTGCGCAACACAGACGGGGGTACAATTGTCGTTGTGTAAGCAGTGTTACTCAATGGTGTATGGATATATGAACAGTGTTTATATAGTTGAAGAATTGATGAAGGTGTGTGTGCGTGCGTGTGTGTGTGTGTGTGTGTGTGTGTGTGTGTATTTACTTGTCGTGGTTGTTAATGTTGTTGTTTGTTGTTGATTGTGGTTTTTTTCTTTATTTTTTTTGATGATGGAATTTTGTGGTGATTGCGGACTTCTCCAAAATTTATAAAAGTGTACACTTACAAAATTCCTTTGTCCTTTTTCTTGTTCTAGATTTTAAATAAAAAGTTGGGATGAATTTAGCAATTACTAGGGAGATGTAGCTGTTGTTGTTGTCATAATTACAAGTGTATGATGTTTAAGTAGACTAGGGAGACTACGAGATGGCACGTGAATCAGAGGTTTGGGGGGGGGGGGTGTCATTTAAGAATATCAGTTTGATGACAAAAACAACCAAGGACAAGGCATACAGAAGTAGATCATCTGACCCAGTTATAAAACTATACAAGTTAGAGTAGCTTTAAACGATGTGAATGGTGTAAGTCTTGAGTGAGAAAATCATGGCCCTACCTCTTCCCCCCTCCTCTTGTTGATCACATTTTATTTTTGAAATTATTTGCAACTATAGCCTGAAATCAGATAATGTACATTGTATTTTGGATCATCCGCAATTTTTTTACCAACAACATTATGAGAAGAGACAGATAAAGAGATATATTAAAGTACATTTAATTTATGAATGATTCTACTACGAGATTGACTCAACTTAAAGATTAGTAATGTATAATAACAATGATCTTTTACATATACATCAGATGTATCTGGTAGCGTATATGTTAGACCATAGCAATCGAAAAAGAAAAGATAATAAATAAAGACAACAAAAATTTATTTTTAAGTCATTTCACATTTCCTCTATTTCACCAAATAACCAAATAACTAAAAAAAAGGAAAAAATAGATGACACTAAAGAAAGAAAGAAAGGGTCAATTTACGTAATCTCAAAAGCCTCATACCACCAGACCAGATATAACATACATACAAGACATACATACCAGACGTATAGGTACATTACAGATACAGATACTTACAGATACTTACAGATACTTACAGATAATATAGGTGAACTAACATACCACTTTTCATAACTTTGCTAATTTCAACTAACTTGACTAATCTTCTTCAAAATCATCTATTTACATCAATCTTTGTTGAAATGCACTTTAAATTTGACTGTTTTAATTTAAAAGAATAAGAAGCACAAGAAGAATAAGAAGAAGTAAATCTACTGATTGATCTAGAACAAAAGCGTTTATTCATCATCAATGACATCTTTGTGATACTTTATATTTTTTATTTATTATTATTTTTATCGTGCTATTTTAAATCATGCAGGAGAGAGAGGGGGCGAAGGTTGACTTTCTTTTAAATACTAAAAAGTACAATCCAAAGACAAATAAAAGTGATAAAGCTCGTGCAATGGCTTTGCCATTGGTTGAGATTTGTGGGTCACACGACATTGTAATGGGTGATAGGTGATCTTTTTAGTCAGAGGGTGTAAAATTTAAAGAACTCTAATTCCTTTTTTCTTTTTTTTTTTTGATCTTGTGTAACTAATGTCAAAGGATTATTATTTATGCATTCATAATTACAATAGAAGACTTTTAATAGCTAAAGTAGTAGTACCCATAGTCAAAGTCAACTAGGGATCATAAAATCAAAACTCAGTATCGCTTCACCCAAACCTTGTTGGTGCTAACAACGCTCCTCTAGCTGGTTTGACTGTTCCAATCGATAAATATCCCCCAACATCTCATTAAAAATATCTTGTAAACCTTCCATACGATCATCAATCGCACTCTCTTTAGTCAACATTTTACCTCTAAACCATTTAGAACAACTTAAATCACCTCTTTTTTCATAAAGGATCTTATGCATCGTTTTGGTAAACTGCAGCAGCATGCCGATGAAATGAGATAATCGTAATAAATTCAGGTCAAAATTGTTATCCAATTCCACCATTAAAGTAGATAAAACAGTTTTAACACAATAAACAAGATCATTATGGGATAATTGATCTACTCTGTCCAAGTCACTTTGCCGTGGTTTGGGTCCATTGATGGGGTATTTATATCTATCCTGACAGAATTTGGGAAACATATTATCATGTGAAACAAGAGTGGTGTTGGTGCTTGAATTATGAACATTCCCCTGACTAGTACCATTGAGGGGTGATAATTGGTTGGTATTATTGTAATCATTTTCATCCTTGCCGTTGTTTGGCAACAAATCCTCATTATCAATTGAAGAAGACTTTTCTGACAGTTGTTGCTTCTCATCATCTACTGAAACTCCTTCTGACAGTTGTATCTCGGAATTTAGCGTTTGCCTATTATGTGTATTCTGGGTAAAATCACACTGACAAGCAACGGATTTCTTATTACTTTGATTTGAACTAGTCTCTGGATTTGATGTCACAGATATGTGGGGATTTACGTTCGTATCAGGGTGCACTGGAAAACTAGTTTGAATAGATACATTTTGCTTCAATTTACCATTTGTTAATGAATCACCACCTTTTTCATTTGATAATCCCTTGCCTAATGGCCTCGTTTGTTGAGCACATTGTTCATATTCTCTCTCCAATTTATCCAATTTGTCCAACTTGTCTAACTTATCCAATTTTTCCAACTTCGTAAGCAAATCATGTATCTCTGACTGTAATACATCAGACACAGGAGGACCTATAATAGGGTTAGATTGTGCATGAAGACTGGTTTGAGTATACTTATGTTGCTTCAATTGCTCACCAGTCTCTGAATCACAACCACTTTCTCTTAATAAATTCTCCAAGCGCCTCACCTCGTTAAGCAAGTGCTCTTTGTCTCTCTTATCATTAAGCAACAAATGGTACTCCTGTAGGCTTATTGTGCAGTATCCAACATCTGGTAACTCATGTCCTCGTGGAGACTCATGCCGCTGTTCACTTTGGATTTTTGCATTATTACTTGTTTCACTTGGATTTGGATTACTTGTTTGTGGCGAGTTTCTGGCAGTACTTTCACCAAGAGGACTACTATTTTTGGGTCCTGGCAGAAATAAATAAGGCTGCATCAATGGTTCATTTCTAAATTGTGGTTCTTTTGTGCCATGATTGTAGACATGCTGAGATTGATGAGCATCAGAGTCTTTTGGATGAAACTGTAGTGGCTTACTATGCTCGTTTATCATCTCTTCTTGATATCCATTTTCTGTGACGCCATTCTTGTCTTTTCCTAAGGGTGTACTCTGTTTTACTTTGCTTTGCCTTCGTGCTAGTTCATCAAGCGCCAGAAATTGGTCACGTTCAAACACATTCCGATGAATACCATCATAATTAGTGTTATCTCTTTCACGAGGGTGGGCTATTGGCAGTATTGAAGTGTCAAAAAGTCCACAATCATTCATGTTTCTTAATCCGCTATCAGGAGAAATCGAGAATTCAATTGTTGGCGTTCTAGTCTTATCAATCAATGGATCAGTTCTTTGCCTATACGAATTTGACACATTTGGCGTATGCTCGACCCCCATGATGAATATGAAATTATCTTTGTAGATGAAATTTTGATCAGATGGAAGTGATGATGGATTTCACAGTTTACAAAATAAATAAAAGATATCAAATTTGTGGACATTTTAGAGACGCATATCAAAAAGATTGCGACGAAGTAACTTTCAAACATCAGTTGTCCTATATGTTACAGGGAGAATGTTTCTGTTATACCAGTACCGTTAGTAAGATACTTCATAAACAATACTGCCAAAGGACACACACTTGAACTCTAAAGATTACAGTGTTTTTCTATTACTAATGATACATAAAACTAAATTGTTCCTAATCTCGCACTACCCCGATTCACTATACCCATGACACTGAATCACATCCCGATCTATCATATCTAATGTATTGGGTGTGCCACTGGCATCTATCTCTCTATCCCCATACAAAAATTTCATTGAATTCAGTTCCAAATGATACTTATTGCAGAAAATTCTAAACGTTTTCCGTAGTTTCTTATTCCTATGCATCTTATAGGTAGCCCGTATTTTTGGCACAGCCGTGATGATGAGTGAAATTTTGTTTTCTGATGTTATTGAACTATCAGTGTCGGGAGTGTCTACGAATGACATTACTTTTTATGTTACTTCTTTTTATTTTGAAGTATTTGTTTCTTTTAGTGATTGGGTGGTTGGCTGATTTTAAAGATTGATGAAGAATTGATATTCTACCCGGTTCACCTCGCTTCGGGTAGTTTGACCTGACCAAAGTTATGCTTTGGTGTGGGAAATCTTCTATCACGCTTTGTGGTTCCAACATTCGATTTAATTTTCTCTCTTTTCTTATAAAATTCTGTTTCTACTTCATTTGAAAGGTTTTCTTTACGCGGCGCTACAGGTTTATCTTAAATTTATCCCAAATGGGATAATATCATCAGACTGAAACACCCCAACGTGATAAAATTCTTTTTTCAATTGATGCATGCCCTGTAGAGACTGTCATATTTTAGGTCCATTTTGCAGTTTTGAAAATGGAAAAAGTGTTCAACATTATGCTTTGCACCTTTTTTTTGGGGTTGTGGTTTGTTGCTGACCAATAGCAAGCCTTTTTAGTATAATAACGCAACGAAATATAACCGCTGAAAATACTACACTTCTTCCAGAGATGAGAAGACTTTAGCACATGGATCTTCCACCTACATGTCAGATATCAAACGGCCAAATTCAGAATTAAACTATACATCTATGCACCTAGATTTTGTTTTCTTTGACACCATGTTTCCAAATGGCAACGTATGGAGTGGTTCCGTCTTCTCTGTAGTTCAACAAAACAATCATAGCATCTGGGTCCATGGATTCACCGGTGTAGAAATCCCAGTCATTGAATGATCCCAAGACCTTCTTGACGTATTTAGTAGCACCTTTTTCAAAAGCTTCAACTGAATCAGGGTCGTTTTCAGCCAAGTAAGTCTTAACTCTCTTCATGTAACCCTTGATATAAGTGGTGAATGACTTCTTGTCGAATTGGGTTGGTTGCAATCTGAATGAGTAGACAACGTTGTTGACAGTTTCAGAACCGTCTTCCACAGCCTCATCAGCATCTTCAGCAGATGGGTTAGCACCAATATCAATGTCACCGTTACCAACGTTGACCATAGCACAATCAGCTTCGTAAACAGCGTCGTCGACTAACTTAACATCGTAAGCGTCGGATAATAACTCGTCGTTGGAGATAACGTCTTGGAAGATAATCATTGTGAAATGCTGAGGTTGTTAAAGAGAGGTGGAGATGAGCTTTCAATTGAAAAATTTAGAAAAGGGAAAAAAAAGAAAATTTAAAGTGTTGGAAAAAAAAAAGAGAAAAAAATTTCATCAAAGGATCACGTGTCCTATTACAAAGTTCCCAAAACGGAAACCAGGGGCGGGGCGGCAACAACTTGACCATGAATCGAACTGAAAGACGAATTACAGTCTAAACAAACTATACAAATAATACCTAATCGAGCTCATAATTGAATGCTCTTTTGAAGAAATCTAAAATTCTATCGTAAACAACTTTTTGTCCATTATGGTACGTCATTCCATGATTTGAATCGGGGAAAATCATAAATTCAAAATTTTCCACTTCTGCTAAATTGAACTCATCCAACAATTGCAAAGAATGTTGAACGTGAACATTATCATCACCACTTCCATGCCCAATAAAAAATTTCTTGACGTGTTTGAAGTTGGTGGCATTGTGAATTGATCCTGTTTCGTAGCCCAGCGGGTTTTCTTGTGGTGTTCTCAAGTACCTCTCAGTGTAGATTGAATCGTACAACTTCCATTTAGTGACCGGTGCAATGGCAACGGCATAGTTGAATATAGAGTCTTTGACATCAGTTTCAAGTGTTTTCAAAGTCAAGAAGCCTCCATATGACCAGCCCCAGATTGCAATTCTTTCACGGTCAACATACGACTTTCCGGCCCAAATATTAGCAGCAGAAATCAAATCTCTTGGTTCGTATTTGCCTAGTTGATCCCTGACTATAAACTTGAAATTGGAACCCAATTTTGAATTCAAATTGTTGTATCCGGTACCTCTTCCATCGACAGTGACTACCACTGCATCCAATTCTGCCGCCACCAAAGAGCTGAATGAAATTGACCACCTCTTGTCAACCATTTGCGACCCAGGACCTCCATAGATTGAAAACAATACTGGGTACTTTTTCTTCTTGTCAAAGTTCAACGGCAAGACCTCAACAGCATTTGCAAGAAATGGTTTACCATCCTCGTCTTGTAACTCAACAGTACTGTACTTGACTTCTGGAACCACATATTTTCTCAATTTTTCAATCAACTCGGAATTGTCTTCAATGATTTTCACTTTCTTTTCCAACCTCAAGTCATTGATTTGTTGCTTTGGTACATCAGGACCTAAGACCGACAAAAACAAGAATCTGGCACCTGATGAAAAGGATGACGAGTAGTAGCCTTCATTGGCCGTAATATCCCTGATATACGGAAGCCCATCGTCAGACCTGTCCAATAAGTTAATTGAATGAATGTGTCTCTCAATTGAAGACCTCAATGTGCTGGTGAAGTAAATTACATTTGTATTGTAGTCAAAAGCACCAACACCGCCAACAACCTCCCAATCGCCTTTTGTTAATAGTTCATATTCTGAGGTGTCAGGTGGTGAGAAGTAGGCCAAGTGATTAAACCCATTATCAACGACAGTGTCAATATAACCGTCTTGCTGACGTCCAACCGTTTTATTCTTGGGGACAAAAAGTGTGTGGGAAGTTATTTCAAACCAAGACTTTTCAGCCGTATGCGAACGAACTAATCTCGGTTCTTTCCCAACAAGGAAAACCTCAAGCAAGTCACTGGCACGGTTGGATGTTTTCACCAAAACTTCTTCCCCTACCCACACAACTTCGGTTATCAATCTTTCAGTCAGCTCAATTTTCTTTGAGTTTAACTCATGTTTGACAGCTTTATCCTTGGTCAAATCATACGTCCAAACGTCGACTATTGGATTTGGATAACCAGCTTTTGGATACTTTATCTTGACAATTTCAGGGTAATCTTCGAAATTGTTCTGAGCATAAAACGGAATAACAAATTCTGGCACTTCAGAGTTGTTTGATTTCAAAAAAGCAAACTTGTCACCAGCTGGTGACCACCATAAAACAATGTCACTTCCAAAAACCTCTTCTTCATAGACCCAGTCTGGTTTACCATTGAAAATTTCGGCAGACCCATCATTTGTCACTTGAACCACTTCATTCAGTGAAATATCTTGCACATAAATATTGTTTTGGTGAATGAATGCTACTTTCAATGAGTCCGGGGACCACGAAATTGTAGATATTCTTGCTCTCTTGAATACTGGCTCCACCTGCTGCGTGGCTACGTCTAAGATCCAGTAGAGCCCCAGTGAAGAGTGTCTCCACTGCGATGTAACATTTGTCTTGAGAATGACTTTTTGTAAGTCGGGTGAAGCGATAAAGTCTTCGACATTGTAAACTTCACCTTTGTATTCAAAACTAGACTTTTCAATCAATATTTGATTGTATTCCTCGTCAGAAACTGACTTTATAACCACCTCGAAATCATCATTTTTCTTGTCATTTTTGATAACATAAGTGCCCTTGTCATCGTGAATCGAGGAGGGGGTTCTTATCCATTGAATTTCATGGTGTTTTGCAGACAATGTATGCTCGTCGAAAATCTTTTTATTCAAAGGTATCTTGTCTCCAAATTCCGTTGGTTTTCTTGAAGGGGTTGCAAATATAGCATCATTCAGTTCTGATTCATAGTCTAACACATGAAAATGAATATCATGGTACGACTTTGTCTCCAAAGTAGTGAAAAAGTGGTCAATGGCCGATATCAAAAATGATGACCCCCATATTAAAACACCAAATACTACTCCAACGGTTACCAACCTCTTCAAATTCCGTGTTCGTCTCACTTTACCCTCTATATCTTTCATGTGTGTTTGAAGAAGCATAAAAGGATGCGACTGATATTGTCGATAAACTTTGATGCCGTTCGTAGAAGAAATGAAAAGAAAATGTGGCATAAAAAAAGAGAGAGTATTCTCTTTTTGGAAAGACAAAAATATTGCACAAAAAAAAAGGGCTTGCGCTCTATGTGTGCAGAATGATTATGATGATGTTGCTTATAATGTGGAAATCACGAACAACATCTTATTAGATTTATTCAACGCTTTTAAAGCTATCGGTGTCAATATAATCAACTTCAAACACCTCGAATCCTTTCCCTTTTTTCAGTTAGCTTTGTCATTACCTGGGCAAGTATGACACAAGAGCAAGGTTTGACAGTAGTCTGTCACTTTCTAGACGAGCCAGATTGAATCCCCTTTCTATCAAAAAAATCATGCACAAAACTAAAGTTTATCATTTGACAGCAAATAGAAGAAGCATAATATACGTCCTATTACTCAACTTTACCTTTGTTCATAGTACCCGTTCGATTGACAAGCTTACCAAAACACTGCATATACAATTACACCAGTGTACGGCTTACTTTGTTGTCTTTTAAATAATGCCAATAATAGAGGAGGTTGATGCTGGACGTCGTAGGGGAAATGACGAACCTATTGAAATAATGACAGCATCTGACACCAACATAAAGTCTATTTACAAAATAAACCCGACAGTAAAGCTAAGAAGGTCCTTTTGGACGTTTTGCAAAAGTCATGACATAGATATAAGGAACCAGAGATTTATGTTCATTGACCAAGAAGTAATAGATAAAGATACCTCAGCATCTTTGAACATGATAAAGGGGGATAGAATTGATTGTTAGGACTTTGCGTAAGGGCAATAAAATAGTAAGAGATACGGGAATATGGATGGATAAGTGGTTATCTAGTGATGATGGAAGCTTAACCTTATATTGGAGATGTTTGGTTGCAAATTGGTCGTACATATGAATATTCAGTCATTTTAACAGGTTTGTAGTTAGTGGATAGCAATCGCTAGCTACTTTATCAGCTCCGCCTACTTCTATATTATAATAATGAGCTATATAATTCTACATAGAGTAAAAGAATTAGCAAAGACGGCGAAACTTCATCATAAGTTCACCCAGTTTTATGGCCCCTTTGTGATTGACAAGCACACGTTCTCTTTTGTAATATCTGTATCAACGTACCAAAATATTTCAACATTGTATTCATCACCTAATATCGATTTCAACGCGTGAATTCTGCTTTCATCAATAATCCTTCTTGCTTTAATTCCGTATTCGTATCTCTGCTTGGAACATAAACCAGAATCTTTGTTGTTCCGTTCGTCGTCATTCAAGTTCACCCCCCACGAAACCATCTTCTTCAATACTTTGATTGATTGAGTAGTATTAAACCCCAAATTGTACAAGTATTCCTTGGACTTAGGTAAAAACTCGTCCCCGAAGCAAACATGGCGACAGCACATTGCTAGTAGTACACCTCCAAACGTTGCATTCTCGAATAAGTTCGAATTCAAAAGCAGCTTCAACGTGAGATCAGTGGCTGCCCCACATAAATGTTTTGAAACCGCGACCACTTTATTTGGACGAATATCCTCCAAAAATTTATCTACGTTTAAATCCTTTATATCGATCTTGCTTCTTTTAATAACAGGCTTTGCCTTGAATGGTTCAGAGTCTTGGATGATCTTGTTATCCGCCTTAAGCCGGTTTGTACCCCTATCTATCAACCCAAACCCATAATTTGGTCCACACTCAGAGGAGTCATACAAAACACATTGGTTCACACACCTAGATAACTCGCCTTTGCCACAGCCAAACTCCACGTAAAAATTATCCGACGATAATAAACCAAGTCGCTTCAAATTACCTATAATTGAAGATTGTTGTATTATGTGCTTTTGATTTGTCTTTTCTTCCAAATGCTTCAGCAACCCTTCGTGCTCGCCTATGATCCTCTTGAGTGGTTTGAATTGTATCTTATCTAGCAACTCTCTGTAGAAATTTTCGTCATGTTGAGGGCCACCATTGTCAAATAATGTAACTTGGGTTGAATTGCGCAATGCATGGTTATAATTTTCCACGTACCACGGATCATGATTCGTCTCTGGTCTAGCATTACATTTTTCCAAATGCAATGTCAAATCCTTTTCCCATACAGTGTGATTAGGATTCAAAGGACACGGGATTCGTTTCTGACTCGAAGTCGTATCATGAATCATATGTTCCGAGCAGTACTTGTTCTGCTTCTTCCTCAACATGCGACATCTCTTGTTCTTCTTGGGTAGAAGGTATTCACATTGATACGTTTGAGGCTTATCCACCTTTTGTCTCTTTGGTTCCGGCGTATCAGCCATATTGTTGGGGAAGTTTTCAAGTTGCAAAAGTTGGTACAAAGAAAAAAAAAATTGTTAAACTCATCTCGTATCTGAACTCATCCTGTACTTGAACTCATCATCACATTGAGACCATGAAACACACCAACCAAATGTGGAAATTGGACTTACTAGAGGCCAAGTTTGAGGATGTGTCTCCTAGATACCCCCATACGAAGAAATTGTTATTTGCATTGAACCATAACAACAAGTTGGCAAAGAAACTACCGACAACCAAAGCAGAAGCACAAGAGGAAATCAGAACACTCAAAGCTCGATACTTTGAACAGAAATATCATTCTGGGTACACTAAGTTGGATAAGGAGGTTAAAAAGTTTATTAAGCAAAAGGAAGCTCCGGATGTGTTTGTCCAAGACGACTTTATACAACAATTAATAACTGCTAAATTGATCAAATGCATAGCGTCAACAGTCTTGACAAGCAAGCAATTGAAAACGAACCCACCTCAGTACATCCCCTCCAATATTGGAGAGTATATTACCGACAAGTCCAGTCCGTTTAATCCGTCTCACTTTTTTGTACAGTATTGCCAAAATTCTAAAGAGGTGAATAATTACTGCTCAAACCTTTGGAATAGCAAAGCTGTCAAATCGATTATGAATGATATAGAGTGGAGCTTCAAGATGGTAAGGGGTAACTTATCCAAACAAGATTTTGAAGAGAGGAGGAAGCAAACGGGTAAAACTGTTGACGATGATAACTCGGATGCTGAAGACGAGAGCGCGTCAGAAGAAGACTCTAAAGAGGACGCCGACAAGGAGTCTGAAAACGAGGACAGATTATCAGCATTTGATGGTATGGTGGCAGAATCTGACCAAGATGATGACGATGACAACAATGGTGCTCTAGATCCAAATATCAACTACAATGAGGTTACCGACGAGGAGCCTTCAGAAGCTGCGAGTGATGAATCAGACTCAAATCTGGACTCCGGTGACGATTTTTTCGAAGAAGAGCCCCCAAAAAAGAAATTAAAAACAAATTCCAAGGATGACTACAACTTGCCTGAACTAGCTCAAGGTTACTACTCCGGTGGTTCAGACGATGAAAGTGACGATGTCGACAATGATGAAGTAGTAAAGTCAATCACTCAACAACGGAAAAATCGAAGAGGCCAAAGGGCAAGACAGAAGATTTGGGCTCAGAAGTATGGTAAAGAAGCCAAACACATTGTCAAGGATAGAGAGCGTATTCAAAGTGAGCGTGAAACAAGACAACGTGAGTATGAAGAGAGGCAGAGAAAGAGGGAATTGAAGGCGCAGTTATTAGCTGAAAAGCAACAACCAACTGGAGCCAACACAGAACCTTTAGGTGAACGTAAAGCTAGACTGCTGGTTACACCACCTACCGAGGATAAAAAGATTCATCCATCCTGGGAAGCAAAGAAACTAGCTGAAGAAAAATTGAAAAACGTCAAGTTCCAAGGTAAGAAGATTACTTTTGATTAAAAGTATTTATAATAGGTCGTAATTTATCTTGAAATTGTTGAGAAGATCTTTCTCAGTTTTTGCATCACACCATGACTCACCTTGAATAGTGAAATAGTAATGACACTTTTCTGGTTCACTCACTGATACTAATTCTGGCCCTTCTCCACAAGTGAACTCGACCGTAGCTGACCGTCTAGGTCCATTCCAGCATTTAGCTCCATCCTGATAGGTGATTTTTCCATCTTTATATTCTCTAAATTTACCAATAAAGATATCGTCTTGAGAAATTCCTTGTAGCAAATTGATTCTGTAGTTGTAACCACCTAGGTTCTTGGTGATGGCAACTTTCTCATAAGCTCGAAGAATATCTTCCGGTCCGTAATCAGAACTTAAATTGACTTTGACACCCTGTATCTTGGCTTGAAGTTTCTCTAATTCCTGCTCCAACTTTTCAACTTCATGATCCAATTCATTGCTTGAAAAATCCGACTTGTACTCGATTACTGGCTTAGGTAAGAATTTATCTGTCAAAAGCTGGTAGTAGTAATGTATCATATTTGATATGGACGGAGTGAAATGGGTCACCTTTTTAACACCCAGGTGCGACATTTCCTTTGCCTTTTCAGCTAATTGAGCTATGATCTGGTTAGTTTCATGAATGTCCTCTAGTGCTTCTTCTTCCTTGTTGGAAACATATTCTTGAAACTTGTGTATAACCTCCTTCACCGCAGCATCATTGAAGTTGGGGTTGTAATGAGTAGATAAAAAGTTCAAGATGGTTTCCAAAGCTTGAAGTTTCGACTCCTGGTGTAGGATATCCCGCTTGTGCAACTCTAACTTGTCAGCTAATCCTCCAAAATATTCTCGCAACTGATCAAAGACTGATTCGTCCCGTTCTTCTAAGTTTTCAGACTGAAGTTTTAACTTGTTGATTTTGGCTTTCAATTCTGACACTTGCAGTTCCAAAGAGTCTAATTGTTCGCGCAATTTGCGCCTACCATTGTGAGCACGCTTGATTGTTTGCTGTTTCTTTACACCAGCTTTCTTCATAAATGCCAACTTACTATTCTTGTACTCCTCAAACTGACGGTGGATTTCTCCACATTTGTTTTCACAGCCACCTAGCTTGTACTCATCCGACCCATCGCAACAAATTTCATAGTCACACACCCCGTCATTTAGTTTAAATTGGTCAATGTAGTTTGGAAAGTGCCCCTCGTTTTTACAGTAAAACTTGAATGGTGGATTTGGGCAGGCATTTGTACCCGGTTCATCTGACCCGTCAGGACAATCGCAAATGTCGTCATTTATCTGGTCATAAGATAGTCTTATTGAGGTGTCGTTCAAACAGTGCCAGTATTTGTTACCCTGCTCATCAATTTGCGGTTGGTATAGCAGTTGGCGATCATCACTGACACCTATCACATTAGCATTTACCAACAAGGATAATGCTGTTGATATGATGAAGGATTGAAGCATTTGCGGTTGGAGTGGGGACAAGGTTTTAAGGATATTTTTCGGCGCGTTGAAAAACGACTTCATTACATCTATACAGTTACACAAGTCTGCTACAAATCAAGCTATGCAAAGCGACAATCACCCTATCGACTACAATAATTTCACTCCAACACAACGCATTCGCCATTCATTGACAAGCTGCACAAAATCTCTACTGCCTTGTTGGCCACCTCTTCTAAGGGAACCGTTTTCAAATCACTATCCACAGCATTGCCCATATCGGTCTCTTTAACTAGCCCCGGAAGTAGAGCATTAACTCGTACTCTCCCTCTCAATTCACTCGATAGACTCTTTGTGAATCCTAATAGGCCGGCTTTGGAGGCAGCATACACTGCTGTCCCTGGCAACACATGCTCAGTCAATGACAATACAGACGCTATGTTTAGAATCGATGGGTTTCGTTTATGCTGTCGTATCATGTGTTTGATGCATAGTTGACTCAATATAATGGGGGCTGTGAGGTTAAGGTTGATGGTGTCCGTGATCTGCTGCTGCGACATCCTATGCAAAAGAGTGTGCGTAGTTATACCGGCGCAATTCACTAGAATCATATGTGATTTGAGCAGTTCTTGAAGCCTGGAATGATCATAACCGGGGTTTACTAGTTGAAGCAAGTCGACCACCTGAAACGAGTGTTGTTGATTATAAGCTGACGGGAGTTGTTTTACTGATTGCAGTAAAAGAGTCTCATTTCTGGCTAGTAATGTTATTGACGCACCTTGACTGGCAAGTTTATTAGCTATGGCTAATCCAATTCCTCTAGATCCTCCAGTAACAAGTGCAGATTGTCCTTTGAACATTGATGAAAAAGTAGTGTACAATTGTCGTGTTCCGTCTTTTTGTTTTGTTTACATTTTTTTTTGTTATTTTTTTTTAGGGGGAGATCAACTTTGAAGAAAGAAAGGCAGTGCCATTGATATATAAGCTTCACCATGGTATGTATTCGTTGCCTCAGCTTGAAAGAGAGAACCTGAGGAGCTCATGTTGATTTCTTTTAGTACTTTACTAACTTATAATGCTAGTCACAAAACACAAAAACCTATAAGGACGCTTTTGCCCTCTTTGACAAAAAGGGAACAGGCAAAATCCCTGTGGAACATTTGGGAGATTTGTTAAGAGCGATTGGACAAAATCCAACTCTTGCTGAAATATCAGAATTGCAACAATCAATCAAGACCCCTGATTTCGACTTTGAAACTTACCAGGAGATTATTAATCGTCCTGACGGATTTAAACCTTTGGGATTGCCAGAGGATTACATAAAGGGATTTCAAGTATTTGATAAGGAACAAACTGGATATATTGGTGTTGGTGAGTTGAGGTATATTTTGACATCTATTGGAGAGAAATTGTCTGACCTGGAAGTAGACGAGTTGTTGAAGGGAGTAAATGTCACCTCTGACGGCAATGTTGACTATGTTGAGTTTGTTAAATCTATATTGGATCAGTAAGTTATTGAATCTAGCTTAGTATATGCAATGTTTAGAGTAATTGTTACGTAGATAAGTGTCAATGTCTTACAGCTGTGTTGGTTCCTTGAGAGATACAGCGTGAAAAAGAAAAAAAAAAATAAAAGTAAAATAAGACCAGGACCAGGATTTCCAGCATCCCAACGTCTGCAAATATGTCTCTCACCGAAGTTCCAAACAGTCTAGAGGCTCTCCGTAAAGAGCAAGAGTATGACCCTCGCCAGAGCGAGAGGTTTCATCTATATCCCAAAGACAGAATAGAGGCACTTGCAACCACATCAGGACTAATTGGCCTAATGAGTGGGTTTTACGATGGTGTGCAAAAGGCAGCTGCACGATACTTGCTCGAAAATGGACACCGTCTACCCAAGACTAAAGGAGGATGGTACTTTTACCACAAGAGGAAAAATTACGAAATAATTGTTGGGGGTACATCGGTGGGAATCAAGCGGGGATTGAAATATGGCGGTGTCGTTGGCAGCTTGTTCTTACTCGAGTATAGTTTGGACAGTATACGAGAACAGGTTGATTTTATAAATACAACGGTGGCTGCACTTATTGGAACAACCGTTTACACCAGGTTTCAACATTTGAGTCGTTTGCAAACAAGAAAAATGATCGTGAGAGGAACTACAGCCGGGTTATTATTGGGTATAATACAAGATTCTTTAATATATGCAAGGCTGGGGCATGTATGGTACATTGATGAGTACAAACGTCGATTAAAGTGAGTGCATATTCATTCCTCCCCCTCCTCGTCGGAATCGTCCAAGTCGGGAATAGGATACTTTAACAATGCAGCCACTCCAGTCAATTGATTTAATTGGATCCCCAGCTCATGCAAGCTGGAGAAAATATACACTTTGGCTCCCATCTGTTTGGCTTGCTCTGTCAAGTCAATGTACTGTCTTCTAGTTTCTATATCATCATTGCGAAATAATGCATCCGAGACCATCAAATATCGAATGGCATCTAAATTCAATGCTTTTGTAATTTCTTCCAACCCGTACCATGCTCTTCCATCGTCATCGTTTAATGCTCTTTGGAAACGCAGCAATGCTTGTGACTCTTCAAGAAACTTGGTATCTGATAGTTTCTTTTGCAGTTGGGAATCAGCCAAAACCTCTTCCAAGCCTTGCAAGTACCCCGTTGAAGAATGAGTCACCAATATTTTGTTCTTATTGTCCAAAATCAGTTGAAAAATTTTAGACTCCTTTGTAGATGCATTTTGCATCGTTATACATTCCTGTATCAATCGTTCATATAATGTCTTTGCTAAAAACCCGGGCGATGCTAGTATAATAACCTTTAGTCTGTTGAAATCAAAATGGCGTATTATTCCTTGGATGATCATATTGTAGAATGAATTCATTGCTTTATCTAGGTCGCGAGTTCCATAGTCCTTATTCTTTCTTGGAATAGATTTTTCAATTTTTGACTGCAAAACCGTCATTTGGTCAGTCACATAGCATAAATGGGCAACACCTTCTTGAAAGACTACAGCTCCAATATCGGCTTTCTTTTCAACCGAGCATAGATCGTCCAATAACGTCATATCATATTCATCCCAACTTGATTTCACAATGCTCACTTCTTTATTCAACTCAATCTCGGCGGTGTGATAACTATTCAAAGGAACGTACTCTTGTTGTAATAAAGATTTCCCATTGACTCTCATTACTGAATCACTAGCAATGTAATCGACGTCTTCTACTAGTAACCTTAGCTTGACTAGTATCTTTTCCATCTTCAGTTTCCCCTTTGTGATTTGATTCTGGTTGCCCTTTTTCACATTTCGATGGGTAAGCAACTGTACTGTGTCGCCCTTTTTGATGAGATTGTATAAATACCATAAATCCTCAGAATCTTCAGGCACTAGACTAACAGCAACATTTTTGTCCTTTAACTTGACTTTATTTTTGACTTGCATTGGAAGTTTTGGGTGTAGCGTGGCAAAGAATTGAAGAAGACTCCAGACAAATGCATTTTTTGATGGTTTCTCTTTTTTTTTTTCTGGTGTAGCTCTACCCAATTGCATCAGAATGTTTTGTAATGAGTTGCAAGGGTATCATCAAGGGAAACGTACTGAAGAGCTTGCAGGTGCAATGGGAGGAACAGTCACTATCTCCTTTCCATAATACAATATGTACATCTACATGCATTCTGTAATCCTTAATTCGTTATTTTATACACGTTAGTTCTAAATCGTTTCATGATTGATTTTTATTGGCTTTTCCAAAAGGTGTCCCATTCTTTCAATCTTTGTACTCAAATACCCATCGATTTCTTTACTATTGATACCATTGGAACCATCCTTACCTTCGCCTCTCCAACTCAATGGGATCATGGGAAGTCTTTCCATAACTTTAACTTCCTGGTGCTTTCCTTCAACAGCTATAATTTTATCCGGGTTGTTTGTCAACAACTTTATTTCAACAAGACCCAAATCAAGCAAAATTGCCGTTGCCAAGGAGAAATTACGAGCATCTGCTGGATGTCTCAAGATTAAATTAGCTTCAACTGTGTCTGCGCCAAGATCCTGTAAGTTGTAAGCTTTTAATTTTTCACCAAGACCAATACCTCTGCCTTCTTGTCTCAAGTAGACCATACACCCGTGTCCGTTTTCTCCCATGATTTTCCCTGCTTGATCAAATTGTTCTCCACAATCGCACCTAGCACTCCATGCAGTTTCACCAGTGTAACATTCGGAATGAATACGAACCAAAGTCGGATCTGAATAGGTAAGTTTATCAATGATCAAATTGCCTTGTTCGTCAAATTTCAATTGACGTTGGTGGTCTGATTCATCAATATCAATATCAGCGATTGTTCTCCCTGGAGTCAACTTGCCAATAAATGCCCCTCTAGTCATACGGTCCTGTTGTGTTTCACCAGGTCGTTGTTTGAATAAGGACCTAGACCGAATATCTTCACCAAACACTATAGCTAGATGCTCTTTATTGTCGATGTTATTTTCGTACAAATGCAAAAAGATGTCAGGGCCGTGCGTGGTGGGGATACGTGCCCTGGCTACACATTCAACCACTGGTAATTCATCGGGTAGATTCGTTTGATCACGCATGTCCTGAGTTATAACTGGTGGGGGCTGTGGAGTACCAACAGGTCTAGAAGACAATGGAAGACTAGTGCTCGATGGACGCGGTGTCACTATGGGAATTTTGGTCACATCGGGAACAAAATGTTTGTGGGTCTTGATGGTACCATTCTGTTCCTGTAAGGACGACCCGTTATTACGGGAGGCTGCTGGCTGTGGATGATGCAATAGGGACATTTTTGACTTGTTAGTGAAACGAGAGTGTGAGTTGTATAATTGTTGGTATTGGAGCTGGCGATGTGACGTGGGGTTGTTGTTTTGTTGATTTATATATAAATGATTGTGAGTTTGGTCTTTTGATGCGGCGAACAGAAAGTCTTGTTTTCTTGGTAGTGTTTTATCAGATGTGGTTCTTCTTGTTGTTGTGGATGAGCTGCTATCTATTATAACTGTCATGCGGTTATAAAGTTTGATTCTTAGTAAGCTCGGTATTCGGCTGAAGGTTTGAAAAATTAATTTTTTTTTCTTCTCTCTTTCCTTCTGACTTTATTTTAGTATTAGTAAAAACTTATGACTAAAAATTAACTAATAAAATTGAATTGCAACCACACAAAGTAAATCAAAAGAAAACAAAACTTATTGACTATTGTAAAAGATGTTCACTAGACAATTTCAACGTAATATCCTGGTATATTTATAATCAAGATGCAAGGTAGGAAATTAGCCAAACTTCAGTTCTCGAGTCAACACTCCTTTGTTTGGCCACGACGTTAAGATTCGAGTTCTTTTGTGATATAAAAGAGTTGGTTGACAAACAATAGACAACTTTTCAAAATCAAAAGGTGCAACAATAATACAAAATTTGATCCAAATATCAAGCGCGAGTTCGGACTGATATTCAATGAACAACAACAATAAGTGCGTGGAATCTCTGCAATCTGATTTGAAGATGTTTGTTTAAATGAGTTGATAATTCTTTTTGAGAAAGAAATGAACAATGGTGTGGTGACAGAAGGATTGAAGAAAAGATATTTTTCATCAGAGAAGAATCTAACTGTTACTCAAGGCCCCTATAACACTACATATCTCCATTTAGTGGTTCTCCCCACTATAAAGTCTCCATGTGGCGTGTAAAAAATTATTTACACTTTTCTTAAACCTTTTCACAGTCATCTGTCCTGTATATAAGTTTGAAAAACCGCATGAGATTCTGTCTTCCAGCGGATATGCTTACGTAATCAATTATGTAATGATGAGGGATAATTAATTTTGCGTAAATCCATAATGCGGACTTTCAATTTTCGGAAATAGACATATCCAATTTTCAGGAACAGCTTTAGGTGTTAGAGATTTACTTGGCGTTTGATAAGTGGATCTGATCGAAGATCAGGTTGTAGGGCAAATGCTAAGCATTTTTTTCCAAAGCCAACACTAGGTGGAAAGAACAATGCAAAAACGAGTGAGTCAAAACAAATGCGATTGCGGCGTGGCTCTCTCTCTATGTGACACGGCCATTATTGGCTGTGGCTTCACAATTGAGCATACTCTGAGATTGCTACAAACAGACCCTATTTTGAAATCAAATTTTTCATTTTGTGGCTTGGCTATATCTGCATAATACATATCGATCAATAGGCCAATCATGTTAAGGCAACAAGAAATTCGGCATTTGAAAACAATGCAACCCTTCAGGAACCGTTTCATTCAAGTATTAAACCCTTCTTGAAGGTGGAAAAAACTGTGCCTCCTCTTCTCACTCATTGTTCAAAAAAGGACAAACACTCCTTCTCCCAATCATACTCCTTTCAAAAATTCAACAATGTCCTGCTCACTGAAATTATCCACATCTGGAACATATTTTCCCACCGGCAATTGATGCTTCAATACCAACACACAGGGCAACTTACCCCCCACAACATAGTCCATCATCAATTCCCTGCCGCCTTCCGAATCTGCCAAAATATTTACCAAATACACCGGCTCTTTCCCCAGTGGGTATTTCGACTTGTCAGAAAGGACATCAAATAAGGCTTGTGTCACTTTGTTATCCCTAGGTGTAGCAAAAGTAAAGTTGAGCAATAAAGGTGGCTTAACGTTTATGTAATTATAAATATCCTGTTTCTCCGAAACCCAAACATCAATAATCCTATTCTGGGTGGTGAATTGAGACGCTGGCGGAGGATAGATTAATCGTTGCGTTTGTGCGGCGTCCTTCCATGATTTAAACCAGTCGGTAATCGAGAATGGTCTTGACTGGCTGTAGAATTTTGATCGCTGAATGGATCTGGCCAAATTTCTGCTAAACATTGCTTTGCTCTGTCAAGGGATAGATTGTAGTGTTGTTACTTAAGGTTGCTTATAGGTTTTTTATTTTCGGTCGCAAAAGTTCAAAATTCACGTGATTATTTACAGGTGTGTCTATTTACATATTCTCTATTCATCCCATCCATCCTTCCATCTCTGTTTCCAAAAGTTACAGTCAAACTGCGGCTTTCCCAACTTCTTATTGACATCGTTATGGGCCTCACATAACCATTTACCCAAATTATCTTGAGATTTTGTTTGTGGTTCATGTTGATCTATGTACTTGACGAAATCTTCACCGCAATACCAACACGGATAAAATCCAGCAAACAAGTTGAGAAACAGCTTCATGTCCAGCTGTTGCTTGGTAGTTGGTGTTTCCGGAAAAGTTGCCGCAATTGAATGAAGCAATGTCCATGATGATTTACCCAATCGTGCCACATCTGGTGGATCTTCCTTGGCATATTTGAGGTTGTCTTTGGGGATTGGAGTTACCAGTTCTGGAGATTTATTGACTGCTTTAGCTGACTTTGCCTTTCCCGTCACAAACTGAAAGTCTAATAGCTCATTACATGTCCGGCATCTATTCTAGTTAGTAAATCAAACAATGTTTAATCGGTAGTCTCTAACACACATACGGTTTACCATCCTTGTCGTAGATAATCTTACGACCAGAAAGCCCAAATTCCGGTCTGCTCTTGCGTGAGTCGTCGGAACTCTTTTCTTCGGTGGTTGGAATCGGCATATGCGATGCTGCTTTTCATGAACTAGGCAAAAAGTAATGAGCTTAGTAATAATCGCAAAAAAAGTAAATAATTGGTGGTGCGCCGGTGCGCCGCTCGCTTCACCAGAGACTTACGAAGCCCTCTCTACAGAATACCAATTTGTAGAAATAAATAAAGTATTTTCGATTCTAACAATCTATATCTATATCTTATGCATTTTCCTTTGATTTGGTAACCAATTTTTCCCGTTTTTCCAATACGGCATCACACAATGCACCCACTTCTGGGGTCTTTATTGCAGCCCTGGCAGCGTAAAATTGATCCAAATTGTACGTCAAGCCGAATTTCAACTCGTACTCATATGCAGTGCTGATCATCTCAAACTTGTCGATATCCTTCACGTATCTTGCCTCGGTGGTTCTGATTTCTTCATAATCAAACCACAACTCAACCAACTCTTTGGCAAAGTCAGGATTATACGGCTTGATCACGTCATGTAAGTAATGTATAGTCTCCTCTTCTCTGCGATGCTTTTCGGCTTTCGATATACCGGCAAATGGCGTAATATCGCCGACTAATGATTCAGCAATGTCATGAACAATGGCAATCTTGACACACTTGTCCTTATTGACATTGGCTGGTGGTGCAACCATGGATATGATCGACATTCGATACATGTGGTCAGCGATGCTTTCGGTGTCCAATGGTGGTACGCCATGATCTAACCAGCCAGTACGTTTTTGAAACTTTAATGACGATACGATTTGTATAAATGCAAGCATGTAGTTAGTTGGCTGAGACGGAGACTTAGGAACCAACAAATCTTTGATGTGTTGTGGCAAATCATCTGCTGGTTTCCATTGGTTTTCTGTCAAATTCTTGATTGAAGTCATTAGTAAGGAAGATGTGTGTAATGATCTTGACTGTGTTGATGGCGTAAAATATTTGGTTAACAGTAGACTAGTTTTAAAAGATCTATGCATTTATTTGCCAACAAATTCAATACCACGGGGGGGGGGGGGGGGGAAGCCTATAAACGACGCTTGTTGTGGTTTCACTCGGAGTTTTCTTTGCAAAAGAGTCACAGATCTGATCTGTTGACAGCCAATTTTCTGATGGAATGTAAACAAACGATTCTTGATGAGAAGGGCTGTATGCAGGAGACGTTTTTACCAAAATGAACATCCACCTACCACTCCATTCCCCCTCTCTACAGCGATTACACTGTCTACAAGTAACTGGATCTGAAAGTTAACTAAGTTTTCATTAAATTTTATACAAAGTCGAGTACAACACTTAAGCAATCAATTCAACAACACCACCAACAGCTCTAATCTTTTCTTCAGCCAATTTAGAAACAAATCTAGCCTTGACAATGACTGGAACTTCTGGTAATCTACCTTTACCCAAAACTTTACCGTAACCGTGAGCCAAGGTGTCAATAACTGGAGCAGCTGACTTTGAAGAACTCTTCAAGTATTCGTCCTTCTTTTCAGAATCAATCAAGGTCCACAATTTGTCCAAGTTGATTTCTGGTCTCCAGAAGTGGTTTTGTTGCTTGTGGAAGTATCTCATACCAACTTTACCGAAGTAACCTGGATGGTATTTATCCAAGTTGGTTCTGTGATGGTGTTGACCACCAGCCATACCTCTACCACCGGGATGCTTTCTGTGTTTACCAATTCTACCCTTACCGGCTATAATAAAAAAATTGTTAGTAAATAAACTCTCATTTAGGACATGGGGGTGTTTTGAGCAATTTAGAGGTTTAGATGAGCGACTTTTTGTTGAATTTCTGCTTAACTTGAAAGTGAAGCTCTCTTGCGGTATGCCGCTTCAATAAGAGATTCCTTTCAAATCTTGATCGAGCCAACTGGCGCATTCATAGATATGTACTTGCTGTTGAAGACGACTTGGCTTCCAAAACTTGTGAAAATTTTATCTTGCTCTCCTCTTCTCCGTCACTAATCACTCCAAGTTCATTTGCTCTGATTCGACATCTCCCCTATTTTCTTTAATATATTGATGTACATACCAGAAACATTTCCTCTGTGTTTTCTGGTCTTGGTTAATCTAGTAGGCATTGTTGTATGTGTTGGTAAACCTAAGTTGATAGAACCTTTTGTAAAAAAAATTTCAATATTAAGAAAAATTAAAAGTCGATTTGGGTTAACAGTGCGTACTACAACCAAAAGTTTTCAGTCGCTACCGCACACACACATACATAGTTAAAAAAATACTTTTTTTGTGTCAAACTTACACTGCTTTACCTTTCGCACTAACAAACACTGATTTTTTTTGTCATAAGTATTAGGGCTTCAGCCCTCGTATATACACCTTTTACTGTTAAAACTGTTAATTACCACTCCACACTTCAGCATACGTCAGTTTCCCCTTAGTTTCAGGCACATATGTTCTGATAAACCAGATACTGAAAACACACATGACTGTAAATATAAAGTAGACTGAACCCCCTATTGCATGCAACAACACTGGGAATAAGTACCCGACAATGAATGTAGCAATCCAGTTCAAGCTGGTACTAAAACTCTGAGCTGAAGCCTTGGCTCTAGTCTGTGTCACCTCCCCTACTAACAAGAACGGGATTGGACCAAGGCCAATGGCAAAGAATGTAATGAATGTGAAAGTACCTATGATTGACATTACCGAATTGGTCCATATTATACCAAAGCCCATCAAGACAGTTGCAACACCAAGGAAAGACACTGATGTTAATAATAACGGCTTGCGCCCAACTTTATCGACAACGGTGGCAGACCCAAATGTCACCACAGTATTCACCAACGAAATCAAACAATTGATCAAGATCGAGTGGTTAGGGAAGACAGACACCAAAACTGATACTCCGTAGAACACAATCGAGTTTATTCCATCAAATTGCTGCAAGATCAAAACACCCGCCGATGCAATGAGAGAAGGTCTAAATTCAGGAGACATTATGTACTCCCACAAAGTGGCTGTATTTTTTGACTGTTCCTGGCCTGGGTCTGCTAACTCGCCATTTTCCATCAATGAATTACTCTCTTCAACAGACTCGTCGTTCGTCTTCCAGCTGTTGACTTCGGCCGTAACCCCAGAATAGCTTCCACCTCTTAATCTGTGCAATACCATGTACGCTTGGTCATGGTTTCCTTGGTTCACCAACCACATGGGGGACTCGTCGACCCAAATAGTTAAAACAATCACGTTAATTGCGGCAATGACTCCCGCGGTAATCAATAACCATCTCCAATCATTGTCGTTGGACCACTTGAGGGAAAGCAATTGTGTAAAAAGAATCCCCACATTAATACTGACTTGGTTCATTGACCCCAACAACCCCTTTGTATGTGTTGGCGAGACTTCATTGATGTACAATGACGTGATGACTAAAGCAGACCCGGCTCCTAATCCACAAATGAATCTACCAAAAACTAGTGCGTAAAATGTATTGGCCAATCCATTCAAGATTGATCCTATAAGGTACATTGCACAATGTAAGTAACTAGTTAGTTTCCTGCCGTACTTGTCAGCTAAATGGCCAACATAGAACGACCCAACCAATCCTCCAATAGAAAAGATCGATGTCACAAGCCCAATTTGATCAGGCGACATTGGTATGCACTGTATGTACCCACGAGATCCCCAGAAGGAGTCCATATAAGGCACAAATCCTGGTTGTGAACGTTTACACGTAAGTACCAACTCGGGCGAATTGAGTTCGGCCATGTGGTACCCGAATTGTAACGAGCCAAGACATATCGTGGTAACTGAAAATAGCAAGTTGGTAGTGAGTTGTGGCCGCTGTGGATGCTGTGGCGAAGGCATCTTGAAATGTACTCTGTTAATCACTTTGTTTACGAGTGTTGCTTTGCTGTGATTTGCTTTATCGTGATCCGGTTTTGTGGGACGTTTCTGTAGAACGGGACAATGCTAAAGGGGGAGGGGATTTAGCATAAACGCTACCTAGACATACTTTACTACACGGTGGCATCCTCTAATCATAGTATTACATTTAATTTCTTTTACTCTAAATAATAGGCAAGAAGTTCCCCACAATCATCATCGGTATCCCAAAAACATCTCTTTTTAATGTCCATACGCATCCAGTTCTGATCTTGACATCTAGCTTTGGAGTTAATAAAGTACACTCTGTCATTGTTGCCCCCAAAAAGTCACCAAACGCAATTCTGGAAAACACCTGGAAATATTCAACCACTGACTTATCATCCAATAGCTCAACGATGAATTTGCGCTGACCCTGGCCTATTAGCTGCTCTTTGGTCCACCCAGTCAAAACACAAAATTCATCACCGACATAAGCTATCTCACCAGTTCTTCTCCATACAATTGTTGGAGTACCACTAACCTTGATAAAATTGTCGTACGTAAGTAACGTTCTTTGGAAACATTGCTCCATAAATATCAAGTCATGTTCCTTTAATGAGTTTGTACATGCAATGAACGAGGGGCGGTAAATGGCCATCGACTTGGCCATTTCGACAAGCAAAGGTTTGGGAAATCGCTTACGCAAGTACGCAATAAGCGAGTGATACCCTGGAGTATAAGAAAATGGCTTGGTGACTTTGGCGTAAATCTCCTCTGGCTCTTTAAACAAAGTCTCTTCTTTACCGCTGACGTTGCTTGAGTTATTTTCATCGTGCAGGATTCCAATCGAAAATGACAAATTCAGCTTAGAGTTGCGCTCCTGGTAAACTGCATAATCGGTGTTTTTCATCTCCTCAATGGCGGTGATTATATCTGGAAATAGTGAAGTCTTGTCTGCGTCAATCTTGCCTATAAAATATTGATTGATTGATTCATCACACTTGGGATACTTTGTATCTTCAAACAAGGTACTCGTGTTTCTGAATTTTGGACCGGATGGTGGGTCCAGAGACTTCCGTTCTAACCCATTAGTATAATGTGACCCTGTCTCCGTTGTGTACTCTGTTGACTGCCCTTGAGGCAACGTGTGTGGTGTATTGGACATATTGTGAGGAGATAAATTTGGCGACAAGTTATGCGAGGTGGGTGTTGCTTCATTGGATGTTGTGTGATGGCCACTAAAATTATCCTGCAAAATATTAGAAAGTGTAGCATACTCTAAATCGGCAGCGGTTGAAAGAAACTTTGACTTTTTCTGATACTGGATAAAAGATGTTGGCGAGTTTTCATTATTTGGTGGAATATTGTGTGGATGAAGGTGTTGCTGTTGCTGTTGCTGCTGTTGCAGCAGCTGGCTATTCGAGAGTGGTTGTTGATCTTGCTCCAGGTGTGAATGCAGGCGAGACTGATTATTGTATGAGTTTTGAAAATAGTAGTCGGGCGTGGAGTGTATTCCCAGTCCCGTGGCACTATGCTGGAATAATGTAGCCTGGTATGTCGTATGGTTGGGGGTAAAGTTATTCGGTTGTGGTAGCAGTTGGGGTCGTTGCGGTTGTTGGTACAGTTGATATTGTTCTTGGAAGGTCGACGTTGGCCTAGCAGTCAACTGTGGCGCTGTTGGATGTATCTGGTTCATATGCTGTTGATGGTGAGTTGCCATATTTTCTTGTGGAGGTGGTACTTGCTGGTCTCTCTCATTTGATTGGCGCAGTTGCAAACGTGCCTGCATATTGAGGTACGTGGAATTGTTTTGTAGCTGTGTGTTTTGAGCATGAGGTTGTTGCAAGGTCGTATTCAATGAAAAGCCCTGTTGTAATTCATGGCTCGATTCAGGGTCCTGAGGTAAGCTCTGTGTTCGTTTTATCATCAAGCTAGAATTTGGTACATCATCAAGGTACTTTTTCCGCTTACGAGGGGCATCTTCACATGTTTGATCCAAACCTCGCTGAATGCATCGTTTGCAAGGTCTTCCAGAATCACATGTCATGTGCGCCTTGTGACAGTGGTTACATGCCCTTGAGGTTTTTTTGCGTCTCTAATGTAAAGGTGTTAGTAACCTAGTTGTCATACAGTGGAGTACAGTAAGATTTACATACTGGTTTAGTGGCAGGGTTTTCATTTTCGGTACCGTTCTCATGATCGGAGTCTGGATACTTTATGTCCTGGCGTTCGTTCATATCAGTGTCCGTAATATCTACTTATATATACATTTGATCTTGAGGGATTGGAGTGCAAATGTTGATGAGTAAAGTGTCTATTGTTGTCGCTTATGTCTAAGGTTAGAACCCGCACAAGAGGAGAATGAAGAAAAAAACAAAAAACATTGAATCATATCCTCGGTTGGGCATTGCTACCAATTGCATTGAAAAGGATAACTTTTGAAGAAATACGGTATATTTGATTTTCCACACCGTCAAGACTAATATTTGGGCTTTCCTAAGGGTGTAACAAGCGCTTCTATTTAATCAAACTAGTGATTTTTAAACACGTTTTTTCTCTATCTCTCTCTCTCTCTCTCTCTCACTTTATTTTGCATTAAATTGGTGTAATAAGCTGGAATATATTAACAAGTAACTAAAGAGGTACGTTTAAGTCATTTTAACTATTTCTAAGCCATATAAGTTAAGTATGTACCATTTCACTAGGACCGTAATGAAAAACTACAAAAAGTTCTACTGTGATAAAGCTACAAAGAATAAGCATTGTCCATTTTTTCGGCAATTCACTGTCACAGCGATGTTTGTGAAACAGGGTAAATCATTTTCTCACAGGTCAACTTCTAGTGTACACCATATGAAGATACTGTAAAGCATTTTCTTACAAGATCTCATCTCAAATGGTTGCAAAAAGCGTCCATTGTGCCAATTGCGCAACTACCTCATTTATTGAGAATATGCTCACCACACAAAAAAAAAAACAAAGGAAGATGAAGAAGAAAAAAATTTATTTTGCAAAAGAGAGAGAGATTTGCACTTCAAATGAAGAGTCGATTGAGTTCCTTCTTATCCTTGACTAATACAAGATACTTCAGGTTCCCATTACAACGCCACTTATACATACCTAAACGTTGCATATCTTTATCTCACTACAGAATGACCGATTTCATCACCAAATTTGACAAATTGTCTCTTGATCAAATTCCATCGAAAGTTGAAACTATTGAATTCCCAAAACTAAATGATGAACAATTAGCCTTATCGTCTCAATTTGAGACATTATCAAAGAGACTAGATGAAAGTGACACCTTGACTCAAATCAATGATTCATTGAGAAGCAAGACATTTGTAGTTGGTTCAGTTCCAAGTAAGGCTGATTTTATTTTGTTTGAACAAGTGTATCCCTTGGCATCGAAATGGACTTCCAAAGAGGACGTTGCCAAACATAGACACTTGTTGAGGTGGGTTGATTTGATTCAAAACACTTTGGTCAGTGTGCCACAACCAGTCAAGATTGACTATGATATTGAAATACCAAGAGAAATTAAGGAAAAGAAAAAACCAGCAACAGCTGGAGCCGCTGGAGCCCAAGGGAAGGATGCTTCCTCTTCTAAGGAAGACTCCAAGGCAGATAAGAAGAAACAAAAAGGAGATGCAGCTGGTACTCAATCAGACCAAAAACCATACCAAGAGTTAACTGAAGAAGAAAAGAAAGCAAGAGCTGACGCCAAAGAAGCCAAGAAGGCAGCTAAAGCCAAGGCCAATGCCGAAAAAGAGAAGCAGAAACAGAATGAAAAAGCTGCATCTGCCGTTCCTCCATCACCAGCATTGGTTGACCTTAGGGTCGGGTTCATTCAAAAAGCTGAAAGACACCCTAACGCGGATTCGCTTTACATGTCCACCATTGATATGGGTGATGAAGAAGGTCCAAGAATTGTATGTTCAGGATTAGTCAACTATGTTCCAATCGAAGAAATGCAAAAGAGATATGTCATTGTTGTTGCTAATTTGAAACCAGTCACCATGAGAGGTATCAAGAGTTGTGCTATGGTGTTATGTGCGTCAAATAAAGGTGATGGTGTTGTTGAATTTGTTAACCCACCAGAAGGTTCAAAACCAGGTGACAAGATCTTTTTCGAGGGTTATAATGGCGTGCCTGAAAAACAATTGAATCCAAAAAAGAAAATTTGGGAAGCTGTTCAACCAAAGTTCACCACTACTGAAAACTTTGAAGTTACTTATACCGAAGATGGTAAACCACCAGCATTTTTGGTCAATGAAAAGGGAGAAAAATGTAAAAATAGCACTGTTGTTGGTGCATCAGTTAGTTAGATGTAATATGTACATATCTTACCTGGAATATACACACCTATCATTAATAATGTTTGTGAGTAGATACGGGAGGAGGAGAGTTAGGTCTCAGCTGCACCAAAAAAAAGATTTTAAAACCTTGACACATCGAATTACAGTGTTATGCAAAATAAAAGAATCTGGGGGAATGTGGGGTTCCAATCAAAGCTCAGAAGAGCGTCAGTTAGTTTCATTTAGTGTTTAAGCTGACCTTTAGCTTCTAGTTGATCATGGTAACAAGTATAATATTGTGGAAAAATATTGTCAAGGATGATAAATATGGACATGTGTATGATGCATTTAAACGTTTTCTTCCATCATTGGTCCAAACAATAGGGAAACAAATAGACAGACACAAGATTAGTATGAAAGATAAAACGTGCTTTGGAAATGGATTGAAAAATCATCTTCAAAGTGGAGGAAGACTTAAAATATTGAGAAAGTGGACCTGGTGTCGTTTATATCCAAGTGACTTCCACAAATATATAGTATAGCTTTACTTCTCACAATTAAAATAAAGTGAAAAAAACGATCAAACTGGGGGGATACAGACTTAGCTTGAATAATTGAAGAATGCTGTAGACTAGTGGAAGCAATTCGAAAGAATTTGGCAGTTGGGTGGCCAAGTATTGGTGTCTCCAGTGAACCAAGTGTGCTAGCTTTTGCTTGGTTAGATGTGTTTACTGATGTTGTTGTTCTTTGATGATGATGACGGTGATGATCGTATCTGCAAGTTTTCTTTAAGCCAGGTAGTTTTGTGTAATTACGATCACATTTATGAAAATATAAGAGTCTGGATCTTACCATAATTCTCAATATCATCAACATCCACATATTCATTGATAGCATTGGTTGTTATCTAATAATTCCTCATGTTGATTCTTTAGACTAAGTAACTATAAAAATATTTTCAAACGAAACTCGAGCCTGACTATTTTGTAGACCACTTTAGCAACATAGTTCTAGTGTCTCTTGACTCTTTTATTGCCATCATTGATCAAAAAGTACATCAATGTATGTAGTCATATACCCTTCTTCTTACTGATCAGCTTAATATAAACACTATACTGGACAACTACCTAAGAAGACTTAAGAGAGTGTTGGTGGAGTTGGGCATTCGTATGCTACTCAAAAACAAACAATAAAGCCGCACACAAACATTGAAAAACGTTTTCTTTCTCTCTCTTATTTACTTACTTACTTTTTTAAAGAAATTAAAACTTCTCCTTTTTCTTTTTCTCGTCTCAACACAATTTTGAAAAAAAAAACCACAGAATCTAACATCCATTCCGGGGCAACGAAACAACATCAACATACACATACATTCATATATTAACAATACACACCTTATTTGTTATCCATACGCCTTCATATTATTCTTAACGCCCCATTTACTTCTTTGAAATAACCAGCAACAGCATACTACTATTCAATAACCATGAGTAGAGAACCACAAGACTTGTCCCCACTTACAGTGCCATCATCATCCAACTCAGGCACACCTACATCCCACAACAAACAGCATATGGTGAAAAAACCATCTACCGAACCAAAGAGAAGACGTGTTACTCGTGCTTGTGACACCTGTCGTGCGAAAAAAGTCAAATGTGATGGTAGACAACCGTGCATCCATTGTACCGTATATTCATTCCGTTGTACTTATGATGAACCAAACATTAGAAATAAAAAGAACTCAGGTATACCGAAGCCTTCTCTGCCTAACGTTGTGGCTGCATTACAAGCAGCTGCGGCAAATGGAACGCTATATGGCGACCAACACAACCACTTGTTAAGAAACGCCTCCGCGCCAATGTCGACGTCATCGTCGTCCACCACTACTGCCGCTAGTGGCAGCCAGGTTGCAAATGCTGCTACTGCTTCTCTTGGCCCTACCGTTCCAAATGGTGTACCTATCGATTCATTTCCCACAAAGAATTTGATTATTGCTCAACAGATTATAAACACATTACTCCCCAAACTACAATTCAACTGCTTAGACCAAAACCTAGACTTTGATTTAGATAGATTTCAAAAAGTCATTACTTATATGTGTCAAAAGTCGTCCTCATTGGTTTTAAGCACGAATGAAATTGCCGACTTGACGAATGATAGGGAGGCTATAGTACCACCGCCAAGAAAAGCGTCAGCGGAAACTTTGAGCGAAGATTATACCGCCACCACGCCTCTTGAAGTCAAGTTGATTCTTCCTAGCAAAGAAGAGGCATTAAACTTGATTTACATTACTTGGACCAAAGCATGTGTTTTGTTTCGGTTTTATCATCGTCCCTCGCTTATCCAAGAGATTGATTTATTGTATTCATTGGACCCAAGTGAATATGGCGATCGACAACAAAAATTTCTTCCATTCCTTTATTCAAGTTTAGCATGCGGATGTTTATTCAGCAAGTCGCCTTACAAAAAGACGGCGCATAATGAGAATTTAGAGGATGATGGATTCAAGTATTTCTTGGAGGCTAGAAAATTGATGGATATCACCAATGTGGGAGATATAAGCTCAATTCAAACAATTGTCATGATGATTATGTACTTGCAATGTTCAGCAAGGTTGTCCACGTGTTATTCATACATTGGGATAGCTCTTCGAAGTGCATTGAAGGAAGGGTTGCATCGTAATTTATCCATTTTCCAAAATTCTAAACGCAAGTTGGATCCAATGGAGATAGATACCCGGAAACGTTTATTCTTCACCATTTACAAAATGGACATTTACATCAACAGTTTATTAGGGTTGCCTCGCTCACTCACAGAGGACCAGTTTGACCAAGAGTTGCCTGATGATTTGGACGATGAGAATGTTACTAGACAGGGATACTTGTATGAAAAACAAGGAGGAAGATTGAGCTCAGCCGGTTGTGCTAATTATCACACAAAGTTGATGTTTATCTTGTCGCATATCTTGACGGAATTGTATCCCGTCAAGATTACCCATAACGAGGGGAACAAGAACCCCAATGAGCAACGGCAACAGGAGCGGAGTCAGGATGATAACGAGAAAGTGCCACAGGCATCGCCAGCTAGCCTGCAAGTATCGCCTCTTCTGCAACCACGTCCACACACACAATCATCGAAGCAGGAGTCGCAACACCCAGCACCAAATTCTTCATTAGCATCAATAACTTTGGAAGATAAACACGCACTGGCATCAACTACGCCTTTACCATCTGCGCCAGATAGAATCCATACTAAAGTTACTGAATTGGAGATGGAACTAAAAGTATGGCTAGACAGTCTTCCACGTGAGTTACAGCCAACTGATCCTAATGTGAAACGTACCGATATTCCTGAGAAATTTGTTCTTGCCAACTATTATCTCCACTTGTCGTTTTTGAATTGTCAAATCATGCTTTATCGTCCATTTATTCATTTTGTTAGTGATTCGATGAATGGGTCTTTATCCGATCCACGGTCGTTAATCAGGGGACGCAATTGTATCAAAATTGCTCGTATGGTTGTCAAATTGGCTAACAAAATGATTGACGAGCAATTATTAATCGGAACTTATTGGTTTTCAATGTACACCATTTTCTTTAGTATTGCTTGTTTGATGTATTATTTCCATTTTGCCAACTATAATAATAATGGTCATGGAGTAAATGCATTTGGTGTTTTATTTGATGATGATTTAAATGTTGAAGTGATTAAGAAGGATATTGAAATTGGGAAAAAAGTATTGGATTCATTGAAAGATTCGTCAAATAGTTCATTACGTATTTACAACATGTTGAATACGTTGTTTGAACAATTGAATAGAAGGACAGCGTCGAAGGCAGTAAATAAGAAACAGCCTGTACCACAACCCACTCAACAGAAACAGCAATCTCAACAGAGTGCAAATATACTTCTTCAAGAGAATCTCAAGAGTACTTTTAAAAACTTTGATGACAATAACCGATATGTCAATGATTCGAAAAAGGATGATTTAGGTGAATTTTTCAAAGATGCCAGTATTGCTCGATTTCAAACAACGTCGGAAATCCCTCAAGATTTGGCCAATATTGAAAGACTTCTGATTATTAAAGAAGAGGATAATGAAGAAATTGGTGGTAATGTTGGAGGTGGACTTGCTTCCAATTATATGCCGGGGGTTTTTGATAAGCTTGATGCGCAAATATTTGGCAAGATTCTTCCGCCTTATATGTATGATCAGCAACAGGTTCCAAACAGTCAAAAGGGACCAGAGCAACCACCACAGCAACAGGAGCCCCTAAAATCCTTCCAACATACACAACAACAACAATATCCCCATCTCCAGCAACAGCCACTACCACCACCACAACATCAACAACATTTTACTCAATACAACACACAACAGGGAAGTAATATATACAATGGCAGTAATTCATTTGTGACCAATAGCAACAACAACAGTTACAATCCTGATGAAGATTTAAATTTCGATGAGATTTTCGGTGCTTTAGATGCATTTGCGCCGGGGAATATAAGTGGTGGCAACAACAATCCTATTGACTATCTAGCACCTTTTTGAACGGGGTGAAGAGGAGGAGGGGGAGGAGGTGCTGTATTTGAACGAGCGGAGAGAGAGAGAGAGAGAGAGAGAAGCGAAGTGGGTGCGTTGTGTCTTTATGCCACATTGGACTTTAACCATGGCAATAGGGTAACGCTATTAGATTTTATTTATTTCATCTTCCTTTCTTCTTTAAAATAATATATATATGTATATATATGTGTGTGTATATGTGTTAATAGTTATTAGTGTTTAAATTTTTATCTACAATTTGCAAATGGGTATTTGTAAAATTACTTCGTGATCATTGGGATTGAGTGGATGAGTGTCAGATAGAGGGAAATCGTGATACCCGGAATAAATAATCAGTTTTATCCGGAATAACCTTATTCTGGTTTTTCTCTGTACACAATGTTAAGCTCTCTGCTATTTCCTATTCTCTAACCCAGCGTAAAAGATATTCATGGGATGTAAGTCCGTGCATCGGAATCGAAAAATTTACTTTCAATCTTTCTTTGCCCATTATCGAAATCTCATCTCCTGAGATCCTTTCTTTTTACTTTTATGTCTTTTATACTTCTTTTGTGTTTTTTCAACTGAAGAGTGTAGTCCGAAAGAAGAAAGAATAGGGAGTTTATCAAGAAACAAAAAAAAGAAGTATACCCGAGGAGACAAAAAGTGTGTAGATATACCTGCCAGTAAATAAAATAAGAGAAGGCACAGACAATATACTCACTAACAGTACATTTGCCAAAGCCTACTTCTGTCAAACTAAAAGACCATAAATGACAAATATAACGGGAGATACATCTGGTTATATTTAAGTCAACAGTTCTTTTTTTGTTTAGAAATAGCCGACATCTTATAGCCCAAACCGTTAGGAGGAATCTTTGAATATGTACATAAATTTCTTTTGTTTGTCTCTTAAGGTCAGTTTATATATATGTCGTCGGAAAATTTCTAACTATGCTTTAGATCAACAAGGAGGGAGGTATCTTAACACCGGAAAGAGCCTCATGAAAGCAAGATACAGGCGTCACTGTTGTTTCTATCGTTCGGTGCTTAGTTTGGCGTTGTTTCCATTTAACTCCGTGGAATTCCCATCGATCCTCAATTTTGTGTAATAGTCTTTTGTTGATTGCTATAAATCCATTTTATAACCGTTCAACTCTTCATTTCTCATTTCAATTTAAACCTTTTGGCTATTAGTTCTTACCTTCTAAGTCCTCGTTTTACATTCAATTACTATACGGTGAATTCTATTCAAGGACCCATCCTTCTCCCAATCTTTTGTCTAGTTGTTTTTCTTTAGAACTAAACTTCTCCCCCTTCCCCTGTTCACAAAAAAGTTATTCCGATTCCGATCTCAGGCAATTCACAAATCGGCGCAAAATAAAAAAATCATAAAGAGTCAGGAAATTGAAAAAAATTACTTTACCACCATCTATACATTAGCAGAGCTTGAGTATTGATATTATAGAATCTATTGACCTCCCCCAAATATGTTTACCGGAATAGCAACTAGAAGGTTTATACCCACCCCTAGTGCAAGATATTCCCTCATCAATACAAAATTAGCAACATCTAGAGCACCACATTTCACCAAATTATATTCAACGGTACCTCCACCTCCAGGGAAACCACATCCTACATACACCTCACTTGTTTTCAATTTAGTCAAATATGCTTTAGGTGCCGGTGCACTAGGCGTTGTTGGATTTGTTGGATTTGTTGGATACAAGATTTACACTGAAACCCATCCTGGCAAACAACAACCACAATCGGCCACATTTCCAACTGGTGAACGGAAGAAAACGTTGGTCGTTTTGGGTTCCGGTTGGGGATCAGTGGCTTTGTTGAAGAATTTGGATACCACGTTATACAATGTCGTTATGGTGTCACCCAGAAACTATTTCTTATTCACTCCATTGTTGCCTAGTGTGCCCACGGGAACTGTTGATATGAAATCAATCATTGAGCCAGTTAGAGCCATAACCAGATTATGTAAAGGGCAAGTGGTATATTACGAAGCGGAAGCAGTTGATATTGATCCTGAAACAAACACATTGAAGATCCAACAATCTACAACGGTACACTCGGGTCATTCAAAAGAAAGTTCGGCCTCGACTAGGTCAGAAAAGATTGGCGATGATAACGTCGAATATATCAATGCTACTCTTCAATATGACTACTTGGTTGTCGGTATCGGTGCCCAGCCATCAACATTTGGTTTACCAGGAGTTGCTCAACATTCAACATTTGTTAAAGAAGTCGGTGACTCAATGCGGATTAAAAAGACATTGATTGATTTAGTTGAAGCGGCTAATTTGTTACCTGAGAATGATAAGGAACGTAAACGTCTATTACATGTTATTGTCTGTGGTGGTGGCCCAACTGGTGTTGAAGCTGCTGGTGAGATTCAAGACTATATCGACCAAGATTTAAAGAAATGGATGCCGGAAGTCGCCAAAGATTTAACCGTGACCCTCATCGAATCACAACCCAAAGTGTTGCACACGTTCAATCCTAAATTAGTCGAATACACTAATCAAGTGTTTCAAGATACCAATATTGATTTAGTTACCAATGCCAGAATTAATTCGGTTGATGATAAATATTGTACTGTTTTCCACAAACAAACTAAAGAAACTGAGGTTGTTCCCTATGGTATGCTTATATGGGCCACTGGTAATGCTACTAGAGACTTTACACATGTTTTGATGGACAAAGTTGAAGCACAAAAGAGTGCCAAACGAGGCTTTCTTGTTGATAAACATTTAAAATTACAAGGGTCTTCAAACATCTTTGCCTTGGGAGATTGCACATTTACCAAATACCCACCCACAGCCCAGGTGGCTCACCAACAAGGAGATTACTTGGCTGATTATTTTAACAAGTTGCAGAAATTAACCAGTTTAAAGTACAAAATCGAACATGATGCCACGGCATCTGATGTCTTGAAATCAAGAGCTTCTCGATTAGAAAAGAACTTGCCCCATTTCATTTACAATTATCAAGGGTCATTGGCCTACATTGGTAGTGAAAAAGCCGTGGCTGATTTGGCTTGGGGGTCGTGGTCAAATGTGTCAACTGGTGGTAATTTGACTTATTTGTTTTGGAGGTCAGCTTATATCTACATGTGTCTTTCGGTCAAGAATCAAATTTTGATTTGTATTGATTGGTTGAAGGTGTATGCTTTTGGAAGAGATTGTTCAAGGGAGTAGACTCAGAAGTGGGAGATATAGGTACAAGGAGTGTGGTTCTTTATATGAAAGGCTATTTATATTTAGATACGTATTAGAAGATACAATAATATAGAAAGTAGAGATATACTTTGGTTGTACTAGGTGTGTGGTTCACCTGACGCTACCATTTATCATAAACAAAATTTACAAAAATCTCATCTCTCTTTTACAATCAATCAGCAACCTTCCATCATCACAAGACCGCTTTCTCAAAGATATTACATAAGAAGATAGATAAAAATGAGCGATAGACGAAGAATAACGGGTCCGGTAAATACACTGACTCCAAATATCCCTGCTGCCCTCAACCTCCCATCATCAACCACCAGTAACAACAACACCAGCGGCACCAGCAGTACCAGTTCCACCAGCGGCGCCACTACTTCATCTAATCAAGTACCTCCATTCTTTCTCAAACACGGGCTAATCACAAACTCCAATGGCTCAGCGTACTTGGAAATAGACAACACGACAATCATCCAAGTATCAGTATTTGGACCACGACCAATCCGAGGTTCATTCATTGACAAGGCCAGTGTCAGTGTCGAAACGAAATTTCTTCTGCACGTATCGCAACCGCAATCAGATATATTCAACAATAACAGTAGCAATAGCTCTTCCAACAATAATAGAGATACGCCACAAGCATCATCGGGGTACAGGACGGGGATGACGCCCATTGAACATCGATTGAGCTCGTATTTGGAGTCATGCATATTACCCAGCATAATCCTTTCAAAATACCCCAAATCAACTATTGATTTACAAGTTAGTGTCATTTCCACTGACCCGAAATGCCAGGGAGTTTCAGGAATGTTGTGGCTTATGCAGTGGATTGTCGTTGCTAGTAGTTTAGCCATCATTGATGCCGGAATTGAGATTCGTGATGTTGTTTCTAGCGGTGTTGTTAAATTGATGGCCAATGGAGATGTTCGTATAGGACAAGATTTAGACCGCCACCAGCAAGAAGAGAAACTACATGATACAGATGCGGGTGAAGATGGGGTTTATGCCTTGGTTAGTTTTATGAATTTGAAGAATGATGAGATTGTAGGCTGTTGGTTTGAACGTGATGGTAATGGTGATGATGAGAAATTACAATTATCAGAAATAGAAATGGAAAAGTTGATTGATGAATGCAGCAAAATGTCAAAATTGATTAGAGCCAATTTGAATTCATATTTATTGAAATCTTTCAATTGATTATTGGAAACAAAGAGGAAAAAATTGGGTGAGCTTTACCTCTTATGCATGTTTTATAGAAGCTTGTATATACAATAATAAAATCTATTGAGTGTGGGGTGGGCGGCTGTTATTCATTCTTCTTAATGGATACATCATATGACAAATCATTGAGAATATGATTAATATCATACAATTTCCTAGCCACTTCTTTGATTGAAATGTTATCATGATTGAGGAAAATCTTCGAACTAATACGAATATTAGTAGTTTGCGAAATAACCGTGCTCAACAAATTGTACATTTCCAACACATTTTCATCCGATTGCGTAGCTATGGCTTGTATCGAAGTATCAATTGAATCAATAGCAAATACACGATCAAAAATTTCCAGTTTCAATTCATTGGCAAAACCATCCAATGCAGATTCTGATTCATCATTGGGGACATCTATATGTGGCGATTTAATTTCAAATGGTTCAGAAATATATGCCACGTCATGCCCGCCATCCAAATGGTATCTGACTTCGTAAACACCTTGTTCCCAAAATAGCTTATCCTTGGTGAATGTAAATGTCCCATTGGGGGTTTCACAATAGGTCCATCTGCCCGATGATGAAAGAAGTGTCTTGTTTCTCGAGTATGTAGTTTGCAGAATTTTGTATAATCCAATCCAGTTTCGCGTAGAATGAGTGGAAGCAGGTGATTGCCAATTGACCTTGATTGGTGATCCAATAGTTATGTATTTCGAATTGGTTGCTTTGTCAACATTCAATTCAGGAATGGTCAATTTATAATCGGAATTTGCAAATGACAAGTTTTGTGATAATTCAATCAACTTCTGCTGCGATAATTTAACCTTGGAATTTTGTAAATCCTTGATGAAATTTTCAAATGATTCAGCAATACTCAGTCCAGGGTTACTTCTTCTTCTTCTCATTGGCTCGTCGTTGCTAATTCTTCTTTGTATAACATCAGGAATCAAGTGTTTTTTGAAGGTTTTCGTGACCCCAGAATCTTGATTTACTTCTTGCTCGCCATATACTCTGAGCATATGAGCCTTTTCAATGAAATTGATACGAATGAAATTGTTGGCAACCCATAAAATACAACAGACAATGTTTTCGTATGTTGGCCATATAATAAACACACCCATAACTCCACAAACACCAAAGATTTGTTCTGGATTGTTCAAGTAACGGTATACACCAGCTTTGGTCAAGTGCTGCGATTTTGGAATGAAAAAATCACCATAGAAATAGCCAAAGTATCCAATCAGGTCAATTATTGATGCATTGATCCAAGTTTGGGTCACAATCAACAAGCAACCAACAAAGACTCTCAAGTAGAACAAATCATGGTAAAGTACATCAGTGGTGCCTTGAAGGATATGCGCAAAATTCATACCAAACAAAGATGAGTATGTCAAATTGATCAAAGAATTGTATAATATAGCCCAATTGTTTAATGATTTCTCGACCGGAATATCATTCGAAAGACACCACTTGGTAAAATATTTCGAGTAGCTTTGCCAAATCAACATTGTATTGATAAAGAAACTTTCAAACACCTTTGTACCCACCGTCAAGGCAAAGAATAATTTATAAGAGTTCCTTGACAATAATGGAATTACGACACCATAAGTGGTTATTAAAATCAAATTCAATACATCGCTTGCTCTCATCCAATTGAAATTGTAAAAACCAACCAATGGTGGCATATTTTCAAAATGTTTCAAATCTTTCAACTTCAAAATCTTGATTAAATTTATTTCGTTCTTCGAAGGACCATAGATCTTATCAATATGAGGATTTTCAATATAATGAAGGAAAATCATTTGCAAGAAATGGCCAAAGATTGCAATTGCCAATACTGTATATGATTTGGCTATTAAGGCAAATCCATAATAACCCACATAGCCCACTGAATACATTGGATGGGGTACCATTTCGAAAACACCATCAAAAATCAATTCTTCATTATTGATTTGTCGGAAGAAAAAATCACCCCAATACCAAGCATAATCCTTGATTGTGTTGTGAGCATTGACTTTAACCCACAAATTAAACAAAATTAAACTCAAACCAACAATTATTCTTAGGTAAACTGTCCAAGTGTTGTGGAAGTCTTCAGCATTAGCAATTGCGCAAGTGTAAACCACACAGCAAAAGGTGACAAAATCTGACATTAAAATCAAGTCCACAAATTTTCTAAAAACGAGCCAAGTGTTGAATTCTATAGGTAAGGATGAGATAACATAGTCTTTACCTCGCTGGGACTTGACTTCTTTTTGCACGACTTTAGCCCAAAACAGCTTATTTTTAGAATCAAACAAGTTACCATCTCTAGACCAGGATACCAACCTATTATGAGTTGATTGTTGTTGTAATAACCACCCAATACCAAAGTTGTAAGACAATCTCCAGAATATATATAATCCAATAAACACACCAATTCGCACTTGATTCAGTGGTATTAAAAAAACAAGCAAGTTGGCACATAAACAACCCAAAATGGTTAATTCCAAGTTTGATTTATGCAATGAGGGATCAAACAATGTCTTGACCATATCATGAGTTTCTGGAACGACAAAAGTTTCACCAGCAAATGTTATTCCCTTTGGACCTGCAGATGAGGTGTCATAGTCTTGTTTTGATCCCATTGCAGTCATTGGACTATTGTTGGTTTCTGTTTGGACTGACATCGTTGTGAAAGCAATTGTGGCAGCACTTTTGTTGCTTTTTGTCGTTATATTTTTTTATTGCTTTTTTCTGATTCTTCCTGTATTATAGCACAACCAAAATCAGTAATGGCTTTATATATGTGCTAAGAAGGAGGGAATAGTTTCTAAGATGGTGGAGATAGTAAGATGGTAAAGAACAGTTGCTATTGCTGTTTATCTTAACCGTTGAGTTAGCTAGAACGCAAAAGAAGACCTATCTCTGATGAAATTAAGAAAAAGGAATCCAAAAGTGCTGAAAATTTTTTTCAATTTATTGATATAAGTTCTATATACTTTTTAGTTTATTATTTTTATTTCATTTGGTTAATTGTTAAAAAAAGCTTTCTACGGTAACTCACCGGCGAAAAGTCACACGAACAAAAAAGTGTGGGGGGACAAAACATGAGCCAAAAGTAGAAAAATAGGAGCTGCAGTTGAACATAATATATACTTTCCGCTGAATCGCAAGACATGGACGGTAACCCTTTCTTCTCTTGTTCTTTTGAAGGACGCATGATAGCCGGTAAAAGACAGTTATGTCCTCTCTTTCATAACCATGTGTGAACTATATTGATTAGTTTGGTACTGCCTGCACATAAAAATTTGTTGGTCTTTTCGAACTTTTGTTTTGGAAGTATTACACAAAATCTCCAATACATTTACACGCAACGCCCGATAAGCGCATTTACTTAGATAAAGTGAAAGTGAGGATCATGTGTATGCCTAATGATAAGATAATCTTCTTACTAGCATTCAGCCATTGTATTTCAACTGTATGAAAGTATAAAATGGTTATAAATAATAAAGTAATGGATTTCTCTTGTATGAAAATATATATATATCCCCTTCAAGTAAACACAAATATTTAATACTCAATCAATAATTCAGTATTAAAAATGCAAAACTATTGTTTTTTTTTTTAATGATCTTGTGAGTATTAATTAAATACGAACAATAAATTATTAAATTTGCATGTGATAATTTTCTGTTCTTTTAAATATACGAAAATTGACAACCACCTATTTATAATGAAATGACCACCAGTTCTTTGGAGAATATTCAAAGCAAACTTCTAGATAGATACAGACTTCATAATAAGAACTCATACAAGAGAAGTATCTTATCACCTTTTGTAAGTTTTAAAAACAACTAGGATAACATTTTCTAGAAGTGATGTTAAACCTCTCTACTCTCTTGTTTTTTCGTCTCTTACAACGATATCAATCAAACAATATAAAACATTTCAATCTATTATTATACACACACATCTATTAAAAATATCAAAAAAATAAAAAAAGCATAGATCGACACATTTTCCAATCGACATAAATAGAATAAAAAAACATGAGTGTATGTTGTAACAACATTGCATCACTCATTTAGGCCAACTTTCCCTCTAGAAACGACGGTTACCCAATGGAGCAGTGTTGGAACCAGAGGAGTAACCACCACGACCACGTCCTCTTCCTCCCCAACCACCACGACCACCACGGCCACCACGGCCACCTCTTCCAGACCCATATCTAATATGACTACCATAACTTCTTCTATCAAATTGTTGCAATTCAGGTGGAATGGTTTGATGAGCTTCTCTCATAATCTTGCACAAATCACCACCCAATTTCTTATTGTTATCAGTGAAAAAGGAAATAGCTGTACCTGTAGCACCACCTCTACCTGTTCTACCAATTCTATGCACATAGTCTTCAATGTTACCTGGCATATCATAATTGATCACATGAGTAATACCCTTAACATCTAAAAAAACAGAAGCAGTTAGTATATATAATCCTCTTAATGCATTTAACAGTTTCCATTTTTTAGGAATAACTACTCTTCTCTTCTTCATTTTGTTTTACAACAAAGACAAAAGTAAAACTACAGGGAGAATTTTCAAAAAGAAAAACACAAATTGGAATGTGAACGTAGATGGATGATGGACACCTTTGGAAGGAATGGTACTCCGCTCTTTCCCTACTCCCCTTTAAGTATGTCTCATCAAGCCATTACCCATTTATTGAACTGTGACATAGAAGACATTTGGTCAGCACGACATACTAAACACACACACACACACAAAATGCAAAAGAAAATAACACTACACACATATTATATTGATAATTCGACTTCTTCAATGACACAAACAACCCCAGAAACAGGATCATTCAATTTGTAGAGCGTTTTCCTTCTTCTGTTTAAAAAAAAACACGCTCCAAATCTTATCTCTTATACTTTTGAACACAGGTCTAGCATTGTCCTCAAATTCAGTGAGATATCAAAGTAAATGCAAAAAGCTACTTCACTTTTCCATCTCATTCAAGGCAGTCTTCTTCTCAACCAACAAAAGCCTAAGTTGAAAAGTGACTGCACCGGACAATTGAAAACCTGACAAAAAAAAAGACGCGAGTCATCATCGCATCTTTCCCTTTTTCCCAACGTACAAGAACGTCATTGTTGAACTCATTAACAAATATGTGAGCCATCTGTAATTTCACATCCGTGCGACGCATGTAGCTACTCCCCTTCTTGTTTCTTTTGTTTACTTCTATTCAACAAAATCTTCAATAATGGGTGCACATTCTCTGTCGACTTCCCTTCAATTTGTCATTATGATAGTCATCATTGGTGTTCACATTGAATCTCTCTCCCTTTGCGTTTGGCCCGCCAAAACACAATCAAGTTTTCTTTCCCAAAAAAAAAAAAAAGAATCATTCCTAAAATGTTAAAGTTAATAGTTTCTGGGAATAAGAACTTTCCCTCCTCAGATAAAATACATACCAATACCTCTGGCAGCAACATCAGTTGCAACCATAATGGAGTGACTTCCTTGTCTAAACTCCTTCAAGACCCAGTCTCTTTCGTGTTGTTCCTTGTCACCATGAATAGCCAATGCAGGCCATCCGTCAGACCTCAAGTAACTTGTGACATCATCACATGTCCTCTTGGTACTAGCAAAAATCAAAACCTTGGAGTTGGTATCAGCCAATGCACTTTCCAAGTATTTAACAAGCATATCTCTCTTTTGGTACTCAGTTACAACCTGCACGATCTGAGTAATTGTATGCGAAGCAGCCAATTCTAATGAACCGATAGTAACTTGAATAGGATCATTTAAGTAATCCCTAGCCAAGTTTTGAACTTCCTTCGGCCACGTAGCAGACCACATCAATGTTTGACGATCAGGCCTGATTTGGTCAACAATCTTTCTAATTTGAGGCTCAAATCCCATATCCAACATTCTGTCAGCTTCATCTAAAACCAAATAAGTGACTCTCTTCAAGTTGGTCTTACCGGCTTCCAACATATCGATCAATCTACCTGGTGTAGCAATACATATCTCAACACCCTTGGCCAAATCTCTAATTTGTGGACCTTTTGGAGCACCACCGTAAACACAAGTGTTTCTAATTCTTGACGATGAACCAAACTTACTACACTCAGTTTGAATTTGACAAGCTAATTCTCTTGTAGGAGCCAAAACCAAAACAACGGGTCCATCACCTTGTTTCAACAATGGTTGAGCATTGATATGAACAATACCTGGCAAACAGTACGACAAGGTCTTACCTGAACCAGTAGCAGCAATACCAACCATATCTCTACCACTCAAAGCCATAGGCCAACCTTGACATTGAATAGCAGTTGGCTTTGGGAAACCTTGTGCTTTCAATTCATTCAAAACATAGTCAGGGAAACCAGCTTCATCGAACGTAGTAATTGGATGTGGGATATCATGACCCTGAACACTCATTTCATTTTCCCTTCTAAATGCTTCAATATCAGCATCCGATCTGGCGGCAACACTTGGGTGTTCAGTGTAGAAATTTTTTTCAAATTTAGGCAATTGTTCTAAGTCCCATTCTGGTGCAACCAATTCCTGTCTTGGAGCGTCATTAAATCTTCCACCACCTCTTCCTCCATATCCACCATCTCTGCCACCGTAGCCGCCGCCTCTTCCACCATAGCCACCTCCACCGTAGCCACCTCCACCGTAGCCACCTCCACCGTAACTACCTCCGTCTTTTGAACCACCACCGTAGCCACCTCTTGAGCCACCTCTGTATCCTCCGTTATTATATGACATTCTTTGATTTAATTATAAGTTAATGATTGATTGATTGATGAATAACTTGGTTAATAATGTCAAATCAAAGTTACTTTATAGAAGAAGAAAAAGAGTAGATGAGAAGGAAGTTTTTTTTTCTTCTCCTTTTCAGTTTGTCTATCTCATCTGGTTTGTGTGAAATTTCTTTTTTTCCTTTTTTTTTTTTGAAAGGCATCTCTTCTCATACTTTGAGTGAGACATTACACAAAAGGTATGAAAATGTCTATCATATCAACTCAGATAGAAAGAAAGATCGGTTTACTAGTAGGAGACGTATGTTAGAGTGCGGAATAATAGGGATAATGCTTTTATTTTTGGACATGATGCAATGCCATATAAGTCAATTCAAAAAGCGAGATAGATACAACGAGATAATACGTTCTGAAATCACTCACGTTTAATCACCTTTGTTTGGCCAGAGATGGGTATCAGCTCCAAGCTCCGTAATCCTAACACCAGATGCATATGCTTTTGCTGCTATTCCTATATCATTGATTCTATAAACCAGTTAGCTCTACCAACAAGAGCTCTGTTTCTGCACATGTCAGAAAGCAGTCTCATTTTTATGGGTCCAATTATGGCTCCTCGGTACTGTATCCACCCTCTTTCAACCTTTGCTCAAATTTCTCTTCCACAACGCCACATAGCTCGCTCAAATTGTCGAAACCCTGGTGCAAAGCTTCAACAGCTGATATGTTACCATACGTTTGTATCCTGATGTTCATCTTGTTTTCACTGGGATGTGGTATACTATACCCACAAAATTCAACCTCGGGGTTTTTCATAATGATATAACGCAATGCATTGCCCAAGGTGTGATCCTCTTCCAAAATCTGGAATGAAGCTGACGATCCATCTTCTGATGCACCAGGAAGTATCTTTATCTTGTCAACATCGTATTCTACTTCATCTACTTGCTCTGGTTCATCTATTTTTATATCGTCGGAGGACATGATCAGCTTTTGTTTTACTCTTTTGATGACTCTTTTGGAGTGAGTGGTGTAACTTTGGTAACTGCGATGAAGCTAACCGATGCTCTTCGACAACTTTCTTTTTTCTTGAAATAATTGAAAAAAAAATAAAAATATTTCAATTATGCGCTACCACACGTTTTTAAGACTTTAACTGTTATTATTTACAGACTGGAATTCAAGAAAATGTACTAGCTAACATAACTTAAAAGTATCTACCTTAAATACTCAAGAAGAATTTGGTAGATATTCATGAGTGAAAAGAGAGAACCTGCGTATATTGTTGCTTTTAAAAGTTATCGGCGATATTCAACCTCCCTTCTTTGTTAGTCACAGACATGACTTGCAAACTAATGAAAGAGTATCAAAAACTTACAACAATTTCATTTCATTTCATCATCATTAAACTTATCTAAACATGTCAAATGCTCTAATACAAGTATCTAAAGTCGGCTGAGATCTTTGATCCATCGTTACCTTTACCTAATTCTTTTTGCCAGTCCATGGTACCCTTCTCAATCTTTCTGTTCAACACCACCAACCTGACCCTCAACATAATGACAAAAAGAATTGCTAAAACAATGAATGCAATGTTACAACTCATAGCCTTGACATAACGTGGTCCATCACTCGATGGGTATAAGTATGAGTTCCAAATTGAAGTTGAGTTACTCAAACAATTGACCAAGGCAATAGCAACTGCTCTCTTTGCTGGCGGTCTAGGGCACGAGTTTGAAATCCACGTCAATATAACAACGAATGCCGAATACAAACTTGGAATCATTAGAATCATACTGAAATATCTAGCACCTGTGTTCAATGTTGCCACTGCGATTATGAATGCCACCAAGGCAAACACCATTGGGATTATAATATGCAAAGTTCTTTCTCCGGTTTTGTCAGCATGCCTAGCCCAGAAATAGGTGACAACAACAGCAACAACGTATGGTGGAGCAGTTAAACACAAAGTGATGGTGTGGTTAAAGTTCAAGGTACCAACGATGGTAGGGAAGAAATTGGTAACACCACATGCTGCAACTAAGAAACTGTGCATACCACAGAGCATCCACATCTTTGTGTCCAACACTGCCAACTTGAATCCTTCCCAGTCGCTAACCTTGGCTTCGACATCAGTGTCATCAACATTCCCCAAATCTCTTTTCAATTTCCATTGGATGATGTCCTTCTCTTGTTGATTTAAAAACTTGGTATTGTGTGGAGTGTCTGGTAAGACGAAATAAGCAAATGGCACAGTCAAGACGGTGATACCACCTTCAATAATGAACAAATATCTCCAACCCTCAACTCCTCCCAAACCGTCCATTTCCAAAATACCTGCTGCTAACAACCCACTAAAGGCAGAACTGATCAATGAACCAGCATACAAGATCGAATTCCTCGAAGCCAAAGTCTTTTTGTCGTACCATGAAGACAAGATCATCAACGCACTGCAAAAGAATGCAGACTCAACCACACCAAGCAAGACACGAATAGCAACCAATCCACTAAAATTTTGAACGGCAGCAGTACAGGTTGAGATGGCACCCCAAATGGTCATGACAACTGCCAAATAAGCAGACGGGCGGCCTAATCTATTCAACAACATATTTGAAGGGACTTGGAACAAGATGTAACCAACAAACAACACCGAAATCACAATCTCGTATTGATTACCTACCAAGCCCAAATCTTTTTCCAACCCCCCCAATCTGGCACTAGCAATATTGTTACGATCAATGTAGTTCAAAATATAAATGAAGATCAACATTGGCATCAACCTTAAATCAATCTTCCTGATTGTTTTCTTGTCTAATTCCTTCAATTCATCTTGAGTCAAGTCTTGCAAAGATTCTGGTAAATCGACATAATATGGTTCTTCTTCGATTTCATCCAAGCCCAATTCGGTCTCTGACTTTTTCAAGTCAGTCCCTACTTCAAGGTGGGAGGTACTGGCTTTGGCATCTTCAAACTCTTCAATATGGGTTGCCCCAGCTTTTTCAACTGACATGTCTTTTTGTAGTGATGATGGTATAAAAAAACAAATCTCAAAAGAAAAGAAAATCAAGGATTCCAACTCTTTTATATAGCATTTTCAGAGTCAGTCAGAAGATGCATTGCTGAAACACGGCATTTGGAGGAGTCCTCAACAAATTTTCGTCAATTTCAATTACAAAACTCGAGTAGAGTCAGTGAAAAAAAGTTTATTGTTTAGTCTTGCTGCTTTACTGAGAGCACAAAATATCACAAACGTACAAAATGACGCGAGGTGGGGAAGAAAAAGTAAAATAAAACAAAAAAAAGTTTGTTGTATGGTTAAGAGCTCCTGTGCCAAAATGCTACACGCCTTGCTGTCTTTGTCATCCACAACGCAATGAAAATTTTATTTACATGGATGACTGCTCTTGCCAGACAACACCCCGGTAGAGTAGTCATCATGGTTGATAGCTACCTTGTCTAAACCAGCAATTACTCTCGAGCGAAATAAATTTTCTTCATTTCTTTTGTCGTGTGTTAGCCGATGAAAAGATTTTCCGAGAATTAGTAAATGGTCACAAACAAAACTTTTCCTGAAGATTACATACTCCCCTACAAAAACTTCTTACAGCTGATCTTGGCAAGGTTGCTACAATCTGATACATCATTCATCCAAGTTATGACCAAATACGTAATACTCCTTTCGGATTACTAAAAGTCACCAATGAAAGGTGCAAAGTATAAAAAATCATTTATTTTGGATTTTGGAGGAAGTGCCAAGAATTACACAAATAGGCTTTTTCCACTTTAGTTATTCCGTGGGGGAACCCTTATTGTTTTTTAAAAAGGAAGAACAAATGGGAAAACCCAAAAACTAAGCAAATAAGCAAATAAGCAAACTAGGTGAAAGGACTTTCAGCCCAACACATTTTTGTGAATTCTACCGCCAAGGATAACTCAAAACCCCACCCGATCCATATACGATCGGTTTGAAGTCGTGGGGGGGGAAAGCCAACTAGCTCTTACGGAATTATAATGATAAAATCAGAGCTCTGGATTCTCATCGCTCACAACACAGTCTTGATAAGGGATGTTGGGTTTAGATAAGATTATTATGGCTGAATTCGTCGTATGTACGTTAAACTTTTGAGAAAACAGAGTATCACAGGTTTGCTTATTTACAAACACCATTCAACGACTATAGGCTCAAAGGCCAGTAACCAATCATAATGCAGCCTCAAAAGGTCTCTTTCCATGTTTTCTATCAAGCCATTTTAGTTTAAATCAGTTCCAAGAAAAACCTTGGGAAGCACGTGCTGATGAAAACTTTTACTTGATCATAGTTCGGACACCCAATCATAAGCAACCTGATTATTGACATAACATGCCCTAGGCTAGCAGTTTTAGATAACGGTATTGATAATACAACACAAACACTGCACTCTCCATGGTTTTCTCTGATGACAGGGCATGTTAATACACTACAGCTAAGCTTGTCACACACTGCACACGCCTTGAGTTGTTTGGGAAAAATTTCGGAGTTTCACAAAACTTATTGTTACACAAAGATGTCATTTGAAACAGCTTTATATTATTTGGGGGATCCATTCCCCATACTAACCCCACCTCATCGCTATTCTAAACAATAGATGGATCGATTCAGGAGAAGGTAATTCTTTATCTTCCCCAATGTATTTCGTTAAGGATTGCCCGAAAAGCTATTGGGGCTCGTAATAGACTCCCTTTGTATTCTAACTTCACTTATTATATACTTCATCCAATACTTCATCGAAAACTTGAAACAATAGATGTCTATTCAACTGGTTTATCTGTAGCATCAGAAACAAGGTAGTGGCGGCATTGGCGGTGTTTTCACTCCCAAATATCCTAGACCATGTTTCGGTCATAAACGTATCGAATAATTGGTTTGCTTCTCTATAGGTGTGTAATTTCTGCTGCCTACTTCGCGTCTCAGGTTCTAATTTGAATTTACCGTCCGGGAATAGCAAGTTACGTAACATGGTCAACACATTACCAACATTGGATTCACTGAAATGAGTATCAACAATTTCATATACTTTATTCTCAACCGCGGTTCCAAAAAACTGCTGAAGGATAACGACTAGTGCCCTGCCCTTGAGCCAATGGAGATTGAAAATTGATATGACAATGTCACATATTGGCTTGATAAACAATGGTTTGCTTGTGGGTTTTTCATCGAATTGTCGTAATTCCTTCTCCATCTCACGTCTATTTTCCAAAATCCCGCCATTAGAACTAGTTGCAGTAGATGAGTACTGACAGTTAATCGTACTCCTGTTATTAGAAGACCCCAAGTACCACTTATAACCAAACAATGCCGACAATTTCTTGGGTTCGTCAAATCGCTGGTGTTTGCCCAATTGGAAATTTTCAGACGATAAAAACGATCTAAATGCCTTGTCAGAGCAAACCTCGGGGATTTCAATGAGTGCTCTTAAATAAGCTTCGAGCTGGTGTCGTCTAGTCTCGGTGATATTCTTTTGCTGAAATTTCAAAACCAGAATCGACTTTTGTGGGAAATTTAAGCTAGATACTTGAGGATAACGGCGCTTTAAATATCCATGCAATCTATGAAACTGACTGTACCTCCTGGCAACCACCCAACCAGCTTTAACGACATCTGGTTCTTCACTGGAAAACTTTTGGACCTCAACAATGTACAATACAAACTCCTTCGCTTTCTCATTCTCGTGCACTACCGACAGAATACTAACTTTTGACTTTCCAAACAAAGTATTATCACTTTCTTGAACAATGTACTGCAGTTTCTGTAACTCCTTTAAAGCAATATCCCTTTGGACTCCATTTTTAGATTTGAGCAACACTTTTAGTTTCGACTGATTATTGGTTAATTGAGCTTTGCGTATCAATGGCTCTAAATAAATTAGCTGTCGTCGAAGATTTTCAATTTCCTTTTCAATAGTGGGAATTTTTTCGGCTAGATTTAAATTACCAGGTCCGGCTAATTCCATACTTTCGGTGCTTTCCTTCATTATAACAGAATCACTGTCAGTATCCAAGCCATCCGATTCTTCGTCGTCATCGGAAGAGGATTCTTCATCCTCGAATAGCCTCGAATATCGATCATTGCGGTTGAATACTGCTTTCTCGTTGAGCTCCAGACCAATTATCTGACTCGTCATACCATCAGCGTAGTTCTCAAGCATGTCATACTTTGGATCACTCATTATATTGGCAAGTTTGTCTTCGATTTGGTCAACAACAGATTCCCCTTCACCAACAGTACTATTCCTCTTGAACTTGGAAGCTTCAGACAATAAAAATTTGGAATAGTACTCGGTAAACAAGTACTGGAAAATCCTGCCCTGTAGCTTCATCAATACATCTTTGCAAGCTTGAAGACAACGCCGGTGTTCAAACGACCCTGCTGCACCCAATATCTTGAAATTTTCCAAATCTACTATGCCAATACTGATGAGCCCCGTATTGAAATACTTTTCTCGAATTTCCACACATTCTCGTTCAGTTATGCTTAATTCTCCGGACTCTTGAAAGCTGTCCAACAATGGCGACTTTGATTCCTCCACCTTTCTCCAGAAGTCCAACAAATGCAACTTATTTTTCAGCTTTAGGTACTGGCCAAATGCCATCAGTTCCGATGGTGACTTAAGCACGACAACAAGCTTATCCTTTTGGGATGACTTTAACATCTCATTATTTAAGTGAATGACAGTTTGCTCACCATCTCCTGATTCTTCTTGTGTCAACATCTCTTTCAACCCGGCTTCACTTCGATCCATAGCACGGTCTTGGGATTTTGCATCATCTACTGAGATGTGGGTCATAGTATGTTCCTCCAAAGCGGAACGTAGTTCTTTTACTTGATTCCTTCGCTTTAGACTATCCCCAATGAGTTTGATAATTTGCATGTTGAGAAAATCGGGGTCAGCAACAAGATTGAAGACATTGTCCAAAATTGTACAAGCCAATACCTCTGTAATAAACAATACAACTACTTCATTTGAATTCTCTCTATCCGAAAGTGTCTTGGTTAGTAGTTTTCTAATTTGACCCCTCAAATATGCCTTTTCCTGGAAATTTCTCTCCTTTTTGTCTACTTGTGATAGGGTAACACCAACATGCAAATTTCCATTGTTGAAATGAGACAACACTTCTGACACACCTTCAGCATCAGAATAAAGTGAAGTATCCTTCACCATCATTGAAGACTTTTGAGCCTGAGCAAAGGATAGGTAATGATCGTTGAAGATTGGCAAAAGCTTTAACGTAATTAGCTTGGCAAAGTCAATCTTTTGAATTCTTTCAACGATACATTTCGAAACGTGAGAGAGTTCACACTTTACATCCTGTGAAAACAATGGAGACGAACTTATTTGGGAAAACCAGGATTGTATGAATTCATTGATAACTAAGTCCAAGAGGTCACTTAGCAACACTGAAATGTCATCCGAAACGACTATGGCATGCAGATCATTCGATAGACCGTTCTTAAGTAATTTAATCTCCTTCTCCCATTTGACCCTTTTTGTGAAGTTAAATCTGGAATGATTGAGTCTTGTATCAGTTTGAGGAAATGGTAACTTTATCACAATCGTCAAGTACGTAACAACTGCAAGAACAACCCCCAATGCAAGTAATAATAAAGAAGACGGGTAGAATCGAAACCATACTAAAGCACTAACAAGTCCTAATTGAAGCCAATTGTTAAGCATATGGGCTGATTGTTGTGGGAAACTGCAGTCAATGAACTTTCAATCTTTGACAGCTGATATCGATCCAATGTTTACTTTTTTTTAAATTAGTCTTTAAACTTTGTGTAAGTTTTGTAAGAAGGTTTAGTTTGAAAGGGATTGCTTCAACAAAGATACCTAGATTCTGATTACTTTTATTAGAATAAAGTATTCAAATAGGCACCTTCTGTAAGCTGCTCTACGCTGATCATTCTTTTAATCGGCAAAAATATCTATTAAATCAATACCTGCTATCTACTTTTCTTGGATCGTTTACCATCTCCCTTCAATTCAACTTCTCTCCTCTCCTTCCGGTCACGCTTCTTTTCCTTCTTCTTGTCCTTTCGCCTCTTTTTGTCCTTTGATACCTTTGCTTCACGATCGCTTGCATCTTCTTCTTCTTCTTCTTCTTCTTCTTCTTGCTTCCTTCGTTTTTTGCTCTTGGTCTTTTCACTTCCATCCGTACGTAGTTCCTTTTCTGTGCTTTCCTTTCTTCTTTTCTTCTTTAGTTTCTCTTTCGATTCTTTCGTTCCCTTTTTGGTTTTTCCATCTTCAGCATCTACCCTTGTCGTTGTCTTGACTTTCTCCTTTTTACTTTTTTTCTGAACAGTGCTGGTCAATTTCTCCATATCTTCTGCTGCTTTGCTCGCCAAATCTTTAACATGTGCCACTTTAGTATGGTCTTTTTTCCCCACGGTGCCCTCCAAACCCTTACCTTTAACAAACATTCGGTACAAAGGAGACATATTTTTGTTCAAAGTCTTCAACACCGTCTCATTATTATGTTTGAATGAGACTCCATTTGCACCACTCCCATTATCTACCTCTAGGTTCTTCAATTGTCCGTCAAATAGTTTCTCCCACCACATGTCAGCATTATTAGAATCATGCCCTAGGCCTTTGGTGTCCTTTTTGTGTTTCACCAAAATGGGCTTCTTCAACCCACCCTTTCTCAAAGCCTCTCCCTCTGTCCAACCAAAGGATTTTAGATATACCTTGGCATCCATTTTATGCAATCTTGGCGTGTACTTTCTTTGTACAACTTTGATAATCAGTGTTCTTTCCCTAACAGATGAGAGATGATGTAGTTTGCAATTTTTTTTTTATTTTATTTTTTATTCTTTTTTTTTGGCACTCAGTTTTGTGTTCTCTCTTCATAGCAAAATGAATGATTGATGAATATACCTTTTTTCATCTATTCTTCATTACTCCCACTTCCAATTGATACATTTCTTTATCGCTCCCCATGAGTCTACTCGAATTGATTGATGAATTCGAAATCTTGGTCAACGAGAATCCGTATGCGCCTGAAAATTATGACAAGATTTTGAGCAGGCTCCAAGTCCTACCTGACACTGCACTACTAATCAACAAAATTTACAAAGAGAAAGTAAAGTACTTTCGGCTTCGCCAGTCGGAGCTAAATAGCTGGTTATTTGAAATACGGGCCATTGAAGACATCCAAGAGCGGTCTACGTTGGAATATGCATTTTACGAAACAATAATAGATGATTATCCAACGGTCCCAATAATGACTGCAATGCTAGAGTTGGCCAATCAACTACTATCCAACGAGAAGATTACCGACGATGAGTATCTGTCTTTAGTCTCGAAAGGGCTTCAACTATGTGGCTATGATTTTGTTAATGGAAATGATATATGGAAAATAAGTTTAGACTTGCTCTTTCAACGGTACACCAAAACCAACGATGCCACTGATTTGAACACGTTGATTAAATTACACTTGAAAAGGTTAAGCTATCCTCTTCAACAATTGGATGAGTCTTTTCAGGAGTTTTCTGCTTTTATTAGCAAGTACAAGAACGAAGAGTATGACCAATTAATGCAAATTGCAAACAAAATATACTCTAATACGAAGCAGAAGTTACCATATTACGAAAAATACGAAATTCAAATCAAGGATTTGCCTACGGATTTTTCTATTTGGGTCGAATATATGGAAAGCGTGTACAAGTTCCAACGCAATTTTACTCACATTCAAACAATACTTGCAAGAGCTACGCAAGCTGATTTTTCATTCTCAACCCAGGGACAACAGCTTTGGATGTCAGTTATATACATGATATACATCTCTGATGAAGAAAATGAAGCGATTTTGACGTCTTTGCTCGGAAAGTACCTTCGGACCTTTCCCAATTCTTGCACTGCTTACGCAGAAAACATAAAAAACTGCATAACTTTGGGAGACATAGCTGGTCAGAAATTCATTGATTTGGAGAACCGAATCAGGGCAGTTGACTTACGGAGTCTGTCAGATTACAAGGATTGGAAGCTCGTTGCATTGGCCATAATGCAGTACAAGTTTCAAAGCGGATTGTCTCATGAGTCCTTTGAATCGCTTGACGATTTGCTAGACACAACGGTAACATACGCATTGGAGAACAAGGACCCGTTTCATTCTGTTGAAAAATTGGCGATATCGATATACATATCTTTGGAGAAGATCACACATGCGATGCAGGTGATTATGTCCATGTTTCAAACTTTCCCAACAGAAGTTGAAGTCTGGTTGTACGGCATTCGTTGCTTTATTAAACACGACATTAATCAAGAATCCATTAGGGAAACCTTTAGGAAAGCTTTGTCACTTGCAAGCAAAATTGACGCACCTGAAAAATTGACAGAGGAGTGGTTATTGTATGAACAAGTACACGGCAATATTACGAGCTACAGAAAAGCAGTCACTTTATGTAACGTAGCTATAAGAGAATTCATGCAGTCCAGAGCGAATGAAGTTCGAACGGAGCCTGTGTTGCATGTTGACCGTAAAAGGAGCCATGATATGTCGGAAGAGTTTCTGCGGTCAAGAGAGGAATTCGCCGTTCAAGTCAATAATATACCTTATGATGCCACCGATCAAGACTTGAGGAATTTCTTTGCTGGTTGTGGTGAAGTTCGAGATATAAATTTGGTTGAACTTAATGGCGGAAAACAAGCTGTGGTTGAGTTTTCAAATGAACTTGAAGTGTTTTCAGCAATGACTAGAACCCACAAAACAATTGGGTCCAATGAAGTTTCAGTGACAAGGGTGGAAAAGACTTTATTATTTGTCAACAATTATCCAAGCTCATGCAGCCAACAAGATGTTAGGGATATGTTTTCTCTGGTAGGGCCATTGGTCAATATTAGGTTCCCATCACAGCTTAAACACAAAGTTCGCCGGTTTTGCTACGTTCAATTTGCTCGGTGGCAAGACGCGGAGAGGGCAATTTCTATGTACGACGGACAAAAGTATCACGATCAAAATCTCAACAAGGAGTTTTCTTGGGAAGTAAAGTATTCGAAGCCTCAAGAGAGAAAGGATAGGACGTCTCCCATTTCAGAGCGCAAAGTCCGTGTGTCAAATATAGCTTACTCGATCACTGAGGAGGAGTTAAGGAATCAGTTTTCGCAATGTGGAGAGATTGAACTGATCGCTTTGCCCAGGGCTGTTTACGATACAAAGAAGCGACGCATGAAACAAAATGGTGGTTTGGCCATAATTGCTTATCGCGATGCTAGCAGCGTCGAAGATGCCTTGAAGAAAAATGCAACCATTTTGAAGGGAAGGTCTATCAATGTGGCCAAGCAACAAGTGCACACAACCTGGATTCCAGAAGACTTTGATACTCTCAAATCCATTGGCCTCACCAGTTTAGATTCGTCGTTAAACACTTTTCAAGTCAAAAGCTTTTTGGAAAAGAACTTTGGACAGGTGTCAAAAATCCTTTTGCTTCCTAATGATGGGGTAGCTTTAGTTGAATTTGCGTCGGTCAAAGATAGTGGAAAGGTCTCGTTGGGATACAGTACAATTCAGATTGATGAATATTTAATTCAGGTGACGACAAAAGAAGCAATTGTTGAGGCTCTCAACACGAGCATCGACAACGGCAGCGCTTACCCATCTACCAGTGAGGTTCAGAATAAAACTGTTTTGGTCCCTACATCTATCAAAAGAAGAAGAGTGTAGGAGTAATGTACATATATTCTCTCTGCTTAATATACTTAGGTGCCGAAAGATCATGGAATCTCGGAATCTCGAAATCTCCCAATTTAAGCGATTAAAATAAAAGAAAGCGAAAAAGAAAAAGAAAAAAGAAGAGAGAAAAAAAAAATCAGAGAACAAATTTTTCATTCGAATCACTATTGAGTCATCATATTCAAAAATGAGTGTAACATTCGAAAAGACCTTTCGAAGAGATGCTTTGATCGAGATCGAGAAAAAGTATCAAAAGCAATGGGAAGAAGAGAAATTGTTTGAGGTTAACGCTCCTACTTTTGAAGAGTGTCCTACAGATAATATTGAAGAAGTTAGAGAAAAGTACCCAAAGTATTTCGCCACTATGGCTTATCCTTACATGAACGGTGTTTTACATGCCGGGCATGCTTTCACTTTGTCCAAGGTAGAATTTGCAACTGGGTTTGAAAGAATGAATGGTAAAAGAGCATTATTTCCTTTGGGTTTCCACTGCACTGGTATGCCCATCAAGGCTGCGGCAGATAAAATTAAGAGAGAGGTGGAGTTATTTGGAGAAGACTTTTCCGGTGCCCCATCAGAGGATGAAAATATTGAACAAAAGGTGGAGACAAAAGCAAACAGAGAGGATGTAACCAAATTTACATCAAACAAGTCAAAGGCGGCAGCAAAGACAGGCAGATCAAAGTTTCAGTTCGAAATTATGTTGCAATTGGGTATCCCTAGGGAACAAGTTGCAAAATTTGCCAACACCGATTACTGGCTTGAGTTTTTCCCACCTTTATGCCAAAAGGATGTTTCTGCATTCGGTTCCAGAGTTGACTGGAGACGTTCCATGGTCACCACTGATGCTAACCCCTACTATGACGCCTTTGTCAGGTGGCAAATTAATAGATTAAGGGAATGTGGTAAGATTAAGTTTGGTGAAAGGTACACTATTTACTCTGAGAAAGATGGCCAAGCTTGTTTAGATCACGACAGACAATCAGGTGAAGGTGTGACACCGCAAGAGTATGTCGGGATTAAAATTAGAGTATCTGAATTTGCTTCTAGTGCTGAAGAAGTCTTGAATAAAGAGAACATTGACTTGAGCAACAAGAAGATATATCTTGTCGCAGCCACTTTAAGACCCGAGACTATGTATGGTCAAACCTGTTGTTTTGTGAGCCCAAAGATAGATTACGGTATTTTCGATGCCGGAAACAATGAGTATTATATTACCACTGAACGTGCATTTAAGAATATGTCATTCCAAAATTTAACACCAAAGAGAGGTTTTTACAAACCCATCGCAACAATAAATGGTAAAACATTAATTGGATCAAAGATCGATGCCCCATTGGCACAAACAAAGAACTTGAGAGTCTTGCCTATGGAAACGGTTAAAGCTACCAAAGGTACTGGTGTTGTTACATGTGTGCCATCGGACTCACCTGATGATTACATCACCACCAAAGACCTTGCAAACAAACCCGAGTATTATGGAATAGAAAAAGATTGGGTCAATACCGAAATTATTCCAATTGTGCACACGCAAAAGTACGGTGACAAGTGTGCTGAGTTCTTGGTAAATGAACTCAAAATCAAGTCGCCAAAGGACGCTTTGCAATTGGCTGAAGCAAAGGAATTGGCTTATAAGGAGGGATTTTACAATGGTACAATGGTTATTGGTAAATATAAAGGTGAAAAGGTTGAGGCAGCAAAACCAAAAGTCAAAGCTGACTTGATTGCGTCTGGTGATGCCTTTGTTTACAGTGAACCCGAAAACCAAGTTATTTCGAGATCTGGAGACGACTGTTGTGTTTCTTTAGAAGACCAATGGTTCATTGATTATGGTGAAGAAGTTTGGTTAGGCCAAGCATTGGAATGTCTCAAAGATATGGAATTATTTTCCAGTGAGACAAGAAATGGATTTGAAGGTGTGTTTGCATGGATGAAGAACTGGGCAGTTACTAGAAAGTTTGGTTTGGGAACAAAGTTGCCATGGGACCATCAGTATTTGGTTGAGTCTTTGTCTGATTCCACTGTATATATGGCATATTACACTATTGATCGTTTCTTGCATTCAGACTACTATGGAAAAGTCCAAGGAAAGTTCAATATCAAGCCAGAGCAATTGACCGATGAGGTATTTGACTTTATTTTCACTCGTCGCGATGACGTCGAATCCGATATTCCACGTGAGCAGTTGAAGGAAATGAGAAGAGAGTTTGAGTACTTTTACCCCTTGGATGTCAGAGTTTCAGGTAAGGATTTAGTTCCAAACCATTTAACATTTTTTATTTATACACACGTTGCTTTATTCCCAAAGAGAATTTGGCCAAAAGGTGTCAGGGCCAATGGTCACTTATTGTTGAACAATGCCAAGATGTCTAAATCCACTGGTAACTTTATGACCTTGGAGCAGATTGTCGAAAAATTTGGGGCTGATGCATCCAGAATTGCAATGGCAGATGCCGGTGACTCAGTAGAGGATGCTAATTTCGATGAAGCTAACGCAAATGCTGCTATCTTGAGATTGACTACTTTGAAGGACTGGTGTGAGGATGAATTGAAAAATCAAAAAGAGCTTAGAACTGGTGAATACGATTCTTTCTTTGATGAGGCATTTGAAAATGAAATGAACGAGTTGATTGAAAAATCTTACTATCAATACACTTTGAGTAACTACAAGCAAGCTTTGAAGTTTGGTTTGTTTGATTTCCAAATTGCAAGAGATTTCTACAGAGAGTCGGTTAATTCTTCTGGTATTGGAATGCACAAAGACCTTGTTTTGAAATATATTGAGTTCCAAGCATTATTGTTAGCTCCTATTGCTCCTCATTTTGCTGAATATCTTTATAAAGATGTGTTGCAAAAGAAGGGAAGTGTTCAAACAGCTCAATTCCCAACGCCTACCAAGCCTGTTTCGAAATCTGTCTCGGAATCTTTGGAGTATGTGAGACATGTCTCGCGTGCAATCCGTGAAGCCGAAGGTTCTGGCTTGAGAAAGAAGAAAGGTAAAGCAGAGTTGGAAACGGGAGACTCGGTTAAGTTGACTATCTTGGTCTCAAATACATTCCCAGACTGGCAAGAAAATTACATTGAATTTGTACGCGAGTTGTTTGAAGAGCAAAAGCTTTCTGACAACAATTTAATCAAGGAGAAGGTTGGTAAGGACATGAAGAGGGCCATGCCTTTCATCAACCAGTTGAAAATTAGACTCAATACCGAAGATCCAAAGATTGTATTTAATAGGAAGTTGAACTACAACGAAGTCGATACCTTAAAGAAGGTTGTTAAACTCGTCAAGAGCTCACCTTACTCAATTAAGGTCAAGGAATTGCAAATAATTGCGTTTGAAAATGGAAGTGATAAAGGACAAGACGTCTTGACCGGTGAAGATGTGACTGTTGATATAAAGGGTAAAGTCAAGGATGCTGCCGTTCCAGGCTTCCCTGGTATTTCACTCAAGAAAGTCGAGTCTTGAGTTTGGCCTTAGATGTATAGAAATGTATCTTAAATATAGTCATGACTTTGTAGATATGGAGGCTATTGTGGATGATACTCTGTAGTCTTTTGACTGGTAAACCTCAAATCAAATTTAAGAAGAAAAAAAAAAAACAAACAGAAAAAAAATAATAAAACAAAATGGGATTTGTTGATGAAAGGTAACAATCAAAAAAAAAAAAGAAAAAGTCCAAGATATATAGTAGTTATCCGATAGACCCAAGTCAACACAGTCCAAAACCTATATTTCCCTTAAAAGATTAGCGAGCTTTCTGTTTTCCTCCGGATACAAGTTCAGGGATACAAGATAAGCTGAGAAGTCGGATACTATTTAGAAAGAGATTCCATTCCGAGACAAACAATCACTAACCAAAAAAACGCCACGAAAAATACACAAGCTTCCAAAAGTACTTTTCACTCGTTGCGCTCCAAGATATCTGATAGCTGTCAATACTGAAGTCCAACAAATCTAAGCATTTCTTCAAAATATGGACTCTGATATTGGGTCCCATTTTGTTTATCCCCTCATAGATAAGCCAGCCAGGTTTGAGTATAAGCTAGTCAACCAAAATGGAAAGTTGGCTGAGGTTCCACTTCACAAAGAATACCAGAAACTATCCTTATTTGAGTCAATACACAATCATCATCAGCAGCAACAACGCTATGTTGCAGAACATTCTGATCTTGGTAACCATGACTATCAATCACGAGAAAACTCGCGTAAGCGCAATGCTGGTGACGATGATGATGCAGGAGAACGTGATAGCATGATATCGTGTGAAGACATTACCTCCTCAGACACTGATTCTAACACGCAAGTCTCAGTCCTGTCCCGCATACACTCTTACCGAACAAATGGTCTCGTACATCCACCAACGAAAAAGAGATTAACCTCAGGTCATGAGCTGATGGGTTCAGCAAATTTTCAAGTTGAGTCCCCTGGTAGTCTATCTGCTACAATAGCGCCTGGTGGGAATAACAACATTAGCACAGTCGATCTTAGCAGCGCCGTGCGTGAAAGTAATGGAAATATACAAAATGTCGGACATAACGGCTATAATGATAATGCATCACCCAACAACAATAGCCAAAATGCAACTCCATTACGCGATCAACTACGTCGTCCAAAAACGCCAAACACAATCAATTCACCTAGTCAAACCCCTGTTTCGGATATTGAGGAAGATCCAATCCAACAGCTACCACTACCTTCTCCTTCTGCCTCACCTATTCAGCTGGACCAAGAAAATAATGATGACGACGAATCTTCTGAAACCCCAAGAAGAATGGCTCGGAGATTGAATTTGGAAATGATTGAGAATCATATGACAAATATTCCTGGCACGCAAGCAGAATTAATTAGCACCATTGATCATTTGGCCCAGTTTCTCACTCCACAAAACCAAAATCACTTGGTGTTCCGATTGCTACAGAAGACCAACCGGTCTTCGTTAAGCACGTTCAATGGGTTGCTCAATGATTCGTTGAAACGCGACTTGATTGGAAATTTACCAGTTGAAATTGTAATGAAAGTTTTATCGTACCTCGATGCTGAAACGCTTCTCTCAATATCGAAAGTATGCAAAAAATGGTTCAAAATTATCAATAATACCAAGCTATGGACGGATTTGCTAAAGAAGGACAAACTAATTACTGATGATGCTGTTATCCGGTATGAATTAAATGAACCCAAAGAGTTGATTGACGAATGGTGTACTCTACCTGGTGAGATTAATCCCGCCCAAGTTTTGTACAAGAAAAGAAAGATGATTGTTAATCGATGGTTAGATCCCAAGTACAAACCAAAGAGAATAAGTGTCAAGGGACATGGTAACAAGGTGGTTACGTGTCTACAGCATGATGAGGAAAATATTGTCACCGGTGTGGATGACAAGTACATTCTCATATATAGCACGCAAACGGGACAGTTGATGAAAGTTTTGGAAGGACACGAAGGAGGCGTATGGGCAATGAAGTACTACGGAAACACCTTGGTCACTGGTTCGACTGACAGGTCAGTTCGAATTTGGAACATGGCCACTGGAAAGTGCACACATATTTTCCGCGGACACACCTCAACCATTAGGTGTCTTGATATAATCACTCCAGCAGTAATTGGAAAAGATGCTCACGGTGAAGACATTGTCTTCCCAGAACATCCGTTATTGGTAACAGGGTCTCGTGACCATAACATACACGTTTGGAGGTTGCCAATTCTTCAAGAGGACGCTGTAGGTGAGACTACGTTTGATAGTGGAGAAAGTGAAAATCCCTACTTGATAGCGGTTCTTGCGGGCCATACACAATCGGTGCGTTCTTTATCGGGGTATGGAAACATTATAGTATCCGGTTCATATGATTCAACCGTTCGAGTGTGGGACTTGCTTGACAATGGGAGATGTAAGCATATATTGCAAGGACATCAAGATAGAGTGTACTCAACAGCAATAGACTACAACAAGAAAGTGTGTTTTTCGGGATCCATGGATTCAACCATAAATATATGGAATTTTGAGACAGGCGAGTTGTTGAAAGTTCTAGAGGGACATTCGTCGTTAGTTGGTCTATTGGCTTTGGTAGACGGTGTGTTGGTATCTGCTGCTGCCGATGCATCGCTCAGAATTTGGGACCCTGTAACTGGCGAATTGAAAAGTAAATTGAGGGGCCATGCTGCCGCTATAACTTGTTTCGAGCACGATGGATTGAAAGTTGTCAGTGGAAGTGAGAAAATGCTCAAACTATGGGATGCACAACAAGGGGAATTTGCCAGGAATTTATTAGATGATGTAACGGGGGGTATTTGGCAGGTAAGGGTGGATTATAAGAGGTGTGTTGCCGCTGTACAAAGAGTCAATAGTGCTGATGAAGGTGAAACGTTCATTGAGATATTAGACTTCAGCGAACTCCCAAAATTTGAAAAGCTAAATTAGATTTAGGTTTAATAGTGGATACGTTTATATAAAGAAATGATGATGCCGAACGAATTTATCGTTTTGTAGAAACTTTACAGTTTTCAAGATTGAATTACAGTCTGTGGGAGAAACAGAACAAAAGTAAAAAAGAAGGAGTGAAAAAAAGAAAAAAAAAGGACGACGACAGAATAAAACTTGACCAGTTCCTGTACCATTTAACGAACCAAAATGTCTAGAAGACCAGTTTTAGAAGACGTAGACGATGATGAGATAGATAACCTTGATATGGATATTGCCGAGTTTGATCCTAACTTGAAGACACCAGTGGCACCAAAAAGACCAGAGCCAACAATAGTTCGTTCACAAGACCAAGGTCAAGAACCACCATTGTTCCCCCAAGCTCCCTTCGGCAATGTTGCACCACCACAACCATCATCACAGGTACAGCAGCTGCAGTCAGGAAAGAATATTCTTGATCCAGATAGGTTCACTCCGGAACAGAAAGCTCAGTTTGAGAAATTTCAAATTATATATCCATGTTATTTTGACATAAATCGTTCGCATAAGGAGGGAAGGCGAGTTAATATTGACCGTGCCGTTGAAAACCCATTAGCAATAACCATTTGCAATGCATGTCACGCCTTGCAAATACCGGCATTGTTGGAGTTGGACAAGACACATCCGCAAGATTTTGGTAACCCTGGAAGGGTGAGGGTATTGTTGAAGGATTTTAAACATGATAACAAGCCAATTGACCCAAAGTTGGCAAATAAGAGGAGTTTGTACAACAAAATTGCCGACTATTTGGGAGATCACCCTACAAGTTTGGAGAGTGTGGGTGCTAAAAGTGGTATTGCAATTCCAGCTGATTTCCAAGGAGACTTTAAAGCGGAGGAGATCCCCAAGATAAAGGGATTCAAAATGAACACCATTGTTCCTATTCATTCAAACTTCACGATGAAGCACCCAATGACCAAGAGCATTTATGATGCCGAGCCAGAGACCAATACAAACTCAGTTCAAAATAAGACCAATGTCCCTAAGGTGCCCAAAAAAAAGATTATGAAAATTCGTGGGTAAAATGCTTGCTAAATTGTTGAAAAAGATATTATTATATATGCACATATTTAGGCACCATATTTACTTCTGTACACCTCAATAGATTTCAAATCAGAATCGCTTATTTTGCCATCTAAGATGGTGATGACCTCTGTTAAGCTTACAATTGACAACACTGGAATTCCATATCTTTCGCTTACAACCTTAGTGGCCGATTTTGTGGGGTCTGTCGGTGTTGTTTCTTGTCTGTCCAATGCGATAATGCATCCTACACATTGACCTTTTTCCAGTGAGATTATTTCAAAAGCTTCATTAATGGCAGTACCAGCAGTGATAACGTCATCAATGATCAAAATCTTCTTGCCTCCCAAAGGTTGACCAACAATTGAACCTCCTTCACCGTGGTCCTTTTTCTCTTTTCTATTGAAGGAGTAGCCAACATCGCCGTAGTTTTGAGGGTCCAACTCTGCTAATTTTGCGACTGTAATTGCGGCCAACGGTATTCCTTTGTAAGCAGGGCCAAAAAGAATGTCAAATTTCAATTTACTTTCAATGATTGCTTCAGCATAGGCAGTTGCCAAGTTGGATAACAAGCTACCGGTGCTAAACAAGCCCAAATTGAAAAAATATGGCGATTCACGGTTCGACTTGAGTGTGAATTTACCAAATTTTAATGCTTGTGACTCTAAAGCTAATTGAAGGAAGTCAGATTGGTAGTTTGAAGACATTGGGGGAAGGCGTGTGTTACAAATAAACAGGGGAGGGTGAGAGAGAGAGAGAGAGAGAGGAGGAAGGAGGAGGAGAAGGAAGAGAAGGAAGAGAAAGAAGGGGAATGTAATTCTAAGTCATCTCGATACTCAAGTTCAATGACGCACATAAATGAAAAAAAATTCAAAAATTAGTCGTGTGCCAGTTACTATTTTCTTTACAAGAGTATATCCCTATGAATGCGGGTTTTACGAGAAACAACTCTATATTGGTAAGGAATTGTGATATGTTCATATAAATAAGGGTTGTTTGTTACTCACAAATCTAATTAATAAAAGCTATTCAAATCTGTGTTTTTTGCGGTTGAGAGTTGTCATAGTTTAAATTTTTGCACAGAAATGGTTGCAAAATATCAAGACAATACTGGGTTAGTGTTTTTATGAATGTGGAAGTGTCTACCAGTAAAAACCCTCAAATAAGAGTTTTCAATCCATTGTTATATAAAAGTATGGACTTAGATATAAAGGGCCACTACCAGAGAGAGCTCACACTTAGGATTTGTGTGAAAAAATTAAGTAGCGTGAGAAGTCAAACCTCATCAGCCTAATTATGGAGGGGGTGTAACAGTACCAAATCGAAGTCCTCAGTGTGTGAACTGTTGAGTGTCTCTGACTAGTTCACCGTATCTAAACGACGAAAGGAAACGAGAGACAGGGACAAACAGAACTTTTGTCTTTGTGTTCCTATTTTGGCATGAAACCATTGCACGTGCACTGACTTATAAACGATGTTTTTACATGTGATGCATTTGAAGCCAAAATTAAGGTGTAGACGTGTTCTATTTCGATAAATCAGTGGAATCTACACGTTTACTAACAGATCCAAAGAGAATTACTTCGAGGGGTAAGTCATACACATCAGGAAACACACGGTCACAAGTATAGATTTACACCCTGTTAGACTTCCTCATGTGGCTATGTGAAGAGGAGTATACAAATCTTCCACTATGTTTCCAAAAGTATGACATGTGGCCTGGAAGGCGACCTAGACAATGGGGAAGGGTGGAGGGCGTGGGACTTTTGTGGTGTGTATAAACAGCACGACATAATAAAAAATTTTTCACTTTGACCAAAAGTACACTACCACACACAAACACTAGACACACAGTAAGACTAATAATATTAATTTGTTTTTTTTTCAACGTAAATGGTAAATAAAATGCTATTTTTTTTTTTAAATTGACTTCGTTCTCCTTTTTAACAATTCTTTGTATATATAAGCACTAAATTTTTCAACATAATTTTGTATTTGAAACTTTTCCTTCTTCTTCTTCTTTTTAGAATTATAGTTTTTATTCAATTAATCAAAACTAACTACTTTCATAATGGTACAATCATCTGTTTTAGGTTTCCCACGTATTGGTGGCCAAAGAGAATTAAAGAAAATCACCGAAGCTTACTGGGGTGGCAAAGCCACTGTTGACGAATTGTTGGCCACCGGTAAACAATTGAGAGAACACAATTGGAAGTTGCAAAAAGATGCTGGTGTTGATGTTATCCCATCAAATGACTTTTCTTACTACGATCAAGTCTTGGATTTGTCTTTGTTGTTTAATGCTATTCCAGAAAGATACACTAAGTTTGACTTGGCTCCAATTGATGTCTTGTTCGCCATGGGTAGAGGTTTGCAAAGAAAAGCTACCGACTCTACTCCAGCTGTTGATGTTACCGCCTTGGAAATGGTAAAATGGTTCGACTCAAACTATCACTATGTTAGACCAACTTTCTCACACTCAACCGATTTCAAATTGAACACTGCTGCTGGTATTAAACCAGTTGACGAATTCAACGAAGCCAAGGCTTTAGGTGTTACCACTAGACCAGTTATCTTGGGTCCAGTTTCTTACTTGTTTTTGGGTAAGGCTGACAAGGACTCTCTTGACTTAGATCCTATTTCCTTGTTGCCAAAATTGTTGCCAGTTTACAAAGAGTTGTTGGCTAAGTTGAAGGCTGCTGGTGCTGAAGAAGTCCAAATTGATGAACCAGTTTTGGTTTTGGACTTGCCAGAAGCTGTTAAATCAAAATTCAAGGAAGCTTACGACGCCTTAGCCACTGCTGAAGCCCCAAAGCTTATCTTGACCACCTACTTTGGTGATGTTAGACCAAACTTGAAGGCTATTGAAAACTTGCCTGTTGCTGGTTTCCACTTTGATTTTGTCAGAGTTCCAGAACAATTGGATGAAGTTGCATCTATTGTCAAGGGTGACCAAACATTGTCTGTTGGTGTTGTTGACGGTAGAAACATTTGGAAAACTAATTTCTTAAAAGCGTCCGACATTGTCAACAAAGCTATTGAAAAAGTTGGTAAGGACAAGGTTGTTGTTGCCACCTCTTCATCATTGTTGCACACTCCAGTTGATTTAGAATCCGAAGCTAAATTGCCAGCTGAAATCAAGGACTGGTTTTCTTTTGCTACCCAAAAATTGGACGAAGTTGTCACCATTGCTAAGAACATTTCTGGTGAAGACGTTTCCAAGGAATTAGAAGCCAATGCTGCTTCCATCAAGGCCAGAGAAGAATCTTCAATCACCACCAACCCAAAGGTCCAAGAGAGATTGACCACCATCAACGAATCATTGTCTACCAGAAAATCTCCTTTCCCAGAAAGATTAACTGAACAAAAGAAGAAGTACAACTTGCCATTGTTCCCAACCACCACCATTGGTTCATTCCCACAAACCAAAGACATTAGAATCAACAGAAACAAGTTCTCCAAGGGACAAATCACTGCTGAAGAGTACGAACAATTCATTAACAAGGAAATTGAAACCGTTGTGAGATTCCAAGAAGAAATTGGCTTGGATGTTTTGGTCCACGGTGAACCAGAAAGAAACGATATGGTTCAATACTTTGGTGAGCAATTGGACGGTTTTGCCTTTACCACTAACGGTTGGGTTCAATCATACGGTTCTAGATACGTTAGACCACCAATTATTGTTGGTGATGTTTCAAGACCAAAGGCTATGACTGTTAAGGAATCTGTCTACGCTCAATCATTAACCAAATCACCAATGAAAGGTATGTTGACTGGTCCAGTCACCATTTTGAGATGGTCTTTCCCAAGAGATGATGTTTCAGGTAAGCTTCAATCTTTGCAATTAGGTTTGGCCTTGAGAGACGAAGTCAATGATTTGGAAAAAGCTGGAATCACTGTGATCCAAGTCGATGAGCCAGCCATCAGAGAAGGTTTGCCATTGAGAGCCGGTAAGGAGAGATCAGACTACTTGAACTGGGCTGCTCAATCATTCAGAGTTGCCACTTCAGGTGTTGAAAACTCTACTCAAATCCACTCACACTTCTGTTACTCAGACTTGGACCCAAACCACATCAAGGCCTTAGATGCTGATGTTGTTTCCATTGAATTCTCCAAGAAGGATGACCCACACTACATTCAAGAGTTTGCTGAATACCCAAACCACATTGGTTTAGGTTTATTTGATATTCACTCACCAAGAATCCCATCAAAACAAGAATTTGTTTCCAGAATTGAAGAAATCTTGAAGGTTTACCCAGCTGACAAGTTCTGGGTTAACCCAGATTGTGGTTTGAAGACTAGAGGATGGCCAGAAGTTAGAGAATCATTGACCAATATGGTTGATGCTGCTAAAGAATTCCGTGCTAAATACTAAGTCTGATTCAGCCAGCCGCTCTTTGATTTCTGCATTGATTCAATTCTTTGAATGTTGATGCATGGTGTCTCACTGTTACATTTTATTCAACATTAATGTAATTTATACTGTTAATTTTTTTTAACGAAGCTGTTATGAAGTTATTTTTTTTATTTTTATTCATTCATTTTTGCATACATTTGTGTTTGCATATTATCATTTGTCATTATTAGGTTCAACATCGGTTTATTATATAGTTTAATATACTAATCGTGTATTAAAGTGTGTGCATAATGTAGAAAAGCGGTTTTATAGTTTGCCTTTTCCCCTGTTGAACAAGGTAGCTCCATTTATTGCCATCAAAAAGTTTTTGGAATTCCCTTTCTGCGGCAAAGCTTTCTTTCAACAGAAGGAGCAAAATAAATTTCAACCTCAATTGCACCTGGAAAAAGATTTCATACCAACCTGAATAATGTCCGATGAGAATCCACATATTGCCGAGTTCATATCAATTACCAACTCATCGAAAAGCTTAGCTGAGCAGTACTTGCAAAGGAACAACAATGATTTAGTCGAAGCTATTGAGGATTACTATGCCAATAGTGAGCATGGCCCACAACCAACAGAACAACATGAACCACCTATTTTACCACAAGGCTCAGTATCCAACCAGGCCGGTACTTCACAAAAGAAGAGGAAAGCGCAGGGTGGGATTAAGACTTTTCGTGACTTGAATAATGAAGAAGAAGATCTGGAGGACGAGAGTACTAGTAACAATTTCTTTACCGGTGGTGAGAAATCGGCGTTGCAGGTGGAAGACCCAAATAAAGATCGAGGCAATGGAGACCAGAACTTGATTGACCAGATTTTCCAAAGAGCAAGGGAGCAAATGAATTTACCTGATGATCGCCCAAGTGCTCAGCAACAACCACAAAGCCTCCATGAAACTGCACATTTCACCGGCACAGGATTCAAATTGGGCGATGGAAACGAGCCAAGTGAACAAATTGAAGATCCACATGCTCAGGCAAGAGAGTTGTTGAATCGTTTCCGTCCGAAGAAAGTGAACCGAGAAATCACGTTTTGGAGGCAGGGTTTCACCGTCGGTGACAGTAAATTGTACAGCTACGACGATGAGAAGAATAAGAGGATATTGAGCGAGATAGAGCAAGGTCGTGTTCCAATTGCTATTTTGCAGGTGGATCCCGGCGATGATGTTGATGTGACGGTTTCAAAGAGGACCGATGAAGATTACGTGCCACCGAAGAGAAAAGTCGGCGGTTATCACGGTTCAGGACACAGACTTGGATCTCCTGTTCCTGGTGAACCCATTGCTACCGAGGGCAAGGAAGATAATGTAGAAGAAACAAAACCGGAAACTGCAAACAAAACCGTCGACGAAGGAGAAGGAGACACTGCAGTGCAAATTAGGTTTGCCAATGGGAAAAGAACTTCACACAAATTCAATTCGAGTGACCCCATCTCTGTGGTTTACAATTTCGTGAGAAACCACGACTACAACACCGATAGTGCTGGTCGAAATTTTACTTTGAGCCACGCATTTCCTGTTAAACCCATCGAGGAAAGTAATGATATTTCGATCGCGGATGCAAAGTTAAAGAACTCTGTCATAGTGCAACGATGGGTATAGGGTGTGTAGAAAAATTTGTAGTTGAAATATATCATCCCTCAGGAAATTGATATTTCTCTTTTTTTTCTTCATCTCTTTGTTTTTGGAAATTTGCAGACAATTTTCATTATCTACCTAACTTTAACCAATGATACGAACACAGTCCCATATATGATGCTACGATATAAGAATATACCGAAATTACGACTGCTACGACCGAGGTGGAATTCTAACCTTTTATGCAATATTGCCTTCATTAGGAACATCTCCACCGAGCCAAAGATTTTCGATGAGAATGTAATAATTCCAGAAGAGGAGAAGAACCGATCCTTAGAAAGATTTATACGAGAATACTATCGCGGTCAAGGACAATTCAAGAATAGCTTTGTCACGCATTGTGTAAATCTTCTGTCTCAAATGGTTGCTGTCAATCTTCCAATGACACCGCCAACTGATTTTCACGACATAGTAATGGCCAATAGGTATAACGTACCACAGATTGGTTCGTTTGTCGAGTTCCTGCAAAATGACCAAACAAGAGTCGGTATTGTTGTTCAAAACCTACTAGCCAGGTTTGACGAAAGGCTCAATCATGTTCTAGTGTTGACTAATGATAACGAAATCTTACCAGTCAAATCATTAAATATCAAGTTCCACTTGTACAAACTCATCCCTGATGGATTCCTTGCATATCATGAAATAATAAACGAACGTCACAACCCATCCCATCTAGAGCGTCGAAAGGCAGTTGTACTAATCAACAGATTTCTTGCCGATACGGCGCAGTCTAGATGTGAGATATCTTCTTCAATCGACACAGTTTTTAACCAACTATCCCAGGATAAACTTCGACCTATTTCCTTATTGGATGTGCTAGATCTTTTAGAATTCAAAGAATCTGACGTGGTAAAGATGATTTCGCTACTATATCATCAATTTGTCTTATTATACAGCATCCATGGTAGTCTAGTAGACTCGTGCCAGTGGGTAGTTCCTAGCTATGTTGGTGGCACGCCATCAAATGTTATGTTATGGGGACATTCAAACAACTACCATTCTGCGTCACAATACTTTGTCAATACCCAAGACGGTTGGCTACATATTTATCGTTTCACACAGGAAATGTCAAGTGACGACAGAGTTGCCGAAATAAATGCATTTCTAAGGAAATTGAAAAGTATTCCCAAGGAGGAGATGAATGCGTATTTGAAAGTTTTTGAAGGAAGGCATTTTTTTGATGTCCTTAGTGCAATGAAATTTGCAGTTGTATATCCTCATAGCTCCATTACGAACGAGTTAGGGAAGTTAAAAGTTTTTGAAACTACACCGTCAGCCTTAGACATATATCTGCTACTTGTTGAATTGAAGATATACGACAATACTGCCACAATAACTGACATTTATTTATCACTGGGACTATTTGGAACTTCAAAAGAGTTGAGTGTGACAGAAGTGGGCCAGTTGAGTCCTAAATCGCCTGCCTCCTTTAACGTAAAGGACAATTTCAAGCATTTAAGAACATGCAGGAATTATTACCATGATCATGTGATCTATGGATTGATCGATGACGACGACGATGTAGCAAGTTTTGGAATATCTATCGAGTCATTGAATTCTAGAAAGCATTTAATCAATATACATATACCCGACTTGGCCAGTTACATTACACCCAATAGTAAAGTTTTTAAATCCATATTTCAAAACCAAAAGCTAGCTGAAACCTTGACTCATTTGGTCAATAACCAGAACTGGAATCCTTTGTTTCCTGAAAAGGTTACAAGAGGTAAGAAGTTCCACAAGTACAGTAAAGTTGACGAGAACGAAGAAGCCTGGGGTGACGTTATTGACATGGACTTAGGAAGGAGTACGAGAAAACGAGGCATTTCAAAAGCCACATGTTTAACAATTTCCTTCGAGTTCAACTCCTACGAGACAAATCCGTTCGAGTCGTTTGATGACAAGGTATCGGTAAGCTTTGACTCCATTGCCAACGTCAATATGAAAACTGTCAACAAGCGAGTGTTGCAAAAATGTCTCACTGGCCAGTTGGAACCATCGTTTTTCAAATTCCTTAGGCGCAAACAACGTCTCGAGACTGACAATGACATTCATGATCAAGAAAATTCATTGAACAAAACGGACATTCATAATATCAACTTCATTGGCGGTGTTCTAAAGACATTTCAAAAAGTTCGAGAGCTTGAGGGCGCAGCAATTACAGCCCCGCTAAAGGGGCTATCTGCCTTCGAAACCACCGTTTTGAAGACTCAAGAGAATGGAACAGGGAACGGTACTGAAATTCAAATTTGCAAGCCTGATGTTTCAGTTGCAATGACACAAGCAGAATTCATGCACCAAGAAGTTCGAACATTCACTGGCTGCTTAGTTTCTATGTTTTGTTTTCAAAACCAAATTCCAATTCTTACTCGGTCCCAAGATCTAGACGTTAACGAACTTAAACAGGATACTGTAGCTGTTCAGCACGAAAACATCATGATACCTATTTACGAGTCTCAAAAGTATGCTCATAGTGTCATGGCAAAAGACGAGCGTGGGTACATTTCATTAAATGCTAAAATCATTTCCAATAATTACGTTGCGCCTAAATTTACGGCAACTGGCCCTGAGAGAAACACACCCTTAGGTTTATCTATGGGTTATGCGGAAGTTTTAGATATATTCCTGTCGGGTGAAGCTCTTCTCAACCAGTTTCAGCTCTTGTCTTACATTCAAAATGACTATCAAAGAACAATTTTGAAAAAACATAGCTACATCGAGTTTGTTGAAAAGTTTAATCACTTAAAGAGTTTAGGCTACAACTTGAATGGTCCACTCTCTGAACACAAGCTAATTCAGTTGGTAAACTCAGCCAATATGAATGACTTGAGGTCAGTTTGGCAGTATCGTATGTACAAGTTTTGGATCCACAACTGGTTTTATCAGAGGCAGCTTGATAAAACGACATTGGATGAAACCAAACTTGAATGCATTTCCACTCATATCGACCGATTGGACGATTATGATATATGCAAAGCATACTGTTTAGAGCTAGGGGTTGAAGTCGATGTTTTATGTCTACCTAATCAAGGCATACAAATTGGAGCTAGGTTGATGTGTGATGATGTGTTATACTTAGATCCGATTAGTGGATTTTGTATGTTAGATGGTAGAGGCGATATTTGTATATAGTCATATACTAATAGTCATGTAAGTTGTATAACAGGTAAACTTTTGTAAATAATTGGTCTAGATTGTTTATTAGTCATTGGAGATTTTAGTACGAAGCATGTTTGCAACAGAAAATTTTCTCTCTTCGATCCACACCAAGTCCGCTTTCCCAACAACCGCCGTAAACAATAATGGTATGTCGAGGCTCGCCTACACATATATGCTTTCCAAACGTGTACTAACTTTTACGATAGTCGCAACCAGTTCAACCCTCAATTGAAACTTTGAAGAAAACAATAGATGCAAACTCGTCTTCTGCCAACCCTCCAAATTTATACCCAATCTACAAGTACGTGAGTCATAATGACATTTCCATTCACCAAGCTTACCTTAGATTGGCTAACATAAATGACGAAAAGAGACTGCCTTCTTTCCTTTTCGAATCATCTGTTCACGGTGACACCGTCGATCGCTATTCCTTTATCGGAATTAACCCATCAAAGGTGATAAAGACGGGTGATGACCCTAGCAAGTTTAGTGCCGAGTTTTGTGACGTTGATCCTATAACCGTGCTAGAAGAGGAATTATCGCACTTCAGACAAGCATCGTTACCTGGCTTGCCCAAGTATAGCGGAGGAGCTACTGGGTATATTTCGTATGATTGTATTAAGTATTTTGAACCCAAAACAAAGAGGCCATTGAAGGATGTTCTTGGGTTGCCCGAAGCCGTGTTTATGTTTTGTGACTTGGTGGTGGCATTTGACCATGTGTATCAAAGGTTTCAAATAATCTACAACATCAAAGTCGATGGCTCACACAATTTGGAACAGGAATACAAAAGGGGTGTATCCAAAATCGACGAAGTGGAGAAGCTCTTGTTGAGAACAGTCTCGAATGAAGATATCTTCCCCCATCAGGGACCAATCAAGTTGAATCAGACATTCACATCCAATATTGGTCAAGAAGGTTATGAGAAGCACGTGTCGACTTTAAAGGACCATATATTGAAAGGTGACATAATCCAAGCAGTACCTTCCCAAAGGATTGCCCGTCCTACCAAATTACACCCCTTCAACATCTACAGACATTTACGTACGGTGAATCCATCACCGTATTTGTTTTACATCGATTTGATTGATTTTCAAATAATAGGGGCCTCACCAGAGTTATTGGTACAGTCAGATATCAATGGTAGGATTGTTACCCATCCTATTGCAGGGACAATCAAGAGAGGCAAAACGAACGACGAAGACGAAAAGAATGCCGAAATTTTAAGATCGAGTTTGAAAGACAGGGCCGAGCATATCATGCTTGTAGACTTGGCACGAAATGATGTCAACCGTGTTTGCAAACCCGAGACTAATAAAGTGGATAAATTGTTGACCATTCAACGGTTCTCACATGTGATGCACTTAGTTTCGGAGGTGAGTGGAACTTTGCGCGAGGACCAAACTAGATTCGATGCTTTCAGATCAATATTTCCTGCAGGTACCACCAGTGGTGCACCCAAAGTGAAGGCAATGGAGTTGATTGCCGAATTAGAAAAAGAGAAAAGGGGAATTTATGCTGGTGCTGTTGGAAATTGGGGATACGATGGAAAAACTATGGACACTTGTATTGCATTAAGAACAATGGTATTTAAAGATGGCGTGGCTTATTTGCAAGCCGGAGGAGGAATTGTATTTGATAGTGACGAGTATGAAGAGTACATGGAGACGATGAACAAGATGAGAGCAAATAACAACACGATTGTTGAAGCTGAAATGATTTGGGCTGACAAAGTTGGGGCTGAAGAGTAAGGATTTTGTATATATAATGTGGCATAGAACTGATTATCTAGGGTTGCTTTGTTTGTTCATTCGTGTAGCATGTAATATCATGTCCTTTTTAATGACCCTCTTCTAACTATCTTGCACTGTGGTGTGCAATTAGACTCTTGTGACACAAATTGTACTGATCACATGACCTTGGTCTATTTGGGACCTCTGACATCCATACCGCAGTATTATACACCATGATTGAGAGAAATTAATTTTTGTTGAAACCAAAAGTTGTTCAACCGATGATCATCTTGAACGAGCCCCATTGAACGAACACCCACGTACAATAAAGATTCGACGACAGCACACCCATAAGAAGTACGAATACTGTTTATATCTTGCTGTACACATTCAATCGTCTTTCCACGACAGCATTTGATATCCATTTTGATCAACAGGTTTTTCCGTTTCTGTGATACCGGATCCGGCTTCAGTCAATTATGAGTTCGACAGATTTAGACGCTATTGTATCCGGCAACCAGAAAGAACTCACTATAGGAGGAGATGAAGGGTCTATGTCGCCTGATTCCTCACATTCCGCAGCACATGGATCCCCCACAACAACGCCGAAAAATTCAGCAAGAACGCCCACCTCATGGGATGCTGAGGATGACGTTCTACTAATGCATTTGAAGGACCGCCAGAAACTAGGATGGAAAGCTATTGCAAGCCACTTTACCAACAGAACTCCAAATGCGTGTCAATTTCGATGGAGGAGGCTAAAGTCCGGAAATTTAAAGAATCCACCGAAATCGGCAGCAGCTTTGGGCGACCAATTCAAACAGAACCCCACCATGTCAAGCTCGGTTCCGAAAAAGAAAGCACAACCGGCTCCAGTTTCCATGACAGAGACGACTGATACAGAATTTGCTTACGAACCAACACCCACAGGAGGATTTCAAGGATTTGATAACAGCATTTCCTCTGCGTTGGCTGGGCTTAACGCATTATCAAATTCTCCGTCCTACATTTCTAGTCCATCAGCCGCAACCCCAAAAATCCTGGCTGCGTCACCAGGTGTTTATGCCTCAGGACGAGCAAATCTGATTAGCAGTCTAGGCCATAAGTATGAAGGCTTACCTGACGCCGAAAATCCTTTGGAAACACTGAGCCGAACTGGAATTGTTATCCCGGGAACAAATGGATCCGGTGGCTACTATGCTGAAGTGTCAGTTGATCCGACCATGAACTTGCCCCACAATAGGACTCATCCAGAGACGCTGTCTTCACTCACTCCACGTAATTCAACGTCCAATGCAAGCACTCGCAACAGAGAGAGCATAAGTTTACATCCGCGAGATCACAACTCTGGGTCCATCTCAGTAGCTGCCGCCGCGTTACGCAATAATTCTATTATTCAAATAACCAATGACGAAAGAGCATCAATCCTGTCTATAGCGAGGGCGTCTATATCTTCATTGCCATCTAAGTCCATGGATATCCCTCATCACCAGCTGGGTGCTACCTCTTTGGCGCACCTTCCTGTACTTTTTGGTGGTGCGGGAAGTATAAGTGGACCTTCAAGGAACTCAAGTATAAGTGGAACAACAGGTGTGCATCAAACAACCGTTTCCAGTTTGAGAAATGGGTCCTTGGCTGGCCCAAGCCTGGGTTATTACTCAAGATCAGGATCCGTCGTGATCCCACACAACACAGATAAGTCGGACGAGCCATTAAAGATTAACAAAGAAAAGATCGAATCTAGTAACAAAAAGTTACAAAAAATGAAAAGGAGTTTACCGTCATCGAGCCAGACAAAAAAGAAGCAAAAGAGTACCAAATTGGATCTCCCGTGGACAATGGAGGAAGATGAGCTTTTGATCAATAGGCGGAACAGAGAATTGTCGTTTGCTGAGTTATCTATTCTACTACCCCAGAGGACGGAAGGAGAAATTTGGGCGCGTATAGATTACTTGGAAAAGTTGAGAAATGGAAATGATGCCTCTTCCGGTGGACGAGACCGAAGGGCTACTAGACAGTCGTCCATAGGTTTAGATGACGTGCATGATTTGTATGATGATGACGACGATGATGACGTGATAGTGAATATCGGTATTGGAGTCAGCGATGATGACGATGATAACCCTTTGATTGACGACGATGACGATAATATTGAAGAAGTAAGAAGGATTAAACGGAGAGCCAGCTCTGCCATCAACCCATTAGTCAAACGTCCTATTCGGAGATAGGTTCATGCATTTCTATATAGTATATATATATATACAAACATCATCCTAATATAACTTCAATTCTCCTGTGATTTGATCAAGTGCCTTTTTAGGTGCTGGGCCTAGACCCAAAACAGTTGCACTCCCCGCGGCTATTTGCGTTCTTCCAGCGTCATGTATTATACATGCGTTGACGCCCAAACTTATTGCTTGCGCGTATAGGATATCCATTTCCTCCTGATTTGGCACTTGAAGGGTTATTTTTGCTTGACCATTGCCGCACTCCCATCTCTTTACCATTTCTGGATTGTATGCCTCGGAATTAGGATTAGTTATTTTCTTGTACAATGATAATGTAGCGTGGGAACATTGAGCGGCAGCTTTACCTTTGCCCATTTTCAAATCTTGTCTCACAACAAGGGTCATCCTAACTTCTCCAGGGATGTCATTCAATGCCAAGGAGTTGATATCTAGGTCTTCCTCCTCCGTCTCTTCGTCAGTTTCGTACTCATCGGTCTCTTCTTCAACGTCATCTCGTCTCTTTAGATTGGATTTATATCTTTGCCTCTGATGAGCCCTTCGAGAAGTAGCATTTCTGAAAAAATTGCTGGCGTATAAACCAGTCACAAAAGATAATACACTAATCGATAGTATGGTTATGTTAAAGTTGGCCATGATTGTGATGATAAGGTTCCTTGCGAACGTTTTTCAACTTTTTTTTTTTCTTTTTCTTCGTGGTTAATTTCGTTTGCGAAACTTCATGTCAGTCTAAGCTGGCCCACGGTGATTCTTGTTCTCAATCACATGTCAGCTCCTGAGCCTTCCACAACTTGTAAAAGATTTCAAACTGCTTCTATTTCAAGCTAAAATTTTGGGTTTCGACTTTTTCTTCTTGCCTTTCTTTTCAATCTTATTTGAATAGTTTCTCCAGTTTTGAACCCTCGAGTCTCGCGTTTCTTCCCATTCACTCTCCATCTTTCTCTGCAGCTCTTTCTCTTCCCTCATCTGCTTCTGCATTTCATTCTTGCGTGTTTCCTCACTAACTTTTGCTAGCCTTTCCAATTCCAGATGTGCCAATTCATTTTCTATTATTTCGTCAACTTTAGATCTAACCCTGACATGGAACGGATCATCGAAGCTCAGCGGTACACCATCGGAGTGAAATGTGGCGTAAATTGACATCAACCTTTGCTTTTCCTTAAATTCCAGTTCGTTCTCATCAGTACTGGTGAGTATCTTTTGCGCCTTTTTAAGTCTATCAAATGCCTCCGATGCTCGTGGATGGTCAGTCTTATCCGGATGTATTAAAAGCGATTTCTTTCTATATATTTTTGTAATCAATGTGGGTATCTCATCAATGGGGGTAGTCAATGGGTTGATTTCGGTGATGGCAAAAAAATCTTGTTCATTGCATTCGAGTATTCGATCAATTTCATTGTTCCTGTTGAGTGCTGACTCTTCAATCGAAAGTATTCTATCTAATTCTGCGGACATTGGTCTGAAGAGTAAGCCTGGATGATTTAGGATATTCATTATATATATATATATATTTTTTTTTGACTTTTCTGTACAATTCTTTTTGCATCAGTTTCAGCTCTTAATGCATCATTTGTGCAAACGCTTGACAAGAAACATGACATGGAGACCTAGGTATTTCGATATTGGTGTCAATTTTTCCGACTCAATGTTTCAGGGGTTCTATAATGGATCACCAACTCCAAAACATCCTTGTGATATTGAAGATGTTATCAACAGAGCTCATCTATTCAATGTTGATCGGATGTTAATCACTGCGTCTACAATCAAAGAGAGTCGAGACCATTTAGGATTGTGTGAACAGTATAAGAACCAATTTAGCTCCACTGCAGGTGTACATCCTTGCTCAGTGGCAAACGAATTTTATGTGAAAGAAGAAGATAGTTTTACAGAAGAGTTGAGACCCGATGTTAGTGAGAAACTTGCGGAGTTAAAAAGCATCCTCATTGAAGGGTACAATCTGGGGCATGTGAAAGCGTTTGGAGAAATCGGATTAGATTATGATAGATTACATTATTCAAGCAAGCATCAACAACTTGAGATGTTTAAACGTCAATTGGATATACTAAAGGAGATACAGTTTAGAATTCCATTGTTTCTACACATGAGGGCCGCATGTGACGATTTCATAAACATAATCAAGCCTTACATAGACGATGGTACTGTGGAAAATGGTGTGGTGCATTCATTCACGGGCACCGAAGAGGAGTTGAACAAATTGCTAGAACTTGGTTTTTACATAGGTGTCAATGGCTGTTCATTAAAAACAGAAGAAAATTTGGTTGTTGCATCCAAAATACCGGTAGACAAACTTATGATTGAAACAGATGCTCCTTGGTGTGAGATTAGGAAAAGCCATGCCAGTTACAAATTTATATCACCATACCCAAATATATTCTATCCTGCGATTTCAACAGGAGAATTAAATGAAGCAAAGCCGCAGTTTAAGCTTGATGACAACTTGCCATTCCCATCAATCAAAAAGGAACACTATACAAAACACTCGATGTACGTTCAGCAACGACTTGAGAACTGGCGAGAAGAAGCCCCAGCTGAAACCAGAGTTGGAGTCCTTAGCAGACCCTTAATCAAGTCTCGCAACGAGCCAGCACAAGTTGGTCACGTAGCTGAAATTCTCTGCAAATTAAATGACATCACTGATGATTCTGATATAGAAAAATTTATAGACAGAGTTTTTGAGAACTCGGTAAAAGTGTTTCATTAAAAGTCATATCATATCATATAATACAGGTCAACAATTACATTTAATAATTCCTTCTTCGAGGAGGCAATTTTGGGATATTTTTTCCGATTCGGGGTATTTTGAAAGTGCCCTTTGGTCGCCCCCTACCTCGAGGTCTATTGTCGCCTTCCAATACGTTAATCGTCCTCCGTTTAAGTGGTGCAGATCTCTTTACCAATCCTGTTCGTTTTGTGGACACAACAACATCTTCATCATCTTCGCTGGATGAATCGGATTCAGGCTCTGACAAGTTCACCGGCAACGACTCTTCAAGGTCCAGACTCTCGCTATTTCCCTCTTCTTCCTCGTCGGCTTCAAAATCATTATCTTCAAAACTAGATTCGTTTTCCTCCTCAGATTGTGAAGCATCAGCTGCTTCGAAAATATCAGCAACTGCGTCCAAGTCAACTTCAACGTCCTCTTTTGATCGTTTCTTAGGCTTCATATTTGCCTGGAATGTGTTAGCCTTGCATTCAGTGAAGTCCTCTAACGTAGACTCACGTTTTCCTCTCAGCATATCAGCACACATTGCAACTTCTTTACATGCCTCTTGCTCAAATGAATATGGGTTATATATATCGTCCTTTAAGAAATCAGCAACCTGAGTGATACTGTTATGAGCGACGTTTGGCTTCCCACCTTGCAATAACGCTGGTGCAGAGTTGATACCTCCACTTGGGCCAAAAAGCATTGGTTTCCACAAAAGCTTGGAGTAATCAAGTCTTGTATAAGATTTTGCCTCCCATCTATTGATGATTTCAGTTATGATGTCCCAATTCACTACAATTGCAAATTTAATTGATTCTCCATCATGCTTGCAATGAAGAGCGTGAAGTTGCTCTAAGGCGACAGCTACATTAGCTGGAGTCATTCCTGTCATTTTGCACAATACACTAATCGATACGTCGATACCACCACGATCGTGATAAGCCTGATAAAGCTCTCGAAGCTTGTAAGCAATAGTCACTTTCCAGTAATTTCTATAACTCAACAAGCCCAAGTCACTTAAGGGTTTCTCTGGAGTGCCATATTTGAATTCGTTCCGTGTCAACAAATAACTAAAGTCAATGAGTAAGTTCCCATATCCCTTTCTTTGGTATATCGGTAGTGTTAGTATACACGAAACATTGTAATCCAGGTTGTTCAACTTCTCCTTTGAAAAATAACCCACAAAGTGATGTTTTGAATTGTGTACATGATCCCTCTCCGTCAATACGTAGAACACAAATGGTTCGACATCATAATATAAAGTCTTTGAGTTCAAAAATAATTTTGCTAAGAGACAAATGTTTTGGCAATAATTTATGTTCTTGCGTCCATCAACTTCCCATACTGACACGCTGGAATCTCTATAAATCTCTGTACCCGGCGGGTGCTGGTTTGAAAAATTGCAATTCTTCAACTGATGTCGCTTGTACGACATGGGTGAGTTCATATACTTTAGGCAATATTCGCAAATGTACAAGGTTTCGCACTGCGAGTATTCCTCTGGGTATGGTGCTATGTACCAGGTTTCTATCTCATGATCTCTAAACATTATTTTCCTGATCTTTGATTTGTTCAATGCAATGGATGTCGGCGTTGACTCCTTAAATGCTGCACTCGATATGTTAGATGGTGCAGCCTCGCCAATGGCTTGCGAGTTGTCATAGTTCTCTTTGTTGCGCAACCTCACTCCTTCTATACCGAATCTTGCAAACTTTGCTCTTTCTTCTTTTGTTGGGTCAGTGTCGTTGATTATGCAATCAGGATACTCAAGTGTGCCTCTATACGGTAGCTCTGTCTTCAGGTTTACTTTGTATTTGATGGTTACAAAAAATTGATTTGCGCTTTTGTTTACATTCACCTTTCGTCGTACTTTCTTCTTTTGTGGCTCCAGTACCACCTCACGGGTTTTTTGAATCATTTTCTTGAGGGAATAGTCACTAGTTGGTTTCAGGCGGTGGCTGCGCTTGTCTAGGTCAGTTGGTGTGACATCTGAATATACGTGATTGTTTGTGATTTTTAGCTGATTTAGTAGATGCAGTACCATGATAAAAACATTGTTTCAACAACAAAGTCTCAGGTTTGTTGAAGCACTTGATCAATCCTTTTATGTTGCTACTTATAATGAAGTGAACTTTAAAATCAAGGAGTGGTAAAGGATGTAAAGGTGTACTGTTATTGATATTGATGTAAAGCTTATTATTGTTTATATTTGTTTTTCTTTCTTTTCACACACACATAAACAACAACAACAAAATAAATATATTTTATCGACAGTAGGTAGCGTCAAACGCATCAAAATGAGTAAGTATGTAACAAACAGTTGATAAGCCCGCTACTTTCAACAAAGGATCAATAATGCTTGAGTAGTTTCTGCTACATCTTTGTTTTCCCAGGAAAAGAAGCTCATAATGAGGTGAAAGCAAGTTTTACTACTTCCCAAATGAAGCATTGCATGGTTGTCATAAACCTGAACAGGAGTTAAGTGGCCATTTCATATTCAGTATCCAAACAAAGACTAAATTAATATTGAAAGAGAGTGTCAACTTTTTGTCCCCGCACTTGGTGTTTATGCACGTTGATGTTGCACTGAACCAAAATTGCAAGAGTTAAGTTTGAAGTCACTTCGACGCATTCTAAGTACTTGCCATTAGAAGCCAACCTATTACCTTACAGCCACGCTGGCGATGTTCGAGCACACACAACTTATTGGAAACAGTTGTCATGACGTACTACTTGTGCCAGTTACTAAAATATAATATTTATAAACTGCGGAATTAAATCAAGGAAATATGAATAGAGTGGGGGGGGGGGGGGGGTAGGGAGAGATCTTCCGTAAATGAGGTTCCCTGCCCCATGGCTCAGAGTATTTTAATTTATGATGACGACACGATTTTGGATTGATGGGTATAATAATGCAGTGGTCTGAAATAGCCACACTTATTAGGGGGATTTGATCCATATTGTCAAGAAAATAAAATGTTGAATTTTTTAACTCTTGGAGGATACAGAGTTTAGGTTTTAATTTATCTTTTACTTTATTTTTTTTTCCTTATTGTTTGTGGTGTTGGTCTTTCATCGGTAAACTTGGCCATCATGACAAGGTTAGGGAATGGATTTGCTGAACTGGTTTTTAGATACGATTACAATCTGTATTTGGAATACCGCAATTTGTTGGATTTCAGGATGCTACCAGAGAAGATATAGATGGGGTTCATTGCAACACATCGCTTCAATTCAACATTTAAGCGCTAGTGCTCTACATAGAGAGATGAGTTGTTTGTTTTTACTGTCATGTCGATCGCCCCTAGTCAATTTCTATGGAACATTGTCGTTTCAGAGAGCTATAGCATATAAGAACAGGAATGTTAAATCTCTGAAAGCTGAATTTACGTTATTTTGAGCCAAGGTAGACGACATACTCAAACAGCTTATTTGTTGTTTTTCCACAGATACCAATGATATCTCTTGTCGCACGACCGGAACATCTCACAATGGGGGTTCGTTACGTTGGTTCTACGACTCTTATTGAACTTGTCCTCTTTTCAAGTGTATGGGGAACCTACAGTATTGGTACCCGAGTGATGACCACCTTGTTTGAGTCCCTACTTGTTGCAATGATTAAAATTATGAGTGTTGTAAAGGGTGATGTAACAGGCCGCTGAATGTGCCGGTGGGATTAGCAGCTGTTAGTGATTGTGCGGTAAAACTTCCCTGTTTCGGTCACTGTGTCTTTACTGAATACATAAAGATAACCTTCTTTGATATTTAGAAAGACAGAAATGATAGATCTTTTGAAATTGGAAATACTGTTTTCTTATTCCGCAAAAGCGTTTTGTGTGTTAGAGGTATCACCCACTCCACTCACATCCCCACCTGACCAGATACACACATACGAATGTATTACATTATGCAAATTTATGTATGTCTTTTTTGGTGAGATAAGATAAACAAACTTTTTGTGGTGGTGAATTGCTTGGCATATCTCAATAGTTTTTCAAACATAACTAGTGAGTTGAATGTCGCACATACTTGATTAACTACGCGCTTAAGAAAATAAACAATCACTCGTACCACCACCACCACCACCAAAAAATGAATCAGGACGTAACGAGAAGTCGTATCATAAGGTAGTACTTAAGTTGACTCATATCCTCTTGATTTTTGGATGCTGTAGATGATTTCCTTTTTTCAAAGACAATTTATAGAACTATGTCAGACGAAGAGAAACAAGAGATAACGCACGATGACTACAATTTCCCGCCAGGGACTGTCCATCTTGTTGATATGCATGGTACTTTAAATGTGAAGAAGGGTGAAGGTAATATCATCTTGCATCCACAACCATCTTCCAATGTTAACGATCCACTAAGATGGTCCAAAACGAAAAGAAACTTGCAATTTGCTTTAATTTGGTTCTGGGCTTTTATGTTGGCCCTTACATTGAGTTTCATGGGGCCTTTGTTTGCCGATTGGATAATTGAATTTAATACAACCTATAACGAACTCGGTGTTGCAGTTGCTTTAGGTTTCTTGGGATTAGGGGTCGGTGTGTGTTTTATTCAGCCAACTGGGTTGAAAATGGGAAAGGTGTTTGTCTATAATTTGGGTACTATCCTTGCGATTGTTGCCTGTGCTATGGGTTCTCAGTCCACTAATATTGGGTACTTTCACGCTTTCAGAATTTTGGCTGGTTTGGCTGCATCCCCTGTTGATACATTGGTTGAAATTTCAGCTAACGATTTGTTTTTCCAACATGAGAGGTCTACTGCATTCAGCTCGCTAATTTTGGCGCTTTATGGAGGTACTGACTTGGGCCCAGTCGCAGCTGGATACATTGCAGACAGCATGGATTGGAGTTGGTGCTACTATATTCAAATCGTGATTTACATTCCATTACTAGCACTTCAGTTTTTCTGGATGGAAGAAACTACATTCAGACGTTCCAAGAACGAGGAAGAAGAGTTGGAGGAGGAGATTCTTGCCCAAATCAAGTCTCATGAAACTGGAAAATCTGCCGAATTGGTTTCAAGCGAACAAAAGGACAACATTGATGTACTTGTCAACTCCAGTCCAGAAGACCAAGATCAAGTCAAGTTGACATACTGGCAAAGGCACAAGTTGTATCACACTGAGCACAACGATACGAGATCTTGGTTGTGTATTTTCTTGAGACCTTTCTATTTAGTCGCATTTCCCGCTGTTGTTTGGAGTGGTATGATCTACGGGTTCCAGATGTTTTGGTTATCTCTTGTTATAAATACGCAATCAGCAATATATTCAGCTGAGCCTTATAATTTTAGTGTGAATAATGTTGGTTTGACAACAATGGGTCTTTTCATTGGTAACGTGATTGGTATGTTTTACGGAGGACCATTTGTCGACTGGTTCGCTATCAAAATGGCTGGACGCAACAATGGTATCATGGAACCAGAACATAGATTGCACACAATGCTTGTACCAACAGTTTTCAATGCCGCGGGCATTTTGGCATACGGTTTGGGATCTTATTATGGAAGTCACTGGGCCATCTCAGTTGTTGTAGGTCAGGGATTAATGGGTTTTGCCATGAGTTCGTCGGGAGCAATCTGTTTGGTTTACGCTGTCGAGTGCTATGAGAAATTAGCCAGTGAATCTCTTGTGTTGATTTTGTTCATTAGAAATATGATTGGTATGGGATTCTCTTTCGCTATTTCTCCATGGATTGCTGCAGAAGGTTTGATGAAAACTACTTATGCCATGTTTGCTCTTTCAGTAATCGTTAATGGAAGTTACATTTTCTTGACTTGGAAGGGTAAAGCCATCAGACGTTGGACAAAAGCTCGGTATGAAAGGGTTAGTGTTCCTTCTTACGGGGAGATGTTCAAGAGAAATAAATAATGTAGGGACCAACACACGCACGTGAACCCAAATTTATTATGAGTCTAGTTATTTCTGTGTTTACCTTTATGCCCGTATTTATAAAAATATTTAAGTGTATCTTAATGGAGACTTTCATTAAAGCTACAAATGTGGAACCTATAAAATATCGACCTCGTCGTTCTCAACGACTGATGTCTTGATCTTCAATAACAATTGGGTCTTCAATTTATCAAGTTTACTGAACTTGTCATACTCAAAAACTTTATCCGAATAATCTTCGACATCGCCATTTTTAATACTCTCTAATAACGCCTCAATCAACTTGTACTCTCTTGTTTCTGGCCAATTAGGGTCATCTTGAGAATATTTTTCCATTCTCTTTTCAGCCTCGACTACATCCTCGGTGCACAAAACACACAACAAAGATTTGAAAAAGTAATCCTTCAAGCTCCACTTTGTCAATGAGTTGTTCAACAGGTTCTTTATTACGATATCATACAACTCAATGGCTTTCTTGTACTCATTATTTGCGGCTGATAAGTCTGCACATTTGAGGAATGCCTTATTTGAGAGTGCTTCGGCATTATCTGTAGTAAAGTAGTCACCAGCCTGCTCGTAACTTTTAATGGCATTCGTAGTATCTCCCACGCTTTCATACAATTCAGCCAAGTCCATAGTAAAATTAGCAGCTCTTCTAAATTGTCCATTTTGAGTCAAAAAGATGTGAATTGCTTGCGACAAGGCATCAATCGCATTTGTGGGGGAGGTCGATTTGTAGCACTTGTAAGCCTCCACTAAATGATTAGCAGCATCATTGTAGTTATTTAAGCTCTGTTGTATTTCTGCAGCTTTCAAGAACTGATTACCTGCCTGATTGAAGTCCTTCTTCAACCGATAGCTATTTGCCGCTTGAATGTATAAATCGGTTGCGTCTTCCTTACGGATCGATTGTGATGATCCTGAGATAAACAGAAAAAATCCCAGCTGAGGCTTGAGTAGCTTCTCTGCTTCAGCTATTAACTGTCTTGGGTCTGACATGGATGGTATCTGGTTACTAATGGGGAAAAGTTGATCCGGCGTTCTAATTACTTCTAGTTTTTTTTTTCTTCTTTGCTTCGCATGGGCTACCAAAAAAAAGTGTAAACAAAAATACAAAAGCCACATGCCTACCTATCTCTTGCAACTTTACTTTGAAAATGGATTCGGCACCTAGAGTTAGATTTCAGAGGCTTCAAGTACTTGGGAGGAGAGCAGTTGAACAGGTACTCAAGACATCATTTTCTAAGGAGCAGATCAAGCAATGTTACCCGCATATCATGGAATCAGAGGCAGGCGCAGCGAAATTGCAAACTGGGGTAACCCGGCTTCAAGAATATCTTCATGATAGCACAGTGACTGAGTTTAATCACATATACGAAGAAAACTCTTTGCCGCGACAATTGGATGAGTTGGATGAACTAATATATCTCGCTCAGGAAAGGAAGCGGAGAGGCGGATATGTAAACGAAGAGAAACAAGTGCAGATTGATAAATTGTCTGCTGAAAATATCATGAGCTCGATAGTGCTAAGTGAAAAGGAAGATGTATTAGGAAAGCTCAAATTGATTTATGAACAGTTGTGCAAAGACAATGACGATATGCTCCAATCATTAGATGAGAAATCAAAGGAGAATGAAACTCTTTCAAGCAAGGTGTTCGAAGTCTGGGACCCCATACTACGCCAGAAAGAGGTGATACCAAAAGAGCCAGTTAATATTAACAAGTCTTTATTCAACAAAACGGACTAATATATATATATACAGATGTGACCCTAGAGAAGATTCTCTTTTTGCATGATCTCGTAGTTTCTTTTTGCCAAATCGTGATACTCACTAACTCTGTCTCTAAGCTTCTTGACCTTCAAGTTCTTTCTCTTTGCGCTTTGAGTTTCCTTAACGAGCACCTTATCGCCCCATACTTTGTAGTCTTGTAAGTATTGCCTTCCCATGTTGAACTCGGCGCTAATAACATCATCCGTCAACCCCAATTTAGCTAATGCATAATAGTACTTTTTTGGATCCTTCCGTTTCAAGTAACGTAAAATCTTTTGTCTATACTGAACCAACTCCCTGACAATTTCAGTAGTGGCATGATCATTTTTGTTTTCCTTTACGTGCCTCATTCCAAAGTGTATCTTGACAGTCATTACTGCAGCTTGAACCTCGGGTGATGCCGTGTCACCTGGTTCTCTCTGCAATTCCTCGCGTGCATACATGATTGCCAACTTCTTCTTATCCTTACTGTTGGTGTTTCTCAAATTCAATATAGTCAACACGGCACTCTTTTTATTTTCTTCAACACGCTGAACCTCTCCACGTATTTCTTCATTGGTTGATGTATTTTCGAGGGACAATTTCTCTGCTGCGTACAAAAGCTTCTCCATTTCTGTTCTATCGACGCCATGAGCCAAGTTTGAATCCTGGTCTTCAACTTTTTGCATGATTCGAGTGAAAAATTGGCACTTGGAATCTCCCAAGACCGGGTCTACCTGAAATGGGACATTCTTTGCGTCATACTGTTTCAAGGTGTTGACATCTCGTACGATTTGTTTCTTTAATCTTTTCTCTCTTCTTCTCAACTTTCGCTCCTTCTTTTGAGGGGTTCCGGGATCTATAAATTGTTTGGCTGCAAGCTTTGGGCCCAAGGCTGTGCTTTTCAAGGAGCTAGCTTGAGATAGGAGAGGTCTCCCTACGGACAACCAACGAGTCGGTAACTTGAACATGGTTAATTAGTTGTCTCTGGTTTCAGTTGGGTTGGACTGAAATTTTTTTTTTTCTCTGTTTTTCGTTTTCATCCATTCCAATTTTAAAGTTAAGGTTTGGGACACCAATTGCAGCAAGTTGCTCTGGTCGGTAAAGCGAAATCCCTTGCTATAGTGTAATAGAGACATGGCACAGGAATTGAGGAATGTAGTAATACTCTCTGCTATCGATTATATTTCTAAGTCCTCTCTCGCGCAAAGACGGAGAAGAGCTATTGAGCGCATTAAATCAGAAGTAAGAGAATCGTCCTTATCACAGAAGCACCTCTATGAGAATAAGCAAGACGTTTCCATGGTGCCATTAACGTTAGAGACAATCTCCCGTAAGACTTCTAGAAAGTTTCTTTACAATGTTCTACCATCAGCGCTACCGTTTTCGAAGAACAGTTTAGAAAATTTTTCGCACTGTTCAATAAATAACAGTTCAAGACTTGCTTCTTCATCATCTCAAATTCACGACAACAATGCAAAGAGCTTTGCTGCAATCAATAAGGAGGACGATTCAAACTCGTGTTGGTGTAATCTATCCTACACTCAGACCATCAGTCTATATCCCACGTCAGCAATTTGTTCGTTTCAATTCTACAAAACAAGAGGCAAAAGACACCGCAACACAGGAATCGAATGAAGATGCCACTGGCAAAACAAATGAGAAGGTAGAGACTGAAAGTGCTACTTCAAAGGAGACAGAAGCTACCGAGGCTGCCGAAAATCCTGAAACCAAGGAGTTGAGAGAGAAATTAGAGAAGAAGGACAAAGATTTGGCCCTTATGAAGAACCATTACGCCAGAGCCAAAGCTGATTTCCACAGTTTGCAAGAAACAACAAAGAAGGAGGTGCAAAATGCGAAAGATTTTGCTTTACAAAAGCTTGCAAAAGATTTATTAGAGTCAGTAGATAATTTCAATTTGGCATTGGACCATGTGAAGGAGGACACCCTCAAAGCCAATGAAGAGGTGAAAAACTTGTATGATGGAGTGGATATGACAAGAAATGTCTTTGAAAAGACATTGAAGAAGCACGGCATTGAGAAAATTGAGCCATTGGGAGAGAAATTCGATCCCAACTTACACGAGGCTACTTTTGAAATCGCTCAGCCTGATAAGGAACCTGGTTCTGTATTCTTTGTCCAACAAACAGGTTACACTTTGAAAAATAGAGTTTTGAGACCCGCCAAGGTTGGTGTTGTCAAGGTTGAAGAGAACTAAGAGCCGCCTAACAATATATAGCACGAAACATTTAACGACTTGTATATAATTAAGCTTTGTTTGAGTTTTGGGGAACAGCAGATTGATCCCTATGAAAACGCTTGGAATGTAGACAGTATAGTTTCCGAACCTAGCAGAACTTCGATGATCCTCACCGCACTCGGCTTCATCCTTTTCTGCTTTTTTTTCTTCTCTGACTCACCACGGCAAATGAAGTGCCTAATCAATTTTGTGTCAGGCTCAGTTAGTTAACCGCGCACCCGAATTGCGTCCAAATATTTTTTTATTCTCTTTTATTTTTTCACCCAATGATTTTAACATCTTCTTTCCTCCTAAACAAAAAGACATTAAGTAGAAAGACATTTTGCAATGTTGGCAGTCAAATCATCAATGCGTTGCTTTTCAACCACCGCTCCTGCGTTTAAAACGATTAAAATTGGGTTAATCCCCGGTGACGGAATCGGAAGAGAAGTGATCCCGGCTGGACAAAAGGTGTTAGAAAGCTTACCTTCCAAATACGACTTGCAATTTGAGTTTGTCCAATTGGATGCTGGTTATGAATTGTTCAAAAAAACTGGAACTGCATTGCCAGAGAAAACGGTAGATACCTTGAAAAATGAATGTGATGGTGCCTTGTTTGGTGCTGTTTCTTCCCCAACTACAAAAGTAGCTGGATACTCATCCCCAATTGTCGCCTTAAGAAAAAAGTTGGGCCTCTATGCCAATGTACGTCCAGTGAAATCGGTCAGAGGAATTGGAAGACCAGTTGATATGGTCATTGTTCGTGAGAATACTGAAGATTTGTATGTCAAGGATGAAAAAACTTACGAAAAAGAAGATGGAACCAAAGTTGCCGAGGCAATCAAGAGAATCACCGAAACTGCGCTGAAAAGAATTGCCAAGATGGCCTTTGATATTGCTGTTCAAAGACAAGCTATTAGAGACGCATCAGCATCAAGTGATCAACTTCACACGTCGCCATCAGTTACAGTCACCCACAAGTCAAATGTTTTGTCCCAATCCGACGGTTTGTTCCGTGAATCTTGTAGGGAAGTCTACGATGCAAACAAGGATAAGTACAAGGATGTTGAATACAAGGAGCAAATTGTTGATTCAATGGTCTATAAAATGTTTAGAGATCCAGAAGTTTTCGACGTCGTTGTTGCACCAAATTTATATGGTGACATTTTGAGTGATGGCGCCGCTGCCTTGGTTGGATCCTTGGGTGTAGTTCCTTCAGCTAACGTTGGTGATTCATTTGCTATTGGTGAACCTTGCCACGGATCTGCTCCAGATATTGAAGGAAAGGGTATTTCAAATCCAATCGCTACCATAAGGTCTACTGCTTTGATGTTGGAGTTCATGGGTCACGCAGAAGCTGCCGCAAAAATCTATGAAGCTGTTGACGCAAACTTGGCTGAAGATAAAATCAAGACACCAGATTTGGGTGGTCAATCATCTACGAATGAGGTTGTTGAAGATATTATCAAAAGGTTTTAAACTTTTTGTATAAATTTTAATAAGGATTGAATCTTCGACTCTTGTTTTTATGTTCCTTTTTGTGATGCTTTTTAGTGTCCTTCTTACTCTTGGCTTTGCTGATTGCGACAGGAGGAGCAGTTCCGATTGAATAATGTTTGAGCGTCTCCGGCAACTCCCATAGCTTGATTTTGCCATCTTCACCACAGGTCAAACATTGTGTCGTATTTGGCTTGATTATAACATCTCTCACTACTTCTTCACCGTGCCCTCCCGGTAAATTAACAGTTTTTGAGTCTTTAAATTTTTCTTTCTTGGGGTTGAACGGTATGATAAATAAATTGCTGCTTGAATTTGCTCCATATGCTGCATACCCACTTGGATAAACATCTATGACATACTCATTGTCTGCCCATTGCTGCCTCAAGTCTCCTCTATCATCAAACTTGGGGCTCACCAACTCCTCGTAATTTGTGTCGTTTAAGTCGTGAAACAAGAGAGTTTCAATATGAGTTAACACCGAAATTCTTTTCTCCGTTACGAAATGGCACGAATGCACTGACCCGAAATTAATAACCTGATGCAATGCGTCATCCTCGTCAGATTTTGATAGGTCGTAAATGTTAACGTATCCATCTGTTGAACCTGACATCAAGTAATTGTTCAAAGTTGGATGAAATTCAAGCGCAGTAACATCATCATGGTGTGAATCAACAAAAGATTTGACCACTTCGGCTGGGTTTCTCAAATCCCAAATATGCACCTCAGCATCGGCACCTAAAAGCTCCGTACCCCCAGCCAATGAATAATCACCTTGCGAGGCTAGTGATAAAAAATTTGACTTCCCATTGCCCAAGCTTGCTTCCTGACTGCATGTTCTAATGTCCCAAACTTTGATACCATCGGTGGAACAAGTTGCTATTAAATTTTCATTAATCACTTTCATGTCATTGATGCTAGTCTCGTGAGCCAGGTCTATGCTGATTATAGGAACTGATACATTCTGCAAAGAGTACCCAATTAACGCGCCACTACTCGTGGAAGCAGCAAACCCTTCGCCAATAAAACCTAATTTCAAAACCCAATCATCCGCATTGTTGGCGGACCACGTATACTTTGATGTAGCCATTTGGGTAAGAAGACGTACATAGAAAATAAAGAACAAAAAAAATATAAACAAGAGAAGAGGAAAAAAAGGGAAACGAGACTAGAGAGATAGAAAGCACACTTTATACACAAGTCAGCTATCAACAATGAGTAGTTTGGTCAAGAAAGGAAGTCAGTTTGCTCCAAAGTTAAAGAATCCAGTTAGGAAGAAAGCAAACCCCAAAGCAACAGCCACTCCCGAGCCTTCCCAGAAAAGTCAATCTAGTGCATCAGAAACACGCACCAAACCCTTATCAGATCAGCTAGATACTCCTCCTACCACACAAGTGGTAAAACCCCGTACATCTTTTAGTATCAAGGGGACTATTAATAGACTGGTAGCCTTAGATGATGCCGTGGATCCAATAGACGATCTGAAGCCCCAGGATTCGGCCATTGCGGATAGCTCTGACGAGGAAGATGAGGCACTTAAAGAGCATGCACAAAGCCTACGGAGAGCCTCATCGCGAAGGTTATCTGGAATCAATCCAGGTTTCAGAAGTCGATCTGCTTCAGTCTCTCATCGGCCAGGTCATGAAGATACACAATCAGCAGCTGCTAGAATCGTAGTGCCACAACCACCCAAAACCGGCAAGAGAAGGAGGTCGCTGGTGAGTACTCGGAATACAAAGAGGGCTTCAGTAGCTGCACCTGTCACTGCACCAGCTCTCAAGCCTTCACTGGTCGTGCCTGTTCCAACAGCTCATAATACTGCCCATTCCCCATCAGTACCCTCATCCTCATCATCATCCTCGACAACTACCACTTCGAGGATATTGAATTCAAATGTTAGTCACTTGTTCCCCGCATTAAGGAAATCTGCTGCTCCGTTGAGTATGATAATGAATGAACCCGAGGCTGGGTCTCCACCACTGCCTCTTGACCGTAAAGAAGATGTGAATATAGTCAGTAAGGAGTTTGTTGTGGGGATTGATCCTAGGACTAACAAGTTACGCAAATTTAGACGTCCAAATGCTCCGAAACCAGAAATCAAGCAAGAGGACGGATTCACGAGGGTAGCAGATGAGCCGTTGGATGATTTGGTTCCTATTGCACCAGACAATTTAGTCACAACAGTAACCAGCATCAGTCAGATTCCATCGGGTATTAAAGACGAAGATTTGGAGTTGTATGGGGAACTTAATTTCAACTATGAAGGCATGACAATGGCTGATTTATGTAAACCAACTTTGAAAATTGGTGATGTCAGCTCTAGTTTCAAACTAGCGCAAGAAGCAGAGGCTCAATTGAAACAGAAGAAAATGCAAAGGAAATTGGATAGAATAAGGGCAAGACAAGAACGAATCTCTTTAGAAGAGGCCACATTGAAAAATGAAGGTAAAACTGACGAAGAGATTCAGCATGAAAAGGAAGGTAAGAAAGCAAAACGTGGACCAGATGTACTAAATTTTGAAGAGGAGGCACCGTCTTCATCGTCAGCGTTGCAGCTTACATTAGTTGACGGAAAAATTGGCTACAATGAGGAATCCGCCGTTGTTGTGAAGCCTCGAGCTGATGCGTCTGGACGTACAGTAGAAGATTCGAATCCCTTTGCAAATCCAGTCACATCTACAACCTACAGCAAGAGAACATACACTGACAAGTGGACGCCAGATGAATTAAATGAATTTTATCAAGCCTTGAGTATGTTCGGTACCGATTTTTCCTTAATCTCACAATTGTACCCTCATCGCACGAGAAAGCAAATCAAGTCAAAGTTTGTGTTGGAGGAGAGAAAGTATCCCGAAGTGATTGAACTAGCGTTGAAGAGGAAGCTTCCTGTTGATTTCAAAAAATATTGTGAAGCAACTAATAACGAAATAAAGACAATCGAACAATATAATGAAGAGTTGAAGAAGGTGAGATTAGAGCATGAACAAAGTATGAATGCCATTGCGATTGAAAGGGAGAAGGCATTCAAAGAAGATGCTGAGGCTAATAGGAGACGGGAAATTGAAATCCGAACCGGGTTTACTGGATCAAAAGCAATGACAACGGCTGAAAGGAGAAAGGAGTTGAGAAAGAATGAAACTGTCGTTGGAACCATTGATGATATCAAGCATCGTTGAAATTTGTGTAAAAGACTCTGGTTTAAAAAAGAAGTCAAAAATGAAATTACACGTGCGAAAATTATTACAAAACCTCTACCTCTATAAATAGAACTTCGTGCGGCACAACCTGTTAAAACAATTTTCCAATGCATTATAATTATATTTTTCACTTTGGCCGAATAATGGCTATATGATGCAATCTTGATGTCATCACTCAAAGATTACGTGTTGGAGATCACTCCTTCCCTCGAGCACAATGCAACACCAATAAAGTCGTTAAACGTGTTGAAATTTTCCGTCAAGCAAAGAACTCCACCAATAATATGTCGAGCTCGATATTGGCTTTTATGCGGCTTCACTATTAGCCTCATTATTTCGGCCGTTAAGTACTACCAGTCAATCACTGTATGGCACAACATTACTGTGATAATGATCCAAATGGCTGCAATCGTGTTGTTATTCTTTGTCCAGGAGCCTCTAGATACGTTGACGATCATGAAAGGAATTGGTGCTCAATTAGATTCGCATAAACTATTACCATTTCAAAGCAGCAACACATTTATACCGATAAATAATATGATTGATTTAGTTGTTCATGAAGGATTCCATGACTATGGTCAAGTCATATTCTATTTGTGCTTTTTGACGAAAAACTTCCGACTGGAGAAGCCAGGAAAAGATGGAGTTATACAAGTTGTGTTTGGTCAGCTTTTACCGAGAAAGGATGTGTTGTTGACTGTTTGGAAATTGAGTAGACAGTTACTATTTGCCGAAACAAGGCGATATTGGAGACGTGTGCCGGGACAAGGATTAAAGGAGTTGTCAAGGTTTACAGAGTAAGACATACGAGTTAGAAGAGAGAGGCGTATATGGTGCTTGATATCTAGGAGCCACTTCCTGATGTGAAACAAGTTGTTTATAGATTGATAGAGTAGAGGAATCGTACCTTAACGAATTTGAGTTTTTTGAAGTAAAATATAGTTCATTTTTCGGTGAACATGCATATTTAGCTTATCACTGTATAATATTCCTAATTGAAAAAGTTAGCTTTAACCAAACATTCGTTCTATGTTAACACTAAACCAGTTCGCAAGTGGAATCATCCAAATAAATATTTTGCGTCAAATTTAAAGCATTTTTTCTCTTAGCATAAGGTACTTCAGGCATGAAGCTGTGGGTTTATAAAGATTACATGGGAAGTGTTTCGCCATTGCTTTCCTTTACTTGTGAGATAGTTTGTTTACTAAGCTATTGTAAATGCGCCACATTTTTCGTATGTGTCAGGCCAAAGTCGGCTGTCGCTCTGACCAATCCCTCTGTTACAAACACAAAACCAAATCCCAATTCCGGGGAATTACTTTCTATTACATCACACTAATAATAATAATAATTTGGTAGAGTAAATGACGCCAAAGTTAACAGCATTCACCCGTGAATTATTCAGGAACATTCGTCCTTCCAGAAAGCATCATGTTTTCCAAATTCAACAGGCTTTTTACGACTGTGACCTCCTCACTTCCTTATAGACCAGGACACAAAAGCCTCAGAAAGTTTTGCAAGTCGACAAACTTTTAGGTTCCTTGTCAACCAAGTCCAGCTGGAAATGCACATAGGCGTGGAGATGGTGGCCCTCGATAAAACATACATCTGTTTACCACGGGACGTGTGCGTCAGCTTTCAATGCCT